AAAACAAATAAACTGTTTTTATCGAAGATCAAGTGTTAAATTTGAGAGATTAGTGCAATTTGCTAAAGCAGGACCTAAGGCTGATGCACCTTAATCACCAATTTAATTGTAGCTTTTTAAATATTGAAGTAAAAATATATAGTTAATTAATTATTTAGAAGGTAAAAATGAAGAAATAATATGAAATAATAAGATATGAATTAATAAATAAATAAATAATAAAAGCAAATGTTGAAAATAAAAAAAATGAGTTAAAGTAAGAAAGATATAAGTAAAATAAAAAGAAAAAGAAAAATTAAAAAAGCTAAATTAAAAGGAGTTAATATGTTTTAAATTCAAATTAAAAACTAAAATTATAACAATCTAAAACAAATAAATTGTTTTTACCTAATATCAAGTGTCAAATTTGAAAGATTAGTGCAATTTGATAAAGCAAAACCTAGGCCTGAGGCACCTTTTGCACCTATTTGATTGGAGCTTTTTAAATTTTAAAGAAAAAATATAAAGTTAATTAGTTTTTTAGAAGGAAAAAAAGATGAAATAATAAAATATGAATTAATAAATAAATAATAAAAGCAAATGTTTAAAATAAAAGAATGAGTTAAATTAAGAATGAAGTAAAAAATGAATAAGTACAATAGAAAAAATAATTAAATAAAGAGCAAGTAAACTAGTTAAAAGAATTTTTTTGTTTTAAATTAATTTTCATAACTAAAAGTATCACAATCTAAAATAAATAAACTGTGCTTACAAAAGATTAAGTGTCAAATTTGAGAGATTAGCGCAATTTGCTAAAGGGGAACCTAAGCCTGATGCACCTGTTGCACCAATTTAATTAATCCTTTTTATATATTGAAGAAAAAATATATAGTTAATTAATTATTTAGAAGGAAATAATGTTGAAAAAATGAAATAATAAGATATAAACTATAAAAAAAAGCAAAGGTTAAAAATAAAAAAATGATTTAAATTAAGAAAGATATTAATAAAAAAACATAAATACAATAAAAATGAAAAATAAATTAAATAAAAAGTTAATAAAAAAATTAAAAGAGTTGTATTGTGTTAAATTCAAATTAAGAACTAAAAATATCACAATTCAAAACAAAATAAACTCTTTTTACTAAAGATTAAGTGTCAAATTTGAGAGATTAGTGCAATTTGCTAATGCAGAACCTAAGCATGATGCACCTTAATCGCCAATTTTATTACTGCTTTTTAAATATTGAAGAAAAAATAAATAGTTAATTAGTTATTTAGAAGGGTAAAATGAAGAAAAAATATGAAAAAATAAGATGTGAATTTAGAAATAATAAAAGTAAATAAAAATAAAATGAAAAATAAATTAAATAAAAACTAATAAACAAATTAAAAGAATTATGCTGTTTTAAATTCATTTTTATTAACTAAAGATATCATAATCCAAAACAAGTAAACTGTTTTTACTTAAGACTAAGTGTCAAATTTGAGAGATTAGTGCAATTTTGTAAACCAAAACCTAAACCTGATGCATCTGTTGCACCAATTTAATTTTCACTTTTTAAATATTAAAGACAACATGAATAATTAATTTATTTAGAAAAAATGAATGATGTAAGAATATGAAATAATTAGAAATGAATTATAAAAGCAAAGATTTGAAATTAAAAAATGAGTTAAATTAAGAAATAATAAATAAAACACAATTAAAATCAAAAAAGAAAAATAAATTAAATAAAAAGCTAATAAACAAATTCAAAGAGTTATATTGTTTTCAATTGATTTTCATAACTAAAAAATTATAATCCAAAACAAATAAACTGTTTTTACAAAAGATTAAGTGCCAAATTTGAGAGATAAGTGCAATTTGCTAAAGCTGAACCTAAGCATAAGGCACCTTAATCACCAATTTAATTAGTCCTTTTTAAATATTGTAGAAAAAATAGATCGTTAATTATTTATTTAGAAGGAAAAAATGACACAAAAAAATGAAATAATAAGAAATAAATAAATAAATAAATAATAAAAAAAAAAGTTCAAAATAAAGAATAAGTTAAATTTGGAAAAAAAAAACACAATTAAAATCAAAAAAAACAAAAGAAAAGTAAATAAAAAGCTAATAAAAAAATTAAAAGAGTTATTTTATTTTAAATTTAAATTTAAAACATCACAATCCAAAATAAATAAACATTTTTTACTAAAGATTAAGTATCAAATTTGAGAGATTAGTGCAATTTGCTAAAGCAGAACCTAAGCTTGATACACCTATTCCATAAATTTTATTGCAACTTTTTAAAAATTGAAGAAAAAATAATTAATTCGATTTTTAGATGGAAAAAATGTGAAAAAATATAATATAATTAAAAATGAATTATAAAAGCAAAGGTTGAAAATACAAATTGAGTTAAATTAAGAAAGATAGAAGAAAAATATAAGTACAATAAAAAGAAAATTAAAAATAAATAAAATAAAAAGCTAATTAAAAAATTAAAAGAGTTTTTATTTCTTTAAATTCATGTTTAAAAATAAAAATATTATAATCCAAAACAAATAAACTTATTTTATCAATTAAATGTTTTAGAAAGAAAAAATGAATAAAAAATTGATAATAAATTAAAATATTTTAAGTGAAAATAAAATTAAAATAACGAAAAAAATATTTGTATTAATAAAATTAATTAATATAAGTGATAATTTTTATTCGTCAAATAATATTTAAATAAACTGAAAATTAAATAGATAGGAAATTTTAATAATAAAAATAATAATATTTATAATTTAAATGTACATCAGGTCAATATCGAGAACCTAGTGAGATTATAGTGAAGAGTTTAAAAACTTTTAATATTAGTAAATATAAATTTAAAGTATTTTGATAAAAATATAAATAATTACTTCTTCTAATTTGTAATATTTTTTAATCTATTATATCATTTATTTCTTTTTACAAAAATATTTAATAGGAATTTTTTTATGAATATTTAATTAATTATTAGTGGATTGGCAAAATTAAAAAAAATTATTAGTATTACAGAAATGTAAAATTTTTAATATGAAAATATATCTATCTAATATATAGAAAAAAGTGCCTTCTATCCCAGAAAAAAATAAAAAAAATATTTTATTCCTCCGGCCCCAACATTTTCTTGTTATGTCGATTTTCGGTCAAAAAAAACATTGCCCATTATTATTATTATTATTATTATTATTATTATTATTATTATTATTCATTCGTTCATTCACTTATTTAAGATATATGGGACTAATCTTATTACCGTCTTGTCTTATTGCTGGCTTATTACCCAAAAATGCATGTAAGAAGAATGAAACTATGAACTTATTACTATCTTATTGCCAACTTATTTCCCATATAAAAAGGAAAGAAAGAAAGCTTAATTACTTCTTTTTTAATTTGATTTAAACTTTCTTGTTCTTTATAATCAATTCGAATGAGGAGATATCCCTATTAAGGAATTTAGCAGAATTAATTAATTAATTGGCTGGTAAAATAACTAGGCTGGGTTAGGGGAAAGATTTCAAATTAAATCAAAATTAGTTAATTAATTAATTATAAGGGAACTGGCTAACTAATAACAACTATTTAGTTCCATTTTAATAGAGATATATATATATGCACAAACATGATGACTGATGAAGACACTGATGACATATAATTATTAACGTAGGATGGGAAGCGATAAAGGATCTTTGTTGTAGGTTAACCAGAAAGAGTAATCGATTTTATAGAGAAAATTAAGAGTCATAATTAGTATTATATTGAGGATTATAATATAGATGAAGAGGATAATGAACTTGCCTAAATAAACTTTAAACCCATATTAGTAACAAATAGATTATTAAAATAAAAAAATAATTATCAACAATTAACATAATTAATAATAGAATTAGCATTAACAGTAGCAATAACAGTAACTCATTAAAATAAGAAGAAGTAGAGCTACTTACAAGTAATGATAAATATTATAACTTGATCAAGCTATGAGAGTATTTTAAGCAGCCTTTAAATAAGTTAGAATAATTAAGAACGCGTAAAAGGAGTATTCATAGAAGTAGTAATAGTAATAGCAATAGAAATAGTAGCATAGGTAGTAGCAGTAGCATGAGTAATAGTTTTTCTTCTAGTATGGGTCATTCCACGTCTTTTTCTGTGGTACTATCATTATAAGCTTATGAAGAACTTAAATAGTTAATTGATAAATAAAGGCTATACATCGAGTAGAAAATTGATTAGTCAAATGCATAAGTAATCAAAGAATTGGCGTTGTTTGATAGTAATAAAAACTCCAGTGATGATAGTAGTAAAAAATAATCGAAAAAATTAATGAAATGGTTGCTAATGAAGGCATTTTCGAGTATCCTGAATTAAGGAAAGCTCTATAAAGAGAAGGACATTAAGACTAGGGCATTCTTACTACTTTTGTAAATAACAAACATTATATTGACACTCTGATTGAGATTTTCAAGCCAAAGAATGTTGCTGCTTCTTCTTATTATGTATAATAGTAATAGACTTAGACCCGTTAATAATATTAGCAAAATCAACAAAATCAATAGACTTACGATTAAGCATTCAACTAAATGTATTGCTACATGTATTTATGTTAAAGGCTTCAAACTGAATAATTGTCTGATCTACTTTATTTATGTATTTATGTTTTATTTTAAGTTTTATGTTTTATAGTTAAATAAATATACTATTGAAATAAAGTAAATTTGCACTTACATGAAGAGAATAATTAGATTATTTTAAGTAAGTGATATAACATTTACATAATTTCTATTAGAACAATTAGACATATGATTTCACTTTTAATTAATTCGGTTGAAGAGAACATTCTTTATCATCTTTGCTCTTAAATTAATTTACAATTTAAAAGTGAGGATGTTTTACATTTACTTTATCGGAATTTAGTGAGTTTGAATTAAATCTGTTTACTTCTTTTATGTGATTGAATTTAATCAAATTTTTTAATTAGTATTTGCATGCATCACATTAAAAATTCATTTTAAAATCAATCAATTTATAAAAAGTAACAACAACAAGAATCATTTTTAATGTTTTATGCAAAAAAATTATTTTCTATCTATCTTTCTGACTTAAATTTTTTCTATTCAAATATATTAATTATTCTATTCAAAGATGATATTAATTTAAGAATTAAAAAAAGTGTTGTTGATGCAAATGAGGGTTGAGTTAGTTATTGTATATAAAAGTAATTGAATCTTATAAAAATAATTTTATGAATAAAAAAAAAATATATATTTGTGTAAAAATTAAATATTTTTTTAAAATTTACTGAAAATAAAATATAATTAATTAGTAAGTAAGTATACAGCCTTACCAGAATCTTCAGCTACAACTGTTTTTGAAAAGTTCAGATTATTCGTGAATTATTTTATCTTATTATATTATTTTGACTTGTTTACCTTACATGTGCCAATTTCCTAACTTAATTAAAGGCAATGCTTTTATAAGTTTTTATAAAAAATTTAATAAAATCATTACATTAATCACTATGGTTTTCTGTTAAAAATTATGTTTTAACTATTGTGTACTCACCTTCTTCTCCAAAATCCAAAACTACAAAAGGTGAAGAACATGGAAATAGAAACTCAGCTTCTAAATCAGGATAATAAGGCGCCTAAGATTAGAAAGCATCATTTATTGTATGGCAAAATGAATTTAGAGTTTTCAGATGTGCTAATAATATTTTTTTAGAATTTGAAGATTTTTATTCTAATACCAAATTATCCTAAATCAAATATCTTTTAAAATACAAGCCTTTATCATTTTGCTTGAATTCACTACTTTTTAGAAATAATATCAGTAAAAAACATTCAAATTTTCTTATGTGGAGATATTTAAGCTAATGGAATAAGTGAAATATCATACAGTAAAGATTTTTAATATAATATTTTCAAACCGACTTGTTTAGATGCTAACGTTTTTGAGATTAGCACCTTTTATACGATTAATTGAATTTAGAATATTTTAACTTGCTGATTTTAGTTTGATTTTCTTTTTAGAAGAACTTGAAAAGTTTATGGATTCTAGCCTATTTTTATTTTAAAGTTTCTTTAAAATATTTTCAAATTACAAAAGCAAGCCAGCTCATAAAAAAATAAAAAATATATATTTAGCTTGAATAACTTTATTCATTTTAAATATCATCCAATCATATAAATATTTTAATAATAATCACTGAAATAATATGAATTTTTAGGTGGTGGTGGTGGAAATTGCGTGGTTTTTATGTCATTTAAATAAAATTTAACATAAGATTCAGAATCTAGCTATTTTCCTTTAGAAACAAATCTAGATACAATTATTTTCTAAATTAAGAATTATGTTTGGTTTTAATTATATGTGTGTTGCTACTTTTTAGAAAGTAGCATGCTGCTTACTAAAATGAATTAAATTAATTTACATTCATCAAAATAAATAAAACATTTCCTTTTTGTCTATGCATATTCAACTTAAGCTCAGCACGTTATTTGTATAATGCACTATTATAAGTAACCAAAATGCAGTGAAATTCAGTATTTAAAACATTTGTACTTTAAATATGCAAGAAATAAACAATCAATATGTAATGTACTACTATATTCTATATGTGAGTAGGTAAAAATATTTATATTATATCATCTTAATGTATTAAATTTTACATTTTTAAATTATTTACTTTCTCTTGCTTAATTGTTTTGATCATTTCTTCAATATACATGCACATATTCCTCAGTTGAATCCGTTGATGGATTCAGGGCAATTTAAAATGCTTCTTCTATCAAATATTACTTATAGGATGGCATTTATCCTTCTTAAAATATCTAAACATCCCCCCTCATTTTATTATTTATATATCTTTGTTTCTCTAAATTTTGTTTACCTCTTTGATGCTGGGGAATTGGCTAAATTAAAAATTAAATAATATTCCGCAGAAAAAAAGAAGGCAAATCTGCAAATTTTATTAAAAAAAAATCCAAATCCCAAAACAGATAGATTCTTTTTTATTTTAGTGAATGAGCCACTCTTAAATATTCTATCAAGTATCACCAATTTTTTCTTAGGAGTTTTGAAATTAATAATAAATATAAAGAAAGATTGGATAAGAGCTACTAAAAAGCATAGCAAAAGAAGTAGTAAACTAATAGAAGAAAGTAAATTTTAAAAGTGTGTACACTCTAAAGCAACTAAATGTCTTTGCATGTCTTATTTGAATAGTCCAATACCATCAAAGAACAAAAAGAAACCATTTATATAGAAGAAGAGCAAGAAAGTACTTTCTACCACCAGAAACATTTCTTCGACCTCTATCATAACTTTAATGGAGAGTTGGTAGTAGGTAAGATTAAAATTGATGCTTAATTGCTAAAAAGGCCTCACTGCATAGAATTCACAAATTAACTTAGAGATATTGCTGCAACAATGCACTAGAATTTAGATTTGGTTTGTGATGATATTATTAGGACTGATATTGTTTATAATTCTAAGATTTCACTAGCTAAAACTATCAAATACTTAGTTAGAAAGGGAGGTAGGGTTGGATACAGTTCACTTATTAATGCATTAAACGCTAGCCATAGCAGTGATATCCGCTCTGAGATCATCTATGCTTTAGGCTATAAAATAAAAAATGAGAATGAGTTAGTAGAAGAGAGGATTGTTTAAATAATCAAAGGATTTATTAATGACGATATTAGTGCAGGCGCAAGAAGTTTCTTAGATATTCAGATACGAAATAAGCTTGATACTGTTAGCAGTAATTCTTGGAGAATGTGTTATGGTAAAATAAAAGTATCAGCTAATCATCCTAGAAAAGGTCCGGAAGCAGTTATTACAAAAACTAAGTAAAAAGTTAAAGTTAGCTATAAAAATAATCAATCAGAGGAAGCAACTATTCAAATACTAAATTTGGCTGACGCTTTAAAGAATAGAAATAAAAAAATAAAAATAAATTACAATACTGAGAATCTGCCTACTGTCCCCGATAAGGGTGGTGACAATAGATCATTTTTTAGGGGTACTTATGTCAATGTAAAGAATCTCCACGGAATAGCAATGAATAAAGGGACATTATTAGCTGATGATAAAGACGTATATCTGGTAAGTAAATTCATAAGCAGCAGCTCGAAGTGGTTTGCTTCTGATATAAATGATTTTTTAAATGGTAATACTATGTTTGGTATTTTCATAACTGATCGCCTGATTTCATCTATATTTTGTAAAATTTCAAAACAGTAATAGCTGTGTAATGGAGCAATAGACAAGTTAATGGTTTGCGTTAACACTCTTGATGATGTTAAAAAAAGAGTCTTAGGTTCATCAGACTCATCAAAAATTGCTGCAAACATAGCAAGTTGTGAAGGTTTAGCTAAGCAATGGTATTCCAGTGAGCCATATATAGTAAAAAATATTGCTGACAAGCTTTTTAGAGATGGGTTTGAATAGGTAAAGACAGGTTGGTTTAGCTGGGAATATGTTTACTATCCTTTTAAAATCAATGAAATAATATCGTCTGAAATATCTGAAATGAGGCTTGATGCGGTTCAGGCCATGTACAATTGCGCAATAAGAGATAAAAGAGTCTTAACAAAAGAGAGACTCAAACAAATGCAACTCTGCTTAAATGATTCGGATGCTAAGTTTCGGGGATTAATAACAAAAACTTTATGTCTGATTGACAATGAGCACATAAATTACAAAGCCTTATTTTTATTAAATGTATCTGAACTAGAGCGTAATATAAATACTGAAATTGCAGTTGCTTACATATATAACCAAACAAAAGATACTAAAAGATGTAAAGAGCTATTTGGTGATGAAACAATAAGGCTAAGGCTTAGTAAATTACTATAGCATACTTCTTTGGATAACTAAACCAAAGCAAATTGTTGTGAGATTATTAATACTTACCTTGAACATGCTTTTAGTTAAGGGCTGAGTAATGAGGAGCTCAAAATTTACAAAGATATTATTGAAAATACAGGCACGAACAAAGAACTCAGAACTGAAGTTTTAAGGTCTATACTACTGACTGCAGAAAAAGCCAAGGACTTACCTGGGCAAATAGTCAATGCTTTGGTTAATATTATAGACAATTTTGATGAAAAGACTGCAAACTTGGTCGTTATAACTCTCGGGAAGGTTTGTGAAAATACACCTGTAATAAATCTTGATAAATTGTCCATCAAGCTATTGGATGACCAAGTAGTAGTTGGTCAAAAAGGAGATATCGCATTCGAGCAGCGTTCTAAGGATAACCTTGCCTCTCCATCTATTTCATCACTTGCCAGCAAGATTTTTGTTGATTCTCTATAAAAAGATGGCCAAATCGCAGAAAGAGGACTTGCTCATCTTGTATCTGCTCTTGACAGCAATGATAAACAGACAAGAATTTTATCAGCAAAAGCCTTATATATAGTAACAAGTCATAAAGCAATAAGCGATTCTCTTTTAATAAGAATAAGGGATTATATTGAAGATAAGGTAGCTGATGTTTCGACTTATACTCTTCTAGCTTATTCTAAAGGTTTAAATAGGCTAGTACATAATAAAATTTCTATTTTTCCCAGTCATATTTAATTTTTATCCAAAGTGTATGCTTTTGAAAATCTAAGACTGGGAGAGCAAGATTTCACTAAGCAGGTAAATGATAATGTTTTATCAGTATTACTGCATACAGCTGATCAATAGGAGTTTGATGAAAGCGCCTTTAGTATTTTTGATCATATTTTGTTTGCTGATGAAGGTAATCAAACAAAAGCTGTTAAGATACTTGATAAGTATACTTCTAGTAAGTAAATAATACCAACGAATACTATTGCAGCTCTTGAAAATGTACTTGGTATACCTGAAGTATGTGATATGGCACTTAAAGTACTTGAAAATGTTATTCAGAGTGGCTAAAGAGTTAGCGAAAGGACTTTATACATATTTAGGGATAACCTTTATTTAGCAGTAGATGCATATTTAAGATTAAAATCATTTAAACTTTTGGACATTGCTGATCATAACTAGGATTTACCTGATGAATTATTTGAAAATTTAGAATTGCAAAGAGCTGGTAGCGTTATTGCAAATCATTTAATTGATAAGGAAGAAGCTATTTTTTACTTAAAGATCAAAACTGGTGAAGGGCAAAAACTGCCTATTGATACTTTGAAAGCCCTTAGTTTTGAGTTAACAAACAAACAAACTTTATCGATTTTAAGCAACATATCAAAAAACAAGCAGGTTATACCTGATTACTTGATAGATAAATTAATACTAGAATTTGATTCAAAATAAAAACAAAATCAAATAATTGAAATTTTTGCTAGTATTGCAAAAAATAATCAAAATATTCCAAGCAAGCTTTTTGCAAAATTAGAAAAAGTTTTAGATAATGAGTTTATTTCTGATCAAATATTATCAATTTTTGCCCTACAAGGGTAAAAAGGTGAAAAGCTATCAAAAAATGTCATAAGTAGGATATGTAATACAATTTTAATTATTAATAATGAACCAATTAAACAAGAATTATTATCTACTATTAGTTCTATTATAGAACAAAACTTGTTTGACATCTATCTTATAAAAAAAGTACTAATTCATGGAATTACACAAGAAAATAAGAATATTATTGAAAGTAGCATAAATGGATTTAGAAGCTTTGCTAAGTACATAGAATTAGATCAAGAATGTATAAATACTCTTGTAAAAAAGGCTGCTAGAGAAAATTCTGATGAATATATTAAAAAAAGTATTTATTAAATATTAGATTCTTGTAAGTTAGATAGTGCTCAGAAACACAAACTGGAACTAGCTAACTTAGATTTCAACAGTGGTAGTAAATTTTTAGATTAAATATCCAAACTTTCAAAACAATCTCCCTTACTAGAACAGAATTTTAAGCAATTAAATTTCATTATTGATAATCAACCTGATTTACAATTCTAAGTAATACATATTTTAATTGAGTGCTTAAACAAAGAAGATATTTCTGATGAATTAATGAACAGTGTAGCAATTTTATCTGCTAGTACTACGTCAAATGAAATAAAGGGGAAATGCTATCATTTAGTAAATCGAATTGCTGTAACTGGTAGAAAATTAAATGATAAAATAATATCATTATTAGTAGGTGAAGAAAGTAGAGAATTAGCAGAATCTACTTTAGAGCTAGTTGCTAGAAATCAGGAAATTTCATTTCAAGCAAGCCTATAGTTAAGGATTGATAGCATAAAACCTTCAATTAGTTCAAAAGATTTAAATTAACTACTTTATGATATTGATCAAGAAATGAGAAAAGGTTTTGAGTTAACTGATTTTAATATACAAAAACTGTAAATGATTCAACTTTTTAAACAAAAAAGTGAAGATTATTCTAATCTATAAAAACTTTTTAGTATATTTGCATATATTTTAATGAAACAGCCTAAATATTGTTCTAATAAAACAATTGTTTCTGCTATAGAACAAGGAATTTTATCTAAAAAAGTAAGTAGCAATATTATCAACGTGTATAAAAAAATTATCAGAGAAAGGAGTTACTTAAATTTAGATAGGGTAATCGATACGCTGGCTGATTTATTACAAGAGGGTAACGAAACTGAAAAATTGAATTTAGCAATACTCGGCTGTATAAGTAGTGCTGCAAAAGTAGCTAAGATATCAGAAAAATGTCTATCCGTTTTAGAAAGTAATATAGATAGTTTTGATGAAAATATTAGGAGTATGTCATTTAGAGGATTAAGGGCTGCTGACGATAAAGGTTATAAGTCAGAAATATTTAAAATATGGTGTAATAATGTTATTAGTAATTTGGAACTTAGTATTAAGACTGAAGTTACACCTGATCTAGAATTACTTGATATTTTAGCTTCATTAAAATACATAGATTTCAATAAACTAGCTTAAACGCCTCAATTTGAATGGAAGAGAGAGCTATTGCTTTCTGATTTACTAGCAAGATTTAAAGTAAGTGAAGGAGAGAAATTTATCTTTTATAAAAATTGGCTAGATATTGAACAAAGCAAATAGTTTCAAAAAGGAAAATCAGAAGAAATACTTAAAGCTCTTATAAGTAACGAATATAATGACAATCTATCATTTGCACAGCTGTGCGATATAATAAGACTTTTAGTAAATATTGATTTTGAAACTGCAAATAATATACTATAAAATAGTACTAACCGTTACACAAATCTAAAACAAAAGTGGATAGAAGGGTTACTATTAAAGCACCTACATCAAGAAATAAGTAACAACTATTTAGAAAAACTCGCTTTAAATATTTGTAATAAATTCAATACTGCAATAGTTGATAAATTACTAAATTCCATATCTGTTATAGGAAATCTAAGAGAATTTGAAATTTTTTTGGATTTTGCTGAAGCTAATTAAATCAAAATTTCTGATATAAACATACAAAATTCAAGTGTTAATAAATTGAAAAGATCACTAGAGATAAAACTTTTATGTAATCAAATTCAAGTTCCTGCCGACCGATATAAATTAACTAATATACTTGATAGCCTTTTAGAAACAGGATGGACTTTTGACCAATTAAAAGCAATATTTATTAATCTTAAATCTTTAAATACCATAGAGCGAGTCTTCAAAGAACAAAAGCTTATTTCTATAATTGAAATTTTACATCAATATAAGATTTCCAAGACTAATCATGAGAAAGTTTTAACTGCGCTAAGTTGTAAACCAGAGGATTGGTTAAAAGAAATAAATAAGATTGCCATAGTAAATAATTTTCAAACAATAGGCAAGGTAAAGAATAGCACTGAACTAGTAGAGGAATTAAAAAGTAGAAATTTATCCAACAAATCAATATAAAAGTTAATTGATGATAATTTACTTAGTTTAATAGAAAAAATTAAAAGCTCTAAATTAGAAAGTAGAATTGACTTAAATTCGGATTTAGTTTCTAAGATTTCAAATTCAATTTAAGATTTAGTAAGAGAGGCCAATCAAATAAATACAAGACATTTAAAACGATGTAAATCTGGATTGATTATAGACTGGGACAAATCTGATATAGCATTATGGTCTAGTATTGTTAAATCTAATCCTGATTATTTTTTAGATTCTAATTTTCTTATTGAAGTACTTGCAGTAATTAAAAGAGCAAATTTCTTAGAAACGGGTTTTAATATGACAGATAGCCAAATTTTGAGTTGTTTGGTTGTGTTATTTGCTACTCAAGGTCAGGGAAGGCTATTGCAAGTAGCTACAGGTGAAGGTAAATCCACAATTGTTAGCGTGCTTGCTATTATCAACGGGTTAAAAGGTAAGAAAGTAGATATTATTACTAGTTCACCAGTACTTGCTGAGCGGGATGCTAAGGAAAAAACCGGATTATATAAGATATTTAGATTAAGTTGTGCTGATAATAATGACAAATCAGTTTATATTAAAGGAGCTAAAGATTGCTATAAAAAAGATATAGTGTATGGCGAAGCAGCACAATTCTAGTTTGATAGTCTAAGAGATGAATATAGCTTACTTGATACACTGGCTAATAGGAAATGTGAAGTAGCAATTGTTGATGAAGTAGACAGTATGCTTATTGATGATAGTTCTAAGATTGCTAGACTTAGTTCTACTATTGCTGGTATGGATCAGCTATAGCCAGTATATCATTTTCTATGGCAAAGGCTACTCTCTATGCAAGAAAAGGTTGTTGAAATTGATGGTAAGATGTATTTCTTATATGGTAAAATCAGCTATGACCAAGATAAGATTATATTAGAATATGCAGATAAAAAAGGAGAAATCATATAAGTCCCTGACCTAAAAAATTATGTTAAATCTAATAAAGATATAAGCAATATAGGCCAATCTATAGAGGGGGAAATCGAAACATATCTTAAAAAGCATTTAGAAGAGTACATAAAAGAATTATTTGACCAGAATGTTATAAAAATACCCAGTAATTTTAAAGAGTTTGTAGAAAAACAAACATCTAAATGGATAAATAATGCTATTGTAGCCTTTAACTATCAAGAGAATGTGCATTATGTAATAAATGAAGGGACAATAAGACCTGTAGATTATAACAGTACTGGAATTGTCCAAAGTTCTACTAATTGGAGCGATGGTCTACATTAGTTTTTACAGATTAAGCATGCTCTAAAAATGACTTCAGAGACTTTTACAACGAATTTCTTGTCAAGTATGGGGTACTTTAAAAGATATGGTAGTAATTTATTTGGTCTTACTGGTACTCTTGGGTCTAAGAAAGCAAAAGAAGTATTGTCAAAGGTTTATAATGTTGATCTTATCAATGTCCCTAGCCTACGTCAAAAATAGTACCTTGAGTTATGTACTGTAGTTGCTGCTAATTAAACTAAGTGGCTTAATGAAATCTGTTCTTCTGCAATAAATGAAGCAAATAAGGAAAGAGGAACTCTAATTATTTGCGAAGCGATAGAGCATACCAAAATTATAGCAGATAAGCTTAAATCAGAGTATAGAGCAGGAGCAATAAAGCTTTACACAATGAATAATATGAACCAGGAAAGAGAAATAGAAAAAATTAATCCTGGAGAAATAATAATTGCAACAAATCTCGCAGGGCGAGGAACTGATATCAAAACTGATGAAATTGAAAAGAATGGTGGTATGCATGTAATTGTAACCTTTATGCCATCTAATCAGCGTGTTGAAGAGCAAGCATTTGGTAGGACTGCAAGACAAGGTAAACGTGGTACTGGTTAGATGATATTAAATGCTGTTAGCTTAATGGAATATGGAGAATCTATTCCACAAACAGCTAAATAACTAAGGAATAGCTTTGAAGCAAACGTATTGGATGAGTTTTAAAAGAATGAATTAGCAAAAATAGAGATAAAAGATAAATTGTTTAATATGTTTTGTTCATTACTAAATAAAATACGTCAAGACATTAGAGAAGAGAGAGGAGCTTGGAGCAAATTTAAAGATAGTGTTAAAGATATAGTAACTAGCGTTATGCCATCGGTATACGAGATTAATCTTCTATCAGCTATTGAAGAATAATGGTCTATGTTTTTACGTAAACTAGATGATGACACAATTCCAATTAAAAATGCAGAGAAAGAATATAAAAAATTTTTCACACAAATTGAAAAAGATTATTAAAGTAAAAACGTAATAAAAAATCCTTATTACCATATTGCTATAGCTAATGATTTAGTTATTAATGATTCTTCACTGGATGATAAATATAATCAGGCAATGAATCACTTCGATCAAGCAATTAAACTTGATAAACACTAAAGTGCTGCTGCATTTGCAGGTAAAGCGTGGTTGTTGTTAAAAGGTAAAGAAAAATTTTGGACCACAAATGATCAAAGCATAAATTATAAATAACAAGCTCTTATAGAATTTGATAAAGCCTTAGGTGTTTTAAATGATGAAATGGCATCACTGAATGCTATTCAATGTATACTATAACAGAATAACACAGATATTAAAAGTGATTTATCTAAGTAGCTAATCCAAAAGGCAAATATTTTAGGTACTTACTCAAGTAGTTTACAAAATGCTGTTTCTACAATTAAGAAATCACAACGGTTAATAAATATAACTGGTATAAGAAACTACCAAAATGAGGATGAATACATTGAGAGAGTGAATGGTAATAACTCTACTTTGGAGAAATGTACTGATTATAATACTGAAATTTCTAAAGTAACAACTTCTTATTAGGGTATTGAAAGAAACAGTGAAGGAAAAGCAAACCAAAAACTAGATGATCATAATGAGTTTGAGGTGGTATTTAATGATCTGACTATAAGAAAAGATATGGGCACTATAGATCAAGCTATTGAAACCATATCAATAGCCTTTTCTAAGCCGGGAAAATTTTTAAAATTTTAAACTCTAGATTCAAAAAGATATAAGAGCATCAGTATTAATTTAAGAGAAATTAATGCAGAAAGACTAAAATCTATGCTAAATCCTGATATTGAAATCAAGGGAGTAACTAAAGAAGTGGCAATAGCTCAACTGGAAGATAAAAGCAATTTTTTTCATAGGTATTTTATATTTGAGAGTTGGTAACTTGATTCTTGTAAGGTTAATTTAATTATTACACTAGATAATGAACCAATCTAAACTCAGAATAATCTATAGGCAAGAGAGGCCATAAAAATTATTAAGAATTGCAAAAATGATAACTTACGTTTTAATCTGACTTTTGTTAATGTGAATGAAATCTCGAAATGTTTAGGAAAAGAAGTATTATAAAATACAGTTTTAGACATTGAATTTCCAGGATTAAACTCAAGCACTGCTAAAACTAAACTTAGCGAAATAATAATATCTAAAAATCTTAGTCTCGAAATAACAGGCAGGAAAGAGGAACTGGCAGCAGCAATTAGTCAACCCAAAATTAAACTTGTGTAATTTTTCAATTAAGAAAAGAATGCTAACGAAACAGTATATGTTCATGAAGCAAAGAAAAGAATCAGCCAAATTAAAGAAAGTAGTTTTAATATAAAACTCGAAAATTTGAATAGCTCTACTGTAAATAGCATTATAGACTTGTGCCAAAATGCGAGTTTTAGCATTACTTTTATTGCAATAAACCCTGGAGCAAGCTTAAAAGGATTAGATGAAGGGCAAATAAATGTAAGCTTTAATAACTTAGGTGAATTTGAAGCAACTAAGCTTATCTCAAATTTAAGAAAAGAAAATATTGATTTTAGTTTAGCATTTAAACATCTAAATATTAAGTAGGTATATAAGATAATCAAACAAGCATCATTGGACCAAGAAAATATTGAAATTAGTAAAGTAAAAACTTTGAATGGTTTATTCATGGATGAAACTAAACCAATCGTGGAGTTATAGGAATTTGCTGCAAGAGGTATTGAATATTTACTGGAAATTAATGAAAAAAGATTTATTCCTTGGTGGAGTGTTGCAACAGTTGGAGCTCTTGCTGGTATTTAGATGGCAGTAGGCGGTTTGTTGACAGCAACAGGATTTGGGGCTACTGTTGGAATGGGCTTATTAACTGAAGGAGCAGCAGATATATTTACTGCTTATAGGGCTTACAGTACAAGGCAATTTACTTGGTCAGACTATATGAAACAGAAAGCAGTAAGTTTGGTCATATCCGCTGTATCTATGGGGTATTAAGTAGCTAAAGATGCAGGTAAAGGAGTTAAAAATTTAGTAGTAGGAGTAGGAGAAGAGGTATTAGAACAGGCTGGTACCAAGGTTGTTACCAATTGTAAAACAATAGGTAATACTTTGATAAAAAGTGGAAAAAATTTGAAAAGCTTGGCATTTAAGCAGGTGGGGGTTGAAACTGGTTAAGCAGCAATGAGAGAAGGACTTAATAAAGCTGCCGATTCTTTGTCTCACTTTGCATTGGAACAGTTCAAACCACAAATATCAGAATCAATACAAAATAAAGTTAATACTAAGTTCTGCCAGTCAAATTTAATGAGTTTGGTGCGCAAGATGTATGCATTAGATAATATAAGTAAATCACAAAACCTTAGAGGAAAAATTGATAGAATAGTGGCTGAAACTATCAGTCCAGAACATAAATTTTGCCGTAAGTAGTGGGATTCAATTGGTGGCCCATTGTGTAAAGGTATTTTGTCAGATCAAAAGATGTTAGGTAGTCCATTTAGTATGGGGATAAGGATATTAGGTACTTTGAACGGTATGCATCAGATTGTATTTATCATTGACAATGTGCATGACCAGCTAGTAAAAAAACTCTCTCAAATTGATAAAGAAACCTTATAAATAGCTTAACTTATACACAAATATTGTCAAATAGAACAAAAAGATGCTAGAGAAATTGTTGATATACTAAAAAAAGAAGGTATTATATAGATCGAGGAAGAATAAAATACCACAAGCTGGCTAGAATAAAGCTACCATCATTTAAGTAACGCTACTTAAAATGAATTAAGTACTCTAACTTTTTACCTTGAATAAATAAACCCTTTAACTTTTGAAACTAACACAGAAGAGTACAGGAGTTATAAAATGCCAAAAACTAGCCTTGATAAGGTGAATTTTGGTAATTACAATCAATATAAAAGTAAGATATTTAATTTTTGTTAATTATTACATATGGGTATTGTATCTGTAGAAGTAAATGATTTGAGTCAAATAAAGAAATCTGTATCAGATGCGATTACTGAACAAATAATTAGGATTACAGAAGGACAATTAATTTCACCTTGGAGTAGTTATGGCATGGGAGCTCTTACTACTGCTATATCAAAAAGAGCTCAACATTATCTATTTGTAAATAAAGAACAAAATACAGATAGTCAAAACAAATAAATGCAGGATGATAAAGATAGGTACGACTAACTGGAACAAAAGAAAAAAAATGGTGAATTCCTTAGCGAAAAAGAGAAGGAATTTTTAAATAACTATGACCCATATAATACAATTTCTAAACAGATTAATTACAATGCCAAAGATTACACCATTGCATACAGCCAGTGTGAAATTATACATTATGCTGAGCAAAAGGCTAAGAATAGGGCCAATAATAAAGAGGTTACTGAAGAAGTAAAAAATCATGCTAAAGCAGTATAGAAAGATAAACCTGCAGATTTAGCAGATATGTTTTCTATGGCTGCTCAAAACAACATAGACCTAAAATTAGTTGATGATCCGAATTACCAACTAAGTGAGGAAGATATAGCAAAAGGTACAAAAGTTGTTGTTTTTAGTAAAGGAAGTAAAAATAATGAAGGAAACGACAGTGTTGGACATTATCAATTATTAGGTTCAGATGGCAAATTAGTTGATATTATAACTAATGGAGAAAATGACTGTGGGTATGCTGTTTTTTCACAATTAACAGGCAAATCAGTTGATGCACTTCGTAATGAGACTGCTCAAGGAATAGAAGCAAATTGTGAGAGCTTCTCTAGGACTATAGAAGCTCAAACCTGGGTTAAAGATCATTATCCTAGAGAGGCTAATAGCTTACTGTTTGTAGGGGCTGGATTTTCTGATGATGATAAAAATTCTGTTTTATAAATCGCAAAACTAATTTAGTAAGGTGTTGATATTGCTAAAGAAAAAGTAAGTGATGCTGTTAAGATTCTTGCTAAGCAAGTCGCTGATGTTTGGGAATGGGCAAAAAATAATAAAATGCTAATTTTAGATGTGAGCTTGACTGTTCTTTGTATTGCTTTTCCTGCATCTGCTCCTTTGAAAATGATTAGCTATGGTCTTTCGGCAATAAAATTGATTAAAACAGTTAAAGATGGATATGATAATTATAAAAATGGAGAAAGTGTTGGCAATGAGATAGGAATTGTAGCTGATATTGCACTTGATGCAGCATGCAAAATCTTTCCTGCATGTTTAGTAGCAAAAGCAGGAAGTCTTGGTGTAAAGACTTTTAAACTATAAGGAACAGTAAAGCGAGGATATGAAAAATATAAAGGAGGAGATAGCATAACTTCAGAAATTTTTGAAGGACTATTTTTAACTATCTAAATAGCTGGAAGGATCATTGATATATACAATAATGTTTAAAAAAAAAATGTAAATTGGAATAAAGGTAAGGATATACCTCCAAAAGATAGTTAAACTGTTTCATAATAGGAAATAGATAAATTTAATAAAGAAATCTAAGATAAAGTCAATAAAAATCGGGAAAAAAACAACTTGCCAAGCAAGTAAGCACAAAAAATGACTAAGGAATAATATGCAAAATTTAAATCAATGAATGAAGATATTTAATTAAAATATAAAAAGCATATATTAGTACAAGAAGAGTTAAAAATCACAATGGAAGAGTATAAAAAGTTACCTCAAGAAACTATTAACAATGGTACTCATATGATAACTGATAAATTTAGTGGCAAAACTTATTACTATAATCAAAATAACGGAGTACTTGCAGTGGTGGGTTCAGATGGCAATGTCGTAACTTGCTATAAGCCTTAGTCTGGAAACTTCGAAGAAATTTTTGTTAAAATTATTAAAAACTACGAAAGTAAGAATCTCTCTATTAATATTCATAAAGAAGTTAAAACCAATTTTCCTAATAATAGCTCTTCCAGCAATCTTTCTACACAAATTGCTGCTATGAATTAGCTGAGTAATCGTTTAGAAATCGAAAGCTGCGCTTAAAAAAGTAATAAAAAAGAGGAAACCAATAATAGCAAATGATTATGGATTACAAAAGAAAAATACAATAAATTAAATGATATAACTAAGCAGTTAATTATAATTGAGAAAATATATATTAAAAATTTATTTTTTTTGAAATCGAATTTTAACACATTAGTAACTTTTATTTATTGAATTATTAATATTGTTATTGCATATTTACTCTTGCTTTCTGTATAATATCCCTACTTTTTACTTAATTAACTATTTTTATTCCTTATCAGTCAAATATCAATAAATCAAAATAGTTAGAACGAAGATAATTTAAGATAGTGTATTGCAATAACCCTATACTTTTACAAGTTTTACTAAGCCTTTTCGCTTATCTCCTAATATTTTTAAAACTCAATATCTATCAAATTTTTTTTTTTAATTTATTTTGGTGAGATTAGTAAAGATATTCAAATGATTTGGCATTGAGAGAAATTTATCAGTGCAATTTATACTTTTAGAAATCAAAAAGTGATTGTATTTGCTAATAAATTCGAGCTTCTGAAGGTCAATTTGGGATCTAAAGGTGTTTAGCTTGAACTATTTATAAAAGTGCAAATTTTTTTTTTACTTGTGTATAATAATATAAAACTACATTATTTAGATAATAGATCTGTAGTAGAACGTAGCATTGGGTTAGAAATATTTTTAATAGGTGAGAGTCTAAAGAAATTTTAGTGGGTAGAAAATGCCATAGCTTATGAAGCATTGTCATTTAGCTGCTTTTGTTAAATTTGTAAGTTTAATTTGTTTTCTAGTCATTAGGCTGTTTGCAAGTTAGAATCGTAGTGTAACTTATCTTGGAATTGTGGTTAAAGTGTGTTTTATTTTCTAAGCTTTTCGTTTTTTGAATGCACAGGCTATGTTTGTGCTTCTTCGAAATAGTGGCGATGGGAGTAAAAATCTTTTTAAGGGTGAAAACCTTCTGTAGTGCTATGCATATGCAATTTTAAAGGAGAAAATTTCTAATTTTCTTCTGAGAAGTTAAATTAGAAATCAGGTTTTCCTTCTTCATCTTAGCAAGTGTCTAATTCAACAGCAGATTAAGTTCTCTTATATTTATTTGGACTAATTTTCTCTGGTGATGTTAGTTGTTATTTATTATTTTGCTCCTTAATCTTGTTCAGATCAAATTTGTATGACTACTATCCATTTTAATTGCTTCTGAAAATATTGACTTTAATTATTTCAGATTTTGGTTGTTTTTAAAGTTTTTCAGTATAAGCTTTATTTGAAATTTAGTGTTCGCTTAGAAAATTATCAGTGTTTAAGTCTTCTTGCTTAAACTCAGGTACAGATTTAAGAGTGGTTTTGTTTAAATTTAATTTTAGAGGAGCTTTTTCTTATGCATTATTAGTTCTTAAAAACTCAACTTATCTCTCTTTAGAAGCTAAAATACCTGGGTTTTAAATTAAAAATGACTTAATTGATGGGTCAAGCACATGTTTAGCTAAACTTTCTTGAATTGAAGATTAGGTATTTAAACTTCCTTGCTGGTTGGTATAATTTTTGTAAAAGACACCTTTCATGTTTTTGAAAAATTATTTTGTGAAAGTTTCTAAGAATATTGTTTTTTTAACAGGTAGCTCATTTTGATTAATTTATTTTTAAATAATATATTTGATATCCTAATTATTCATTCCTAAAATGTTTGATATGTGCTTTTATAAAATTAAACAAATTTTAAAAGTTAAAATAATTTTTTTTATAAATCTTGCTAAATTTTACAAAGAAAAATCAATAATTAAGCTTAATTTTAGCATTTACATTTTTTAAAATTATTAAATTAAATTCATATATTTCTAACTTTTTCAAATACTTGATTCTAAAAATTAATTAATTTTGCCTTTGAAATTAATTAATTAAATTATTTCAAAAAAACAAACTTCCAAAAATATCCATAAAATTTAATTTAAAATAAATATTTTATTAGTATATTAGAAATAAAAATAAAATTTTATTTATTTTAAATTGTTGATTTTGAGAATAGAAAAGATTTTAATTTCTGTCATCTATCTCTCAGCTAATACCAACATTTTAGCTTACATTTTCACAAGAAAAAAACCTTAAAATTGATTAAAAAACAAGTTTTTAAAGTTTTCAAATTGTTATAAAGTAAATACCATTAACATATTTTAATATAAAAGACTGAATTTAAGATTATTTTTTAATTTGAAAATTCAAATCTAACTTAAAAACTATTTATTTAAATGTATTAAGCATTAATTAGCTAATAAGCATGATTTTCAAGTTGAGAATCTTTATAGGAAGGATGGTGACCTTTATTTCTTCTAAATTAAGTAAGTAAGCTCTTATAATGATAAAGTAAACAAATCTCCTAAATCTTCAATTCCTAGTGATAATTATCTCAATGCATCATTTTTTCAAATAAAAATTGTTTTAAAGCAAAGTAAATAGTTTTTTTATTAAACTCAAATAAGTAAAATTGATCAATCTTATGAGCTCAAAAGACGACAGATTCTTATTCTATATTGAATTATCTAACATTGTTAAATAAAAAATCAATTATTACCTTAAGTTGAGCTACAGAGATGAAAACTTTAACACTTTCTAGTTTTTTTACAGTTTTCATAATCTTTTATCATAAAAACTTTAATTAAATATTTATCATCTTCTGATTTAATAAATAAATGAATTTTATTTTAAAAGTATAGAAAATAATTTATATTTTTGTCTAATAAAATTAGAAATAATATTTATTAGAGGTATTTGATAAGAATTCATGCCTAGAATACGAACATTGAGAACAGCTAAAGCAAATAATTTTACATCAATTTAAAAAATAAGATTTGAATTACTCCCTCCATGCAAAAGCAAAAAAAAGGCAGGAAAAACAAAAATCGTAAGATTTAATCAATAAATCTTCAATAAAAACATGAAGAATGACTAAATAATTAATTATTGAGAAAAAATTAAAATTTAACATTTATTTATTTTTAACTTATGCATTATAATTTAAATGGTATAGATAGCTTATTGATTTAAATTGGTCAAACTTTATATCATGTCTATAATATTATAAAATTAGCTTTAAATAAAGAAATAAATAAGTAAATAGAACTATCAAAAGTTAATTAAAAGAATTTAATTTTTTGAATTATTTTTTAAATTTTATTTAGACAAAACTTGATATTGTTTTTAAGACTTTCTTTTATTCAAGGAAAATAAAAAAATGATATTGAGTAAATTAAAATAGCTAATCAAATTTTTAAATTTAAATGAATATTCTAATTCAGATAATTAGTAAGTTGCTTTATTGTAAGAATAAAATATCTAAAATTAACTAAATGAGCTAGAAACGCTGAATATACAAATAGATCAAAACGAAGAAAATGAATAAATTGAATACATAAATCTTCTTTTCTGTTTTGGATCTGATTATTTGAAAAAAATTAAAGAAATTAATTTTGAGATAAAGATTATACGCTTAAGTGATAATATACCTTTGGTTGTTGGATAGAACTTATTTCAGTTTAGTAATTTAAGAAAATTAAATTTAACAATATTTTCTGACTCTTTTATTGGCGATACAGGTTTAAAAAATCTTTGCGAATCCTTCGATAAACTAAGTGAATTAAAAGATTTTTTTTTTATGATAGGCGAAAATAGCGAGATAATTAGTAAAGGGTTTAATTATTTAACTAGAAATTTACGATATTTAGTAAACTTAAATCACCTATGTTTAATCTTTTAAAAAAACAATAAATTAACTGATGAAGCTTGTATATTTTTGGGAGAAGCCTTTTCAATGTTTAAGGAGCTAAAATCTTTGAAATTAGAAATTGTTAGAAACTGCTTAAGTTAAGTTGGTAGTTAAGCAATCCATAATAACTTGAAATATTTAATACTTTTAGAAGATTTTAATTATACTGTTGAATAAGATGAAAGTTTAGGAGATAATTCTTTATTTTAATTTACTAATTCCTTATAATTTCAATAAAATTTATAAAATTTATCTCTTAATATTGTTATTAAAGATATTAGTCAAGAGTCATTATACAAATTCAAACAGTCCTTATTAAATTTAACTTTGCTTAAAACTTTTAAATTTTTTATGCAGGATGAAAATGAGCTAAATGAAAACTAAATTAATCATTTAATTTAAGCATTCTCAGCACTAAAAAATATTCTTCTCCTAGAATTACATATTGGGCAAACAAACTTTCTTTTTAATAAAGGTTGTAATTTAATTCAAACTTGGTTTTAAAACCTAAGCAATTTACAATAGCTAGAAATTATAATAGAAGCTGAGAATTTCATTGGAAATGACGGATTAATTGCTTTGTCTTAAGGTATCAAAAGTTTAGATTAACTCCGTGTTCTAGTTATATCGATTGATGACTAATATAATGAAGATTAATATACTGATATATCCCATAAATAAATAGATATTACATCAACTGAAGAAATAGCCCAAGCCATAAGAGAACTAAAATGTATATAAGAGATTCATTTAGATATAAATTCTGTTTGTAGTTTGAATTTATTATCTGTGATTTTGAATAAAAACATTTAATATCCAAACTAAGTTTACCTAAACCACTTTCAAAAACTAAATTTTGTAAAAAATATTGAAGTATAAAATGAATAAAACATTTAAAAGTTATCTCTTATAATTACTCCATATCGAAGCATTAAACATTAAGGATCAAAAGCATTGTCATTAGGATTACAATAAATATAATCTTTGGTATATTTATCTATTGAAATAGGATTTGGTAATAGCATAGGACCAGATGGAGCTGAAGAAATCAGTAATGCCTTAAAACTTCTAATGAATTTAGAAAGCTTAAATTTAAATTTTTCATACACAAAATTAAATAAAAATGGAGCTCTCTGTATCATTGATGCAATAAAAGAATTAAAGCTATTAAAATCACTTACTTTTATAGTTGGAGAACACAATTCAATCTAAAAAGAAAGTATTATTGAGTTAGGAAATTCAATAGAAAGCTTAAAAAATTTACAATTCCTTAGAGTTGTAGTTAATTCTGGAAATAGCATCTTAGAGTATGGTATGAAAGCATTTCTAGAGAGTCTTTCAAATTTAATTAACCTAAATCATCTTCATTTAAATTTATAGACAGATTCTCTATTTTTCAGAAAATATTAGAATTACTGCGATTATTTTCTAAATTTACCAAAACTTTATTCATTGACCTTTAAACTAAAGGATTAAATTCTCTCTGAAATAAACCCAAAACGAAAAATTAAAAAATTAGTTAATTATCAGAGTAAATATCAAATTATTTGAAAACAAGTCCTAATTAATTAATTAGTTAGTAAGTAAATAAGAACTATTTAGCAAAAATTGATACTAATAAAATAATATATGCCATTATTATATAGATAAAGATTTTTTAAGGAGATAATTGCAAAATAAAAATAAAAAATGGCGAAAAATTTTAAATAATAGTGTAAATAAATTTAAAGTGTTTTGGTTATTATGCGAATTTCTTTATTGTCTAAAATATCTATTCATCTATAAAATGTATATTTAATTTATAAAAAATTACCATATTATCAATATTTAGTTAAATTTAAAATAAGTAAAGTCTTTCATAAAAAAGTTAATAACATAATTTACTAAAAAATGTTGTGTTAATAAAAATATTTTCTAAAAATTGTAATAAGGATACCTCTTTAAATTTTTCAAAGCGCTTAATTAGAAAAACTCTAATTAAGTTCCATTCTAGAAAATATAGGATTTTAAGGGGCTTCACTAAGAAAGCGCTTAATTTTTAAATAGGGCTTAACAAGGAATAATTACTCTTTATCAAAATGTAAAAAGAAATAAATTAACTATTCTAAATAAGATAAAAAAAGTTAGATTTCCTTTTAAAAATTATTAATTTTTTATTAAAGAATATAACTTATTTTAATCTTTAAATATTTGTTATAAAATGGAAAAGTAAACTATAAAAAAATAAACACAGAAATTTGAGTAATAATTAAATATTAATCAAAATATAAGAAAATTTAGTTACAGCCATTTGTTTCTAATAAATAAAAGCCAGGTTTAAGTGAGTGAGTGAATTATTTATAAATTTATAACTTTGCTGGGTCATTATTTATTCTTTAAAAATTTATTTATTTGAGATGTAATGTCAATAAATTATTGGATAAAAATCAGTCAAAAGAAGTGCGTTGGTTGGGTATTTGAAAAAAGATTTTCAATAAAAATATCACTGAATAATTGATTGATAATAAGAAAGCTATTTATTTGATCTACGCATAATAGATATAAAAATAGTATTAGAGAATAAATATTAGTTGATTTTGATAGAAACCTAATATAAAAAATTAATGAAAAACAATAAGTAAGTAATTAAAATAAAAGAAAGAGTCAGCGCAACAAAAAATTATTATTCATTCATAGAATTGCTTACTTTTGTTATTATTAATATAAATACATTAATTTTTAATACACCAGTAAAATAAATACATATTTATAATTATTTACCATACTGTTTTCGCTTGCTTAATGATTCGCGAAGTTCCAAACAGATACGAAAAACTGAATTTCTCTTCTGATGACATTCAGAAGTAATTAGAAACATAGTCCTAAGGGTCTCCTGAGTGTTAAGGAGGGATAAGTCAAGGTACGATAAATCCTATTGCTTCTAATTTAATTATAAACTCCAAAGAGTCTGAATCTATGCTTGACTCTCAACAATCTTCCTCCAGTCCTTCTTAAAATGTATCTTTAAGGGCAGATTCTAATAAAACATCTAGAGGATCCTCTGCTTCATAACAAGAAAAGTCAATAGATTAAAATTACGATGATCTTTCGCCTTCAAAGAGACCTGCTTATGCCAATTCAAATAATAAAAATGGCAATGCCAACATCATAAAATAAGTATTTTTCAAGAAGCTGCCAACTAATTCTAATAATTGCTCTTAATATTCTTTGATAAAAGAGAGCTTAACTAATCCATTTACTTAGTTCAAATCAAAGAAATCATATTATGTTGAATCAAATCCTTAAAATATTCGCAAACGTCGCTTATTGAGCTTCCATGGAGAAGAAACAGGCGAATTTCGAGAACTTGTCACCTTTCTAGATAAAGCAAAGTAGGGGGATGAGATGCCGGCCCATAAAATGATCAGAAAGAACAGTTGCTGTTGCCAAAATTGTGGAGCGAAAACAACAAAAGAAGTAAAATTAGATAAGTTGATTCCTAAATTTAAGCCTACTTAAGTGATCAAAATGATGTATAGAAGGGCGTTCTAAAAAACAATAAGCAATGTTAGCAAAATTAATAAATTCTTTCGTTCTAAACTATCTATTCGCACCAATAACAATAACCACTTTTTATTTGGGGAAAAGAAGGCTTCTCCGACAAAATTTATTCGCTAAAGCACATTCAAGATATCTCCAAAATCTACTGAAAAAGTCAAATAGCCTTAGCAAAAAGCTGGATAAAGAGATCTCACTGAAAATCTCTAAAAATTATCAAGTCTTAATATGGTCAGACATAGAGAGGGATAACTTTAATAGCAATCATCAGGTTCTTAAAATGAAAGTCCTTTAAGCATAAATGAACAAAGAAGTAAGAAGATGAACCCTACTTTCTATGCAAGAAATAGCTTGCTTGTCTACAGTAATGGAGATTAGAATACGGCGTTTCTTTCTAAACTTTAGTAAAGCGCATCGCCTTTCAAAAAGAGTAGCTTCTAAAATAATCCTTAATCTAATTCTGAATAGCCTATTTAATAGCAAAGTGCAAATTCAAACAAAAACCCTCAAAGTCCTTTATAAAACATCGAAGTAGATAAACAAGCTCCTCCTTTACTATCCAACACTTCTTCTGGTTTATCTGTATCTTCTTCTTCAGGATTGAACAACATGATAAGTAATATGAGTAACAATAATTTAGCGAATAACAACTCGAATTAAGTAAGTGGATCAAACACTCCATAGTATCCAGTGAAAAAAAAGAATAATTTATATGAAAAGTTAGAGTTATCAAAAAATAAAAATAATGCATAAAATATCATCGTCGAAGACAACATAATAGATTAATTGAGATAAGAAACTAAAATTGGAAATATAAACAACGAATTTGTAAAAAGCGTTGGAAGCAAGTAAATTAATTTTTAATTTGACTCAAATTTTTTTAAATTTTGCCTTAAGTATCAAAAAAAATCTTTTGAAAAGCACTATAATTAATTTTAGATTACTTTTATGAACAGAGATAAAAATAAATATGCCTCCTTTATAACCTAGAATACGTGCTATTTTTAAATTTACTAAAAAAATTTAAATATTCTAATCATAAATTATTAGCTTAATATAAGGAAAATCAGTTGTTATTTTTTTATTGCGTTAAGTGCGAGCTAATAATTCACTACTTAAACTGATAATCTTGCAGTTCATAATTGATATTTATTTTTCAATTAGACTAAATTTACAAATCAATAGGAATTCTTAATTAAAATTTTATTTATTTATTTCTTTGTTCATCCTAATCTAATAAATTAATTTTTTATTAAAATAAAAGCATTATCAGATAATCTCTTAGCAACCTTCCAAAAGATTAGTAAGATTAAGAGAGCGATAGACTAAAATCTAAAAGAACACTTGTTATTTTAGAGGATGTCAGTGAAACAGCTTAAAACTAAGAATAAGAAAAAGTTAATAAGAATCTTTATGGTTAGAGTTTTTATCTTAACATTCCTAAGTTAAGCAACAAGTATATGAATCCTGTACTATTTTAATTAAGATCAGTTAGTCAAAATAATTAAAAAAAAACTGGCAATCAGAATTTGTAGAGCGCTTTTCATCTGAAGACTTTGGCAGATATTCCCACAGATATTTCTATTGACAAACACTAAAAGTTTTTAATAAACTAAAGTACACCTATATTTGATACTAAAAGCACTACTTAGACACCTGATTTAGGGAAATTTAATTAAAATAACAAATCTTCAACTCATTATAATTAAAACACCCTAAAATCTTTTGCGTCTATGTAGAATCTAAAAAAGGTTAATAAAAATTCAATAAGCGGCTAAAATGAATTTTCTACAAAAAAAAATGAAAGTAACCTAAAAAATAATATGGCTGAAGGAAGTAAGAAACTTTAAATGAAAAGATATTAAAAAAGTTCTTCTTAATCATCTTCATAACAGTTTAATTCTGTATATCTTCAAAAATCAATGAGTTCATGCACTTAATTAAGTGCGTCAAAATAAAAGATTCTCTTCCAAAATAGACCTCCTTTTAATCTGAGCTTAAAAAATGATTCAGTCAGGAACAATGAAATTATAACCTTGCCAATAAAATTACAAGATACTTAAAGTAAAACACAAAAGAGTAAATTATTTGATAGAATATTCAACCAGAAAGCTTCTTTGCCTGAAATAAATATTGGGTCAAAAAATTAAAGCCATATTAGAGATATTCAAAGCCAACCTGGAATGTAAAAAGATTAAAATTAATAAAAGAATTCGGAATCAGAATTTAGCTAGGCTCATAATCAAAGTTTTGATAACTTTAGCAAAGGATTTCTCTCACCGATAAAATTGACCAACAAAAAGAAAAATGTTAAATCGAAATCAATATCAAGTTAAAATAAGAATATATTTGATGCAGTTGAGCTATTTCTAAAGAAAGGCAATAACAATGCTTCATACTAACACTAATTGTATATTAATTAGAATAATTGATACATAAATACTGCATAATTAATTAATAGCTTAAGGAGTTAGCCATTTGATTAACTTAGTTATATTAATTTATTTATCAATAGCATCATACTAATTTAAATAATTTTAATGTATATTTCTCATTTAATTTTATAATTTTGTTTAATTTTTATTTCAAAGTCACAAATTAAAATAAAATCTGAATTAATCAATAAACACTAATGTAAAAAAATTTTAATTTTAAATAAAATTACCATAAAATAATTCAATTTTTTATAATATTAATTTTTTAATAGAAAAAGAAAAAAAAATATTTTATAATGAAAAATGAAAGTTATTTACATGTTTAATTAATATAAAAAAGACAAAAAAATATTCACTAAAATATTGTATATTTTGAGAAAAAATGACTGAAAAGCCCTTATCATAAGTACCTTAACATTGATCTAAAAGTAAAATCATTCTTTTTTAATTTTTGAAAAAATTAAATTACAATTTTAGTAATTCCTTTTTAAAATTATTATTTTTAATACCTATATAAAAAACAAATTTAATGGTATGGTTAATAATTTTAATTCAATTAATATTTTGAATATATAAATATAATTTATTAATAAATAATATTACAAAATCACAAAAAAGTACAAAACAGGAATACATTTTTTTTAACTTACTTTTATATCTCTAATTTGATATTTTTTTTCAAATAATATTTAGTTTGTTGTTGTTTACTTAATTTAATTTAATCATAAAATTTTTCTTATACTTTATGATGTTTGGATATTATCTACCGAGTTTTCAGGGCGATTTTTTTTGTTTGTTTATAAAGACTTTGAAGATTGTTAGTAATCTATTTAATTAGAAGAATTTCTATTTTTTTATTATATTTGTTTATTTTCAGTATTATTATTATTCTTCAGTTATTGCTAAAATTATATTTCAGATAGAGGATTAGAAGTGTTTGGTATTTTAATATTACTTTATTTTGTTATTGATTTTTGAGATATAACTGGCTTTGGTGGTAATTAAAAATTTTAATTTGGTTGCTATGTTTTTATACTACCAAAATTATTTGTGTTTTATTTTGTATTAACAATATTATAATTATTTTCTTTTTAATTCTCTTATGGAAGTTAGTTATTATTTATTTTATTTTATATTTCTGATTCTTAAAGTTATTTTTCTAAGTATCTAATATTTGCTAACAGTCTACCTTCTAGATCAACGCTATTATTTCCTTTTAATTTTTAGTAAAATTCATTATTAATTTGTAAAAATAAAATTCATTTTTCTCAAAGTGTTTTAAAAATAATTAATTTAATAAAATTAAAATAAAAGGCCTATTTCATTTGAAATAAATAATGAGTAAGCTTTAATTTTTTTTAAGTTGTTAGAATTTTTAAATTTAAAATTTGAGTTTTTTTATTTAAATTGATTTAAAAGATTAAATTTAAATAATTGTGAAGTTAAATTAATTTTATCATTTTAAATGATTAAAATTTGTTATTATTTAAATTGATTTAATTAAGAAAAAATATTACTTTGCTGAATTTATGTGAGAGAAGTGTTATTTGTAGATTTGGATGCTGTAGATGAATTTCTACTTCTATTTACTATATTGGTTGTAGAAGAGGTGTTATTTTCATATGCAGAATTTACCTTTCCTAAACTACTTTTTTGCTTTAAAAGTTATACTTGATATTTCTGGTCTTTGTAGATAGAATTATAATCAGAGATTATTTTTTCATGAGAATCTGATATCATCTCCTTTGAATTATTTATGTCTCTCATTTTATTGAGAATATCCTCACTTCTAAGACACTAGTTATTAGATATATTATTGATGCTAATGTAGTCTTTACTGTTATTTATACTATTGATTTCAATCATTTATTCACTCTACCTTTTATCTTTTTCAATTGCTTGCTGTTGATAAAATTTCTTCAAGAAAGTATCATCATTATTGCCTAAGTTTGTTTAATTAGCCATAAAGCTGCTGTCTTCTAACTATTAAAAGTACTCACTTACAACATTATAAGTACTTAAATTGTTCTTCCTATTCTTGTTATTGCTTTATATACTAATACTACTTTAATCGTTTAGATTAGCGTTACTTATTGGAGTGATACTGCAGTTTTAAATGATAACTTGATATTGCTATTTTAAGGAAGGGTTTATAGATGGTCTTTATCTTCCTACAGATATCGGATACAGTCTCGATATCTTTCTGTTATTCAAATTTTTCCCTTCTAAGTTTTTGCTGCTTGTTTCTTATAATAAATTTAAGGCTTCACTAATAGTTTTCTGATCTGCTACAGTAATTGGAGTAATAGAATTCATGTTATGAGCTTTCTATATGAAGCTCATGTCATTAATTAAACTGGCATCATCATTTTACAAATCTGAAAACTAAGGAAGTATGTTTGATAAATTTTAAGATCTTTAAGTACTCTTACTTCTCAGTTCTTTGAATTTGTATTGAAGATTTTTATTTAGTTGGTAATATTAATTGTTAATTTGTTATGCTTTTGAGAATGAATGATGCCTTTTATTAAAGTTATAAGTACTCACTTCATTTGAATCATTTTATCTAGATTGAACAAGCTGAGCTCTCTGTATGATTGATCTTTCTCTTAAGCCATTTTAAATTGAGTTTTTTTGCTCAAAAGATTTATTGAGCTATTTAGTGTCAAATGAATTTTCATTTAATCTGTATGAAAAAGATTAATCTTTATTTATCATTGATTAATCATTTATATTTTTTAGAAAAGATTCATCAAAATGATCTTCAGAATTTTCTTCTTCTTCTTCTCCTTCACATTAATTAACACTCTTTCTTCTTTTTAAAGAGCTGTTTTCTATTGGAGTTAAAAACTGTCCATTTATAAGTGAAGTACTGTTGTCGCTTGTTTGGTCGATCGACACTAAATTAAAGCTCTTTGACCTAGCTTTGTGGATATTCACCTATTTCTTTTTAGCAATTTGAGATTATTCTTTAACAGAATAGCCATAGCTCTAATAAAATAAGTTTAACTGCTATTGGGATTCATCTTCTTTTTGTATTTCTTGATATGCTTCAAAACATAAATGACAAACCTTAACTGTTGTGTATTTATCAAAGAGAGCTTTTTCTTACTTTTGTTAGCTTTCATACAAAGGACGCAAACCATTAAAGTTTTCTCTTACTCCTCTCTTAATTCTTATCCTCAAAAGTTTATTTTTCATTACATCTTGAAGCTACATTAATGAGCCTTAACCACAAGAGATACACATTTAATATTTTTAATCAATAGAATTATTTTTATTTTCCTTTTCTTCAAACATAGTATTATCTATCTATTACTTATTTAGCATACTTCTTAACTTTAAGTTAGAATCATTGCTTGTGTTAAGTTATAAATTTTTTAAATTGTTGCTTTAATTAGATACAGTTTTATTGATACCTCCTTGTAGCATTGATCTATTTACAATCTAATTTTATTAAGGTGGCAATAAAGGTTTTGAAGTACATCTAATATGAAGCGGAACTATGAATGGATTTTTAAAAGACATCCTCCATAGCTTTGGAATGTGCTGTTCTCTTTCAAAAGAAATCTCATTGCAGTGCAACAAATAAATGATGTCATTAATTTTCTTAAAAATTAGAGAAATCTATTTGACTTTACCTCTTTCTTTCATGTGAATAGACTCAAGTTAAATACAAATTTACTTTACAATATATTTCAACTAATTAGCTGTATATTCATTTATTTTTTCAACTTCTGTGAATTGTTCAGGGCCTTCATATGAAATGAGACAATTGTAATATTCACGATCCTTGGGTTTATTTGAATTCTCAGTAAGATTTTACCAGAAAAAACAGTTACGTCTCTTCTCAATCTGAATAAAATTGTTATTATAAACTACCTTTATGAAATGATTATGTATTTCATTTTAGTCAGTCCTCAGATATCTCTAAAGGAAAATAGAATCTCTTGGAAGAGCATTTTTATATTCTACTTCACCAAAGAATTTTTTAATTTGGTCTGAGTTAAAATGCTATATTTCAATCTCTCCTTAATCATTCAATCTGCTGAAAGTTGCAAATGGAGTTTCAGGTTGAACAGTAACTGATTAGTAATTATTATTGATAGAATTTTAGTTTAATTAGGTACAATCTATCGAAGAATATTCAATCGATAAATTTAAATTCTGTCCAACCAAGCTCTTAACAATATTATCAACTGAAGAGTTCTATTTTTTTTTCCTAAGAATTTTCCCTTCTTATTTAGAGCGAAAGACCCATATAAAATCGTGATTCTCATCTAAAATAAATGTATCCGGAAAGTATAGCTCTGGTATAACAACTCTGTTTTCTTGTTGTGCCTTCCACAATTCTAAGAAGATATTGAGCATTTTTATAATTCTAAATATAAATATTTCTTTCTTTCTTTCTATCCTATTTTGTATTTAGCGATAGTTTGCTTTTTAGTTTTGAAATGCTTATCTATATTATTATGAGTATTAAGTGCTTGGCTATAATGAAATTTCAAATAATATTTTTTGTTTGTTTATGTTTTCAAACAATTTAATACAAAGATTGTATCATAAAATAAATTAATTCAAATATCTTTAAAATAAATTAACTTTTAAACATTCAAAAAAAGCTGAAATTTGATTTTGATCATTCCATATCTATCTATCTATCTTGCTTGCCTTTTCTTCAACTGATAAATTTATTGTTAAATATTTTAAATTTTTGAATGAAAAATGACCATAAAATATTCAATTTAAAATATTTTGATAAAATTAATTTTGTAAAATTTTTAGTAAATTTATTTAATTGAAATAAAATTAAATTTGAAAATAAAAACAAAAATAATTTCTCAAATAAATTTAAATTATTTGATTGAAAATATTAAAGTTTAATTTATTAAAAATTCATTTTGTATCAAAATAGAATTTAATTTCTTTACAAGAAATAGTGTTTCTCTTAGATTTTAGAAAGACAAATTATATGTTTAGATTTGAAATTAATTAAAATACTTGCGCAAAATTTATTTGGTATTAATAAAATGCAAAGTAGATAAATTAAATATTTGATAGATTGTTCATTAATTTAATCATAATTCTAAAACAATTTTAAATCAATGGGGAGAATATTCTAAAAAATAATAAAAAATTTACAGCAATAAATATTTTAATTTTCACAATTTTCTTTAAATTTTTACTTAAAAATGTTTACTTTTTTTTTTCATTTTGAAGTAAAAATAAAGTTCATATTTATTTTTGGTATTAAAAATGCGTTTCGAGAAAAATCAAATTTTTAAAAATATTTGTCAGAACACTTATTATTAAAACAAGTAAAAAGCAGGATTAATTATTTAGAAATAGAAATGTTAATAGCTTCATCAGAAATCAAATAAGCAGCATAGAAAGAACATAAAATTCTATTTTTAAATTTATAATCGGTTGAAAGGTATTTTTTCTTTTTAAATAATTTAAAATAAATTTCTCATATTAGAAATTAGTTGAACTAGATGAATGCTAACATTTGAATTGACATTTCTTTTTTTTTGTTCAAAAAGCTATTCTGTCGATAAAGCCTGTCAATATTAGGACGGACACTTAAAGCAAATCAATGCAATAATATTAGCGCAAGAATATTAAGTAAATTAATAAATAAATAAATAAAAATGAAATGAATTATGAATCTAAGAGCAAAGAAAAAGAAACAAGAAAGAAAATATTCAATCCATGCATGCATGCTTAATGAAATGGATAAAGAAAAGAAATGTGTAGAATAACTAATAAAATAAATGATTTTTTAATTATCTAAAAAGGATTTTGCTTGTGAGAAATGAATGAAAGGGCTAATGAGGATATGAAATTTGAATAATAAAAAAAAAGTGAGGGAAACAAACAAACAAACAATCAAACAAATAAACAAACAAACAAGCAAAGCAGAGGAAGTAATTATTAGACAAGATTGTATATATTGATTAATTATTTTAAAAGAAAATAAAGAAATCAAATCTTTAGAATTAAGAGGAAGAAAGATAGTTATAAGTGCAAAAGGAAGGCTTATTAAATAAATAAATATTGATTGATTGAATAAGAAAGAAAGTCTGTTATTTTATTATTTGGAGGATGAAGAAGGTAAAGGGAAAGGATGAGGAGAATTTTAAACATCCTAAGAATGATGTTTTGATATTATAATTTGCAAATACCGCCTTGGGAAATCGCTTAGATCATTAGAAGAGGATGATTGCTTAATTGAAACTAAGCGAAAGTAGTTATAGGGCAATTTGTGAATGCTACGAATTCTTTTTCACTTCTTACTTTGCAGGATGGAAGAATTTCCTGGGCAAGTTGGAACGTCTTAATTTGTTAGTTAAGAGATAAGATAACAATGAGAGGTAAACATCCAAATTCAAGTAATTATTCGATAGCATGGGAGAGATGGTTTAAATTGTCAATAAACTAAAGGAATGCATGGAAAAGACTACAAAAGACGCTTTATCTTAGATTCCTAACAGTTAGACTAATAGTAGTACCACAGCAATAGGTGGTAATTCCGCTTCAAATGCAAATAATACAAACGCTGTTAGCAAATAGAGAGCATAGACTAATGCAGCTGCATTGCAAGATTTATAAAAGATAACAAAACAAAGAGTGGAGAACTTTTTAAAGAATTTTGAAAATATCTATGCAGATGTTGCAATTGATTGTGCGACTTACGGTTAGAGGATGAATGATGCTGTGAAAAGTTTAGCTCAAAACAACGATGCAAACGAAACTATGCGTAGACTCTACAGAGAAAATAGCTAGCTGCAAACTAAGATAAAGGAATAGGAATCTTACCTTTCTAAATCAGTACCCTTGGCAGATACAGAAAAGGATTTTATTATGAACTATTTTGGGAATCAAAGCAAGCAATACGAAGAGCTTCTTTAAAAGTACAATGAAGAAAGAGAAATATCAGAGCGACTTTCACTTAGAATTCGTCAAAAAATGGACTACTGTGTCACATCAATTACAGCCAAAGTAGGACAAGATCCGAATCAGATTTTACAAAAAATAATTTAAAATAATGCAAATTCTGTTCTAGGTATTAATACGAATAATGCTGCTTCTATGAGTGGCAAAGAGAATCAAAATTAACCTAATTTGCTGTCAAGTCAGTCAAGCTAGAATCTCATTGTTTAATAACAGCAGAATTAAATGGAAATTGAGGATCAGACTTCAAACGCTAATAATAATAATTCTTAGCAGGAAAATAGATAAGAAGAGAAGGAAGGATATGAATGTATTTGTGGAGGCTATTAAACTGAATACTTTAGTTAAAAATATGAAGAAACCTTAAAGTAATTATTGGATACTCAATAAAAGCTAATAGCAACTTAAACAATAATCAATACATCTCCTTCATCTGTCATATCAACAGCTTTTACCTAGCCAGTTGTTGTTCAAAACAGTTAAAATGGGAACAGCATGAGCACAAGCACAGTTAATGGGCTATAAACTACTTAGAGTTTGTAATAGCAGCAGCAATAATAATAAGAGCAGTCAACTGGAAATTAAAATGGGTAATCAAATCAATAAACCAATGCAAGTGTGGATGCTGTAGCTAACAGTGATGGGAATAAGAATAATTGCTAAAACTTAGAATTAAATGGATCTGCAAGTGTTGGAAGCAGCATACCTTGTTTGAAGAAATCGGAATCAATACAAATATAACAATAGCTGCTTTCTCAACCTGCCTTGCTTACTTAAGTCAGCACTAATATCTAAGATGAGTTGTGTGATGGCAAGTTGAGATTACCTATAACAGAGAAGCTGTAAATCTTATAGAAGCGTAATGAACAGCTAGTTTAAGAGAAATCTGAATTAGAAAAGTATATGAGAGAAAGAGAAATCGACTTAAAAAACATGGAAGATAAGTTCTTTAGATCAGGTGCTTACTAGTCACTTGCAACTCAGACAGAGGAGTTACTAAAGATTACAATTTAAATGAGAAGCTAACTGAAAGAAGCAAAATAATAGATAAGTGACATCGAAAAACAACGTTTCAGAGAAATGTAGGAAGTGCTTACAAAATTCAAGGATGAAAAGGAGACACTTTTGAAATAACTACACGAAGCTAGAGAGGGTGTTTACAAAACTTAGTTAGGAGATGCTATGAGAGAGAATCTAACTTAGCACTTTAACTATAAAAAGTACACCTAGCCTTTGGAAGATTAATTAGAGAAGGCAAGTGAAATTCTTACAATTGAAAGAGAACACAATAGAGATTTAGAGTAAAAAAAATAACAGCTAAATGAATAAATAATTCAATTATAAAAGCAGAATAGCGATTTGCAAGCAAAGCTAAATGAAAAAGAACAACAAATAAATTACCTGCAAAGCCAAATGGGCTTCACTGGCGAGAGCTATGTTGAAGATAAAATTTTTAAATATTAGAACCATAAAGATACTTTAAAGCTTTTGGAAAAAGTAATGAACGATATGTGCAGTGCTGGTTAAATCAATTAAGAATAAATTAAAAAATTCAGAGACCTTATCGAATATATAAGAAACAGAGAAGAGAAAATTGTTTAACTGCAAAAGGTAAAGTAACAAAATGATATAGAAAAGAAAAAGTTATAATAAAATTAAGATGAAATATGGAAAGAATATGAAAATCTAGATAAGTCTTTTAGCTAGATGAAAGCAAGATGTGATCAAGTTAACCAAGAATTAAAGTTAATTTAGGAAAGAGAACAAGGACTGGAATATAAAAATCTCGAAATCTAAATGCAGTTCTAAAAGGAAAAGCAGTCTTACTCAATCTTGGTGGCAGCTGATCAGCAAAAAAAGGATAATACTAAAAACTTAATCGATAATCTTGAAGATTAAAACAAATAATTATTGTAATAAAACAGTAATCTATCATCAACTATTGAAGAAGTCAACTAGCAAAAGCAGCTTATCCAATAACAACTCGAAGAAAATACAGTGCTGTTGCTCGATACATAATAAAAGTTTGATCTTCTAAATAAAAAGTTTGGTGATATTAACGAAAAATATAACGAACTTATAGCAAACCATGAAAAAATCCAATAAAAATTGCAAACTGCTTACGAAGTCTTAGACAACAGCGAGTCTAAAAACACTTCTGCAGAAGTAGCACAACTAAAAGAAAAAATATAAAATATGCGTCTATTGCTCTAATGCAGTTGCGGATAAAACTTCAAAGACACTATCTTATAAAAATGCTTGCATCCCTTTTGCAGAGAGTGCATTGATAAATAAATACGTCTTCGTTAGAGAACTTGCCCAAAGTGCCGTACAGCCTTTGGTCAAAACGACGTTAAAACGTTATATCTAAGTCATTGAGAGTAACTATTTCTTTTACATTTTGTATATATATAAGTAAGTAAATAAGTAAATAAGTAAGTAAGTAAGTTAGTAAATAATTAATTAAATCTCCAAAAGCAGTCTGTCTTCTGTCTAACTAGATTTTCGTGTAATATTCAAACTTAGATTCTAATTAAATTAAATTAAATTCAATTAATTGATTATATTTAAACACTCAATCAATCTATCTGTAAATGGTTTCAATCAAAATAAACTAGCTTTCAAATTAAGTTTTATTTTATTTATTAATTTGATCAATAATTAATTAATTAATTAGTTAAAGAATTCAAATATTCAAAAAAAAAGTGAGAATGATTGATCACTCAAATAATAATAAAAAATTCATTTATTTATATATTAATTGCATACTTGCAGTATAAAAGCATTTCAATTAATAAAATACATCATTCATCCATCCATCTTTCTTTCTATGAATTATATACATTAAATATTAATTTTAAGTTAAAAAAAAGTAATCAATTAATCAATCTATTTAAAACAAACATAAAAAAAATATCACAATATTTTATTATAAGAACTCAGCTGGAGCTAAAGATAAATAATAACGAAGGCAAATAAGTATAATTAACATCAACGAGCTTAATAATAATCACATTAAAATAAAGAGCCTAAGCATCAAACAATAAATTGAGCTTTCAATTCAACTATTTACTATTTCAAATTAATTAAACAAAAATATCACTATAAATTAGTTTATTTATTTTTTATTGTGTTAACATAATGAATATGAAAGAATCTCTTAGCTCAGTCAAACGAACTTATAAAAAACAATATTAAAAATGAATATGTTTACTTTAGAATTTGTATTTCTATATTTGCTTTAATTGTGGAGTGTTAAAACTAACAAATTTCAAAAAAATTACACTATTTAGTTATTTTTAATTCATACATTAAAATTAATTCTTACATTTGTTTGTTGAATATTTTGTATTTATTTTTGGAAATAACAAAAATAAAAATCTCTAAAAAAATTATTATTTATTTAATATTAACCAAGATAAATTAATAATTTCCATTAAATTTATTCGTGTTTAAAATGGAGCTTCGTTTATTTGCTAAAATATTAATTGTTTCACTACTTAAATATATTTATATTTCTTTCATATTGAACATAAATTTAAATCATTTGATTAAAAATTAAATTTTTGATCATTCAAAAATAATTTGATTATCTATTATTATATTAATTTATCTACTAAGTTCATAATATACACCAATATACCTAACTTACTCATAAAGATTTTTGAGAAAACGATTTCTTTATAAATTTTTTAGAAAATCCAAATTTGTAAATTTTTAAACAATAATGAATGACATATGTTTGAGAGGATAGATAGATATATATAGATAACAAATTTTATGTTAAAATCAAAATTGATATTATATGTTTAAGAATTTATGGTTCAAGCCACATAATGATATAAAGAGTGATTTTCAGGATCTCTTTTCATATATTCTCTATCTATTAATCCTTCTATTCTTTTCTTTACTTCGCTAGCCTTTTTAAAATTGAAATATTGTTAGTTAATAAATAATTAGTTATTTTTAATTATTAAATTTATGAATTTACATTAATAGGAAGCATAAGATCATTAAACAATTCTTTCATAAGTTCTTAGTGATAAATATTTTTCTTACTCTTGAGAATCTTAACTATGCTGGCATCTAAGACGAAGCCTCTCTCAGTAAGAACTCTGTCTGTTGTTTCTTTAACATCTTCTTTCTAAATTATAATAATAAGTTAATTTTAATTAATTTATTTATTTAACCAATTTTTTTACAGTTTCTTTTTTGAAGATTGAGTTAACTTTAATGAGCTTTTTCTTGCTTTAGTAGGCTTCATTGACCTCAAATACATCAGTTTCGTCCACTCTCTTAGCCTAAATTTTAGATATTTTCAATATTAATTAATATTTAATTCGATTAAAATAATCAAATTTTTAGAAAATAAATAAATCATGATTTTAAAGCAGAAACAAAATATTTCACCTCTCCTGACTTGTTTAGCAATTTTTAAGTATCTTTCATCGCATAAAGAGAGACCAAATTTTTCTTTAATTCTTCCTCGTCAATTTAAACTAGATTATGTATTTCTGTGTAAGAAAGTTTATTTTTTAAGTTGAAGCAGAGAAGAATTAATCCTTAAATGAGTTAAACTTAGAATATGTACTACGAAATAAAATATTTTTATTACAATAATTAAAAAAGATTAAACTAATTTTACTTTTTCCTTATTGTAATTTCCCTAAATATCGCAAGTACTAGTTTCGTGTTACCAGTTTATACATACACCCTTATGTTTAAGTTCATAAAACTTCTTGAATTCTTTTTAAAACTTATCAAACTATTTATTTATTTATTAATTAATAATATTTAATTGATTATTATGAAATATAAAAAATTTTTTACAGGTTCAAACAGAATTGGAAGTTATTAATTCTTCATGGGCCATGCAGAAGATGAAACTACAATGCAAGAAAATATGTTCTTTTTATTGTAATCTAATCCTTAGCTGCTTAAATAATCATTAAAATCTTTGTTTAGCTATTTAGACTCGTTTACATCCTTCAATATTTCATCTGCTTTCATCGTGTATTAATCACCACATTCTAATAAATAAATAAATTAACAATTTTCTAGTATATTTAATGCAATTTATATTCTTACCTGATCTTAAACGATCTAAAACCTTTCTTTCTAATTCGTAAGAATAAGCTAAGTTCATCAGCAATCTACGAGCAAGTCTTTTATTGTAAAAAGCTTCGAAAATATCTTTTGCAGGAAGATATCTAAATAATTCTAAGGCATCATCTACATCTTTTTCAATTTAATCGTGATCTTGCATGGTCTAATTTAAATTATAAATTTATTTTTTTCATTCATAAATATCAATTTTATTTAAAAAATGTTTAAATTATTTAGAAATTAATATAAAAAATCAAAACAAGTTTTCAAAACGAAAAAATAAATATTGAATTACCCTTTGTAAATTTTTATAATTTTTTCAAACCTTAAATTAAAAAAAAAATTCAATTTATTTGTATTGAAATTCATACCTTATTTTATTTTTTGAGTTTAGTATCGATATGCTTGGATGTTAATTCAGCTATTGTATTGACTTTAATAGAAAGAACATGCTCTAAAGCATAATTCTTGGCTTATTTAAGCAAGTTAGTGTTTTCAAAGCATTTTTATATGATTATATCTAGATCATGGAAGAAGTCGAGAAGATGCTGAGTAATGTCATCTTAATTTTCTTCATTAACTATTTCTTCACCTTTCCTCCTGATGTACTAATTCCAATTTTTCTTGAGGAAATCTAATTTATCTATGTTTCTCATATTATGGAAAAGTCTCTACAGGTTTTGGTAGTCTCTTTAATTTAAAAGATCATCAAATCCATTTGAAAATATTGTTTCTAAATTTTCTGCTATCAAGTGCTTTTGGATTAAATCAATAAGAATTTTTCCAGTAGCTTTTGATAGATATGCTTCAATTAAGCCAGTTTCTTGTTAGAGTCTGTGTTCTATTTCTTGTAAGTAGACTCTTAAGTCAAAGTTAGCACGATGCTTCTACTGTAAATCTAAATAATATTTATTTGATTGCTCAAAAAAGTGAGACTTAAATTAATTTTCATAGGAGCCTATTTTAATAATCATTCCCATTAAGTGTTTAAGTTATTCGTGATTGTAAGGATTTTAGTCTCTAATATTTCTGAATGTGTCAAGAAGAGAAGTTATTATTGCGTCTAATAATGAATTAAATTCCTAATTAAATTAATCAGACAGTATTTTAAGAATGAAATTATCAAAGCTTGGAGTTTTTGTTTTGTATAAATATGAGCCTTCAAATTGCTTAAAGATTTCGCTCAAAATAATTAGACATCTGTTAATCTTTATCCATTCCTTTTCTATCTTATTAATAAAATCTTCAGGCTATCTAATTTATTAACAAAATTCATTCAATTTAATATTTACAAATTCAATCAAAAGGATATTTATTTTTTTATTATTCAAATTTTTAAGCGTTTTTAATGCTAAAATTCTCATTTATTTTATACAAAAATGAATGTATTTCAGCTTCATAATAAAATACAATTTTTAAATTACAAAGCTATATCATTAAGGATGACATTAAATTTTAGGCGGTAAAATTCTTCTAGTTTCTTATAAAGCAACTCATCAAATTCATTGTCGCAAATGCTAGAAATCATCTAATAAATAAAAAATATATTTTAATTATTTTTAGATGCAATTTTAAAACACAATCAAGTTTGCTGGATTCATTTCTTTTTTTCCTTAAAAATTTTATTTGTTTGGTCTTTTATTGGCTGCAAATGTGCGTTTAGAAATAATAATTACATCATAAAAGTGTTAAAAGCAATAACAATTAATGTCCTCTGATTCATAAATACTTTTCAAAAACTATTCAATTTCAAGCCAGTTTTTCTCAAAATAATTTTAGTTTGGTTTCTCTATTTCTAATAAAATAATATTTTATAATTTAAATTCCTTATTCATAAATTTAACATAAAAAAACGAGCATTTATTTTATTGCTACTAAGCATACATACATACTTGAAGCAAAAAATAAAATAGAATACTAATCAAATGAATAAAGGGTTAGGCTTTTTAAACTTGAAAAAATAATTAATCACCTGCTTCTATATCAAAAGAAAAAGAGTTAGGGATAGAAACCTGAGAGGTAAGTGGATATTCTATCTGCATTTTTTAAACTTTTAAACTATTTCTATTTGTGCCTACTTAAATATCTTAGTAAATTTTTGATTTCTTAGGTACTAAAAATTAATTAAAACTAAGAATATATCAAATCTATTAAAAAATTAATCAAAATATCATTCATTCTTTATCCTATTTTACTTTTAAATCAGAGAATAGGTTTTTCTAAGAAACATATTCAAATTTTAAAGAATAAAAACAGAATAGTTTTTTAATGCCAGAATAAGATTTTATTTTCCATATTAGCACTAATTTCTTTTCTTATTAAATTTTTGCGCAATTTACTGTCTTTATCAGGCATATTTGTTTTCTAGAAATCTTCTTTACATTTATTTTTGATTAAAGTTGCCAAAAAAGTAATAAGTAAAAAATACAAATCTCATTTTCCAAAATTAATTAGTAATAATTAATAAATATTTCATCTTTCTAATCAACAAAAAACAAATAATTTATCTAAAACTTTCTAAAAATTTGAGAGAATAAAATAAATTATTTATAAAATGTTAATAATAAATATCAAACAAAAAATATAATTTCTGAATGAAGATTGTTTTGATATTTATTAGTGATTTGAGTTTTTCTACTTTAAAAAATATATCTTATGTTGAACTTTAGACTTGCTTATTAAAAATAATTTTCTTCATTGAGCTTATTGTCAGCATACAAGAACATAAATTTATTGATAAAAAAACAAAGGAAATAAAATATATTTTAATAATCTCAAAAAATTTAATTTCACTTTTTTCTAATATCATTAAAAATAATCCCATTTATTTTTTAAATAAAAATATTTCAAAAATAATTTTAATGAACATTTTTAATTTATTTTGTAATTGAATTTTTAAAAATTGAATGATTTTCAGTTAAAAGTTAGAAAATTTAAATGAATAATGATTTTAATAGATTAAAATAGCAATTAATTAGTAATCAATTATAGTAAAGAAGTGAGGATATGTAGGTAGGTATATAGATAGATAGAAATGTGCTATTATGAAGATAGATATTATTAAAATTTTAAAAATGATTTGAATTTTAGACAAATAAAGTTTGCATTTATTATTTTTTTGATAATTAAAGTTTATCAGAAAAGAAGTAGAAGTAAACTTATTAAGCATATTTTAAGCAAGCTTGATGAGCTTGTGCTATTATTATTGGAGTTAGATGTAGCCTTTGTTAAGGGGTTTACAACCTAGATAGTATATTATTGATTTATTGTTTGGTTAGGAGTTGGAGAGGCTTATGATTTTGCATCTAAAAATCTGTTTAATCCTTGTATTTTCATGTTGACTTGAATAACTTGAGATATTGATGGATAAACTAATTACAATTCGAATTGCATGCCTCCTTTTATTGGTGTAGATTTAACTAAACTACTCATGTCATAAACAGAGTTATGATCAGTTTTGATGAAGAGAGACTAGAAAATCAATTCTTTAGTGTATGTAGGATCAATGAAGTTAATTTGACCATAAAGAGTGTCACCAACAACATAATTTAGAGAAGTCAATGGAGTTGTATAAGTATTATCTGTGTAAAGTTTACCAGAAACGTCCAAATCAGCTACTATGATGCAGCTTCCAGGAGCACAGTCTTAAGTTCTTTGCATATCAACATTAACATTAAATGCCATAACTTCGTCTCTATGAGTATAAACATACAAAACATACTCATGTAATCTGATAACCTTTCTGTCATGGCCGATGTTAATGCCGACATGAATTTCGTTATTGATGGTACCTTTAACATTATCTACTGTGTTAGAAATGGAGTACTTATTAACATCACTTAACAAAATTTTTAATCCAATTTTAGTTGCATCAACTCCATTTAAAACTACACTGTCTGGGAAAGGAACATAAGGATTACCAGCTTAAGTAGGGTCTTTGTATAGCAATGAAGATCTAAAATCATAAAGACAACCACCAGCTTCAATCATTCCATTGTAGTCCAAATCGACATCACTTTCGACGTAGTTAACTCCATTATCAATTTAGCCATGACAATCTGTATTGACAACTATTTGAATGATTTAGAAAACCAATTGCTCTTCGCACCAATCAAAGTCATCAGCTATTGGGTTAGGAGAACAGGTCCAATTAACATTGTCAGAAACATAGTATCCGTCTAAGCAGGGACAATACCTGTAATCATAATACCATATTTAAGAAGGATCGCCATAAGGACTGCTGCATCCATTGCAATTGTATGTGTTTTCATCACAGGTACAACTCTTATGGCATAAATGTTCTGAAGTAGTCAGAGATAGGAAAGCCAAAAATAATGCCAAAAATTTAACACTGAATAGCATTTTGAAGTTTGTTTTTGAATAAAATGTTAGTTATTTAATCAATGTTTTGTTTAGTTTATTTATTTATTTAAATTTATAATTTGAAATGGATTAATTTAGTTAGTTAATAATAAATTATGAATATTAATGAAATAGTTTTCAATCATTTAAACCTTTCATATCAAATTTTGAAATCTAAACACTTATTTTTTCACAAGTATTATTTGACTAATCATTAGTAATAAAACAGTCGCAGCAATATAATTAAATTTGCGTTTTTTCAGTCTGAATTTAATCAGAATTTATAGTTTCTGCAAATAGGGAGTCTTATTCTAAATTAAAATCGAACGTAAATAAAATACCAAACCAATTTTACTGTCTTTTTATTTATTTTTGAAGATCCTAAAAACTTGTAAAAAATTTTAAGTTTTATGTCATAGAATTAAGTTAATATGATAAATAAATTAAGAGATGTAAAATAAATTTATTTTAACTGATATTTGAAATGCCTTTTGCTCAGCGAAATTTAACAATTAAATGGTTTTAAGTTTAATTTATATGAATACCAATTTTCTATTTTGAAGAATTTCACTTATTTAAACAAAATAAAATATAAATTTGTTTATAAAAAAATGGAACAAAATAATCTTTATTGAATTAAATTTTCTAATGCTTTTAAAATTTTAAAGCGCAACTAACTAAAATAACTTATAATTTTTCCTTGCTTGAAAGATTTTTCATACCCTTTTAAATAGTTGTTTGTTTTTAATCTAGAAATTTTATTAATTTAATCGATCACCTAATGAAATCTAATTTTAAATAATACTTACCGTTTTTTTAAATTAATTTCAAAAAATAGATAAAAAGCTAAATAGATTCTTTTTTCTTAATTATCAAATATAATAATAATTATTTATTTATTTTCTATCTATTTTACAAGGATACTGAAAATTATAATTAATTTTTATCATAAACAACTAAAATCTAACAATAAACAACTCTATCATTTATTATTTAAAACTTTTATCATTATTCTAATTTTAGAAGATTTTATTCCTCAATTTTATGAGTTGTAAGTAAGTAGCGGGTTACCTTAACATTAAAATCATAAAAAATACTAAAACTTTCAACTAACTTTAGTTAAATTTATTCCATTAACTAAATATATCTAGTATAAATAATAGATCCTTCGTTTATATCATCTCTAAATATTATAAATGTAGATGTAATAAATAAGTAATATTTGTTTATTTATAATTTTTCTGTTTAATTATTAAATTCGACCAGCCTAATTAATAACTGTCAAATTTAAATATATGAATCACACACAAAAAAACAATATTTTAAATATTTTTAGCCTTAATTAAAAAAAATTAATTTATGAGCAAAAAATAAATTTGATTTTGTTTAAAAACTGGTTTTTTATATTAAATTAATTCTAATTAGAATTCTTTTAATAAAAAACTTCAAAATTAAAAAAAATATAATGAGAAGATGAAATATTAAATTTTTAAAATATAAATAATGAAATGAAAATAAGCAACATTATAATGTAAAATAGAATGTTTAAAGATAAAGTAATCCTATAATTTAATTTGTTTTGGTTATTTTAATTATATTAAAACATTTCTACTATGAAGTAAGAAATAATTTCCTTTAAAAAATTTCATTATTTTGTTTGTTTTTATTATCATTAGATAAATATTTAATATGAAATTTTTTTTACTGTAAATTGTTTTTTGTTAAGGAATTCATCTAAAATATTTAATTTAGATAAGAAAATCTTTTAAACTTGCTTAACTCTTCTGTCTTACTAAAATAATCATTTAACTTATTTCTAGTTCTAGTTTTCATGTGAAATATTATTATTTTTTGCACAAAGACTATTTTTTTTATCTGCATCTTTTAAAATGAAATTAAAATTCGTGCCAGCATAGTTAAGATCGTTCCGCCTTTTTATGTTTTGCTATTCTAGCTTATATACTAACTACTTTGTAATTATTGCATTTATATCCTTTTCTCTCTTAAATTTATCTAATTTTGATTTGTGCTATTCGTCCAATTTTTTAATATGATTACTAAAAAAGTCATTTATCTCCTTAGCTCTTTAAGAATTTGGGAATTGCTTGTCAATTTAAAATTTCTTTTAAATAATTAATGATAAATTTTCTTATTTTTGCTTTTTATTCTGCTTTTCTGATGAGTTTTCTAATTCATCGAATATAGAATTCACCTGCTTTTTTTCTGGCCTCTTTACTAAATCAAACGCCTCCTTATAGGCTTTCCTGTATCTTTTTATGTAAAAGTCTTAGTTAATTTCAATTTTAATTCTTTCATTTTGCTTTTTTTACTCACTTTGTTGAAGCCTCTCTACTTCATTTTCGATTATTTCGCTAAATAGAGGTTAGAGCACATATTTTTTAGGATAAATAAATACATTTTTATCTCTAATTAAAAATTTTTTTTGGCTTATGTTTTCTTGTTAAGAATTATTTGTTTGAAGTAATTATTAATCTTTATCATCTTCTTAAATAGAAATAAAGCTATTTTATAGGAAAGAAGTTTAGTTGTTGATTTGACTGTTTTATTAGTCAAATACAAACACTTTTTCTTAATCTACATTAAAGTCCTCTTTTTAGTTATTTTAAATATGCTCTTTTGACTAAAAACTTATGCTCTTTGGATTTTGCTCATTTTCATTTGTTGAACTCGAAATTAATTTCGACTTAAAACTTTCTCTACTCTCATTAAACTAATTTTCTATTTGTTTATTTTATTATTAACTTTCTTCTCTAGTTTAATTTTTCTAAACATCACTTTTTATTTTTAAATTCTCGCAGTTCCCAGCAAACTTTTACTTTTAAATTATTGGATTGATTTATTCACTCTAACTTGCAAAATCTTTTGATTAGTCGAGTGCTTATTTTTTAAGACTTAACTTAGTATTTAAAGCTTAGTTTGTAAAAGAAATGTTTTTTTTTATTAGATCACCTGTTGTATTATTATCATTATTTGAGTAATTAATAAGTTAGCTTAATTATGGATAATGCGAAGAAAAAAACACTCTTTCTACGCCTTTTGTGGCTGACTAAATAGGTGACAAAAATTAAAATTCTTTTTATTCAGAAAGGCTTTAATTGGGAAGTGTTATTGAAAGACCCTGCTACTGCTAATTATCTTTTTAAACATTTTTATTGTAATAATTATTATTGCATATTTTCTCTAAGGTATTAGTCATTAAGCTTATTTATCTCTACCTATTTTCTTCTTTTTACAATATGGAAGAAAACGTATAATACAAATTGTCTATTTCCTCTCTCATTTGACTTTATTTCTGTGCTGTTTTTGATTTGTTAATTCCTTGTTTTTATTATTTTAAGTTTAAATCAGTTACATTCTTTTTTTAAATTTAACTCTCTTGTTACATATATGAGCCAAACATATCTGAAAAATCTTATTAAGACAGGTTATTTTAATGGTTCTAACGATATTATTAAAGAGAATTATTATTTTTAAGGCCTTTTTTACCTTAGATATAAGTGCTTACACTCTCTTAATTTTAAAGATCTTAAGATTAAGTCAGATTTATTTTATCTATTGAATTTCGTTGCTTGATCTTGTTAATCTGATATTGATTTAATTGCGAAGGCACACTAAAACACTCTGAATTATTCTTCTACCTTATCTCGTTTGATTAGAAATTCTTCGTTTAGCTAAATAGCTAATTTTTATCAGTAGAGGGGAAAGTGCTGCTACTTGAATCTATTATGTCTTATTTTTTACTATAGAACTAATTACTAAAACTATGAGACATATTAAGTTTTTATGACAACTCTAACTTTTTTGAATTCGGTGTTGATGAGTCTTCCTAAACTAATTACTAATTGCTAACACTATTTGTGAAGAATTATATACTTTTTCCACCTTTAATACTGCTTGGAGCTTAATCTATTTCATTTTGTTATGTAAATATTTTATTTGGTTTCAAAATCAAATTGAGGTGATTCTTCAGTTTTAGTTGTCTTCTTTCTTATTTAAGCTAGCTTTCAAGATATTTTTTTGCCTGAGATTACTTCTGATTTAGATAAATTAAGCTTAAATAAAGTTCCATTTCTATTTTTAACAAGATGCATGAAGCAGATTGACATTTTACAGTGTATTATCGAGAAATGTTGTCATCTAGTTCTTGCTCTTAGTTTTAATTATTTTTACTTCCATCTTTTTATGAGCTCACTAGAAAATAGTTATTTTTATGCTTATTGTTTTCATTTTCATGCTACTTTGAATTAATCTTTAATTCATCAAAAAAATAATTTTGAGATTTTTGCTTTTTATTTTCTTTAACATAAGGCGAAATAGTACCACTATTGCTATTTTCTTAATGCATTAATGGATGTTAGAAAATAACTTCTTCACCAAAATATCCTCCTTTACTTAACAAAGCCAGTTTTAGTCCACAGTTTACATTTCGATTTATAGCTTAGCTTATGAAATTTCCTTTCCCTTTATCTTAAAATTTATTTGATAGCGATGCAATCATAAACTTCTTCACTTAATCTTCAACTTTGATCTAAGTATATTGAATACCCCTCTACTAAAATTGTTTGCATTTAAAATCAAGCTGCTCCTTTAGTTTAGTTATATAATCTTAGCCTTCAGTATCACCCTGGTTCCAAAATTATCTATTTTTACTCACAGGTCCTCCCTTCTCATACAAAGTTTAGTTGAATAAGTTGCTTTTGATAAATTTGTCTGGGTCAAAGCTATCCATTTCATTCTCATTATGATCATGTTGAGCTGCTATATTTGTTTCTATGTCTTCAACTTTTATTTCTTAATCTGATTGTTTAGGGAGCGTAGCACTTAATTCTATATCACCTTACTTAATATAGTATACCTCACTTGAGTTCTCTCCTTCTTTAAATATTATTTTCTATTTAGGAAATATTATCTCCTTTGAATATTTAAGGCAATACTCTACATACTAAGGGTCCAAAAATCTTTTAAATTTCATTAAATTATAAAAATTTATTAAAATTTGATGGTTAATGATAGTAAAATTTTGATTTGGAATTAAAATTAAAAATAAAGGTATATTTTTGAATAAACAAGTTTTAATATTTTACTTAAATAGGCTACATTTAAGCATTTCCTTTACCTGTAAAGCGATTTCTGACTAATTATTGTATAAAATTGTTTGTAAAAAACAAGAATTTAAATGAAAATAAAATTAAATATATATTAAACACATATTTTAAAGCAAAGGCTTTTTAAAAATTCTACTTAATTATTAATTTATTTATAACCAAACAAATTTCTATCTATTTATTTTATGTTTTTAAAGATAATATCATTTATTTATTTACTGTTTCTCCCAGATAGATGTTGAAAACTTCTTAAGGGATTACAGCACACTCTACTCTAGTTTTAGCAACAGCGCTAAAAGAATTTTTAGAGAGATATCTCACGTCTGTGTCTCCAAAAAAATCATATTAAGAGATAGACTCTAGCTATTTAAATTAATTGAAGCTATGGGAAAATGACTTTTCTAAAAGAAGTTCGCTATCTAAAAATGACTTTAATTTCATTTATTGTTAAAGGTTAAATTATTCTGAACCTCCACTTTTATTTTGGTTGCTAATGTTTTTAAATTTATCTTTTTTTATCTTTTGACTAAGAATGCAGACATCACCAGATAAAACTATATAAACCTTTTTAGCTCTGTCTTTTTCAGTATAGATTTCTTAGCCAGCAATATAAGACTCATAACTCATGCTTTCTACAATTTGCTTAAGAGCAGAAGGTGATTTTTCAAACTCTTTTTCATAAAATTTAAAGAAATTACTTTACTTAATTACAATAGCTACCAAACTGACCTCTTCTTTAGTTCTAAAAGCTCGCTCTTTAGAGAGAATCTATGTGACTTGTTAAATTAGGTTAACAAATTAGAATGCTTAGTCTTTTGACCTTTTCATTCCTCTTTGGCATTGTTAATTCTTGGCCATTACATGTTAGTTTTATCTGACTAAAGGAAAGCTTCTTCTTACATCCATGTTTATTTGTTCTACTTTTAATTGGTTGTTTATTATTAATTAATTTCTTACTTAATGTATTAATAACTTTGATTTTTATGATATTGATTAGCTAGTTTAATTAATTAATTAATTAATTAATTAATTTATTGATTGATTCCCAAACACTAAAATACAAATTTTATAAAAATAGTGTTAGATTTAATTTATTTTAATCAATAAAACCAGTGTGTTTTAATTATTTTTTGTTTAATATTTCTGATTATATACTTTGTGATAGATGTCATATCCTTATTTTTTTATCAAAAACTGATTTTATTATAAATTTAATTTATTTAAATTAACTAGTACTATTTTATTAATTATCACAATAGAATTTTTCATTCATTAAGATTGAGAGAGAAAAAATTTATATCAAAATTTAAATTTTATGGTAAAGAATAAAAGAATGAAGCTTTATTTTTTTAAATTATTTTGATGATTTTTTTTATTTAAATTTGGAGATAAATTATTTTAAAAAATAAAAAAATCAAAAATAGTAAAATATTTTTAAATGATTTTAAATTTATTTAAATAATAAAAACTCTTTACTTATTAAATTTGCTCAAAAATTTTATTTAATTAGTTAATTATTAATTTATATTTCTTTATTATGTTCATCAAACAATTTAAAATCTTATTAAAAAAATAATATATATTGTATATCTAAAATTCTAAAAATTAGACTTAAATAAAATTGTATTGATACAATAAATTAGAAAAAAAAATTTAATTTATGAATTATTGTTTATAATGAGCTTTTTTAATTTAGTTAATTATTAAAATATCTTTTTCTTTAGATAAATAAATAAAATATCTTTTTACATTATAGATTATTAACAAAATTACAATCTCGAACAAAAACAAATAATGTAAACAAATTTTTTGATTATAATAAACTAATTCTATCTTTAACAAATTAAATTTTTATAAATAAATTTAATTCAAATATTTTATAATGTCTTTTTCTTGTTAATAAACATGTTACATTAATTTATAAATAAATAATTAATAATCAAATTATGATTGTAAGAAAAAAAAATAGCTTTTTTGTAAATTATTAAATATAAATGTAATTTGGTGTTATTATTTTCAATTATTTTGAATTTATTACTCAATAAATAATTAAGACTTTTTTGGAGAACATATCTAATAGAGAAAATAATATCTATTATAATCATATATCATTATTTGATATTTCTTGCTTGAAAAAATATTTACTTTTAAGTGTTTGCTTTGTTCATAGATTTTAAAATATTTGAATCATTTTTTTATTAACTATGAAAATTTTAAATTTATAGAAGCGCTAAGCGAAACTTTGAAGAAAATATTATGTTAAAGAAATAAAACTAGTCTAGTTTAAGATTTTCTAACAAAAAGATTGAGATACACTTTTATACAAATAATGATGCTTCTTTTAATATTCTATATTTTATGTATTTTTTTGGAATTATAAACCTTAAAATATCAATCAATATATTTTATATATGATAAGATTTTTTTACCACATGATCTTTAATGCCAATATAAAATTTTTAAAAATTAATACAATTTGACCTTAATTAAAGAAAATCTACTCTATATAAAATTTAAAAAATATTACTTCAATTAGATAAAGAACAAAATAAATTTTAGAGATAAATTAGTCATAATATTTTTTAAGAAAATTTTTTTAATGCAAAATATAATAATAATTTTGAAGGATTTTTATATTAAAATAATAAAAATTGTAAGTGATTATTAATTTTTTAGATTGCAAAAGCAATAAAATCACTTGAAAGTGTCTAAATAATAATAATAAATTTATAAAAATAAAAATATTATGGATGAGTTGTTTTTTTGAAAAATCCGTTTTTATTTATATTTTATAAAAATGACGTCATTTACCAATTTAACTGAGTAAATATTTAGATTATATATATATTTTTAATTTAATTATTAAGGAAACGATGTTACTTTTTAAAGATTGATCGTTGACTAATTTGAATATTTGTAAGTTAGTGAAAGATATTCTAATTTAAGTTTAATTAAAGTAAGAAATATTTGGTTTTAATTAATGATTTGGTTCTTTTAAATACTGATTTATTGAATAACATTAAGTGTAATAAGTATTAAAAAGAGATAATAAGACTAATCCAGCTAATTTGGATTACAACTTGCGTATTACATGACGTAAATAATTACTAAAACTTTTATTAAATTCACTCATTAAAAACAAGTAAACAGATTATCATTTACTTTAAACACTTTAAATCAAGAATTGTTGAAATAAATAAATAAATAATTCATAAAAAATAATATTTGATCTTATTTCTAAATAATAAAGCTTCCAAAAATAATATAGAATTTAAATATTTTACTTTAGATTGATGATAAACTCTATTTTAAGATAATCCTCTAAAAATTTAGTTGGACCATGTTTCAAATAGTATATTGGATAAAGCAATTAATAGCTAATAAAAAAGCAATCTTAGCCATTTAGCCACTCAAAAGAAAGAAAAGGTCCTAATGTTTCATATTTTCATGGTACATCTAACTCTAAGTTACAGTATATTACGATAGGTGATAAATTAAAAGAGACAGCAGAGCACCTTCCTGACCACCAAGCTCTAATTTCTCATCACTAAAATGTAGTATTTACATACTCTTAACTTTACCAAAAATGTGAGTAATTAGCAGCTAGCTTGATAGCTTTAGGATTGAAAAAAGGAGATAGAATCGGTATATATTCACCTAACAATTACGAATGGTGTTTACTTTAATATGCAGCTTCAATGGCTGATGTAATCCTTGTTAATATAAACCCAGCTTATTAAGAACATGAACTTGAGTATTGCTTAAACAAAGGTAAATGATTTATTTCTACTAATTAAAAAAATATTTATTAAAAATTAAACAAATTTTTTATGCAAAAATATTACGAACCAAACAATTAATTTTTTAAAATTTTTATAAAAAAATGTGTAGAATTCTTTTAAGAAAAAAAAGTATTAAATTTTGAGCTTTCATTTTAAACAATAAAATTATAATCTTATTTAAACATAAGCTATTTAAGTAGATTTAAAAATTTAAATAATTTAATTAATCTAAAAATTAATTAATAAATTATTGATTTATTTATTCTATAATATAATATAATATAATATAAGTGGGATGTAGAGCATTAGTGATGTCTTCATAATTTAAAAAGAGCAATTATATAGAAATGATAAATAACTTAGCTCCAGAATTAAAAACATCTCAATTTGGGAAATTAAAGTCAATCAGACTTCCTTCTTTATAATTTGTTATCCGTATTGATGACGAACCAACTCCTGGAATGTTAAATTTCTAGTAGCTAATGAAATTGGGAACATCAAAAGATATTTCACTTCTCCATCGTAGAATGAAAGCAACAACACCTGATGATGCCACAAATATTTAATTTACTTCAGGCACTACTGGTAGACCCAAAGGAGCTACATTAACTCATTTTAATATTTTGAATGACGGTTATTTCATTGGAGAGAGACTTGGATATACAAAAGATGATTCTATTTGTGTCCCAGTACCTTTATATCATTGCTTTGGTATGGTCATCGGAAATCTCACTGCTATCAATTATGGTTCTACTATAGTTCTACCTAGCGAAGGATTTAGTGCTTAAAAGGCTATGGAGGCTGTTACTAAATACAAATGCACTTCTATTTATGGTGTCCCTACAATGTTCCTAGAATATATTAAAGAATATGAATCCAATCCATCTATTTATAATTACACTTCTCTTTCTAAAGGAGTTATGGCAGGAGCTCTTTGTCCTGAGGTAAAAACAAAAATAATAATTTTAAATAAATCAAATTTTATTGCTTATGAAGTCTTTCTTTTTAAAAATTTACTAAATATATTATTTTTTTAAAATAAATAAAGTCATTAATGAATAAACTGATTTCGTAGTGGGGGATTAAAAATATTTAGATATGCTATGGTTAGACAGAAACTTCTCCTGTATTTTTCTAAACTTCATAAGATGATAGTCTTACTGATAAGTGCACAACAGTGGGTTAAATCTTTCCTCATTGTGAAGTTAAATTAATTAACAAGCAAGGAAAGGTAGTTTAAATTGGAGAAAAAGGAGAAATTTGTGTGAGAGGCTTTTGTAATATGGAAAAATACTGGGGAGATATCAAAAATACTAACAAGACAATAGATAATGATAACTGGTTGAAAACAGGTGATGTCGGCTAACTAGATGAAAGAGGCTATCTTAAAATTGTTGGAAGAATTAAGGAGTTAATTATTAGAGGAGGAGAGAATGTTTATCCAAAGTAATATTAATTGTTAAAGTAGGTGGATTGTTAATTAAAAAATGTTTTCTTTAAAAATAAATAAATAGGGAAATTGAAGAGTATCTTAGGACTAACCCAAAAATACTTGATGTATATGTAGTAGGAGTGCCAGACCAGAAATTTGGTGAAGAAATATTTGCTTTAATAAGATTGAAAGATGGAGTTCAGTTCGATAAGTAAGAAATTTATGATTTCTGTAAAGGTTAAATTGCACATTTCAAAGTTCCTAAATATGTAAAGGTTGTTGAAAGTTTCCCATTAACAATTACTGGAAAGCCTTAAAAATTCAAAATGGTTGAGTCTTTAATGCAAGAATTAAAATAATAAAAGAATTTTGATTAATATCAAATAAGAACTTATTGAAGTTTTCAAAAATATTTTTTCATTTTTGAGCTTATATTTATTTAATGGTGCTAAATCAATCGAATTCTTTGGCTAACTCTATATGTTATTACAGTAATAAATTAATTTTTTATATTTGAATATCTCACTATTTTTTAAAACTGTTCTTAATTCTTTAAAAAATTAATTAAAATAATAAATTTATTATTCATAAATAAAATTTTTATTTCTTCAAAATAATTGCTTTTTTTTACTTATTTTTTACATCAATTCATTTATATGATAATTATTTTATACATATTAAAATACATGATCGTAAATAAATATACTGCTTTTTCTTCTACAAAATACTTTATATTATATTTTATCTATCAATTTAAAGACTTTAAAATGATGAAAAGATCAAATTTTTTAGTTTTTCTTAAAGATGATTGAATTTGAGATAATAAGGTATGCTAATAAAAAGGATAAATAAGTTAGTTATTTTATCAGTTAAATATAATTTTCTTTATGTAATTTATTTTTAGTTTATTTTTCACATCTATTAAGGATAAGAATATTGATGATGATAATTTATGGGAATGTTACTGTTAGTTTATTGAATTGCATTTTGAGGGTCATACTGTTGCTAGTTTGGTTATTCATATTGATTTTCTTCCTCAAAATCGATATTATTATTTATCATATTCTAATTTTCGATTTGGAATTCCTCAATTTAATCTTGTTGCTATTATTTGAGTGGCTACATATTTTAGTAATGGTTAGGCTGAGGCTATTGATTAATCATGTTCGGAATTTGTTAATTTTGGATGTAATAAGGCGGTTATTATGGGTTTTAGTTATTATTCATTTAATATTATTAGTCTTAGCTAGAATGTTAATTTGCAAGAGGTTGTTATATGAATTAATATTGATTCATTTATTCATTTTCTTATTGATCGGGTTATCCTATAAACATATTTTCATACTCATTTTACTAATAATTTGATAAGTAATAATTATTATTGTTATTATTATTGTTGTTGTTAAGATTATTATTGTTAGGATTATTATTATTCTATTAGTTCATATTATTTTGCATAACACTTGGATTATTTTAAATGTTGTTTTAATTATTATTGAAATTATTGTAATTTCCGATCATTTCTTAATTTTCTATACTGCTGTTGTAATTAGGTATATAATTTAAATTTCCCATATATGGAGTTTGGCTTTGAGTTGATTCAAAATCCATGCTATCTTAGCGCTAATACTGGTTAGGATTTTAACTATACATTTAAGGTTAGTTTGGAGGATTTTAGTAAGGTTAATTATTATATTATGGTTGGATCACTGGTTGATTATAGTTATTCTGTTAAGGATTGTAAATAGGCTGTTTTCTTTTGTTCATATTATTCATTTAATTTTATTGAGTCATATGTATATTATTTTGATTATTAGCCATATTAGGAGCAGGTTAGTTATATTCGTTTATCATATTTATGTTTTAATTACCCTCAGGAAATTGAAATTCTAATTAAGATAAATTTTATTAATTTTATTATGCATTTTTGTTGAATTAGTAATCAATTTGAGGAGGATTTTATTACTATTACTGTTATTGCTATTACTATTGTTGTTGCTATTTTTATTATTGTGGTTATGACATTTTACTGTATTGAGGATAATGCTTACCTAAAATAATCTAAATTTATTACAATGCTTCTGGCATAGATATACGTTCATCTTCATTTATTTAAAGCATACAAGAAATTAGGTTTTTAATTTCATTACTTAAAGCTAAGCTCTTTGGAAATTCTAGTTATTCCTTAATGATCTTATCAAGTAGTTCTTAAGTAGAACTTTTTGCAGGGACAAGCCATGGTAAACTGCCAGTAAGTATTTCGTAAAACATAACACCTAAACTCCATACATCGCATTTGATAGAGTATTCAGCGCTACTGAGAATTTAAGGTGACATGTAATAAGGAGTACCTACAGTAGTTCTAAACATAGCTTTTTCTTTGTTTTCTTCAACAAGCTTGCAAAAACCAAAGTCTGCAATTTTGGCAACTCCATCACTTATTAGAACATTGGCTGGCTTCAAATCACGATGGAATACTGATTTGTCATAGAGATATTTACATCCCTCAATTAATTGATGAAATAATATTACTGCTTATTTTTCATCTACTCTGTTAATTTTTTTCTTAAGCAACTCCAAGTCTCCTCCTTCACAATATTCCATAATAAAATAATAATTATTTGCAGTCTCTGAATAGTCATAGAATCTAACAATATTTGAGTGATCAAGCGTTTTCCAGACTTCTACTTCATTATAGAGAGCCTTTAAGAAGAATTCCTACTTTTCATGAGGGTTGTTGGCTTGCAAAAGTTTTTAAATAAGCTACTACTTTTAGATTATTTTGCATGCATAAATTTTTTTTGAGTTGTCATTTTGTAGTTATGCTATATAAGTGTTGGCAAAACTTCCCTTTAAGTTAATAAAAAATTGATTGATTTATTTATTTATTTATTATCTAGAATCTTAAAAACAATTATTGATTCATTAAATTTTGAAAAGCTATCTTAAAATGAAATCTTAAATTGTAGGCATTTTAGAGTTTAAAAGTAAGTAAAAATGAATCAATTTACAATTAAATCATTTCATAAATTGTATTAGCAATAATTTTTTAGAGTAAAAATATCTATTCAAAAGCTTATTTTTATAATTTAAATTTTTTTCCTTTTTCGCTTGGAATCAATCAAAGGTTACTTCCTAAAAAAAGGAAAGAGCTATTTATTATATTATCTAAAATTAATATTGTAGATTCTTTTCTTTTACATAGATTTTTTTATTATTAATTAAAAATACGTAAACCTACCTATGCTATCTATCTATCACCATTACATTTTTAATTAAAATTGATTGTAAAAGTTTCGATTCAATAATATTCTTATTATTATCAAAATTTTTAGTTAGTTAGGTGATAATTCAACTCATACATTCATTAATAATTTTATCAAAAATTATTGCTAACACATTTTTATGTCAATATACCATTTTTTAACAAATTTAAGAATATCAATAATTCAAAAACAGCATAAGCATTTCGTAAATTATTTTAATTAATAAATAATGTTGTTTGTTGAAAAATTACTTCTCCTAAAATGCGGTCTTTGACTCTATAGATCTTCTCGTTTAATGGAGGAATAGTAACCATTTTGAGATCTGGTATTTCATCAATTTTGTCTCTAATGCTAGCTATACTTTATGGTTGTGCAGGTGGCGGTTTTGGTTGATAATTCTGAGGTGCAGGAGGCTGTGGAGTTATTTAAACATTGTTTATATACTAAGGGTTCATTCCATTGTTTATTTAATTTTAATTCATCATTCCAATTGGAACTCGCTACTAGGGATTGCTCTGCTAAGGGGTAATTTATTTCTAAGTTTAAGGAGGCATTTATTAAATATTAGTCTAGCTTGGATAGCCATACTAATTAATCATGCTTCCTTAATCTTAGATAGTGTTATTATTCTAGTTGCTTGGAGGAACCTAATCCATTTAGTTTTAAGGAATATTATTCATTGTATTTTAATTCGAATAGCTTTAATGCTAATTATGCTATATGGGCTATCCTAATTGCTATGCTTTATTATAATTGATCTGTTACGGTTGTTGCTGATTTTGTATATTCATTTGCTGATTATTTGACATTTGTCTCTATGGGTTACCTTGGGGGAGCGGCTGATTTGGATTTGGTTACTTGGAATTAATTTGCTAGTGCTATTACATTTAATTATTGATTTTTTATGGAGGCATATTCTAGTAATTGTTTTGCATCATAGCTGCTGAATGAGGTGGATAAGGCTAGTACTACTGCTGCTGTTATGGTTATTACTATAGTTGCTGAGCTGGCTACTGCTAATTATACTAATTATAAGTTAGTACTTAATTGTTATAGCTCATTTTATTTGATAATCTTTTTGTTTATTTTAAGTCTTTATATCAATGAAATCACCTACCCTAATTTCTTCTTATTTCTTTTTTTATTATTTAATCTTAGTTTTTATTATCTAAATATATCAATAGAGAAAGAAAATATTAAGTGTTTGTTTGTTTGGTAGCAATTACTTGAATGATGGATGTCTCCTTCTATGAATTCGATATTGTTAATTTCTATGAATAATTTCCTAATTAATAAATCAATCAATATTTATTTATTAATTTTTAGTTATCTTTCTTTTTTTCCTAATCAAAAATAATATAAAAGAATAATTTCCTAAATTTTAATAAGTGATTTTATAAACAAACTTTAATATAAAATATACATTTTAAAAATGCTTTTTATTATTTTTACAATTTTTAGGTCAGCCACAAATGTCATGATATTAGCTTCTTAATTTAGCAGAAAAACTTCAATCTTATGTTTTACAATTTATCTGAGTTGTCTTACTTTCAAGTTTATTTAATCTCATGAAATTGAAAATTTAAGTATTTTTAATTAATAAATGTTAATTCGATTAGGTGCTTGCCTGATGAAACTTAATTAGAAACTACTTTCAATAACAATTTTTAAATCAACTAAAATCTAAAAATTTTCTCTCGAATTTTTGTTTACTTTTATGTCAACATCCCATATCATAGTTCAAATAATTAAGAACGATAACGAAGTCTAATTTGACTCAAAATTTGTTATAATATAAGAAATATCATATGAAACTAATTTTATTGTATTATTTCATTGAATTATCTATATGACATATTAAATATATTTATTTTGGGCGAGCTTAATCACCTACGATTTCTATTAGGTTTACAAAATTAATTGATAATTTATAATTTAGTTTTTGCTTTCTTAGTCATATTTGCATGAATGAAACAAAAAACCAAAAAAAAAATAAATAGATAAATAAATAAATAAAAAATAACTCGTAAACTAGATGTGAGAATAAAATTTAGAGATGAAAAATTTTTATAGAATAAAAATTAAAAAGTAAGAGTCTTGCGAACTTAGTCAATTAAATAATGTAAATTTCATTATTATTGAATATAAAACAGCAAGTCAATTAATTAAATCTAAATAAAAGAAGAATGTTTATTAGACATTATTCAATTGAATGTAAAATCCTTTCTATTAATTGATAATAAAATAATAATATCTCATGAGCTTGTTTGAGTAAATTCAATTAATCAGTCAGACAGAGCTCATAAATGAATTCAAAACAAACAAAAAAAAATAAACTAAGGCTTATTAATAGAAGGAAGTCAAGAATTAGAGAGAGAGGGTCAACTAGCTATTTAACTTACTAACTATTATTTCAGTAATAAAAGAAAGGAAAAAATTAAAAAATAATTCAATATAAAAATAAAGAAAGATATTATACAGTCAAAAGAAAGCAAAAGAAGCATCAATCAATTATTTTAAGAAAATATAAACATTAAAAAAGAACTGATAATTAATTAAGAAAATGGTCGACCACCCATAAGATTAAAAGGATTGGAAAAGCGTGTAGAATTTCAAATTAATAGACAAGAAGTATTACATGAAGAATCATGTATTAGGCAAGGGAAATTTTGCAGAAACTTACTTGGCAACTCGCGTTGAGGATGAAAATTAGATCTTAGCATGCAAAATGATTGCTAAATAGCAAATTATGGAAAAATTAAGGCGTGCCCCAGATCCAGAAGGCAGAAAAAAATATATCATAGATGCTCTTAAAAATGAAGTCCAATTGTGGAAGGAATTGGATCACCCAAACATCGTCAAATTCATAGATTTCTCAGAAACCCCTAACAACATTTATTTCTTTTTAGAATATTGCAATGGAGGAGATTTAGATAAGTTGATTAAAAGGCAAGGAAGATTATCAGAGGTAGAAACCATTCACTACTTTAAAGAAATTGTTGATGGCTGCGATTTCCTTTACAAGAAAGCAATTATTCATCGTGATTTGAAACCCGAAAATATCCTCATTCACAATGGTGCTGCAAAGATAGCCGATTTTGGATTTGCTAAGGTCATCGATTATGATAACCGTGAAAAGGCAGCCACCTAGACTTATGTAGGTACACCCTATTACATGGCTCCTTAGATTATAAATGGTGAAGAATATTCTATCAAATGCGATATTTGGAGTCTTGGTGTCATGCTCTACTAAGCTCTCTATGGTATGGTGCCTTTCTCTGATAAAACAAGCTTAGAATCCCTCGCTCAGAAAATCAAGTAAGCTGAAATTAAATTCCCACCCTCTATTCCTGTCTGCAATGAAATTAAAGAACTTATTTAAAAAATGTTAACCGCTGATGAAGATAAGAGAATTTCAATAGCAGAAGTTAAAACAATTATGGATGAATTATACTCTAAAAAATGTTAAAATTGAGATTAACTGTTTAAAAAAAATATATTATACTTTCTTCCCTTACTCATCTTCACACCTTAATCAGAATCAAATCTAGTAAACTGACAGATACATACATAGATAGATAGATAAATACATTTTAAGTCAATTCTTTAGTTAGTTATTTAGTCAGTCTGTCACTTTTTTAGATAGGCAGACTGATAGTTATTCAACACATAAATCAATTCACCTATTAAGAGATAAATTAACTTGCAATTAAATAGGTTTCTGATAGCTAGGAACTCAAATAGTACGTACATGCATGCATAATTACATACACAAATAAATAAACAAAATAAATAAATAAATTATTATATATAACCTAAATAAATTTAAAACATAAAAATAATACAAAAAGTAATATTCCTCTTTAATACTAGTCAGTTAATAGCTGTTTGTTGATGATGTTATTTCATTAGTTCTTCTTTCTTTCTACTCCTTTTTTATTCACTTAATTTCTTAAATAAAAATCTAACACCTCAATCTATTAAATAAACATTTCACCTTTTAAAACAATTTTTTATATTTTCTTTCTTTAGTAATTAATTCATGTACATATTTTTAACAAAAATCTATGCAATAACCAATTGATAAACAAGTATACTTACAATACCTTCATGCTATCATTAATTATTTAGTCAGAGCTTTTACTATTTAGTAAATTCAATATATTTATAAAATAATTTATTTAGCTTTTTTGATTAGCAAATAATCAAAGTTTCAATAGAGGTGATGCTAACTAATTTGGCTAAATAAAATATAAAGTGGATTAAAATTAATTAGCTAAATTAGTAGATGCAACAAATCTTATATCTTAATTATTCAACAAAAATTAAAAAAATTTACACTAACAATTTATCGATTAGCTATATTATCAAAAAAAATAAGAAAAAAACAATCTAAATTTACTAAAATATCTAATTTTTTTAATTTAATAAAAGCTTGATTCCTGATACTTTAGAATGCTAATTAAAAGTTAATAAAAAAATCAATTAATTTCTTTAATAAAGAAGAAAGAGATAAAATACTTTCAAAACTTCCTTCTAAAATAGTTTGATTTTTTCACCTCAATTTTATTTTTTAAATTTTGAATTTTGACTCTTTGCTACTAAATAATCGTAAACCTTATAAAATTTATTAAATTATGGTTCACTTAATTAAATATAGCAACAAAAATGAAATATTAATAAGCTTAGCCAAATAAGTTAAAATAAATATTAAACTAAAATTGATTTTTTTTAACTACCTTATCCAATAAAAATTATTATGTAAATTTAAATGTTTTTTATCTCAAAAATAATAAATCTCAAAATGCTATTTTTGTTTAATATTTTTTGACTCTTTAATAATTACAAATCTTATAAGCAATTAAAATGGCTAATATAATATTTATAAGTAAAAAATTAGTATTATTAAACTCATAATAAAACTAAAATAATCGAAAAATTATATAAATATTAACTAATAATATATTTTTCATTTTAAATCTAAGCTTATTATTTATTTTTGGTATCAAAAAAATAAAATTTTTATCCTAAAAATATTAAATTTAGAATAAAATATAATATTTATATTACAATTATTTAATTTATTTAATATAAATTTATATGATAAAAGTGATATATCATGTAATTCTTGACTAATACATAATTATATATCCATAAATTAAAGAGGTTCTCTATCTTCACCTTTTCATGTTTGATTTTGAAGTCTTTCAATGAAAGTTTTTGATTTAATCAAAATTACAATATATAAAAAAATAGTAATTTTTAGAAGTTAATTATGTAATAATAAAAAAACTAAAATAGAAGAAAAAAACAAATCCATAGACATTTTTAAATTTTTTAATAATTTTTCTTGATACTTTGAAAAAAATAAAATGGAATAAATTAATCAATATTTTATAGTCTTTATTATTGTTTTTATTAGTAAGATATCAATTTTTATTAAATTTTAACATAATTTATTTAAAATAAAAGTATAAAATTTAAAGACTTTTATTTAAAAGGATTTATATTTGTAAATTGAATATGTAAGCTATAGAATCTAAAAAAAATAATCGAAAAGTAAAGAGAAGGATATGTGAATATTTGATTAAATTTGGATGCAATTTAGCATTTAAGATTTGTATAATCAATATTCATCCATCAAATTAAAAATAAATATAATTATTAAAATAAACGAACTATTGATATTCAAATTTAGAAAAAAGAAATGAAGAAAGAAGCAAAACAGGAAAAAATTTATACTAATTTCTAAGATTTTTATCCATTTTATTTGTCTTAGCATTCAAATATTATTAACAGACGCTTGCATTACATTGGTACAACAATTAGCATGATGCTTTTTGTTATATCGATTCTTTTAACTTAATATTAATACTTACCACTTGTTATTGTATCAGGATATGCATTTGCATGGGTAGGACATTTCTTCTTCGAAAAAAACAAAGTAAATAAATTAACATTTTTATTATCAAAATAAATTATTTACATTTTTATAAAGCCTGCTACTTTCAAATATCCAGTTATGTCATTTATGGGAGACTTTAAAATGTGGTATTAGATTACTACAAAATAAATAAAGTGGTGATTTCATTGCTTAAATATTTGCAAAATGCGAATGAGTTAAAAATAATAATAGTATGCTAATTTTTAATATTTTTTGTATAAAATAAATTGCTTTGTTGCATATCACAGATTAACATTTTTTTTAATTTAAAAAATGAAAAATCATTCTAATAAAATACATACTAATCATATTCTCATTGTGTTTTTTTTTTCAAAATTTTTAAAAGAAAAAATAAATATATATTTAGAAAAATGGTTAAGCGAATGAATGAATGTTATCTATCATATCATATTATCAATAACTTAATTTTATGCTCAAAATATTATTTATCATTTTCTATTAAAAGCATAATTTGAAAATTTGTTACCTTACAATAGGGCTTTATTTAGTTTTAAACAAATTTAATTGTTCTAATCTTTAATTGAATCATCAAATTCATATAATAGATAGATATATATGACTGAAAAAAAATCTTATAGAAAACACAACATAAATTAATATAAATATCATATCTACAAATATTTAATTTCCTAAATGGAAATCAAATGCATAAATCTTCTTTAATTTTTTTTCTATCTAAAAGAAGAAAATATAAATAAATAAATATTGAAAAGTCTAATGAAATTTAACCACACAATTAATAATTAATAATAATAGAAACATGAAGTCTATCATCATAAATATATAAATAAAAATACCCTATAAATATTTCTTCAAATTTTAAATTATTTTCTTATATACTTTAACTATTCACATGTAGTGAAAAAAGTGTCTTTATGGCGTCAATTTAGTTTTAAAAAATTACAAATTATCAATTAACTGGCTACTTATCAAATAATCGACACTATATTATCAATTTAATTATGTTAATTATTTTATTATCTTCACTTTATTAATATTAATAACATAAGACTTATTAAAAATTATTTTACTTATTAATTTGTAAATGACAATCAAAAGGAAATTGTCCAAACATTAAATAATAATTCCTTTATTTTTGAAAATAAATAATATTCTATTATCAACTAGATCGTATTTGAATAATTTTGGTACTTTTTAAAATAAAATCTAAAATTATGATTTCATGAATTTTTAAATTAAAAATACAATCAAAATTTGATTAAAATCTATAATAATTCTTAATTTTATACAAATATTAGTGATTACTTTATATTATTTAATAAGGTAAAAAAAATTAAAATTATAATCTTTATTTTTTTATAAAATATCTATTAATTTTTGTTGTAAAAGATCAATTATACTTTTAAAATTTAAAATGATTTTAATTTAATTTATTTAAATAAATATTAATAAAATTTATAAAATACAAATACTTTTTAAAAGAATTTAAATTAGAAAAATTAAAAACAAAATGGATAAGTATCAAAATTTGATATATGAAAGATTAAGTGAATTTTAATGATACTTTCTATGCAAAATTTTGAAAATTTGATTTATTAAAAATAACTATATTTACTAGTTATTAATATAGAGAATTGGTGGAATTTTGAAATCAGATTTACATCATAAGTTTTTGAATTATATTTGATTTAGTTAAAAATTGAATGTCTTTTTTAATTATGTTTTGATTAATCTGTGTGTAAATGATTTATTTATTGATTATTATTAACATACTGTAATTTAATTGATTGTCTTAATATATTATTAGCAAACAAAAAGAATAAATGCAAGAAAGTGAGAGATAAGCAGAAATCGATAGTTCTCCTTCTTCATTTTATTTGAAGTAGTAGCAAGGGCAAATTACTTCATAAAACAACATGCAAAACTATGATTCTTTATTGTATAGCGAAATCACTGAAAATAATTAGACTCTTTTAAATACTCCATAGCATCCTTTCAAGCAAAAGAATCCATGTAATTTAGTTAGCTACTCAAAGCCTTTTCTAATTGTTAAATTAAATGCAATTCAATTATAAAAACACATAAATTATGAATTTTATTTGATAGAGATTTATTGATGAAAATATTTTACTTAAAATAGTAGGAAGTGTTTCACTGAGCTTCAATTCGATCAACTTCTAAAGCAGTAGAAATTAATTTAGTTTAATAGCAGTCAATATAAATAAAATAGATTTTATTCAAATATAAAAAATAGATTAAGCTAAAATTAATAAAATTTATTTCTTTTTTATTTAAAATAGTGCTTAAAAATACATAGTAAATGGAAAGCGGATAAGTAAGTGAACGACAAAATATTTAGAGTGGTGATAAAAACTAAGTTAGCAATTATAACTAGAATATAAACAATAACTAAAAAAATAGTATTTAGTAGCAAGTTATTTTATAGAGTAGCAATGATAAAAAATATTAATAATCTAGTTCGCAGAATTCTCAGAGCTAAAGCAATCGAAACAATAACAGTAATATTTAGAATTAGGTATTTTAGCATCAAAATGCTTTTAATAGATCTCCTTACAAAATAAATGAGTTTTAAATATGCACTGAAGAAGACGAAAAGGAAAATAAAGATGAAACAATATAGAATATAGAAAAAATAGATTTGTCTGGAAATATGCTGAAAAATATGTAGGATTTAAACAAGTTTAAAAGCTTAGTTTATTTAAACCTTTCTTATAATAGAATACAAATTATTGAAAATATAGAAATGCTTGTTAATTTGTAATATTTAAATTTAAGCAATAACAATATTAAAGAAATACCTTCAATTATTGAAAGAAATACTTAGCTTTAGCATTTGCTCTTATCTTCTAATAATATTTCTTCAATAAATTCTATTGCTAGTTTATAAAAGCTACTCAATTTGAAAGAGCTTAATTTACTAGATAACCCTATTTAGCAGTGCCAAGATTATAAAAATTATATAAAAAACAATCTCAAATAAATAATTTTGTTGGACTAAAAAAATATACATGTCAGCAATCTTAATAGCGTAGGGGAATCTTGGAATAGCCAGTTGTCATTCAGTAACAATACAGTTAATTAATCTGCTCATTTTCAAAGAAAACAGAATAGCAAGGTTCAGCAAGTTTAATAACAACAACAATAAAATAATTTAATTCAACCGATTTAAGGACTACTCGAATCATTTTCTAACAACAATAATTATAATAACAACAACAATAACACTAATTCTCTTTATTAAAATAGATAGAATCATATTTATTCTTTTGGGTCATAGTAAAATGATACTCCTACAAACCATCTTTTTGGCTTTGAAATTAACATTGATTACCCACAAAAGTTAAAAAAACCTTAATCTTTGGATTTTTAATATTTGACTTCATAGAATTAATAAAATTCTCCTTAGTAAATTAGAGCAGCTTATTATAATAACATGGGAGATCTAAACAGGAGCATAACAGAAATAGAAACTGAATTTGATAGTGATGGAAATGTTTTGGATAAACAATTTTAGGAATAAAGGATTTTTTATAGTAATGCTAAATCATCTAAGAAAAACTTCAAAGCTTTTTTAGAATTTTAAAATCAATTATAAATGTAAAATTAATACTTAGCATCTCCTTTAAATAATGAGCAGTCAGTTATTCTATTCGAAAACATGAACAGCAGTGAAAAGCATAATAGGTCTGTTTGGTAAAATAATACGCAAGAGAGAAATGAATAAACTTTTAGTGAAAGTGCAAATAAAAATTCTTTTTTGATTGACAGCAAAATTTAATAGCAAAGACAAGGAAATGAAATTGAAAATGATTTACAAAGCTCTTTTAATTTTAAAAGGGATAAAAATTTAGAAACAGAAAGCTAAGTTTAAAATCTATAAAATTAATTTGATCAAATCTAAAGCAACGATTAAAATTTAATTCAGAATAAAACTTTAAGGAGAAACTTAGCATACGAAGAGTAAGTTGGTAATAATTTTTTACCTCATTTGTCTGAAGAAGAAGCCTACCGCTTGAAGAAGTGTTTATTTTAACAAAACAATGACAAGATATAAATTTTGAGTAATTAACAGTTTAATCATAGTAAACAAGAAGACGAAAATACGAACAATAAAAAGAAAGATAGAAATAACGAGGATAATTATGATGAAGTAAATTTAACTAATATTCACAGTATTTCCAACTATGTTTATGATGAATCAACTGCTAAGAAAGCCAACTAATAAATTAATTTTATTTAGCCATAAAAAAATTAGTAGCAAATACTTCCACCACCTGCTCCTTCAACTCTTCCAATTCCTAGTTTAAAGGAAGAGCAAGGATAAATAAATAAAGATAAATTCAAGACCTCTCCATTTTTGGATTAGATTGCTAATAATTCAGGGTCTAAGCAAAATGAGTAAGAATAGAATGGAAATCAATTGAACAATGTTAGTCAATTATAATCCCTTTTTGACAACATAGAAAGCCACAGAGGAGATTTTTTACTATAAGATTTTTCTTAAATATATGCAAGCAAAGTAAACACATCAGATGTTTTGGGTATATAATTTACCCCATAAAATCATAGTAGCAATAATAACAACATGAATTAAATTGAATATATTTCACCAACAGAAGAATCTACAATAAATTCTAACATTATGAACTCTGAAAAATAATGCTAAACAGTGGCAAATACTTTAAATATTTTAAATAATTAACTTAAAGCTCTTCACGAATCATTTTAAGATTACAAGTAAAATCTATTTAAAAATTATTATTCAACTGATTAATTTTGTAATTTAAAGTTCTAATTTGGACTCAACTGCTGAAAAGAGTAACTAATTAATTTAGAAAATTATTAAATGCACCGAAGATAGTCAAAAAGAATCTATCAAAGAGTAAGTTTTAATATTTTTTTTGATTAACTATTAAATAATAAATAAAAAATTAATTTTATAGAAAAGAAAAGTTAGTCCAAGACATTCAGTTATTCAAAAACTTAGTAAGCTCCTCATTCATATAGATTAACATATTTGTTGAAGAATTCGTAAATTTTAAAAAAATATACTTACCTTTTTTTACATTTAATTTATACCAAAATTATTAAAAACAATTTTATTTTATTTTAATCAAAGGCATTCAAATTTAATAAAAAAATTCATTTTATTTTTATTTAGCCATTCAATTTAAAATTAGAATATTCATTTTTTGAAAATAAAAATATTTATTCATATCTAACTTGAATTAGGGGTTGCAAATTAATACTTTTATGAAAATAATTTAAGAATGTGGCGAAAGTAAATGTGATTAGCTAAATAATGAAGGAATAATTCCTAAAATATCTACAAATACTCTTAATAATATTAATGAAATATTTGAGTAGATTCAAAACAATAATAATCAGCTTTTTATTAATGCTAATAGGATGACAGAAGAAATTAATAGAGCTAAAAATATATAAAATGATTTTTTGGTAGAAAAATTAAACCAAAACATAGAAAAAATAATATCTCTCTTCAAAGAAATTTCTAATCTACACTTAACTTGTTGTGATACATTTGAGAGCATTGAGCATACTTCTGAAAGGTTAACAAAGTTTTTCATACATATTGTAAGACTATTTTAAGCCAAATAGGTAATACAATTTTCCAATCACAAAAGGAATCTCTCAAATTAAACAAATAATTCATGTAATTAAACAATACAAATGAAACAGCCATCTTCTTCAACTAATATCAGTAAAGATCACGGACAGGCAAATTCAAAACTAAATAGACAGCAATCAACCAAAGATTTTAACATTTAAAATAATAATAATAATAATAATAACAACAAAAATCAGCAATTTTAAAATAATGATAAAGAAAAAAAAGGTATTGCTGCAAGTTCAAATTAGTAGAATTAGCAATTTTAGGAAAATAAAAATCAGAATTCGAACAGAGATAGCTAAAAGCAGGAAAGCTTTGATAGGAATTTAGAGAAATAGGAGGATTTAAAAACACCTAAAAGCAATAATAACAACACTAATACGAATATGAATTCGAATAATTCTAGAATTGGATATACTCCCTTGCAAGAAGGGTTTAGTGAAGAAGAACAAAAGAAGTTGATGAATAGCAATATTGAACAAATTCAATAACAAATGAATAACTACAGAAAAGAAATCTAGCAAAAGCATTTAAAAAATTAGAAATCTGAAGAATTAAAATTAGAAGAACTTGATCCTTCTTAAAGAATTAATATTTTATAGTAAAATATAAGCAATACTCATATTTTCCCTTTTCCTACATAATATATGAATCAACAATTATCTAATATAAATACTAGCTTTAGCAATGAAGTTCAAATAAAATCTAATATACCTATTTCTCCTCATTTAACTACTAATTCTCCAAGCACAAACATCTCTTAGCTTAAAAATAACAGCTAAAAACCTACTTAATACCAATAAGAGTTAGAAATTTTAAGATTCAAATTTAGTGATTTTGAAAAAACATCTCTGATGAGATACGATAACCTTCTAAAAGCAAAAGAGTAAGTAGAAAAAGATTACAATTAAATTGTTTAAAACTATTCTGAGTTGTAATAAAATTATGAATCTATTCTAGTCAAATATAGTGGATTATAGTCAAAATATGAAGAATCGCTCAGTTTGAGAGATAAAAATAACAATGAAATAGAGAGGGAAGAATTTATATCATAAATATCTTAACTTAAGTTAAGAGTAAATGATTTAGAGAAATATGTAAGCTCATCAGAAAACCAAAAGCAGCTACTTTTAAAAGACAAACAAATACTTAAAGAGCAGCTTTCGCTTGTACAAAAAGATTATGAAAGTCTTGAGAAATAAAATCAAATTAATATAAATTAAAACCAAAAACTAATTGATAACAACAAAGATCTTGCCTAATAAAACTAATAATTACTGTTAAGACTAACAGAAGCAGAAAATACAGTCCTGAGCATGAAACAAGTACTAACTCCTAGACTTCATACACAATAATAGTCTGATTAACATCAAGAGTATACCTCTAATTAAGAAAAATAGTATTCGCATAAAAAATCTCTGTCATAATAGCTAAATAATTAATACAATAATAATAATAATTAAGCAACGATTTTGTAATAAGGATAAAATTAGATAATTTGTAATGAGGAATTGAGCTAGTTGTTAAAAAATATGCTGTAAAATGTAAATACCAACATGTAACAAAATACTTAGATCATACAATTATTAGGCTCTAAAGATACATTAATCAACAATTAAACTTAATCTGATAATTTAAATGAAAACTAATATGAAGCCCACCAAGAATGGAGCGAAATGCTAAAAATGCAAATAAAATAAAAGTAACTACTTTACAAACAAATACTTGCATTGGCTGCTATTATCAGTACAATTTAATCAAATGATGAAAAAAAGCTTTAGGAATGCATTAAGAAAATTACTTCATTATAGGAAACAACAAATCAATCTACTTAAACAGACCTTAACTCTCTCGTAAATACTTAATATTAATTTTTTGACTCAATTATTTCTCCTCCTTCAAAAACATCCACAGTAATCACTCAATAGACTAATAATAACATTACCAGTAATAACTAAAACATTAATCAAAATAACAATACTGCATCCAATAATAACACTTTAGAAGACTCAAACACTAAAAGCAATATAATGACGGCAACTACTATGACCTTACCTAATATATTAGAATCGGTACGGAAACATTAGCATAATGTTATGTAAGCTAAATTAAAAAGCAATACAACTGTTAATTCGTCATCTACAGCTTCTGAGAAATTATATAAATTAGCTGCTTAGCGCTACGAAGAAGAAACAACTAAAAATCTAAAGCATAAAAAAAATTCAAATTAACCATGCGAAAAATGGTTCAATAATTCTCCAGAAAGATATTGTGGGTAATAAAATAGTAAGCCTGCTCAAAATGAAGAAAAAATAGATGAAGTAAATTAATCTTCATCTTAGAATTCTTCAAGCACATAAAATAAAAGTCTTTAAAAGAGCAGATAGCTCCTTAAGCAAATGACTGATCTGGCAAATGATAAAAAATCATTTTTAGCAGAAGATAGCGCTTTTCTTTAAACTAAGAAAAAAGTAGCTAATAACGATTTTAAGTAAGGAGATTAAAGTACTAGCAGTGGCAACAAAAAAAACGTAAGTAAATTGATAAATGACCTACATAGTCAAATGGATAAGAAAACATTTAGGAATTCAAATAGTAGTAATATTAATAATGCACATGCCATCAACTAATCAGATATAATTTTGAATAACACAACTACCAATAAAAAATCTAAAAGAGAATAAACTAAAAGCCCGTCTGCATAAACTTTAACTAAAAACTGCTAAAAAAATATAATTTTAAGTAACCACAATAGTAATAATAGCTAGTAAATTTTAGTTAATAACTTCCTTAAAAAAGAATTTAAATACCCTTCTAAAGGAAGCTAGTCAAGCCTTTTGAACTAATCTCATCATTTAACAAATAAAACTCAATAATCTTAAAATCAAAGTTCATCTGTATTACATTTAACTTAAATAAATAGCAACAGCAATAATCCCAACAATGCGAGCAACATTTCTCATTATAAATCAAATTCTAATATAATTGATAGAGTTTCTATGGAACACTCTAAAAAATAAAAAAATTGTCTTAAATCTGTAATAAAAGCATATAAAAATATTGAGACACTTCGTAAAATGTAAGATATCTTGAAAAATGAAGATAACTTCACTGCATTTTTAAATAAAACTACAACAAATATTCACATAAATTAATCATTTAATAATAATCACCATAATAATATTCCAATAAACTAATTTAATATCAATCATCAAAACAACCAAAATAGTAATCTAATTGAAAACTGCACTAACAATCAAATTACTAAAATTCTCAAAAAAGTTACAAGATCATAATCTAATTTGAGTACCTAAAATGGATAAAAAGTTACCAATTCAGTAACATAGATACACAACTAGGACGCAAACACAAAAAGAGATAAATCAAAAGAATGATTAATAAACAAATTTCTTTATTTGCTTATTAATTTTTAAAATAAGTTGAAGCTTCAATTTTAACTGACTTAGCAACATAAATAAAAAATATTTCGAAAAAATATTTTTAAAAAGTTATTAATAAAAATATTTTTTAATATATAGAAAAGCTAATTTTAAAAGCACTGAAAATAAATTATATGGTTAAAAATTACTCTATTTTTATTATTTTAATTAATCATTACTTTAACTTATGTAAATATATAATTTGTTTTCATTAAAACACAAGACTACATTTAATTTAAAATATAAAATCAATAAAATTTCATTGTAGAATCGATTGCTAAATTAAATAAACAGAAATAATTTAACAAATTTTATTTTTAAAATTTTTTTTTACTCTTTTTTCATCACGTATTAAAAATTTGCCTTTATTTTCCAATCCAAGTAAATAAATAAATAAATAAAAACAAAACAAAAACAAATCAAAACTAAATTACTTAAAAATATAAGAAAAAATAAATTAAAATGTTTGATTAATTGGACATATTTGCGAGCTAAATTTTCCTTAGATTTAATAAATAGGCAACCTACAAAACAAGATTAGGTTCTTATGTTTCTCTTATAATTATATTTTTAATTATATATAAATTGGTTGGTACTATGGTAGATTTAATTTAGAAAAACAATCCTTAAGTTATCTATAATGATAGATAAGTTGACAATCCTGCAGCTTTTATTGCTAACAGTAAAACATTTCCTATTGCGTTTGGTATGGAAAGACCTATTGACTTTACACATTTTATAGATGAAAGCATTTATACAGTTTCTGCTTTTTGGAAGCATAAAATTTAGATTTATGATGAGACTGCTAAGTAGTATGTAGCTGTTTGGGATTAAAAAAGTGTAGATATCAAACCATGTACATTAGATAATTTCTAAAATCCAGACAACTAAAAATATTATCTTAGTCTTAATTATACTGATATGTACTGTCTTCCTCCTGATTTAGATTTGACAATTTAAGGAGATTTTCCCTCACCTGAGTATTCAGAAATTGAATTAATTGTGAAAAAATGTACTTAAAATTGCTAGCCTTAAGAAATACTGGACTAGTTTTTACTGAAATCTAATTTTGGAATTTAAATGTCAGACTCTTACGTAGATCCCTCTATCCCTGATAATCCTTTCAAGATCTATTCTAGAGATATGTTTTGGTCAACAAGTACTTAACTTCCAAAGGATGTTTTTGTTTACATCAGAAATAACTATGTTTACAGTGATTTTGGATTGCTATTTTCTGATGTTAAAACGCAGGTATTCCCTTCATATAGCTTTTACTAAACCTATGTAATTGAAAATTAATTATTTAAACAATTTTTTAAGATAGAGTATAAATTATTTATTTATTGTTTTGTAATTGAAATAGGAATTTCCTCCCTCATTTTAAGATTACTTTTTAAGTATTCATTTCAGATTCGAAACTCAAAAAGAAGGAGTTTATAAAAGAAGCTACTAGAAATTCAGCTAGATGATATCTGAAATTGGTGGGTATATTCAAAGTTTTCTAGCAATTGGTTATTTAATTTGTAGAAAAGCATCATAAGTAAAGTTAGATATTGATTTAATAAGTAGGGCTTTCAAATTTCAAGAAAGCACTTAAAATGAAGAGTAGTAATAAATATAAAAAGAAAAGAAAGAATAAATTGAAAAAGCAGAACTAATTGATAGAAAAAAAATAAAAATTTCATAGAAGAAATAATTAAATGATAAAAAGCATAAAAAAAAAGAGAAAGAAAAAACTTTTAACACTGAAGAATATTAGCAAAAGTAGGATGAATAAAACTCTAATTTTTTTCAATCTGCAAATTTATATAATCATAGTTAAAAAATCAATAATTATCAATAAGCATTTAAAAACTCCTAAATTATTGATAATAATGGTCAAATTTAACATTCCAATGAAATTTGTTATAATTTAAATAAATAAGATGTGGTTTTATAATAAAAAGAAAGCAAATAAAAAAATTCACTTAATATTTCTAATTTAATAATGAGTTATTTTTAAGATTAAGCAGGTTTAAAAGAAGTAGAAATTGTAAATTCCAATGAGGATTTTAAATTTCAAAAACAAAAAAGATAGAGCTTTTCATAAAAAATCAAAAAGTAAAAATGTGTTGAGGAAACTTTTTAAAATTATTTTGACAGTTAAATGAATAATTTTCGAATTAGCGCTTGGGAATACTTAAAGTCATAACTTTTTTGCTATTTTAGTAAATTTTACAATAACAGAAAAAAAATAATCAATTACACTAAAGAAAAGCTCTATAATTACATAGATTTATTCAATATAATTAATAAATTAAATGAAATAGAGAAGTTAAAAAGACTTATTTTGGACGAGGATCAGTTGAAATTATTTGATTACCTCCCGAAACCAACAATTTCAGCCGATATAATTTCAAAATCACATTTTGAATAAAAAAGAAAAGAAGTTGATTTACTTTACTAAGACTAACGATCAGAGTTGTAAAAGGCATCTGATAGCTTTTAGGCCTATTATAATTTAGTTTAAAAATGTGAATTAACAACTTTAGATCAAAAATTAATTCATTAAATAGATCCTGATCTAAAAAAAATATTTTAAGATATTAGTAAAAAATAAGATTTTTAGACAAACTAATTTAATTCCGAAGATAATAAATAAACAGAAGTATCCCCATAAATAAGATAGTCTATCTACTTTAATAACTAAAACTCAGTAAATAGGATTTAGAAGGAAAAAAATACTTTTAAAATTGAACTAATTTCTGAACAAGGAACACCAGCTAGCAGCAATAATAGAAGAAATTCGATTCTAAACTAATTTAGAAAATTTGATGAAATAAAAGAACCAATTAAAAGCGAAGATATCCTCACCTAATTATTTACTACCAGATCTTAAGGCAATTAAAATGAGGAAAGCCATCTAAATGAATTTTAATATAAAAATGATTAATAGAAACCTAATGCTTTTAGAAGTAGGTTAAATTAATTATCATAGTTATGAGATAAATATATATTCAGTTTATTTACTAAAATTTAATTATTTATTATATAATTAATACATGTTTTATCATAAAAATAACTTTCCATAAATTAATAAAATATTTTTGTTTTAATTATAATTAAAATGTAATTTATTTAGGCTTTTGTTTATATTTTTTTTCTTAAAAATCTTGAGGTATATTTAATCTAAGTAATAAAATAATATTTAAAAATATTTGATTGGCTGAATTTATTATTTTAATATTATGAGAAAGCAAATAAAGTTTTTAATGCTTTTATATCCAATGAAAAATTAATTTATATTTTATGAACAGGTTTCTTTTAATTTATTTGATGAAAGCAAAATATTTTGAATTCCAACAAAAACAAATAATTAATTCTAGATAAAGTATTTTTAATTCACAAAGATATTAATTTAGTAAAAGTAAATTTGTTTACTTCAAAAAATTGTATAAGAAGGAAGTATTTATTTCTATTTCGAATCAAGAAAAATTAGAGTTTGTTTAACTAAAATTTAAAATATTGCTTAAACCTCTTAATATTTTAAGATGAGGAACAAATTGAAATAATAGCTATAAAATAACAGCGGATTAATTTAAGCTAAAATATTGATTGTGCATTTTCTTTCTAACATTATTTTGTAATACAAGATAATCTAATTGTAACCTAATAAAATCGCAATGATGATGCTGATTATGACATTTCCTATGATATTTTGTTTAATATTTAATTATTTATACTCAGAATCACTAAAACTCAGCTTAGTTGGGAGTCTTTTTCTTTTTATTCATCTGGATTTATATGCAATAATTTCTACTTTTCCAGAAATACTTGAAATTATCTGCTTAATTGGATCTAAATATTTTTATTTATAAAACTCAATGCTTTTTTTAAAAGAGGTTTATTTAGCTGGAATATATATTGGACTATGGTTAAATAATTCAAAGTAATCTGATAGCAACTACACTGTGGTATCGATAATGCTAGTAAGCTTCTTGACTTTCATAATACAACAATATTATATATTTATTAAATGCTAAACATTAGATATTCGTTCATTTAAATAGCTACAGAAATTAGTAGAATTAGATAACAAACAAATGTTTAGTAAGATATATAAGCATGTAAAAAAAGTATTAATTTATATCTAAAATGAAGATAGCAGAATTCTTCTAACATAAGCTTTTTTATATAATTTTGGAAACTGTGAAATATTTTCACCTAAATTTGCAAGAGTGTGTATCAATGGAAAAAATTCTTATTAAAGATTATGGATAACAGATAGTGAAGTGGAAAAGATATTTAGTTCATGCATTATCAAAAGACAGATTTCACCTTTGATCAAAGATATTGTATTATCTTAGAATAAGCAACAAGCATACAAAACAGCCTAAGCATTGACCAAAAGTGGAAATTTTATACACTTTTATAACTAAATAATTTATTATCAGCTTAATAATGATAACGACCAATAGAATGTATATAATTACACTCAAACATATTTTTAAGTTGTTAAATAATTTGAACAAAAAAATCTCAGCTTTACTGCTTTTTACAAACACATTTTTAATTACTTAATAACAAATCCATAATTAGTCTTGTATGATTTATATGATTGAATTAAATTATTAATGCTAAAAAAGATCATTTTAAACAATAAAATTTAACGCCTTTATTAGTTAATATCTTATTTATTAAAACTTAAATCTTTAAACTTTATTAATTTCATTAAAATAAATATAAAAAAATAAATTATTTAATTATTATTTTTATTTTTTAAATATTACAAATATTGAAAGAATTAAATTTATTTTTTTAATTTAAACTGAGAATTTCTTTAGAAATTATATTAATCTGCGATTTATGAAAATATTAGTTTTAATAAGGTAATATATATATATATATATGTGGTTATATCATTTTTTATATAATTCAAAATTTAAGATTATTTACAAATTAAAATAATTATTTTTTTTTTAGATTTACTTAATTCAATTTTTATGATTTATTTATGAAAGTTATTCTAGCTTTCTAGGTGAAATGTTTGGTTTTCTCTAGAAAAAGTATTACTTTGTATTTTATTCTGCAGTAGAAAGCCTAGATTAGTTGGTTTATGGACTTTGATTATATGATAAATATGGATTATTAAGTGTTATAGTAGGTTATATTTTATATTGTTATTGAAAATTAGAGTTTATTTAATATTGTAATGAATTTTGCATTGCTTTTTAGTTTTTTGTTTTATTTTCTTCAGCGATTGAAAGACTTCTTTACTTATTTTATCTTTCTCTTTGAGAGTTTTATCTCAGACTTTCAAATCTATTAATATCTTCGAGCTATCTGTCAAATATTTTCTTCTTAGCATTTTGCTAATCTTTTAATGTCTTTGTGTCTTTATTGTTAAATGGTTAAGTCCAAAACTTTTAGAGATATTGCTGTTGGTTATTTTCAAGAAATTACTTTATCTTTTCCTTTCTTTCTTTTTCTATTTAAATATCCCTAAAAGTATCTAAATTAATCTAGTTTCCATTAATTTATCTTTCAGTATTAGAATTTTATTAGCAATTCCCATCTTAAAATGCCATATTTATTCTTATTTTTTCATTAGTCAAAACATTAGACTCTATAGATTTTTAGGATTCATTATCAATCTTTGAATTACGATCTGCTTTAGGTTGAGCTGTTTTCATCCCAGAAAGAGGCTATATTTAAGTACTGCCATTGAACCCGGTGAGAGAGGTACCAAAAATAGAATGCTACTCAAATAAAACTGGTGTATGGTGCATATGAGCCAATTTTTTAATTTAGTCCCATGGATTACAGTATTAATCTATTCTCATTTTTCGACAATTTAAACTTCTATGCAACTTTGGTAAATAACTTAGCTTAACTATATTTTTTTCATTCATATATTCTACATTCTTTGATTCATTAATCATTAAACTAGGAATTTCTTAGAAATTTTTTGGTGAAGGTGAATTGTTAAACGGATGACTAATATTGCTTTCTCTCATTTGCTATTTATATCTGGTTACTGATAAAGGAGAGTAAACCTACTTAATTTCTATCAAGGTTTAATCTAAATTAAGCTTATTTATCTAAGGATTTTGCTTCAGTATGTTTGGGCTACACCTATTAGACTCATGGGAAGATTTAATCCTCATATTCCTTTTGGCGAAATGCTCATCTATTTCTTAATTTCCCTTTATTGTACTATCATCTATCATTTTTAAAACAAATTTTGAAAAAAGTTAAATATTTAATTAAATTGAATATAAAAAAAATATTGATTTATAAGAAGAAATACAATAACAAGTAATCACCTAAAATTATATCAAATATCAATATTTTATTATTAAATTTCAAACGTATTGATTTTGTAAACAAAAGAATTTGATTTTGACCACTAATTAATTAATTTAATATTTAGCGTAAATTCTTTTTTTATAATTTTTGTATTGTAAATTGAATCCATATATTTTTATTATATGAATATTTTTTATTGTTTTTTTAATGCTTTTTGTAATTTTATTCCTTTTTACAAATTAATTTTTTTAAATCTGTATCAAAATACTATAAAAAAGTAACTTTAAAATGAATTTGTTAACAATTTTAGCTATCTTTAATTAATTTAATTAAAATATTTTATTTTATTTTTATTTGTATTTATTTAAAAGCATAAACTTGAATCTTAGACATTAAAGAATAAAAAAATAAAAAATTCAACATAAAAATAATTTGTAATTTAATAAAATAATGGAATAATTTATTTTTTCAAATTGGGTCGTAGTGAAATATATATATGTAATAATTAATTGGAGATAATCTAATCTTAAAGCATAAAAGTAGTTAAAATAAAGTTATAATAGCAAACATTTTATATGCAATATTATACCTATACTTTTATATTGTGGATAAACACTAATTGAATTAAATTTATTAGATAATTTCAAGCAAGCATTCTTTCACTTAAAACTTAATATTAATATTAATAAAAAAGGAGATTATTTATTTCTACTTAATAAAAAGTAATTAGTTATGTCTTAAAAATCGTTTATTTCATACAAGAATAACTCGAGCTATAGAAACTAAATTTAAATTAATGAAGAAGTAAGTTGTATTTATTGACAATCTATCATGTTTTATTCCTTATTTTTTCTTAGGATCATAAATAATTTTTGAAGTTTCCATTTAAATAAAACGATTCTGTAGTAGAATCAGGAGCTTCTTTATACACAAGTAAAAGAGATTTATCTGGGAAATGCGATACCACTACTCTAGAATGTGCTTAAAATAAAACAATTTTAGAAGCCTTAAACGAAGCTGAAAAAGAAATGGAAAACGAAAACAAATTATTTAAAAAGAAAGAAAATAGCTTTTAGTTACGTTAAATGTAAAGAACCAAACAAACTATTATTCAATCAAATAAAATGTAATAATAATAATAACAATAACAATAAGAATAGAACCTTTCAAACACTTTAATTAATATCGAAGAGGTAGAATCTAAAGTAGTGCCAATCAGACTGATGAAGGTTCTTAAGCTTTTAGTGAATATATAGCATTTTTTTAGGATTCTTTCAATGAATGCGAGAATTTTTAACAGACTTACATAGAACTAGCACTATCTTATTGGGGATGTTGCAAGCATTTACTCTAAGAATTCAAACCTAACGAGTGGAAATAATATTTTTTATCTTGCATGCAACTTTTTATATTACATGATAAGGCTCGCTTAGAATTTAAATATTCAAGTTTTCAACCCTTCAAATGTTCTTATTAAAGTTTGGGATAGCGTATAATCTGTGATAATTTTATTCACCACCTTTCTTTTAAACTTAGAGCTTTTTTTCTAAATGGATATAACAAATTTTTAACCTCTCTTTTAAATTTTATTGATCGCCTCTATTATTGATATTTTTGTGGAATTGAATACTGGAGTTCTTTAAAAAGGAGATATTATTTATAATAGAAATTTCATATTTTAGTCTTACATGAAAAATACATTCTTTTTAAATGTAATTGGTAATATTCCTTTATTTTTTATTATTTCCAAAGTAGAAATAAGTACAAATATGCGAATTCTATTCAATATTTTATATATTTCTAAGTGGGTTAAAATTTCAAAGGTGTTAAAATAGATAACTTTCTACGTAAGCTATGAAAAAGACCATAAAAATCTTTTCGATCTATTAAAGCTTCTAGTTTTTGTAATTGGAATTTGCCATATTTTTTGTCTATTTTGGCATGGTTTATGCATATTTGAAATTAATAATGGATACTCAAATAATTGGATTACAAGTAAAAATCTTATTGATGCTACTATATATGAAAGGTATATTTACTCATTCTACTTCTTGGCTGTTACTATGGCTACTGTAGGATATGGAGATATTACTCCTTAAAACAGCGTCGAAGTATTATTTACAACAATCACCATTTTTGTTACTTGTGTTGTGTATGCTTTTAGTTTAAACACAATTGGTGGCATAATAGAAAACATAGAAAAAAAGGATAAAAAATATAAAGAAAATTTATAAATAATTCATGGGTTAATGAGGGAAGAGGAAGTCTCAAGAGAACTTAAGATAGAAGTTTCAAATTACATAGAATATCTTTATAAGGTAATCATTATATTTATTACGCAGCTTTAATTTCTTTAGGTGTTTATTTAATTAATTTATTCTTTGTTCTTAAATTTTCTTAGAATTTTGGATTAAATGCATTTGCATTTTATTAAGCTAGCTAAAAACGTGAAGAAAAACAAAAATTTAAATTAATAAAACTTGTTACCCTGCTTTAACTGGAACAAAATTCGTTCCCAATCACCCATCAGATTTTATTAAAATTATTACTTCTATTTAATTTTATCAATCCCAAAAACATTTTCATGTCTTAGGAATCAAATGAAATAAGAAAGAAACAGGAAAAATTAATAATTGAAAAACTCTCGACAAAGTTAAGAAATGATCTTGTTTTAGAAATATAGGGAAAATACCTCAACAATATTCCTTTATTCAAGCATATAAAGGAGAAAGATAAAATAGCAAAGATAATGGAAGAGCAGCTTTACTCACCAGGTGAGATGATATTTCACTAAGGAGATTAAGATGATAACTCGCTTTATTACATAGTAAAAGGGAGTGTTTCGATAATATTTAATCCAACAAGCAATCAAAATAGAGAAGCAAAATAAATTCACCTTATAAAAAAGAAAGAATATTTTGGAGAGATTTCGTTTATTAATGGAAATCCAAGAACTTTTTCAGCAAAAGCTGCAGATTTTTGTAGAATATATAAAATCAACCGATAATAATTTATCTAAGTCATTTAAGAAAACGACTAAGATTTTGAGAATTTCCAAATGATTAAGGAAGCATTTTAACTAAATAAAAATTATAAATTTTGTTCTATATTTTGTTCCATTTGCAAATCTGGTAATCATTTCTCAATGGAATGCCCTCGCACTCACTTGACATTAACAAGGTAAATTATAATCTCAAGGTATAACAGCTATTCTCCATAAGAAAGATCAAAATTTAAAAGAAGAAAATTTAAATTAAATTACTTATCAAAAATCGAGTAAGGCTATTTTTTTTATATAAATACTAAAATTAATTATTGTAAAATTATTTTTTAAATAAATTAATAAAGAGGACTTCTAACGGCACTTATTGAAATAAACAATTGCGAGTCTTTGTTTGAAATACTTGATTAAATAGAAAATGGATGCAATAATTTTGATGACATTCAAGATGAGATGGTCCCTTATAAAGAAAACCAAAAGGAAGAATATCTTAGGAAAATCACATTAAATTAAAATAATTTATCTGTTGATAATAATGCGAATAGCCAAGTAGAATTTTAGAAAAAACATTTGGAATATGAAGAATCTCAAGATAAAGTCTGCAATTAACTTTCTAATCAAAATAAAAATAATTAAAGTTTTGTTAAATAATTGAGTAAAGGAAATAAATTTGCTGATAAAGTGACTTAATACTAGTAATAATAAATGAAAAAATCATTTTTATACTAAGCTAGCTAATACCAAGTGATACCTGAAAACATGAATGGGGAGAATTCATAAGAAAAAAAAGTGTCTTTCTAAAATTTTTAAGAGTAAATTCCATCCTCTACTTCATCTTCTGATGAAGAAGGTACTATCTTTTCCAGTATAAAAAAAAAAAATAGTAAAGAAAATATAGATTTAATAAGTCAAAAGAAACCCCTAGAAGAAGATTAACAGATTTTAACAATTGACAAATTTAATAATGAAAATCTTTCTTAAAAAAAGAATTCTGTTATTAGTCAAAAAAGAGATTCAAATAATTTTAATTTAATTTAATCAAAGTCTTTTAATCAATAAATTTCTACTTAAATGAATGAAGTTTCTAATTAATCCATTATTAGTGACTTGAAAAATATTAATATAAATTTAAATGATAGGCAGAAAATAAATAATAACAAACAGTTAAATTATATAATTAAATCTCGAAGAACTCTTAGAGGAACACAAGATAATAACTTTTTAGAAAATATATTGAACTAAATTTCGAATATACCTACTATTTAAGTAGAAGAATAAAAGGAGAAGAATTAGACAATTAATATTGATTTTTAAAGAAAGCTTTCGAAATTATCTCAAAGCGCTAATAATAAGAGATTAAGCTTATTAAGTTAATCGTAGTTAGTCTTAAACAATAATCAACATTCTTTTTCTTAATTAGAATAGATTAATGAAGCAAACTTATAAAGAATTGGAAAAAGACCAAATGATATAATAGAATCTTCTGATTAAGTGAATTATCAAATGCTTTAAATTTTTGACAAAGCTAAAGTATTTAAATATTACTTACCTCATTTTAATTACCCTGAGATTGTTTAAAAATGGATCATTTTTTAAACAAAGAGATTGAAAATGACATCAAACTTCGTTGGAATAGCTTAAAAAAAGAAAAGATTTATGGGCAAAAGAAAATAGAGCAAAAGTTAAAATTATATTTAAACAAGATAAACTGAGGTATGAATTAAACCAATAAATAAAGAGAAAATATATTTTATTATGAAAATATTTGAATCTATACCTTAAGCTTACAATTAAAAATAAATTCAAAATAATTATAATTTCATTCAATAAAGTATATTTATTCACTTTAATTAAAATTATATTTTACAAAAATTTAACTTCTTACTGCCACAAAATGAATGAAAATGATAAATTGAATGTAATTATATATTTTATACTGTGAGGCCTCTAAATTTATAGATTTATTACAGTTATTGCTTGATATGAAATTTATGTTTTTATTTAATTCATAGAAAATTTTTGTCAAAAATGCTTAATTTTAATAATTTAACCAATTTATGGTATATTTTCAATCAATTATTTTCATTAGATTCAATAAATAGGAAAGGAACTAATGATTATTTAATAATATGAAAAAAATAAGATTGTCATAATATTAATATTTGAATTAGTAATATGCAATTTTATATATATTCTTTTTGTTGTGAAACAACAATAATTTAATAAAATTTTATAGATAATTAAAAGCATAATTTCAAAAGAGCTTTAAATAAATAGTTAATTAAAAAACAATAAGAAGAAAACCTTTCATTTGATCTTATTAATTAATTATAAAACATGTCTTAAAAAAGCATTTTTTCTTACAAAAATAACTCCAGTTATCGTAGCTAAATTCATATAAATGAAGAAGTCAGTTTTTTATAATTATAAAATATTAATATTAAATAAGTTATAATTTAATTAGTACCATTAATAGTTCTTAAAATTTCCATTTAAGTAAAATGATTCTATAGTAGAATCAGGCACTTCTTTGTAGATAAGTAGAAGAAATATATAAGCGAAATGTGATATCATCTCTTAAGAAAATTTATAAAATAAAACCATTTTTTAAGCATTAAATGAAGTTGAATAAGAAAAACATAAAAAAAGTGAGTAAGAAAAAAGGGATACTAGTTTCTCAACACTGCCAAACAATGTGAAATAGCCAAATAACACTCATACATATAGAATGCATTTAACATAGACATAAGAACAGAACATTCTAAACACTGTTTTTAACATTGAGGAAGCAGAAATGAAAGTGGTACCGATCAGACTAATGAAAGTTCTAAAGCTTTTAGTGAATATACAACATTTCTTTAGGATTATCTCCATGAATACTAGGATTTTTAACAAACTTAATTCAAATTAACATGATCTCATAGGTGATGTTGCAAGCATATATTCTAAGAACACAAAACTAAAAAATGGAAATAAAATTTTAAATCTTGCATGTAATCTTTGGTATTATATGATCTTGCTAGCTTAGAATTTGAATATTTAGATATTTGCCCCTTCAAATGTTTTCATAAAAGTATGGGATAGTTTATAATCGATGCTCATTTTTTTCTCAACTTTTCTTTTGAACTTAGAACTTTTCTTTGAAATGGATATATCACGTTTTTAACTCCTCTTTCAAATTTTATTTATTGTGTCAGTTATTGATATTTTTGTGGAACTGAACACAGGAGTACTGTAAAAAGGAGACATTATATACAACAGAAATTTCATATTTCAGTCCTATATGAAAAATACATTCTTATTAAATATCCTTGGTATTATACCTTTATTTTTTTTTATTTCCAAAGTAGAAATTAGTAATACGATAAGAATAGTATGCAATATTTTATATATTTTTAAGTGGGTAAAAATTTCAAAAGTGTTAAAATAGATAACTTTCTACGTAAGCTATGAAAAAGACCATAAAAATATATTCGATCTCTTAAAGCTTCTAGTTTTTGTAATTGGAATTTGCCATATTTTTTGTCTTTTTTGGCATGGTTTATGCTTATTCGAAATTAAAAATGGACAAACAAATAACTGGATAAATAGTAAAAATCTCATTGATGCTACTATCTATGAAAGGTATATTTATTCTTTCTACTTCTTGGCTGTCACTATGGCTACTGTGGGATATGGAGATATTACCCCTCAAAACAGTGCCGAAGTTTTATTTACAACAATCACCATTTTTGTAACCTGTGTTGTTTATGCTTTTAGTTTGAACACAATTGGTGGAATAATAGAAAACATAGAAAAAAAGGACAAAAAATATAAAGAAAATTTATAAATAATTCATGGATTAATGAGAGAAGAGGAAGTCTCAAGAAAACTTAAGATTGAAGTCTCAAACTACATAGAATATCTTTATAAGGTATTTGCACTTTATTTTATATAAAATCACTATTTATTGTTCTTTATTATTCTGTTTAATATAATATAAATTTGATTGTTTTTTGTTTACTTATTTGAATAAATCCAAGTTTTTTTACCGGATTTACATTCAGCAGCTTTAGATTAAATGTTTTTGCATTTTATTATAGCTGAGTAAACTATAAATAAATTAGATGGTTTTTTAATTACTTTTTTCAATGAATCAAAATTTTATTTGCCAGATTTTCAATCAGCTTTAGATTAAATGTGTTTATTTGCATTTTTTTTTATAGCTTAATAAATTATAATTAAAAATATAAATTTAAATTGATAAAACAAGCTTGCTACCTTGTCTTCTGAGTGGGAATAAAAATTGTAATTGCAATCAAATTATTTTTATATTTTTATTATTATTTCTTTTTTGCAAATTTATTTGGTATTTATTATTTTCTTGACATTTATAATTTAAAATAATATTAATAACTTACTTATAAATAGGAATCAAACGAAATACAGAAAAAGTAGGAGAAATTAATAGTAGAAAAGCTTTCTACTAAATTAAGAAATGATTTAATTTTGGAAATTTAAGGAAAATATTTAAATAACATTCCTTTGTTCAAGCATATAAAGGAAAAAGATAAAATAGCAAAAATAATGGAAGAACATCTGTATTCACCTGGTGAAACAATATTCAATTAAGGTGATTTAGATGACAGCTCACTTTACTACATAGTTAAAGGAAGCGTCTCAATAATATTTAACCCAGAAAATAACCCAAATAGAGAGGCAAAATAAATTTAGCTAGTTAAAAAAAAAGAATATTTTGGTGAGATTTCATTTATTAGTGGCAATCCAAGAACTTTTACAGCCAAAACTGCAGACTTTTGCAGAATATACAAAATTAATAGATAATAATTTTTATAGGTGATACAGTAACATGATTAAGATTTTGAGAATTTTCAAATGATAAAAGAAGCTATTTCACTAAATAAAAATTATAAATTTTGTTCTATTTTTTGCTCCACATGTAAATCTGGGAATCATTTTTCAATAGACTGTCCTCGCACACATTTAACCTTAACAAGGTAAATTTTAATATCAAGACATAACAGCTATACTCCTTAAGAAAGAGCTGAATTTAGAAGAAGAAAAGCCAAGTCAAATTTCTTCTAAAAAATTGAGTGAGAAATTAATTAATTAATTAATTTACTATTTTACTAAAAAATTAATTTTTCTGAATAAAATGGTTTTTATATTAAATTAAAATAGGATTCTTCGCAGCGCACTTATAGATATTAACAATAAAGAGTCTTTATTTGAAATTTTGGATTCTATAGAAAATGCATGTAATATTATTGATGGAGCAGATGAAGATATGAATATTCAATTCTTAGAAAATCAAAAAGAAGAAAACAAAAGGAAAAATTAAGTTGAAAATACATAAAAATAAAATATATTTTCAATTGAAAATTTAAATAGCTAAATAGAAAATTAAAAAAGAGGTTTAGGTATTGAGGAATCTCAAGATAAAATTCAAAATCAGATTATAAGGTAAAGCAAAAATAATTTAACTTCAATTAATTAAAACGGTAAAGGAAATAAATATGCTGATAAAATTGCAGAATAATCTATTGAGAGTTAATCTTCTTAATTTAATGAATCTGAGTAATAACCATCTTCTCCCTCTTCTTCTGAAGAAGATAACAATTCTGTCTGTTCCTTTTAAATTAAAAAACGATAAGCCAGTAAAGATAATATGTAGATAACTAAGGTTATTCAAGGATAAGAAGAAGAATAAAAGTTCATAATTGATGGATAAATTAATGAAAATTAAAAAAATAATGCTTATTAATAGCAATAAAGAAATTCAAGCATTTTTTATAAATTAAAAGGTAGCAATTAGTAAATTAACACTTAAATGAATGATTGTTAATCTTTAATAAATGATTTGAAAATTAGCAACAATAATGATAAATAAAAGGTTGTTAATAATTTATAAGTTAACAATATAATTTAATCAAGGAGAACTTTGAGAGGTACAAGGGATACAAACTATTTAGAAAATGTTTTGAAATAAATTTAAAATAGATCTTCTATACAAGTTGATGAATAATCTCATATGAAAAAATTTTCGAATATTAGTATTGATCTCTAAAAACGTCTTTCAAAAATGTCTTAAAAAGGTAGTCAAAAAAATATAACCTTATAAAACCCATAATAAATACCATAAAATAATAGTATTTAAAACTCCTTGTCATATTTAGCATTGATCATGGATGATAATATTTAAAAAAATGGTAAAAAAGTGAATGATATAACAGAATCTTATGATTAAGTAAATTATCAAATGCTTTAAACCTTTGATAAAGCCAAAATCTTTAAATATTATTTGCCTCACTTTAATTACCCTGAAATTGTTTAGAAATGGGTGCTATTTTAATCTAAGAGGCAATAAAAAATCTCCAAATCGGTTAATATTGCTAAAAAAAAGAAAAGATACCTAAACAAGATAAAACAGAAGGATAGCTTTTGCTTAATTAAATGAAATGTGATAATTAAAATATAATAAATTTAATTATTATTCATTCATTCACTTTATTTAAAACATGATCAAAAAATATTTATTTCAATTTCTGTGCACATTATTTTTACAAAAATGTTCAATTTTTAAACTAAAACTTAATAAACTGTATTTATTACAAACAAAAATTGATAATTAATTATTCTTTCTAAATGTTAGTTTTATTTTTTTTAAACTTCAAATATTTATATTTATTATATTTGTTTATACTAAATATAGATCTTTAATAAATACTGTCTTTGATAATAAGAAATTAATACATTTTTTACAAATATTTTTTAAAAGTAATTAATTAATTATTTATTATTCCTAAAACATTATAAAATGTATTCTCAAAAAAAAAATAAAATAAAAAAAACTTTAACTTTGCAATAAATATCATAAGATAAGAAAAAAATATTTAAATAAAAAGATTAGTTTGAAATTAACTAGTTCATCACCTTTTTTAATGTTTATTTTTTTCTTAAATTCTACTTTTTTTAATTAAAGAGAAAAATATATTAATTAAGTAAATCAGATATATTTTTTCAAGTATAAGCAATATTGAAATGTGCTAAATTTTTTTTGTTTTAAAAAAATTACTTTTGTTTGGGGTCATTTGAGTGATTTTTAACTTTATCATTATAGCTACTATCATTTGGATTTTAAATTTTTATACATTAATTTAGAATGACTATTAAAGTAAGTTTAGTAAATTTTCAAATTAAATTTTATTAGAATTAGGTATCAGTAAGTTTGTATGTAGTATTTTAAATTAACAAATTTATGATTATAGGTCATAAAATTTCAGACTATTTTTACTTTAGGATTAATTAACCACTTAGTATGCATAATTTTTAAAATATTGCTTGATATTAAATAAGCAGTAATACAAAATTTAATTAAAAGTACTTGCTGTAAGAGGCAAAATGTAGCATTAAAAACAATAGGGATTATGCTTTTAATGGCATAATACATTTATATAAATGTTAGAATGTACAATATTTGTGATAAATGACCTTCTTTTAATTAACTTAGCTCTTTGATAAATCAATTTTTTTTTTTACTTTAAATTATAATAATCTGTTTTCTTGTGTATAGTTTATATACTGAATGTAATATTTATGTTATTAACAATTAATTATTTTTTTAGATTTGTAATATAAGAAGTGAATAAAATTAAGATAAAAAAATAATGTCTCAAACAGATTGTAAATTTTACAATGATTAATACAGAAACAGAATCCAACTTTATGAAGAGGTTTGAATTTTCTTGTAATATTTATTTGACTTATATTAATGTAAATAGGAGAATAAGCTATTTTAAAATATGCCTTATAAATGTGATGACTCCATTGTAGAATAAGAGCCTATTTCTTAGATCAGTAGATTTGAATAAAATAGGTACGAAGAAATGCAAATGAACACACAGAAGGGAAAAGTTAATTTTTTAGATGAGGATAATCAAAAAAATGGATAAGATAAATCCAACTAAAAATTAGGAAAAAAATTAGATAATAAGACTTTTTAGACTTAAAGAACTCGCCAACGATCATCACCTAATAATATAAATAATATGATTACATAATACTAAGATTAAAGTTTAGCAAATACCATAAACCTAGACGATGATGATGAAGAATAAAAAGCTTAACCTATCAAGCTTATTAAAGCTTTAAAACTTTTAGTGAATATTTAGCATTTTTATAGAGTTCTCACAAGTAATGTAAGAGTTTTGAATAAACTAACTCATAAGTAGCACTAGTTGATTGGAGATATTTCAAGCTTTTACTCAAAATCCTACTAGAAAGATAAGGACAAATATTATTTTATAATAGGAAGACTCTGGGCTAATCTTACTTAAAAAATTGAAAATATTTACATTCCTGTATTTCAGCCTTCTAATAAGCTAATAAAAGCATGGGATAGCTTTTTATCGCTATTAATTATGCTATTTACTTTGTTATTAAATTTGCAGCTATTTTTTGGAATGAATATTAGTAACTTCTACTTGCTGTATAATGTCTTGATAATTTTTTCTATAATTGATATTATCGTAGAATTAAATACTGGTGTGGTTCAAAAAGGAAATGTCATTAATGATAGATAGTTTATATTCAAATCTTATTTAAAAAATATATTTATTTTTGACTTATTTGGAAATTTTTCATTACTTTTATTTATTATTGAATCTGAAAGCTCTGGTTAATTAGAGCTTCTAATTAATATTTTGTTTCTTTTCAAATGGGTAAAAATCACTAAAATTTTAAAAGAGGCAACGTATTATTTCAGCTATGAAAAAAATCATAAAAACTTAGTAGATCTCTTAAAACTTCTCTTTTTTGTTATTGGTATTTGCCACATTTTCTGCCTTTTTTGGCATGGATTAGGCTAATTATCAATTAACAGAGGTGAAACTGATAACTGGATACAAAGCAAAAATTTAGTTGATGCAAACACCTTCGAAAGATATATATATTCTTTCTACTTTTTAGCAGTAACTATGGCCACTGTTGGGTATGGTGATATAACTCCTTAAAACGATATGGAAGTATTATTTACTGCAATCACTATATTTGTCACATGTATAGTATATGCATTTAGCATAAATACAATAGGTAGCATCATAGAAAATATTGAAAAGAAGGATAAAAAATACAAAGAAAACCTTCAAATAATACATGGTGTTATGAGAGAAGAAAATGTCTCAAGAGAATTAAAAATAAAAATTTCTAATTACGTCGAATACCTCTACAAAGTAATTTGCAAATTTCAAAAACAAACAATAAAATTAATTTTGTTCATTTTTAATTTTTTAAGAATAAAATATTTTCTTATAATCTTTACTTACTTATTTCATGTGCGTTATTTTTAAAGGATGAATGAAAGGATATTAATTTACTCAAAAGCTATGGATGGATTCATTATAAATCCTTTCAAATTGTGATTTCTTTTTTATATATTGATGGAATTTTAATAATTAAAATTAATGTTATTTTTTAATTTGAACATTCATTATTAAGTTAATTTTTACATTTAAATTAGGAATCTAACGAAATTCAAAAGAAATAAGAAAACCTGATTATAAATAAATTATCAGCTAAGTTAAGGAATGATCTTACTTTGGAAATATAGGGAAAATATCTGAATAATATTCCGTTATTTAAAAATATCAAAGAAAAAGATAAAGTTACAAGTATTATGGAAGAGTAATTGTATTCTCCTGGAGAAATTATATTTAAATAAGAAGAATTGGACGATTGTTCTATTTACTATATAGTGAAAGGTTCTGTAGCAATACTTTATCATTAAAGTAATAAAAACAGGGAGGAACTAATTATTGCTATCAAGGGAAAATCAGAATACTTTGGAGAGCATTCTTTTATTAATGGAAAATCCAGGTCACTTACTGCTAAAGCTACAGATTTTTGTAGAATATACAAAATAAGCAGGTAAGGATTTTAATAGGCTATAAAATAATATGAATATGAGTTTGAAAACTTTCAAATGACATAGGAAGCCATTTTATTTAATAATAATTATAAACTATGCTCTTTTACTTGCTCTATATGCAATTCTTCAAATCATATACCAATGAACTGTCCAAAAACTCATTTAGTTCTCACTAAATAAGTTGTTATTTCACGCTATAACTAATGGAATCCTCATTTACAGAGAGAAAAGTTTTATAGAAAATAAAAAAAAACCCATGTTTTAAATCAAATTTAGTAAAATATTTTTTTTTTTAAATAAAATTTTAACTCTACTTAAAATGGTAGTAAATACTATTTTAAAGGATGAATAAGTAAATTAATTAAAGAGAATTTAATCTTTAAAATTAATTAAAAAAAAGATTACTTTAATAGGCAGTTGAAGAAATTAATTGCCATGAGTCTTTATTTGATATTTTAGATTAGTTAGAAATAGGACTTGGTATAAGTTATATGCATATAGATTCTCAATAAGCTTCTTAATCATTAAATTCCTTAACAAAATTGGAAGAGAAAGTTGATCCATAAAAAAAATAAGAGACAAATAATTAAGATAACTCATAAATGAATTTTAAGTCTTAAATTTATTATGAATCTGATAGCTCTAATAATATAGATTAATCAAAATAGGCTTCTAACTCAGTTGGATATAATAAAGAAAAAACTTCTTCAAGCTTTTTGCAGAAGAATCTAGACTCAAATTTTAGCTAATAATAGAAAACAAAAAGATCGTTTCAGCCTACTTAATAAAGCTTTTAGAATAGTGAATCTGAAATAAAATAGAATGATTTTTCTTCATCTTAATCTTTAGATGATTAGACTCTTACTTCTTTTTCAAATAAAGATACATATTCTAGAGATTATGAGCAATTAAAATAAGTTATGATTTAAATTGAAAATGGATAACGATAATTAGATTATGAACAGAATTCTTTTTAAAAAGGTTAAGATAAATTGTAAGAATAGCAAAATTAACAAAAAATTATTCCAACCATAAATTATCCAACAAATAATAAATCAACTTAAGAATATAAATAAAAATTAAAATCTAAGTTAGCTTAAGAAACAGAAACATTTGAAGAAAGAAACCAATTGGATTAGAAGCAACAAATAGAATAACTTTTATCTGAATAAGTAGAATAGCCAAATTTACAAATAATAAGAAGTAGAAACAGCTTTAAAACTGCTTTAAATTAGCAGAATTAAGAACAAATTAAAGAAAATTAGAATATATAAAATGGTAATAGAAGAGAAAGTATATTTGCTGATAATTAGCATAGAGAAAAGCTATTTCCAAGCTAATAAATGTACAATGCTCTAAATTTAAGAGAGAGAAGAAGAAGAAATTAAATTGATGTTGTCCAGAATTCAATTTATGCATTTATCAGCCAATAAAGTTAAAAACAAAATTAAGGAAAAAAATTTATAATTGATGAGAACCTTTAAGATTAAAAGCCCAAGAAAAAATTTTCAATTAAGAACTTTCAAAATAATATGAACTTAGAGAACTTTTCAAAAAAGCCAAGATCATAGATTGAACAGATTCTAACTAATGAATATGTTTCATCTCTTTAGAATGCCACTGAAAGAGGTACTTTTCCTGATAAAAAAATGATTAGTGCTTTTGAAGAAAAAATACAAGGAATTTTAGAACCACCTGATCAAGTTAATTACAGAATGCTTTAAATATTTGATAAAGCTAAAATATTTAAATTTTACCATCCCTCCTATAATTATCTAGAAATTGTTAAAAAATGGATTAAATTTTAAGAAAAACATTAAAATAAATACGCAAATTTAAGTTAGAAAAGAAGCAGATTTAACAGCAAGTCTAAAAAATTTAATCAAACTAGTATTTGTAAATACTATGATATGTGAAATTAAATAATATTTTTGTTATTTTAAAATATTTAAAAAATTATTAAATTTTATTTGTTTGTAGTTTAGAAATTATTTAATTTGTTTGCATAAAATATTAATTAATGACAATAATTAATTTGATATAAAAGATATTAAAGACAGACAAATAAATGGCTTAAACTTTTTTTACCAGTAAAATTCAATGCTTTTATTGTCAATTTTCAATTGACTTTGAAAATATAAAATCAATATGAAATTGAATTATGTTTTCTTATCAATAACTAAATAAATTTATGCATTTCATTTAAATGAAGCTTTTATATCATCTTTTAAATAATTTAAAAAACATATTTCAATTTATGTTAGCATTTATTTTTTGTTACTTATTTCAATAAAAGCATTGGTTGATTTGTTATTATTTAATTAATATATATAATATTTTTTAAAGAAATTAACTTTAGTAAAAACAAGCATGGATATAAGCACTTCAAGTTACAATAATAATTAAACCTATAGATGTCAAATTCCATTTAGCGAGGAGGTAAGAAAATTGCATTTGTTTATCCCTTAACATAAACTTATTTTTGGTAAAAGGAGCATAGAGTGATCTAAAATTTTCCTTTTAAATCCAATGACTCTGAAGTAGAACCAGAGATTTTTTCATAATTTAGTAGAAGGTAATTATCAACAAAGAGAGAATTTAGCAGCCAGGAGAGAAATCAAAGTGAATTTGAAAAATCTGCTATTATAATCAGTCGTTAAAACTCAAGACGTAGTTTCCAATAAGATACCTCTTAATAGTAAATCAATACTCCTGTCAAAAGTCTTTTTCGTGCTGCACTGACTAAAAATATTTCATAATTAATGGATTAAAGTATAATACAATCTGTAAATAACATGGAAGAGATGGAATCAAAAGTATTTCCTGTAAAGCTGGTGAGAGTGTTAAAGCTGCTGGTGAATGTTTAGCACTTTTACAGGATGCTAACAAAAAATGCAAGAATATTTAACAAAATAACTTAAAAATAGCATGATTTAGTCGGAGATGTTGTAAGTGTGTACTCTAAAAATAAAAAAAATGTAGAAGTTCTTGATAAAGGAAAGTTTAGTAAGTTAATTTTCAATATATTTTATCACTTGACCCTGCTATACTAACTGATCAAAATTCCTTTCTTTGCTCCTTCTGGCTTGTTAATAAGAATATGGGACACTTTACTAGCAATCCTCATTTTATTTTCTACTTTTTTATTGAATCTTTAGCTCTTTTTTACGATGTAAATTTAAGAGTTTAAAGTTCTCTTTTAAACTTTATTCATTTTATCTATCATTGATATTTTAATGGAGCTAAACACAGGTGTCTTAAAGAAAGGGAATATCACCTATAATAGGCAGTTTATTATCAAGTCATATATTAAATCTAATTTAATATTTGACATACTTGGGAATATGCCTTTGTTTGTTTTTGTATTCAATATTGAGGTCACAACTAATTTATAAGTTATGATTAATATTTTGTTTATATTCAAATGGACAAAAATATTTAAAATTCTAAGATGGCTTACTTTTTATGTAAGCTATGAAAAAAATAATAAGAATGCATTTGATCTCTTTCGGCTTCTATTTTTTGTGATTGGAATATGCCATATATTCTGTTTATTTTGGCATGGATTAGGTTTATTTGAAATTAACAACGGATATACAAACAGCTGGATTGCCAATAAAAATCTTTTGGATGCAGATATTTTTGAAAGGTATGTTTATTCATTCTACTTTTTAGCTGTTACAATGGTAACTGTAGGGTACGGTGATATTACTCCTTAAAATTCTATAGAAGTAGTATTTACTACTGTAACAATTTTCGTTACTTGCATAGTTTATGCATTTAGTCTTAATACAATAGGTAGTATTATCGAAAACATAGAAAAAAAAGATAAAAAATATAAAGAAAACATGCAGGTTATTCATGGACTTATGAGAGAAGAAAATGTTTCAAGAGATTTAAGAATCAAAGTATCTAATTATGTAGAATATTTATATAAGGTAAGCTTTTTAAACAATTTTATTTATTCTTATTCTTCTTTTAATTGCTGAAACTAATTTTTCTTTTAATGTTTGTTTGTTTTGGGGGAAGGCAGTTTCTATGGAATAAAAATTTCTTTGAAACTTCTAATGTTTATTTTTTATAAATCTCAAAAATGAAATTAAAAATTCTTTGAAACTGCATCCCTCGAATGATGTTTTAGTTTTTTGGATTCCCGAATAGCTAGCTAGGAAAGTATTTATTTCTTTAGAAAGAAACATACATATTTATTTAAAGTTAAGCAATTTTAAAAGTATATTTTGAAAAATTAATGCATTCATGCATCCTTTTGTTCAAAGTTTTACAGTTTATAATTAATTTTCAGAATAATTATTTTGGTTTTAAAATTAAGATAAGTTTTTAATTCATTAAAATAAGCTTCTTTTTTTTTATAACTAAAAAAAGGAATCAAATGAAGTTTTAAAGAAATAAGAAAAATTAATAATAAATAAATTATCATAAAAACTAAGAAATGATCTAAGCTTAGAAATTTAAGGAAAATACTTAAGTAATATTCCGCTGTTCAAAAATATTAAAGTAAAAGATAAAATATCAAATCTTATGGAAGAACATTTATATTCTCCTGGAGAAATCATATTTAAGTAAGGTGACTAGGATGATTGCTCTTTGTTCTATATTGTAAAAGGCAAAGTTTCAATTACTTTTATCTCAGACAGTGAAAATTCTTAGAGGGAAGATTTAATTGTTTCAAGCAAAGGAAAGCATGAATATTTTGGAGAAATTTCGTTTATAAGTGGGAATCAAAGAACACTTACAGCTAAAGCGTCAGATTTTTGTAGAATCTATAAAATTAACAGAGATAAATATATTCAAATAATTAAAGAAAATGACCAAGACTTTGAGAATTTTTAAATGATTAAAGAAGCAATCTCTCTAAATAATAACTATAAATTCTGCTCAATATATTGTTCTATCTGTCAATCAGGAAATCACTTTTCAATTGAGTGTCCTAAAACTCACTTAACTTTAACAAAATAGGTAGTCATATCACGTTATAATAATTGTACCCCACATACTGAACGAGCTTAATTTGATAGAAAAAGACAAAAATTTAATACTTATTCTAGATGCATGTAAATATTCTTTTTCTTTCTATTTTATTTATGCTTAATTTATTAGTTAAACAAACAAAATAATTTTTTTTTAAATAAACGATAAAAAAACATTAACTTATTTATTTATTTGTTTGTTTGCTTGCTTGTTTTGTTTTTCTTTCTTACTCAAATAAATTTGTTTGGTTCAATTTTATTTATCTCTTCAAATTAGGGTTTTTAATTATCTAATAGAATTAAATTATAACAGCAAGTATGATTATATTTTTAATAGTTAATTTAATTAATAATAAATAGATTGCTTAGATAAGCTGTAGCTGAAATTAATTAGCATGAATCACTATTTGAGATTTTAGATTAAATAGAATTTGATTGCAACTTAGGTGATATTTTTGATCTTGATGAAGTTTCGGATGGTGAGAGAGAAAATACATCTAAAATTTAAAGAATAAAAACTTAAGATAGCCAAAAAAAAGGAAATAACTCTCCAATATAAAACTAAATTAACCAAGAAGAAACAGCTAATGCTTCCAACGATTTTCCAAAAGCTAATAGAATGAGAGTTTATTTGCAAAATACTGGGTCAACGAATTCATTATCACCAAGAAGCAGTGATTTAAACAAATATCCACAATAGATTCAGTAATCTAAAAAGTCTTAAATGTGTGTATCTAATTTAGATGAACCAAAGCTTAGTGCATCTGATTTAAAGTCATCAGATGATGATGAAACATCTTCAAATTCTTCCTCTTCGTCTGATTCATCTAATAGTAAAAGTAGTAGTTCATCAGTATCTTAAAGTGATAAAGCAACTTTATAAGAAAATTCTTTTCTAAAATCTCCCGAAAGTAGAATCCAAAATAAAGCTGAATAAAAAAAAAAAAAAACTTCTATTGCTTATTCTCCATCTAAATTAAAATAGCATAATAACGAGAAAGGGTTAGATTAACAATAATCTAGCGTATTTAATTACCAAAATACTCATAAATTATCTTCAACTAACCTACAATCAAAAATCTAAATAGAATCAGCTGATAAAATTGAAGAAAAAAATGTTTCTGAATAAAAAATTCTTAATAAAAATCAAGATAAAAATGAATTAATTTAGCCATCTACTAATAACCATAGTTTAAGTAGTTTTTCATTAATTAGTAATCATATAAATAATGAAACAAATCAAATCTAACAGTAAACACCATAAATAAATGATTAAAAGTCCTAATCTTTATTATAATCAAAAACGATAAATGCAAGGTTATCCTCTAAAAATAGAATATCGTAATAACCATAAGACAGAAGGACTATTAGGGAATCGAGAACCATAAATTAATATGATTTAATTTAATAATCTATTTAAGCATTTATGAACCAACAGTAAAGGCATAAAAGATAAATTACTTTTCAAGACAAAGAAAATCATAAAAAATAACAACAACAACAACAACAACAACAGTCATATTAATAGCAAAATTAATATTCTAAAGGTCTTTCTAATTAAGATAAAAGATAATCTTCACATAAAAATCATTTAGCCTCTATATTTTATCCACCTTAGCTTCTAGATGAAAATATTTAAAAGTTAGAATAAAAATTACAAGAATTTACAGATCCTCCTGATTTGGTCAATTACTAGATGCTCTAAACTTTTGATAAAGCTAAGATTTATAAGTATTATTTACCTAATTACAACTATCCTGAAATTGTTTTAAAATGGGTTTAATATTAGAAAAAGCTTCAATTAAAACACAATCTATCCCGTAGATCATATTAAAAGAAAAAATAGCCAAGAGTTTAGACTAAAAGAAAAATTACATAATAGATACATAGTACTATTGTCTTAAATTAAAATGTATAATGAATGATTAATAGTTAGTTATACAACTTAGAATCAATTAATTCCATTTAAATATTTTCTTTATGACAATATAAGTATCTCTTTATATACCATATATATATTATATTTTATACACTATAAACTCTCTATATAGCTATTCTCGAATAATTATTTCTTGAGTAAGAAATATAAATTAAAAAAAAATTTTATTAAATCCTATAAGCGAATGTTGATTTTAATATTTGATGTTTTATAGTAATTAAAAGTTAATTATGGATGAGAATAAATACTTATTTGTTTGAATTAAAGGTATCAAAATAAATTATTTTAATTTTTGTTAACATGGTAAGAATCCTGTTTCAATTATTCTTATTAACATTAATTAAATCACAATTTATATAGATTTGATATTTCTTGTGAGATCTAATTAATATTATTTTAATGTATTTGTTTATAATTATTTTTTTTTTCATAAGACAATTAAAATATATCAAAGAGATAATTAAATTAATATTATTTAGATAAAAAATATTTTTTATTAAAACACAAAATAAATAAATATAATTATTTATAAATAAGATTTATATTATAGTAGTTAATTTTATTTAAAATTTATTAATGACTGACATGTTAATTTTAAAATATAAAAAGTATTATTAAAAATAATTTTATTGATGTAAATCTTATTATAACTATTAATAGTATTTATTTAAACTTACTTGAACAATATTAAAAAATAAATTTAAACATAAAAAACCTTAAACATTTTAATTGAGATACAAAAATAATTTTTTGAAACAATAATTTACTCCATGTTTATTAATTTTTATTACTTTTGACATAAAGTAAAAAAATAAATAATATATTTTTCTATTTTTAAACCAAAAGAAATTATTAGTTTTTTTTGTTATTTAAATTTATTTTATAAAAGATTCATATGCTTTTTTAAATATTTTAACATCTTAAAGAGGTGGTTTTAAAATTAAAAAGAATTTCAGATTTTTATCCTATAAATTAAATTAAAATTGCCAGCCGATTTATTATTATTTAAAATTTTAGAAAAAAATACCTGGATTTAAATTTTTAAAATATTATAAAATAAATTATTTTATAAAAAAAAACAAAAAAAAAATAAATAAAATTTCTAATTATTTTATATTATTAATTTATTTTAATCCTAAACTGATTACAAAATAATCTAAGACTTAACATAATAAATATAAAAACTTGAGTACTATTTGTAATATGACAAGTAAATAAAAATGATTAAATTCAAAATAAAAATTACTAGGAAATCAAAAAATTAAGTTTTAAATTTTTTTATACGAAAAAGAGGTAAGTAAGTAAACATAGGTTGGGTGGGGAGTTGATTCAATAGTTTTCTAAAAAATAGATAGATAGATTGATTGAATGAATGAATAATACTGATTGATTGATTATACAAATTAATAGCCTTTTAAATCTGATTTATTTGATGGAAGAAATTAATGAAATAAATAATTTAAGTTGAGAAAAAAATATAATAAATAATTAATATATTTCTAATTAAAAAATATACAAAAAAAAAAAGATAAACTAGAAACAAATTTTTTCTATATGGAAGATATAAGAGTAGAAAGTTAAAATTTGCTACATGAAAAAAATGAAGAGGATTTTATTGAAATGAATATTTTGAAGTAAGGATGTGGATTTGGATTATTAATAAGTGATTTTAATGAAGCTGATGAATAGTAGTAGGTTGATAGGGATTTTAGTAAACCCTTTTAGGTTGTTAAATACTATAAAAGATATAATAATTTTTTAGGGAAAGTTGAGGATATGGCTGTAATAAGCTATCCTATGACCGAGATGATACCTGATAATATCCCAAAAGCTTTACTTTAAAAATATACGAATCTAACCAAAAAACATGAAAACCAAAAAGACTTGAATAATTAAAACAAAGAAAGTATGTACGAAAATAAAGATATTTAATTGGGATTTTCTGAAGAGTAAATAGAAAGTTTAGACGATTTAAATGATGATGATAATTGTGAGTGGACATAAGCTTACAAATTTTGCTAAAATTTTGAAAAATTAATTTATTTAAAAGTTGATTTAGAAAGTCAAATTTAGTTTAACAAAATTTTGGGTTAGATAAAGTAGAAGCTTTTAATTGTGGATGATAAATATATTGAACCAAGAGGAGAAAATTTTTTGAGATTAAAGCATCTGAGTTAGCCAGGAATTAATTATATTAAATATAATGGATAATATCTTATTTAATTCCAAGATTTATAATAATTAATGATTACGTTTACCCGCCTATTTATGGATAATTACAATCCAAAACTAGATAGAAATTTATTTGAATTGTTTAAAAAAGGTAACTATATTATTCAAAAATCTAAACCTATTTCTGTTTAAAAAATGGACAGTAAATTTTTCTAGTAGCGTAAAATGGAAAAATAAATCGAGAGAAAATAATCACTTGAGTAAGAAGAGATTTAGCCTCATAAAAAAAAAATGAGTAGTCGTGAAGAGGATATTTAGATGCTATAAGATTAAGATGAAGAAGAAGTAGAATAAAATTAATGCGAATAAAAGTCATACAGCAATAACGATATGGAATAATCAATAAAGAATTATAATTATTTAGATAAATAAATTTTTGTGAAAGATGAAAGCAGTCACAATATCACATAATCAAAAGACACAGCTGAGACTCATCTAAATTAAGAAAAAGAAAATAAGTAAGCTGAGCATACTGAAAATTTAATTCCCCAATCTTGCTATTCAAATAAGACCCCTTTTTCCATTTAAGAAAAACAAAAAGACGAAATAATAAATTAACCAAATGAAAATTGCAAAGGAATTGTTTTGAAGCAGGAACAATAAACTGAAGAAAATGAAAAGTAAAATATTTTTTGCTTTTCTTTTTTTTATTTTTATATTTTTTATTTAAATATCATGCAATAATTTATTTATTTAATTAATAAAAATTAGTGCTTAGAAAAATGAAAATTGGTAATTCATTCATAAGAACGATTATTGCAAAAAAATGTTGAAAAATAAATAATTTATTGATAAATTCAAACAAAAATTACAGAATGGTAGCTAATTTCTTAAAATTTTCAGAATTAATAAATTTAAATCTTTTGAATAATTTTATGAAGATCATCAAAGTTTATATGATTAAATTTATTTAGCTTACCACTCCAAGAATTCCAAATAATAAACTGATTTACTTAAAATTAAATATAAAAATAAATTTAAATAACTTTTTCAATAATTATACTCAGAATACAAACCATGAGCTAAGATATAAAAAAGAAAAAAATAAATAAATATTTTGATTTTAATTAAAATAAATAATTCAAACAAATTATAATCGTAATCATCTATCTACAAAAACAATTTTAATAAATTATTAAAATAATTAAAATTTTTAAATCTGAATTAAGAATCTAAAATGTTTATTTTAATACACTTATTCTAAAAATAAATAATAAAAAAACCTTTATAAGCTTAAAGATTTTTTTAAATATTTGCCTTATTTATTAGTTATTAATTGATTGTCTGCTGATATTCACTAATTATTTCTAAATGTAAACAAAAAATAAGTTAATAGAAATGCTATTTTTAAAATTGATATGAATACTACAAGATTATTTTAACTAAATATATTAATTAATAATCAAAATCTGTTTATTACTGAAAATTAAAATTACTCTTTTCATTTATATATTTATGCATAATTAATTTAAATTTTATTCTTAATAGTTCTTAATTATATTTTTAACTAACTTTATGATATAATTCTTTTTACTTTGTATATTCTATGTTTAATTTGTTTGTAAAATGTAGGAGCAAATAAATTTAATTAATTTTAAGTAAAATTTTTAAATTATTTATTTACAAAACTTTTTAATTAAAATTTTTAATTAATTTTTGAATTAAAATAATTAAGCTATCTATTTATTTTTTTAAATCTTTTCAAGTTAAAATAAATATTTTGAATGAGGGAGGAGTTGAGTCAATAGATTTTATTGAAATATTTTCATTTAATTATTAATTAACTAATTTTTATTAATTGAATTGAGATTTGTATTTAGTTTTTACAACAATTTATCAAATAAACTGGCTCAAATATTCATACATAATAAAAAATAATAAACTGAAAAATTTAATTTTTAATTTATTTTTTGATTAATTGAAATAAAATATTGATTGACACTCACAAAAATAATAAATAAATAAATATTAATCAATTAATTTAATCTTATTTATTGATATAATCAACCTTCCAAAAGATTAAATAAATACTCAGCATTAATATTCAAAATATATCTAACTAAATATAGAGACAATTTTATAAAAAAGATACCTAATTAAGCTTATAAATCAATAGGTAGCTTGAGAAATGAATTAGTAGTAGCTTACTTAGACTTTTAATAAGTGCATTCAAAATGAAAATGATCTTTGGCTAAACTTTTATCCCTTTTTGGATAATGTAGAACAAGAGTATTTATTTATTTAGATAGATCATAATAATTCTAAAAATGCTAACTAAACATAAATGAATTTTAACGTTTTTTAAATTAATTAAATAATTAGTGTCGTAGTTAAGGTTTTAGTCGATAATGTATAGTAAACAATAAAAGATTAAAAGATTAAAGCTGTATAAAAATATTATTCTCTATAGGTAATTTCAAAAATAGCTATCAACATATTGACATATAATTTATCTGTTAATTACAATTTATTTTATTAACTAGCTATTAAAATCATGCATCGTTAACAAAAAAGCAAACAAGCTGGCTGAATATACAGCTAAAAAGTTATTGCCTACCTTAACAGAAATAGCTAAACACAACAAAGGATCTAATGATCCTAAAAGAGGTTAAAACGTTTTTGGAGCTGGTTAAGGTAACTAATCAATCAATCAATCAATCAATCAATAATAATAATTTCTAATAATAGCAAATAAATTAACTAAAATTTGAATAAATTTGTAACAAAAATTATTTTTTTTATTTAACTAAAAAAGACAAAGATGCTTCAAACGATTTTTTCTTCCTCCTTTTAGAAAGTATTAAAGCGTGGAGTTTAATTTTTGCAAATATTCCTGAATTTTAGAAAAATTATAATTCTCTTACTAAAGAGGGTGTTATATTTCCTAAGGAAATGATTAACTATTAAATGGAACTTTAAGAATTAGGAATAAATCCTTCAGGCAATTCTTCTGGCTAAGCTTCTTATAGTAACATGCAAACTCCTTAACAAAATAATAATTAAAGAAGTTAACAAAACCAACAGCAATAATTAGATCCATAAACTCAAGAATAAGTAAAAAAGTTGTCTAAATTCCTTTCAAATATAGATTAGAATTTAAGAGTTATAGATAATGCTGATCCATAGTATTTAGATTTTTAAAGTAAAAAGCATAATTAACAAATAATTATCAACATATTTAAAAAATATTATAAATTAAATAAATAGCTCTTGAACAGTGCATAGGACCTTTGCAAAAATAACTAAGTAAAATTTCAGAGCCATTAATTTTGTAAGTATTATAGATGCCTTAAACTTAAGAAACTGAAAACTTACAAAAAAAAATGTTTGAGGTCAAAGATTTACTAGAAACTATTATTAAGCAGTATCAAAAAACTGCTGAAAATCCAAAGATATTTCCTCAAATTATTTCAAATATAACTTCACAGATTTCAATTTATTTACAGTAATTTATTATATTTTTAATATTAAGATATTCAATTTTATTTCAGTTTTAAATTTTTCAATTATAAAAGGATAATATAATTTATTGTTGTTTGCAAACAAATTTCAATCGTCGTTTATTATTATTATTAAAAATATTTTTATTTGAGTTATTTAAAAACGAAAGTGAAAGTTAAAACTTTTTGATGAAGTATTATGATATTCTAATAAATACTCATTATTTTTCTAAGTTCTAACTGAGAAATAGCTTCTCTTAACGTTTTTATCTACTTTAGATTTATTCTAATTATATATTTTATTTAAAATTAGAAATAATGCTGATAGCACTGGAAGCTAGATAATGCAACAAGCTCCTCCTCTTCAGCAATAATAACAATAACAGTTTTAATAATTTTAATTTGATCAACAACCAAAATCAGCGAGTAAATCGAATTTTAATGATTTTAATAACTTTGGATAGGGATAAACATCTTTTTAGTAGAATTAAGATTTTGCTGGTGCTAATTAATACGCATTTGATAATTTTAACGCAGCAGCTCCTTCATTCAATTAATAGAATTAACAATAAAAGTAAGGATTTGATGGTTAAAAAGATGTATTTAGTGAATTTGGTGGATTTTAAGGAACAGATCTTCCTCCATAATCAAATAATACTTTTGACTAATTTGGTGCTGGATTTGGCTAACCTACTACTCAGAATAAAGGAAATTAAGACATGAGTGGCTTTGGCTTTGGTTTTGGAGAGTAACCAACAAACTAATTTTAAAACTAATAACAACACGATGATGATCATAATGTTCAAAAATAATAAGCAGCTTTAGATCCTAGTCATTTTGGATTTGATACCTAAGCTAATTAAATGTAATAAAATGCAAATATGGGTTAATTTGGATTTGATGATCACTCTTAAAATTAAGGAGCTAATTAATAATATTCAGCTTAACATTTTGGGTTTGAAGAATAAAAATAAAATACAATTAATCAAGCATTTTCTGGCATAGAACCTAACCATACTGATAATTTATCAAGAAAAGCGAGTGTTTTTGAAGATAAATCTAATTAAAATACAAGTTATGATTAAAACAAAAACAACCCTTTTAATGATCATCATTCTTAAAATTAGCCTTACGGTTTAGAATAAAATAATTTCGGGTTTAATAATCAATTTGAATAATAAAATCAAGCAGCACACCATGAAGGAAATGCTGATTTTTTCTAATCTTAACCTGGCAAAAATTAAGTTAGTAACACTGGAGAACAAGATAACCATGATACTTAGTCTTAGAAATCATAAAAAAATCAAGGCGATCCCAATTAAAATGCGTTTTCAAGTAAAATGAATATAATTTAAGTTAATTTATAGTTTTAATATAAATTAGCTTTATTAAATAAATGTGCTGTAAGTTCTTTTTAATTATCACCCATTTATATTAACATCAAAATTTTTTTTGGAAAATATTCAAATTATAATCAAAAATAAATAAAAGGGTTGATGAGTGTTAATTTTTAAGAATTTATAATATTTAAAATTATCTTAATTAAAAATTATATTTATTTATTTAAATAATAATTTTAATAAATAAGCACAAAATCACGATATGTATTGGGGAGGAGATTATAACAATTATAATGGAAATTAAAGCAATTAAATAGAAAATCATGAAATCAGCCATAGATAGTCTGAAGTGCATAATGAAGGTTAAGTTGAAACTACTCAATAAATACAACATTTATCCTAAACAGATGTGTAAAATTAATCTATGTCAAACGATTAACATAAAGTAGGATACGATCATAATGATTATAACCAATAATAACCGGTTCATACATAGTAAAGCTAGGGATACAATAATAATGACTATGGAGCTTATGGATGGAACGATCATAATCAACAAAATTAATGGGGTGATCATAATAATAACTATGGAGGTGACACTCACAAAAATAGTTAAAATTTTAATGATGTGAATTAAAGCTACAACTAAGGACACAATAATGTTTACAATGATTATGATCATTATGGGTATAATTACAATTAAAATGAATATAATCCATCTGCTGGTTAAATTAATAATACTCAAAATAGTAGAAGACCTAGTTAAACAGATTTCAATTAGCATAATTATAGCAGAAAGTAAAGCTAAACTTTTAGTTAAGCAGGAGGATAATAGTAACTTGATGACTAAAAAAAGGATAGCTAAAGTGTAAAAGATAGTGTTTATAATGCTGGTCTAACAGACTCTCAATATGATATGGTTTTGAATAAAAATAATAGTGCATATCTAAAATGGAAATAAGAATAAAATTTTTACAACAATCCTATAATCCCAGATAATGATTACCAAAACAAAGACTTTGATTTAAAACCTGTTGAAAAAAATGTTTATGATCCAAATGAAAATTATGACATTTCTCCTCCTCCTCATTAACATGAACCTCAAAACGCATCTTATTTAGATATAAATAAAAATGCAGTAAACACCTCTATGAATGCAGCCAATAATGCACCTATGAAAACTGAAGATCTGTTTGGTTAAGATTAAGGCAGTCAACGTAGACAACCAAGTCAATAAAGTGATTACAATTGGAATGCAGGTGCATAAGTAGCAGGAACTGGGGCAGACACAATGAGTAATTAAGGCAGAAGAAAAGACAGTATATAGAGTAATTCTTAAAATAACTAAAATGTTAACTAGAATCCAGGTTGGAACGACAATCATGGCTTTGACTTTTTTAATGAGCCTGCACCTTAATAAAAATAGCCTAGCAACTCTTAAATTCCTCAAACAGATTTCTTTTAAGGTTAATTTTTATTATTTTTAAATCTTTAAAATTATTTATTTCATAATAATTTAGATTAAGTAAAAAAGCAAGTTTTTTTTTGTTTGATTTTATGAAGAAGAGCATTTAATGAATAAAGCAATTTATATTTAAAACTCAAAATTAAATAATTTTTTTAATTAATCAAACACCCTTAATAAAATAGATTAGGTTGTTGATTTAAAATGATTAATATAAATTTTATTCTTATAAATTAGATAATACAAGTTAACAAGGAAACAATAGCAAGAATTTGAATAATTCAATTCACTAAAGTAACAATAATGATTGGGGATAAAATAATTTTGATTAACATTATGACTTTAATTATAACGGTGGATAAACAAATACAAACGCTAGTTAGTAAAAGATGGATTTTCATGATCCAGTAGGTTTTGAGCATTAATAATCATAGCATCAAAGCTAATCTAACTAAAATTAACATGATTTATTTGGAAATGATTTTGTGAATCCATCTTAATAGGTTGTGTAATAATAACCTTAAAATAATGTGTAATAAAATAATCAATTTGATTTTTTCGATGATAATAATTAAAATACCTATTAGCAGTAAGCTGCTCATCCAGAAGTAGAATAAAAGCAATGGTTTAATGATATGAAATAGCCACATGTCGAAGATGATTTCTTCAACAACGTTGGTTCTAAATAATAGTCTTAACATACTAATTAAAGTGCTGCAGCTGCTGCTGTACCTGCAACTAATACAAACTTTTTTGACGATTTTGGTACAACTCCTACTCCATAATAGTAGCCATAGCAGTAAACTTAAGTTCATGACAATCAATTTGACTTTGGGGCATTTAATAACTAAAGCTAACCTTAAGCCTAACCAAGTGATTTATCAAATAACTAAGCACAATGGAACTAGCCAGATGGTTATTATAAATAATATTAAGAGGATCCTAATTAATAGAAGCAAAAACCACCTGGTTAGGTAGACTTGTTTGATATGGCAGATGCTCCAAATCCATATTAATAGCAACAGCAACAACAATAATAAAATTAGTTTAACTAACATACCTAACAAAGTCAATAATAAGGCTAAGGAGAAGGAGGATTTGATTTTTTCGGATTATATAATTAAAATAATACAAACTAAATGATGAATATGTCATAATAATAACAGCAACAATAGGGAGGTTTTGGTTTCAACCAGTAGGGATAGTAATTGTATTAGCAATTTTAATAACCTAGAGAATTAGCTTAACCTGGTAAGGCTAGCAATGTTGGTGATATACTGCCAGCTTATTAACTTTTTAACAAAATGGTGAGAGATGGAATAGTCTAGACAACAAATGAATTTGACAAAGCTAGAATTGGCATGAAAACCTATAAGATTTTAGAAGTTTCTCCTGAAATCAGAAAAAGAAATGAAGAATTTTATTAGTAATTAAACAGAGAAGAAGCAATTAAAGGTTTTATGGATGAGTAGAAAAAAGAATTATTAAACAAAAAGCTAATAGAAACAGATGCTGATAAATCTTCTATAATTGATAAAAAGCTAGAAACTTTAAATGTCTTTTAGCTTTTAATTATTGATAGATAAGATTATTTAGACCCTCTTAGTCAGTTGATTGTTCCAAAGCCAGTACAAACTTTATCAAAAAGCACATTCGATCCATAGTTTTAATCAATTGTTGGTGCAGTAAAATATTTTTTTAATCATTTTCATTTTGACATTAAAAAAATTTTTAGGAACAAAAAGAAAACTCTATAAAAGAGATCAAAGAGCTAAATCAGCAGATAATTGTTCTATAAAATGTAATTTTTTTAAATATTATTTTCATTCATTTTTATTAATTCTGATAACATAAATTAGTTAAAATATTTACTTTTTAAACAATTTTAATTTTTATGAAGAAAATAAATAAATTGTTATTTAAGTGAATAAAATAAAATTGATTTCAATTAAAAAATAAGCCAAAATTGAAAACAATCAATTCTTTATAGCTTTAATTTTTAAATGATATAAAACTGTAAAGAATTCTTTTATTAAATTAAAGAAATTTTGATTTATTTTAACAAAATTTAATATTAAATTTGATAATAAAAGCAAATAGAATAAAGAAATATTGATGAGTAAATCTTAACTAAGAGGATCGATGAGTTGTAAAAGGATTTATTTAGTTCAAACAGCAATGTTGAGAAACTTAGAAAAGAATTGGAAGGTTTATTATCAGACCATGATAAGATTTTAATTTCAGAGAAAGAAGTTAAGAAAGAAAATGAAAAACTCTTGAAAGAAATTTCGATTTTAAAAGAAGAATTAATAAAACTTAAAGAAGATAACACAAAAATTTTAAATGAAGCAATCGATCCTGAATATATCAAGAAGTCTTACCTCAATAATTTTTCTCCTATAAAGAACGGCTCAGATTAAATTGACAGCAAATTAGATTTAGATCCTTAGAGTAAAAAGATTTTAAATACTGTGAGATAAAGGTATAATGAATACCACAGTGTGTAAATTAGTAGAACTATGAGAGAAGGTTATAAAGTAGTTGAAGAAAAGGTTAATTCCTCTAATTCACTAGAATTTGCTAACAAAGTTACAAATAACTTAGATAAATTACTTAAATTAAACTATTAATCTTCACCTTATCAAGATGATGCTTTGGTTTAGATGATAGGAAATAAAACAATTAGATAAAAGCAAAAGGAGAAAAATAAGATTTTCTATAATACAACTTAATTTAAAGAGTTAGTTGATTTACCAATTTATTAAAAGGATAGAGAAAATTTAGATAATTTTAAATATTCCTGTCTAAATTCAAAAGCAATTCTATATGAAAATACTTTCTTGTAGATAGGTTCCATAACTTAATTTGAGGAAAATAAAGTTTCTAGACAAAATCTCACTTTGAGCCTCCACTTTATTAATAAAACATAGAACGCTGTTCAATTTACATTCAACTTCGCCACTAATTACAGTAAATATTTCTATCTAAGTTTATAAATTTTCATCCTATTTTTTAAAATTAAGAAATGCTAAAACCAGGCTGTGAAGTTAAAGATCCAGTAACTATAAAAGGTAAATCTTAAAAGAAGCATACAGTAGAAGCTTAAGAGTTTGATATAAAATAATCAATCCCTCTTGTTGATATAAATATTGTGTAAATTAATTTATTAAATAAAGAAATGAAAATATATACTCAAAACTATTTTTAAAAATAATTTGTAAAGAATTGACTAAGGCAATGCAGAAGCAAGAATAGCAATTCCAATAGCTTTAAATAAATTTATGATTTTCTAGCCTATTGATTAAATGTAGTTCAGATAAAAGTGGCTCAACTTCAAAACCTCATATATTTATAATGAACCTAGGGAAATAAATGAAAGGTTCATAAAAAATCTTAGTGATATCAAAAGGTATTTTGAATGCATGATTGAATTAAATAATAGATAAAGACCTCTTCGTTCAAGATATGGAGTTTCCTTTAGAATTAATGGGGTAGGATAATTTTTGATGAAAATATGTCTTGTCAACAATTCTAAACTAACATTCAAAATAGCCACATATGATTAATATAAAGATGTTGCAGAATACTTGTGTAACTATCTTTGTTTTATCTTCACAATCTGAGATAGTACTTTAATTTTTATAATAAATATATTTAACCTTCTTTTTGTATCAACTAATATCCATCAATCCATGTATTCATAATTTAATATTTTATTTTTGTGCTTTCTATTAAAAAAATTAATTGTTTACATAAATATTTATTTTATTAAGGATTTCTTAATTATATTTTTAATCATTATTTAATAATACAATGTATTTTATTAAGTTTTTATTTTATTAAAATATTTTCATATACTAATTTTTATTATCTTTTTTTAAATTTATTTAATTTATTTATTAAAAAACATATTTTAATATTTGAGAATATTATAATATATAATAAATACAATTAAATAATATAGTAAGATTTTGAAAAGAAATAAATTCAAAAGTAAATAAATTTCTATGAATTGAAATATATTTCAGTTAAAATAAAAATTATTAATAATTTGAATTATAATAATTAATTAATTATCAAATATTACTTCAAGAAAATAAATAAACAATTTCGTTTTTATCGCTCAAAAATTAATTAATTAATTAGTATATTCTCTTCGCTTTTTGATTTATATCCAATTTAATACAAAATACTTATAAACTATCATAAACCTAATAGCTAGTAGTACTTAAATAGCAAAAAAAATTCTTTTAAAGATGAATTACCAAGCTCATGCAAAGGGTGGGAATCAATAAATACACTCACCTCGCTACCAGTAATAGTTAACACAGAAAAAATAACCAGAATATATTCAATGGAGCATTGAAACTGCAAAAAATGAGCATATTAATCAAAATGCAAAGGTCTTGCCTGCTACTCCAAAGAAGGAAAACTCTAAAAAAAGGATTGAACAAAGATCTTAAAGCTAACAACCCTAGAGATTGTCATTATAAAAAGAAAATTAGATTAACAATGCACAGATATTAAGTCCAAGTTAATTAAATAGTGCCTTATCATTGAGATCACCATAGTCTTAAGTATCTACCTATCATCAATCACTACCTTCAAATGTAGAAATTATTATTTAGATTGAAATCATTCATTAGGGTTTTTAAGATGAAATTTATTTTAAGAATTTAAATTGATTTTTTTTAATTTAGCAAAAAAAGAGCAGCAGCTTACAGAGAAATCACTACTAAGAGAAAATGGAAAAGGAATACTAACAAAAAAATTATGATAATGTAAAGAAATATTTAGATTTAGCGAAAATAAATAGAAGAGTTACTGCCAAGTAAAATTTTATTAACTTTTAAATTTAATTAATTTTTGTTTCTTTATTTGATTATTCATCAAGAAATGAATGCATGAAGATTTAGTGGATGATATTTAATTATATTTAATCAAATTTATAATGTTATTTTTTATTTTCGCTATAACTAGTGATGTGAAAAAACTTGCTGCAAACCCTCTTTCAGGCATTAATACAAATTTAAAGCAAGCATTAACAATGGAAGGAGTCTACAAAAGAATTATTAAGTAATATAATAAATAAATAATCTATAAATATAATGAATCTAATTTATTTATTTATTTTCAAATGATTTGCAGAGAAACAGAATTCAAGTATTATGATCATACCTCTTAAATTAATCTACCGATCAGTGTAATTTATTGTTTTAATAAATTTGTCTTTTCTTTAATTTTTTGAATTCTTTTTTCATTTAAATTAATTTATTGTTCCAGTGTGCTAGAGAAGAAGAACATCCCCATGAAATCTTAAAATAAATTACTCCTACTACACGCTCTATGAATAATGGAAATCATGCCAGTCAGATGAAGCATTACTTAGATGATGCATCACAGATAATTAATTTACCAGGCAGTATCCAAAGAGTAGTACCTAATGTAAAACTTATTAATGATATGTCAATATTCTTCATATTCATATATAGCTAATTGTTACATTTATTTTAATTAATTTGTAATGAAAAATAAATATTTATTATTCATGGGAAGGAAATAACTATTTAAAATAATAGAAAAATAACTTTATTTATTTATTAATTAATATAAAGAGTGCGACTTCAAGGGATAAATAAGTAGATAGATTTTTGTTGCCTTCTGCTTTGTCAGATGAAATTGCAAAAGCTAATCCAAACATAAGATATATAGTAATTTAAGAGAAAGGATTGATTAAATATTTATTAAAAATGTTAATTCATAAAAGTATGAAGAACGTGGTAAAAAACAGTTTGAAGGATACAAAAACAATAACTAATTCCATGTCTCAGTTTAATACTTAGTAATTATTTATTTAATTAATTAAAAAAATAAATTATTTCAATTATTTAATAATATATATAGCCTTCCTATCCTGTGAATGAAAAACAGCCAAATTACTTAGCTTATAAAAAAAATGCTTCTACTTTGAGGATATTTTGATTTAAAAAAGAAATGTATTGATTATGAGTGAAAATTAATTTAGTGTATTAGTTATTCATTCATTCATTCATTCATTCATACCTTCATGCTCTATTTAAGAAGTATATATTTATTTATTTAGTAAATAAGTAAGTAAGAAAAGAGAAAGAATTATATTACAGTAAGAGTTTGTTTTTGATTATCATAAAATAAATTATTTGTAATTAAAATAGTTATGATATTAATGATAGTTAATTAAAATTATAATCTGGAGAAGAGAAAATATTAAATTTATTAATGTGATAGATATCAATTTATATTTAAATATATAATTAATTGTTTATAGTTTTTATGTAAATATTTTATTTTTGTTTTTTATATTTTTATGTACCATAAACCAGTGTTTATTATATTTTTCTTTAATCCAAATAAAAATTCATTTTTATTCATTTCTTATTATTTACATTATTAAATTTTATTGTAAAATTCTGAGATGCATACATACACACACATATTTCATTACAAGTGCTAAGTATGCAAGTAAGTTAATTAGTCTATAATAAAGAGAAATTATATATTTTATTAATAAGATCACTATCAATTTATATTTAAATACTTAATTATTTAGAGTTATTATGTAAATATTTTATATTTTTATTTATTTAGATAAATATTTATTTTTTTCATTTATATATTTATTTATTAAAAAAAGTTATTATATTTTCAATTTATTTCATTTGGCCAAATCATAACTTAAATTATTTCATTTTTTATCAATAAAATTGTTAAAATTTTATTTCAAAATTCAAAGATAAAATTTAACATTTACATTATTACTAAAATATCGAATGAATGTATGTTAGAAATCCAAAGGAAAACTAAGATCCAATCATATAAAAAATATATTATATATAAATATTCCATGAGAAAATAATTAATTATTTAAACTTTTTTTCATTTCTTAAGTGTAATCTATTTAAAAATTATTTTATAATTCTTAAAAAAATATCCTGAAAAATAATTTGTTAGTTATGATGCTTTTAAATTAATTTAAGTCTAAATTAATAAAGAAATTAATAGGGCTTACACTTTAATAAAATTAATTTGGCTTATATAAACAAATTAATTAATAAAAGAAATATCTGAAATAAAAAATAAAAAAATCACCTCTATTAATTTATATTTTTGTATTTAATCATTAATAGATTTAAAATTTTTATTCAGTATTTGTATTTCGTTAAAAAAGAAGAATGAAATAAAATATTAAAAAAACATTCTACAGCATAGAAGAAGTATATTAATTTATAAAAATTAACTCAACTCTCCTTTTCTTAAATAAAAAGTATTTAGAGACAGATATTGATATGCAAGAAATAAAACTACTTATTTTATATTTAAAGTATGTACAACTTATTTATTATTTTTATATTAATTTTTAATTGATTGTTTAAAGTAAAAGTAAAATAAATGATGCAATAATGTCTGATCTATGTAACAAGCTAAGAGAAAGCATAGATCTTTATGATTTGAAGCTATTTTTGAGGTAAAAACATATTTATTTATTTAATCTAATTCTAGTTATTTTTTTTTTTCATACCTAAAGTGAAAACAAATTCGGATAGAATAGTTTCTCTATATTAGGCTTAGAGCTATAAAATATAGTTAACCTCTAATCTTTACTTTTAGATTTAAAGTAAATTAATTTTTATATTTCAATTTTAATTCAAACTTTACTAATTAATTTAAATTTAAGGTAAAACAAATTAAACAATGAGAAAATTAAATCTTTAGCTGAAACATTAGGAAAATGTTAAAAATTGGAATCACTAATTTTGTATATTGAGTATTAGATCATTTTATAAATAAAAAATATTTATAAAAATATTTTTCATTAATAAGCTAAAACCAAATAACAAATCAGGGTGTAGAGTACTTAGCTTTTGGCTTAAAAAGATGCTTGAATATTAAAACTCTGGAAATTGATTTATCGTATAAAATAAAAATTATTATAAATAATATTGGGTATTAATATTTATAAGAAATATAGATATTGGTTCAAAAAATCTAAATTAGTTATTCTTTGAACTTAAAACCTGTGTTAACCTTACAAACTTGAGTTTACGATTAAGGTTAAAAAATTTAGATTAAAATAAATGTTTATTTTATTATTTTAAAATAAATAAAGTTAATGTAATATTTCTTCTCAAAGGCATATCAATCCATTTGAAGGATTAAGAAAATTCTAAAACTTGAAAAATCTTAATCTAAATCTTTAGTAAAAAGTTTTAAATCAAAATATTTATTTTTGATGTTTAAATGTTTTATAAAAACAGATGCAATTAAATTAATGATGATCAAATTGTTCTATTAGGAATAGAGCTAGGTTTTATAGCTAGTTTAACGAGTCTATTTTTAGGCTTCTAGTAAGATTAAAATACTCTGATATATTTTAATAATATTTGATAAAAGTTTTAATTAGATAAGCACTAGTGGGTATTCTAATTTTATTGAAGGAATATCAAACTGTAAAGGCCTTTTTACTCTTAAATTGTATATGGGGTAATAATTTAATAGAAACCTATAATGTTATTCAAATTTTTTACTAATATTTATTTATTTATTTTTGTATTTGCTTTAGTTAAAACATGATTGGAAATGAAGACATTTTACTGAAAGACTCATTTAGTAAATTCCAAAACTTAAACAATTTCATTATTGATTTGAGGTTAAATAAAAAAGTTTAATTTAGTTAATTATATTTATAATTCTTTAAATTTAATAGTTCTAACTAATTCACTTTGTTGAATGCAATGTAATTATCATATGAACTGAAGTAGTCAGAAACTTTAACATCGCTTGCACTTAACATGAGGTTAATTATTTAAATATTTTTAAATCGAATTTTAAACATTTACATATTTATTACTAGTTCTAACAAATTTGGAAGTGAATAAACAAACAAAATCATAATAAACTTGAAAAAGATAAAAAAGCTTGTTAATCTGTAAACATATTTTTGATAAAAGTAATAAATAATAAGCTAATCTATTATATTTATATATGTCTATAAATAAATATGTTTTATTCTAATTACATATTTTTTGTGCTTTTGAATTCTAAATAAATAATAAATTTATAAGTATTAACTTAAAAGTAGAAATCATAATTAAAAGTATCCAATAGAACATTTTAAATATTTAATATTTATTTTTTAAATAAATTATTTTATAAAATCATTTCAGTAAAATTTTAAAAATGACAAGATAAAAATTAAACTTAATTTTATGGTTCTTTTGTCAATTATTTTTAAAAAAATTACCTATAGATTTTAATTTTTAAATTGAAATTCATTTTCATTATGCAGAAATTTTTATATTGAAGGGGTTGGAAAAAAATAAGTTTTAAAAATAGCATTAAAATATTTACTATAATGAATATAAAGATAACCCTTCTATTTCATATAAAATTTTCTTTTTAGGGGCATAACAAAATAACTCACAAAATGTATTTAGGATTTTATGGGTTTGTTAGTAAAAATTTAGTTTATTGTATATTTTTTTAAGGAAAAGTAAAAAAACAAGCAAACAAAATTTTTATCTGATAAAGTTCTTAAATACTTTACAAAAAAGTTTTTAATTGAGATTAATTATGAGTTAATCCGAATTCGCATTATATTTATAACTTTTCTCACATATTATAATTTATTATGGTGATTATTAATGATTATTTTACAGGCAGGATTAAAATTTTATAATAAAAAAAAACTATTTAATTTTAATTATTTTATTTAATCTTAATTATTAATTTCCTTCTTTCTTTACTGCAAGTAAATTTTAACAGAAAATGCTTTCGAAGAACCTAAAATATAAATAGAATAATTTATATACTAAATTAGCTTTTACATTTAAGAGATAGCTTGTTGGCGAAATGAGTAATTTTTTTATTTTTCTTTGTAAATTTTAAAATTAAAAATAGCAAAAATAATAAAAATGAAAAATTGTTAGCAGCCAATAATAATTCAACACCAAGACTAGGTTGAAAATAATTAAAAAGGCGCTTTTTTTATTAATTAGTTTTTTTTGGGTTTCAGAGGTTTAAAGGAGGTCAATCAATTAATTTATTTTGGTTATTACATAATAAATTCTAACAAAGCGAATAAAAAATTAATTGTGTGATTAAATCTGGCTTTTAAATAGTTTGCATTAGTTTTGAAGTGAAAAATATTTGTTATGGAGAAGTTAAGCGTAAAAATCCGAATCTGAAGTAGATTCGGATAATTATGAACGTTTAAATAATAAAGTAAGGAATTCTTCGCTTTTACTAAAAGTAATGTAGATAGACCCCCTTTTCCAATTCAAAATTTATAATTTGAGGAAAAAGTGAGGATAAATTTTTTTTTGTTTGTTTTGCTTTATGAAGACAGCAAAAATTAACAAAAAGTAAAGTAATTTGAAAAAAAAAATTATATTGTTTTTTATCAAATTTAAGAATTTCGAATTTTGCTAAAGAGGCGCTAAAAAAAACTTAGAAATAATTAAAAGGAAAAAATCAATCAATAAATAAATATTTTCAGTGTGATTAGCAGCTGCATTAAAAAAAGCAATACAAAACCATTGATAATTGTCATTAAATAATTAAATCTAAAATTAGATAAAACATCAATTCATTAATTAATAAATAAATTGTTTGTTGCTGATTAATCCATTATAAAATCAATAAGTAAAAACAATAAATAAAATAGAAGCAAAAATAATTATTATATTAATTAAAACATTGGTTTTTATAACAAATAACTAAACAAACAAACAAATCAAATTAAAGAAAACACAAAGGAATTATTTATTTAATAAACAATTAATAAATTCCATAGTTGATTGATAGATTAATAGATAGATAGTTATTTCAAAAATATAGTAAAAATCAATAATTAATTTATTATTAATCTGTTAATATCGATTCTAAATCGCGCAAAAAAGTCTTATTAAAACAAAGAAGTAGTCAATAATCTAATCCTACCTGCCTACCTTCACTTGTTTTACTATTTATTTATTTAGTCTAGCTCTTCAGTTAAACTTTGATATGGTTTAAAGACAAATTGATCAGTTTTTTAAAAAAAGCACTCCTTAAAAAGGCTGTGCTCCTTCTCCTTTCAAAAAGTCTTAGGAGTCTCAAGATGTTCACTCTTAAGACTCCAACTTGAGCCTCTAGCATGTTCACACTCCAAATTCAAGCTAAAGACTTTTGTTTCATGATTCAACTTCCAGTAATCCTAATAAGCGCACATACTCCTAGTTACTTCAGCAAAGTCCTGAAAGCATTTAATCAGAAAATTCCCTACTCAACTATTTTTCGGTTCAAAAAATTAAGCATTCAAAAGCCAACACTCTAATTAGTTAGAATAATGAAGATATTTGCCAAGAAACCTAATCGTCTATCTTAGATTTATTAAAAAATAAGAAACAAAAGCTGAATGAAGACTCAAACAGTGTATTCACTTACTTAAGGCAAGACAAACTTGAAGATTCAAGGTAAAAATTTTGATAAAATCTATAAAAATAAATAAATAAATTCATCTATCTAATATGCAAAAAGCTCTTTCTTAATTTACTAAATATTTTAATTACTTTTGCATTCAAAATAAATAAAAAGCAAAGCAAAATGTGTCAAATCAAATCAAATCTATTGACAATATTTTACTCATTTAAAATAAACAAGCTAAATCAATCAATTGCAATTATTATCAGTCAATAATATCAAGTAAAGCTTCTTAAATATTGGCTGGTCTAAATAATTTTAAATATAAAATACAGCAAAGTTAAATCCACTCAATTAATTAATAGATGATATCCAATTAAAAATACTCTTTAAAAGATTTCTCTGCAAGTTATGCTATTTAAATTAGTTAACTTAAACCTAATTTAATCAAAAATGAGTAATCAAAATATAGAAAATACTTAGCATACAACCTTTTCCATTTAATAATTATAATAACTAAATAAGATTTAATAAAATAAATATTATAAAATTGATTGATAATATTTCAAATAATTTAGCCTTATTCTTTTTGGATATTTTTATCCAATTTCTTCTTTATCTTTCAAGCCAGAAAATTTGTTGAAATATTTTCTAAAATTTTTAAAATGATAAAATGTTTCAAATTAAGTCAGTAAATTTAAATTCATTTTTTTAAAACTAGACTTTTATTTTCTTAGTTGAACTCATTAAAAAATATCGATAAATTTGCTGAATACTAACCAAAATGGACTCTCCCAATTAATATAATGCTGAAAATTTTAAGCTTCTTAGAGATGAAGGATTTGTTTATCACTATGTAGGTGAATAGAAATTGGAAATATAGTTCGTAAAAATGCTTAAAAAACTATCATTTATATTTCCAAGAATTCAGTATAAATAATCTAACAAAAACTCACTTTAATTACCTAAAGAATAACTCTGAACTTATTCATATAAAATACATTACTCAGCTCTTTAAGAAACAAAAAATTGATTCACTTTTTGAAATATTTAAATTTTCATTTAAGCTGTCTTAAGACTACAATCAAGATAAATCAGACAAAATGTTTGAAACCATCATTATTTAGGCTGATTCAAATCGTTTAAAATATGTAAGTGTAAAAACTCTCAAAAAAATGCTTGAAAAAAGCAGAAATTCCATAAAAATTCTTTGTATCAAAAATTTAGACCTACCTAAAGAGGTCTATCAATATATCCACAACTGTCGTGAACTAGAGGAACTTTATCTCCAAAACAATTAGTAAAAATTCATATAAATTTCCATTTATTCTTAAACAATAATTTTCGTCAAAAATTGTATAAATATGTTAAAAAATATTTAAATAATATGTTCAAATCAAATAAAACTGTTTAGGGAAATAAATTAACAATATTAATATATAATAAACATCAAACTGATTGATTAATAATATTTTATTAACTAGTGAAATTGATGATAGTATTGTACAAGGCATTAGCAGTAGATGTAAAAAGCTTAAAATTCTGTAACTTTCTTACTGCCCTTTAATAGAAGATTAAAGTATAGATTGTATTTCAAGTATATCGAACTTGTAAAGACTTGATCTGAGCAACAATCACAACTTAAAATTCTAGAACATTAGCAAGCTTTAAAACAATAAAAATTTAATTTCTCTAAGTCTTAAGAATACAAAAATAAACAATCAATGCTTAGAGTCTTTGTTGAATAGCTTGTAGAAAGTTAGAAGATTAAATTTAGATAGTAATTTATTTATATTTTTAATCGAATATTGAATTAAAGTTTTTGAAAATATTAGAATCCAAGGAATTTAATTTTTTGACAGTAAAAATATTGAATACTAAAATACCTAAATCAGTGAGATTTCTTTCAATAGATGAAAACAATGTTTTTAGTGAGAATTGTAAATTACATTTTATAGTCACAACAAATTAATATTCTAAACTTTATTATTTTGAATTAATTTTTAGAAATAAATGATCTACTTGAAAAAAACGAAGGTATCTTACGTTTAAACGTGACCACAAATTGCAACTCTGAAAGAGTCTAAATGAAATTACTTTAAAATAAGCTCAATATGATTTTTAAGAATATAGAATCAGGGATCAGGAGATCTCAATAAAGTGTATTCAACATGCTAAAAGCATATAAGAATAACAAAATTAATTACTTTATTATCGAGGATTGATAATATCCTTGATGAGTGCAAAAACACAACCAACTAAAAAGAAAATCAATAAAAATTAAAATATTTAAAATTTAATTTAATTAATGGATCTAATCAGATTCACTAATAATTTTCAAATTAATAACTCATATCACAACTTAAATGCCTTCTAAAAATATAAATAAATAAATTAACTAATTAACTAACTAATCAACTAACTAACTAACTAACTTTAGACTATAACTAACTTAATAATTAACAAAATTAAATATTTATAAACTTATAAATAATACAAATTTATAATTAATATTATTACCTTGTACTTTAAATATTAACCAATAAAATATATTAAAACTGTCTCGAAAAATTATAAAAAACTTCTAAAACATTAATATAACTTGTATCTTTATGAAAATGCATATTTATTTAATCTACTCAATTATTTTATAAACTAACTTTGTTTCCATCTAAATCTATCTCAAATTAAAATTACTACAAATCAATATTTTTTCAAACAATTAATTATACAGAAATATGCAAGAAATCTATTTATAATGAATTACTTTACTTTGCCAATTTTTTTCATTCTTAGGTATTTTAAAAGATTTAAATTATGTCTATTGAGAATATTTAACTTTTATGAAAAATGAACTATTATTTGATTTTAAATTTTAGAAAAAAAATAAAAAACTATTCGTTAAAGAAATCGAACTTTATAAACTTTTATTGGATTTTAATTTATTAAAAATTAATTGGTGGTGTTTTTTAGTTTTATTAAAAGTTTTTAATTATTGAGAAATGCTGAAAATAAATCTGAATTTTAACTAAATTGATAATTTTTTATGATTTTTTGAACATAAAATTAAAATTATAATAAAAATGTTAAAGTTTTATTCAAAAAAGCGATATTTTTAATTCCAAAAATACTTAAGATAAAAAATTATGCTACATTTATAAACTCTATTTGATTTTTTCTTTAATTATTTTATTTATCTTCCTACATCTTTACTTAATTCAATAAAAATATTTTTATAAAAATTAAAGTAATTACAAAGCTTTTACTTAATAGAAAACAATTCAAAAACTTATTAAACTTACCATTTTAGCCATTATTATTGTTAAATTAATTCTAATTTTGAATATCATATAAAAATGTGTCTTGTTTATAAGACATTAATTGCTTAATATTTTTGATCCTTTAAAGTGATATGAAATAATTTAGTTATAAGAATGGTTAATTATAGATGAATCTAATGCTAAAATCATAATTAAATGAAACATTTTTTCATTTAAAATAATCAAACAATTATTTTTTTATAGCTAAATTATAAATAAATTATGAAATTAACAACTTTTTAGAAAAATGATTTTGAATGATAAAAAATACTCATTTGCATTCTTTTTTACCTTTTTTTATTACTTTGATTAATTTAAGGGAATATTTTTTATTTTTTAATATGATAGCAAAATCAATGTTATGTTTTCTACTTGTATTGATTTTGTATTCATAATGAATGAAAATTAGTTATTTTACAAAGAAGATTTAGGTTAATTTTGATCTCTTATTCTTATTACTGATGAATTATAAAGATACACACATTCATTTTTGAATGGAAGCAACTTTATTTATATCTAGGCAGTCAACTTTAAAAAGATATTTTTTAAAAAAATATAATATAAATTAGGAGCTAAGATTTTTTGCTTACTAAATGATTACTTACTTTGAGTTTGTGATTTTTGCATCGATTTAAAAATCTTTTAGTTTATGTTTGGAGCTAGATTTTTGATTATTTAAAAATAATCAAAAATAGTATTAAATAAACCTTTTTAAATTAGATAATTAGCTAATTTATTTGTTTGGTGAAGAGAATCGAAATAGCTTCAAGGAATTTAAAATAAAAGAAAAGTTCTTTTAGAAGAGTTCCAAAATAAATAGAGAGTATTAAAATAGGTAGGTATTTTGAAGGATTTTTAAGTGAATTATTAGAGGCGGGAGTAGTATATCAAGTAATAAATTATTTTTCATTATTAGATAGCTAGTTTATTTATAAAAAAATCAAAAAGATAGAAAGAAAGAAGAAAAAGTAATTAATTAGAAACCTTTTCTTTAATTAAATAGCAACAAACATATAGTCTCAAAAGAAATTAACATAAGCAATTCTGCACCAAACAACACTTAAAAAACAGGGTTTAAATAGAATCACATAGAATTTTACAAGTACACGCGCCATAATAAATGTAAATTTTTTTTCTTAATAGCGAATGTGCAGCATTAATGCTTTGTTTTTTTTAAATTATCTAGGAAGTTTGACATCAAAGACGATAAGTAACTAGCTTTTTCACATTATGGAATTGATTATCATAATCGCGATTTAAAACAATAATTCTTGCAATTATCAGCAAAAATTCAATTCAAAAATGACAGCATTGAAGCATCAAAATGTTTTAACAATTTTTGATAATAAAAAATAGAAAAAAGAGCAACAGGGGAGGCAAGAAATCACCTCAAAAAAAATCGGATGACAAGAAGGACATCTTGCAGACAACCATTTTCAACGTATAAAAACCAAATATTTATTTGACTTTATTATTTCTTTACGAAATTGAATCAATTAAAAGGACAATCAATCAATGCTCGCTTAATAAAAACTTTGCTTGTTTTCCTCCTTATTAATTTTATTAATCTTGTTTGATAAAAATCAATTCAGATACAAAGAATATCACTGCTAATTAATTTAAAAATAAAACAATAAGCAAACAAGCTAACTAAATAGCAAGAAAACTAATTAACCAATTCATTTAGAAATAAATTGATTGTCTGTATGTCTGTCTTGTACTTCAAACACCAAAATATTAATCTCAAATTAAGCACCAAAATAAATAACACATTTTTATGATTTAAATAGAATTTATACTATCCTTCAAACAGAGTCCACTGTGATGCATGTGAAAAAGATATTAGCAAGCAAGTTAAAATATATTGTCCTGGCTCCTAATCAGATATTTGCATGAACTGCTTTGCAGATGGAGTAGAATTCAATAGTCACAAAATTGATGAAGATTATCATGTTATCAACAAATTAAATTATCCTCTTTTAGCTGATGATTGGACTTGCGAAGAAGAGTTGCTTTTATTCGAAGGTCTAGAGAGATTTGGTTTCGGTAACTGGTAGGACATAGCAGATCACATTGGTACTGACAAAACAAAGGAAGATGTTGAAAAGCACTACGAAGAATGTCATTTAGATGCTTCTACTAAAGGATTTTACCCTGTAAATTAATATATTCATTTATTTTCACTTAGCAAGTATCTCATAATCAATTCAAAAAAACAAACAAATAAATAAATCAGATTTTGCATCAAAATTTCATTTAAATAAAAGAAAAGTGAAATAATTAATTAGCTATTTCTAAATGATCAATTAGAAGTTTCAAAGCTTTCAACAATTAGCTGATAAATTTTATATTTCTTAATTCTATCAGTAATAATCAAACAAAATTAATGTTTTAAATTTAGCTAGGTCTCAGATAAACGAATAAATGAATTTAAATAAAGAAAGATAGTTATTAAATCACATTTATCTCAAAATTGTTTAAAAAAATCGAATAAAGATTTAGAAATAATTTATTTGTTTATCAGCAAATTATCGAATTTGAAGAATGTTGTTTGAACCAAACAAAAAAACAACAATAATAAAAATAAACAAAAAAAGAAGCTAACTTAATTTAAATCTACTTTCTAAAAAATAGTAAGAGAAAGCTTAGTTTTTAACTAGAAGAGATGAAAAAACCTTAGAACTTCACATCACTAAGAGTGGAAAGAACTCAAATTAAATGCAAGAAGAAAAAGCTGGTAGAAAGAAATCAGCTAGATCACTCGAAAAGAATGCACAACCTCCTGGTATTTAATAATCTTCTATTTCTACCTCAAATGCTCGTGCATTAACAACACCTAATTAAGGAAATTTGCAAACCAATTAATAAAATACTACTAATCATGCACAAAATGGTAATGCTTAAGATATTGTCGGCTACATGCCCTTGAGAGGTGATTTTGATATCGAGTACGACAATGATGCAGAACTTCTACTTGCTGAAATGGAGTTTAACGATGACGACAAAGACACAGAGCTTAAAATGAAATACAAACTTTTAGAAATCTATAATGCCAGACTAGATGAAAGAATCAAGCGTAAAAAATTCGTCATAGAAAGAGGACTCCTCGACCTAAAGTATGCTTTCATTTTTTTCAAATTTTAATTGCTTTATTAAAGTAATTAAACAAATTTTAAATTCTAAATAGGAAATAAAACAATTTAGATAAGGAAAGGACTAAAGAAGAAAAGGAAATATATAATATGATGAAGGTATTCAGTAGATTTAGTAAACCTGAAGAACACGAAAGATTAGTTTAAGGAATTATAAAGGAAAAGCAAATTCGTTAACGTATAGAAGAGCTTAAAACTTACCGTAAATTAGGGTTGAAAACATTTGAAGATGTAGAGAATTACTTAAATTAAAAGAGAAAAAATGATGAAAATTTCAATAAAAGATAAAAAAATAACGAAAAAATGTTATAAGAAAAGTCATCTGTTGCTTCTTCTCAAGGCAATAGATAAACATCACGTAGAACTCGTTCTTTGAACATGTTTGTAGAAGTAATTAAATCTATTTTATTTACATTGTAAACAAAGAATTATTTTTTTTAGAATAAGGATCATGTTACAGACAAAAAGAAACAGCTTCCTCCAAATGTTACCGAACAAGTACTAAACAAGTTTTAATATAAAAATATTATAAATAAATTTAATTATTTAAATTAAAAATCAATTTAGGAAATAGAGTTGTGTGATAAGCTCAATATATCTCCATATGAGTATTTGGTTATGAAAGAAGTTCTTGTTAGATAAGCTATTTAGGAAGGATTTATAAAAATTGAATATGCATAACACAAACTTAAATTAGGTAAACATTTTAATTTAAATATCTTTTATTTAAACTTTAAATAAAATTTAGATAAAGATCGTGTAACTGGCATATTCGACTTTTTAGTTGCACATAAATATATTTTAGAAAAGAAGTGAGTTGGTTTTTTTCAGCCTTTTACTAATAACTATAAAGTCGTGAGTTTATAAAATTAAGTCAGATTTAGATAAAAATGTTGTAATAAATTAAGCATACCTTGATTAATAAAGAAGTAAATAAATAAATAAATAAATAAATAATCAACAAAAAACAAACAAAAAAACAAATAAATAATCATAAGACAGTTTCAACCATTATCATTACTTAAATAAATAAATAATAACTAATATTAATACATCAATAAATAAATAAATAAATTTAAAATTATTTGCTAAGAATTTAGCTCAGTATTTATTATTCTATCTATTCTGATTAAAAATAAGAATAATAAATATATATTATTTATATATAATTAAAACAGCAAATATAAAAAATTTTTATTATTTTACCTACAATTTATTGTATACATAAGCTATATTTTATGCACTCATTTATATTCTTCATTTTTGTTTTATTTCTTTCATATAATATTTTAATGTAGTATTTAATTAGTTCTTTCTTGTTTTTTTACATTTAAAACTAAACTATAAAAATTAAAAAAATAAATATTTTCAATTTCATTTTTTATTTTTTTTGATGTAACTTACTTACTTACTTCTGATCATTTATTATCAAACTCTTTTTTATCAATTAAAGAACTAAATAAACAACTAACTAACTAACTAACTAACTAACTAACTAACTAATTTGACTGATTTACTGACTCATACTGACTCATTAACTCACTTTTTTAATTCAATTTGCCAAAAAATAAAATATTTCTGAATGAAGTAATATGAATGCATTTTATTTAATTGAAATATTAAATTAAGGGATATTAATTAAGTACGAAATAAATCAATGATAATTTTGTGAAAAAATTTATAAAAAATTTAATTTGCTAATAAATAAAGATATGAAAGAATACATATGCTAAATAAATACTCAATTTTTTTTTTTTTCAATTTTAACTTCTAAGAATTGTTTTTCTGGTAAGAAAACTTCAATAGATTTGTACAAGACTGGATATTTAGAGCTTTCTTAATGGTAAGTAAATGTTTTCTTTATCTACAAAAATGTACTATCTATTATGAGAAGAGAATGTTGATAAAGGGACTACTTTTTTGACTTCTTCTTCTTTTGCTCCCTTTTTAGGAGGAGGTTTTTTGTCAACTTTTTTTACTTCTTTCTTTTTAGGGTCTTTCTTTTTTGGATCAACTACTTCAGGCTCTGGTGGTTTTTCAGCATCTTCCTGCTTTTTTAGCAATTCTTTAATGATGTCGTTGTTTTTTTGTATTAGCTTTTACTCATCTTCAAATGGATAAAAGAATTCTGGTACTTTCAATACATTGTCATAGAAGATTGGGTATTTGAATTGGCTGATACGAGGGAGAGTGCCATCATTCAAGAATTACTCTAAATCTATTTTAAATACACCAATAAGAACTTCTTAGAGAACAGGAAATCCTGTTTCTTAATTTATTTAAGGTTATTTTTCGTCATCTCCTTCAGCAACTGGCACCATAATTGGCTCACTTTTAAACAACTTAACAATCATGCCTTTTCTGAAGAAATTTCTTACTCTAGCACTAACTGGTAAAACTACATCGAAGTCAATTTACATATCAACACGGAAAATATCATCGTCTTTGCAAATGTCTTCTGAGAGTGCACGACCTTCCAAATTAGGATTAACAGGGGGTATTTCAGGTGGAATGTCTATTTTTCCAGCATCTTTTGCATCCTTTTTAGAAGGAGCTGGTGCTTTTGCTGCTCCTTTTTTACCTGCTTGCTGCTATGCTGCTTGGAGTGCTTGCTAAGCCTATAACTCTTGCTACTTTTTTAATTCATCTTCTTGCTTTTTAATATATTCAAGTCTCTCTTTTACTTTTTATTCTCTAACTTTATGCAATCTTTCAATAACTTTTGGGCGAGAATCTATTAAATTTTAGCTTGGATCTTCAAAAGCGTCCAACTCTATTTTAGTATAATAGCATGTCTAGAAACTTTCAGGCTTTTCCTCAAACTTAGGATATTAAGATTTATCTAAAATAATTCCTTCTGGGATATTTTCAAGAGTATTAATGGCTATTCTCAATTTAAATGAATGGTTAGGGTGATTATAAATTGATTACAGATCATTTACTGTCGGTTTCTGACTATCATATTTTGCTTCCTGTAGATATTCAGTTTAGTTATTGACTCCATTTGAATTAAGATTCTTTTAATTATCTGTAGTGACTTGTCTATCATTTGGTGTTATACGCTTGTTATCTATAATTTCTAAGTCAGGAATTGCATATACAAAGCTTTTCTTATAGTTGGACAACAAACATATGGGATTACCATGACAATTAAAAAGCTTGAGATTTTAAAATTTTTCAACATTTTCTAAAACTAGTTCTATATCTTCAAAAAAATTATTTGAAATATCTAAAGCCACAAGTTAAGGAAAGTAGCGACTAATACTTACAATAGCATTGTCTTTCATTTAATTGTATCCTAGACCTAAATAAAGGAGATTATTTGCTGTTTTCAATCTTGTGCTTATTTCAGTTATATGGTTAGAAAACAAATGCAATTCTTTGAGACTCTTTGGGATGTTTTCAACAGTCTTAATTATGTTTTTATTGAGATTTAATATTTCTAAATTTGGAAATTTAAGTAATTCTTCATCCATTTCGTTGATTTGCAAATTTATAAAATTAATATTTTTAAAAACTTCCAAAATATGTTCTCTATTGCAAATAAAATCAGCATAGCCATTTTCCATTATTTCGTTAATAAGTATTTCTGCTTATTCACTCCATTATCTGATTTTTTTTCTATCAACGCACACATCTTCTTCTCCCAATTCGTATAATTTTAATATCTTTTTAGGTCTCTTGTCTTGGATAACATATATGCGCAACTCATCTCTAATCTTAAGCCAAAAGGTCTCATTAAAATTCCTAATAGATTTATTTTACTTGATAGATACAGACATTTATACTATATATATAATACACTTCTTTGCTTAGTTAGATAAATGATTTTAGCTATCTTATTTGAAAATATTCTGATTACTAAATAAATTACAAAATTTTCGAGTAAATTAATTTGTATTTTATTCGTTAAGCAATAATCTAATTAAATTAATAAAAAAATATATGATAAATTATAAATTATACAATACGTTTCTTTTTTGTATATAATAAAGAGATATTGGTCTAAGAATTTATTGATTAACTTGCATAAATCTCTAAAATAGGCTTTCTTATTTGTATTATTATTTTAAATGATAGAATTGAAAATAGTAAATGTCAAGAAAACAAATAAATTAAATACTTAAAATATAACAATAATAAAATATTTCAATCTATTTTAAAATATTTTTTTAATTTTTACGACATTAAAAAGAGAATTAATTAATCAATTAATCAATTAATTAATGAGTTGATATCTCTAAAAATTTAAATATAAGAATGTTAATAACATCAAATAATACTTTAAAAAGGGTTCTTACCCCATTGGTATTTATAATAATTTCTAATTTATTTCATATTTAACTATTAAAAATTTGGTTAGGGGGTGGCAAACATCTTTTTACAAACAGATGATAATGTATGTATCGTCTAATATTTAAATCTAAGCAGAGTTTATAAAATCTTCAAATTTTTGTTATAATAAATATTAGTAAAATTATTTGAATATCTAAAAAAGGAAAAAAAAGACTAAAAAAATAAAATATAAAAGCTATTTTCAGTTTAAGTAAAAGTCATTATAAAAATAAAATAGCCAACTGCATTTTGTTATCACAGACAATAGTTTAAACATTAAAAAAGGTAGATAATAAATTAAATTTAGAGCAAGTTAACGCATTTTTTTTTTAAAAATAATCAGCAAATAATAATGTCTTCTTTATAAAAAATAAAGGATGCTGAGGAAACGCAACATGAAACAATAAAATAACATTAAATAATCAAAGTTGACAAAACGATTTAACCTAATTTGTAAAATCCTATTGCTATTTAATAACAAAATAATAAAGATAGCCATAAAGAAAAGGAATTAGATAAAATCTACTAAATTAGAGATTTTTCCTCGCTAAAAAATAAGAATAGATTGATTTGCAACAATTTTATCGATAAAAATAACAATTAAAACACTGATCAGAATGAATATAAGGAAATATAAAATCAATTAAAAATAAAAATAGATGGTAATTATGAGAATAATGTAGTCTATAAAAGCTTGAAAATGCTATTTGGAGATGATACTGATGATAAAAAAGTAAAATATTTTCAGATACCTAAATAGATATACTAAGAAAATCATCAAAATATTGATATGACTTTAAATTGCCTTATTTAAATGCCTTATTTAATTTTAAAAACAAATAAAATTGATTCTAATAAAGATCAAAAGAATTTTAGATCTGACGATAATTAATAAAATTGTTCAAATTTTTTATAAGAATTACACAAGTTAATTTCTAATTAGTAGTAGTAGCAAGAAATAACTAATTAAGAATTTCATGAGAAGGATTGTAGATTTTTTTGTTAGACATCAGGTTAGTTTTTCGAATTTAAAATTAAAATAATCCCTTAGCTACTTAATTAAAATTGTTTAAATAATTAAATAGAATATAAAAATTAATTTAATATTTTGGAAACAGATAATATTTTAATTGAAGTCACTTTTAATAAATCAAATATTTAAAAATAGCATGAGCATTCAATTTAAAATGAAAACGATTATATAAATCAATCCAACTCATAAACTACATAAAGTACGATTCAATAAAATAATTTAGGATAAGCATAACAAATAGAAATACAAAAAAATGCATAAGATGAAAGTTTAGTCGAAGACGATTTATATTTTAGAGAATAAAGCTTAAATAACAATACAATTTTATATAATAGAACTATTTAAAAAGCTTAAATTAAAATTCCATATTATTAAATAGATAATATGAACACATATGATTTAATTAGTTGCTCTGACAGCTTTTAAACATAAATTTTAATTGATGAAGAACTGAAAAGTATAAAAAATATATTTATTGATATTATCAAAAAATAAAAATTAATTTCGGATAATGATGTGTTATAGAAAATTGTAGTAAAATTGTTTAAAATTTTAGATGAAAAAGATTATATTATTACTAAATATTTACGTTAAGGAGGAGAAGGCATTTTGTTTCTTGGAAAAGGATTGAATGCTAAAAATGAATATGAAGATCTTGTTTTTAAATTTATATTTGAATACGATACAGAAGAATTGAATGAAGAGATTAAAATTATGAGAACATTTCAAAAATATATTAATACTATAGAACTTCATGATTATTTTTTCATTGAGGAATTTAATGTGGCGATATTAGTATTAGAGAACTGCAAGTACAGCTTATTTGATTAGCTTACGAAAATACATAACAAAGAAAACATAGATCTTACATTTTTGAATTGTATCTAATTAGTACTAGATTTAATAGATGGATTAATACAATTAAGATTATATAAAGTTCTTCATCTTGATATCAAGCCAGCTAATATTCTTGTTTCTTAGTAAGATAATTACATCTTGGCTGATTTCGGGATATCATAATTTAAAACGAATCAGATTAAAGTAAAAGGTTTTACTTAGGGTTATGCCCCTGAAGAATTATTAAACGATGAATCTTTGAAAGTAGATTATAAATCAGATATTTACTCTTTAGGAAGAACATTTGAAAAAATTATTTAGCTTCTTAAAAATTTTAATAAATATGAGAAATAAATTCAAATAATTGATAAATTAGTTAAATTTATGGTGTTAAATAGTATTGGAAAAAGATTTGATTGCTTAAGTTTACATGAACAATTTATTTAAGATTATGTTTTCGATGATACTGATTAATAATTTAAAGTTTACTACTTGAAAAAAATTTTAGAAATTTTAGAATTGAATGTTGATGCAAATAAGGATATTGGTTTCTATTATGAGATTTAATCTCATTATATTAAAGTTGCTTTAATGCTGGTAGAGTGTCACAATGAAAAAAATGAAATGAAAGCATATTTTATTTACTAGTAAGGGTTATAGAAGCTAAATTAAGGAGTTTATTAGCAAGCTTTGTAAAATTTCTAAGAATCTCTAGCCATTTTCAAATAAAATTATATAGGAAATTATAGTTAAATAGCTGAGTGTTTGGATAAAATTGGAATATGCTATTACAATTTGGTTTAATATCAAATAGCTTATTCTTATCATAATGAGGCTATTAGGATGCTAAAAAAGATTTAAAAAAGAGAAAATATAAAAATTCTTTAAGCTACCAACAACTTAGCTTTGTGTTAATACAAAATTGGCTAATAAGAATAATCATTTAAAAAATTCCTGAATTTATATACAACAGCAATAAAAATTATAGATAATAAACAAAAAACAAACTCGATGTCTAATTTTTAAATTAATGAAGATTTAATTTAAAATTATTAATTTAAATTTTTTAAAAAATATTTATACACAACATAAAAGAAATAATAAGAAAAAGAAAAATAATTAGCTGAATTTTAATAGTCTTTAGCTCTATGCTACTTAAAATAGTCTGACTATAAAACTTCTCTCAAATATTTTACTGAATCCCATAAAATTTTGGATAATATTTTTAAAATGCAAAACCATCCTGATATTGGCCAATCCCATAATAACATCGGAGTAGTCTACTTTTATTAGGCTAATTACGAAGAATCTCTTCTTTAGATATCAAAATCATTATAAATCTTTAAAAGTCTGGGTAAACAATTCCTCTAATAAAGAGCTTATTCTTTCAATAATCTTGCAATGATTTATGCTTAAAAAGGTAAGTACTAAGATTCTAAGGATAATTTTTTAGAATCCATATAAATACTAAACAAATAAAATAATCCTAATATTGTCTAAAATCTTCAAAATGTAGGATATCACTTCTTAAATCTTCGAAATCCTGAAAAATCCTTTTATTTCTTTCTAAAATCACTTGAAATTTTATCTAAAACACTCTCAACCTAAAGCAACTTAAAAAAAGGTAAATAAGAAAATAATTATGAAGAATAATAAATAATCTAAGAAAAAAAATCAGATAGTAATTCATAGAGTTATGGTTCCTTAGATAAAAGTAATTAAAAATCTACTTCAATACCTAGTTAAAACTAATAAGATTTAATTGTTGATTCCACACCATTTAAAGCTCAAAAATAAAAAATATAAATTGATCCAAATTTTTAAACCAGATGCAGCATGACTAATGAATCAAATCTAATAAGTGATTCTTAAAATTTCAAAGCAAAACCTTAAAATATTAAATAAAGCATCGAAGTAAAATAAATTTTAGATAATAAAAATCTTAAAAATTAAATTATTCAAGTTTAAAATGAATCTAAAAATCCTAATTATTAAGAAGATTATAATAGTTAAAACAATAAAGAAAAAACTCAAATCTCAAACATTGGTTAGACAAATAATTTAGGTGATAAATAGAATGATGAAGACTTTAATAATTCTAAATAAATTTAAGATTAAATAGAAAGGAAAATTATTTTGGATAGAATATTGATTTTATATGGTTAAAGACCCTCATTTCGATAAATAAAAAGTAATACAGAAAAATAAAATACTCAGAATTAATCTAATATAAAATAGAATCCAAAAAAATTTCATTTAAATTTTTAATATTAATAAATGAACCAAAATAGATCATTTAAAAAAAATAATTTAAATCATTTTCAAGATTAATAAGCTTTGTTTATTTAAGGAAAATAAGAATTAAAATTAATTGTTAAGTAAAATAATTAGAATTTTAATTGTTCAAGTTTAATAAATTCAAATTATTAAAATTCATTAAAAACTTAAAATAAAAAATCTTTTAAAACTTTAAACAATATTTAAGTTAAATAAATTTCAGATTTTCCTAAGTCATTAAAATAAAAATTACTTAAATAATCAAATAATAAATATCAATTAGTTTAATCATAAAGAGTAGTGTAAAAATAAATTTAAAATTAATTTGGTTAATAAGATATTCAAAAGAATTAAGATAATTAGTAGAATAATGCACAATAATAAATCTAAAAGAAAGTTCATACTGTAGAACTTTTGAAACTCCCATCTGTAAATAATTGTCATGGCAAATTATAATCTTAAAATAATACAAATCTATTTGATTAAAAAATAGCTAAAAAAGATGAAAAAGCTTAATTAAAAGAAAATTAAAATGATGATAAAATATTTTAATGTGAAATTACTTCAAATAAAAATGAATTAAATAAAATAGATTATAATAAAGATGGATAAAATTTAACATATTAAAGCTCAAAATTAATTTAAAATTAGTGTAATTAATAAGAAAAAATATTTTTATAATCTTCAAATATTTCTAATCTTTATAATTAAAATTCAATTGAAAAATAAAATAATAAAGACGAATTAAATTTAAAACATTAAAGTTCATAATAAACTTTAAATAAATAAAGTGAATAAAATATTAATAGATGTTAAGCAATTCAAACTAATGTTTAAGGGTAATAAATATTTAACACACAAGATAAAAATTTAATTGCAATAAATAATAATTCAGGTTAATTAAATTAAGCAAGAAGAAGTTCCAAATTAATTCATATAAATACTTCATAATATAAGAATGAAAATTTGAAATCATAAATTAATTTAGACAATTTTAAAGGATAATAAAATTTAGATAACCAACATTCATAAGTATAAAATTTAGTTGATCAATAATAGAATTAAATTCTTGATACTCAAAAGTTAGATATATGTTAGTCTAGCTAAGAAAGAGATCAAAATTAATTTTCTTCAAATATTACAGATTAGTAAGCATCAAATTTACTTGAAAAATAAAATAATCAAGATTAATAAAATGTGACTGACCAAATTTTAAAAGAAAATTAACAAGGTAAATAAAGCACAGAAAATTAAGATTTGCCTGTTTAATCTAATTTAGAATTCTAATAACTTTTATAAAGACAACCTATTTAATAAAAAATTGAATTTATGTAATTTGAAAAATAAAATATGTATGAACAATTTTTAGTTATTTTAAAAGACTTAGAAGATAAAATAAAACCAATAAAGTAAAATTATCATATTTTAGGGAGTATTTACAACGTAGTTGGGGTTATGTATTCAATTTTAGGCATGCGATTAAAATAGTTAGAATATTTTTTAAAATCTCTTCAAACATAGGAAAAATTGAATAAAAGAAAAAATGTAGATTTAGCAAGTTTATATAATAATATAGGTATAACTTACTTTCATCTAGAAAATTACAAAATTTCTTTGAAATATCACCAATAATCAGTTGAAATGAAAAAATAAATTTTTAAATAAGATCATCCAAGTATAGCTTTATCACTAAGTCATATTGCCTGCTGCTACTAGAGACTATATGATTATCCAAATTCTTTAAAATGCCACTAAGAATCAATTGAAATGAATACGCGAATTTTTTAAGAAAATAATATGTAAATTGCCTACTCTCACAATAATTTAGGATCATTCTATCGGCAAATAGGAGATTTTGAAAGTTCAATAAAAAGTTATTCTTCATGCTAAAATGAAATTTTTAAAATATTTAAGGAAGAGAGTAATTAATATATTCCTAACTGTTTGAATAATTTAGCTATCTGTTTCTTTAGTATGGGAAACCTTAAAAGGGCATTTAAAATTTTCTAAGACTCAATTGCTATGCAACTAAATTAATCTGAAAGAAACTGGCTATAGATTGCTTTTACAATAAACTAAATTGGACTACTTTACTTGAAATCTAGAAGCTATAAAAAGGCACTATCATATCTATTAGAATCACTTAACATTGCAAAGAAATGTGAAAATACCAATTAAAGATTAATTGCCAATTACTTCAACAACATAGGTTTGTGCTATTTAAAGCTTTCTAATTATGAAAAAGCTTTAAAATACATCAATTAATCACATGAATTAAGAAAATAAATATTTAAAGGTAATCATCCTGATATTTTAGATTCTTTAAATAGCTTAGGTTTATTTTACTCTGACTTAAATGAAAAAAATCTAGCTTTAAAATACTTTGACTAGTTGATCTAAAATAGAGAAAAATTGAATGAAGAAAATAATTTATTTAAAGCAAACTTACTAAATAATATTGGATGTTATTTACTCAAATGTGGAAATACTAAATAAGCCATAGAATATTTGCAAAAATCCTACCAAAAGAGAAAATTTGTAAGTGAAAAAAATCTTAAAATAATTGCTGAATCTGCCAACAATATTGGTGTATGCTATTAATATCTAAATGACAAAGAAAAATCAATTTAATATTTAAACTAATCGCATAGTATTTTTTAAAAATATGAATAAGATTTTCATTTTATCTATGCTACTTCTCTGAGCAACTTAGGTTAACATTATCAAGAGTTTGGTGACTATTAAAAAGCTTAAGAGTATTTAACTTCTTCTTTAAATCTACGATAAAAATATGATAAATAGAATTAAAAAAGTATTTCATTTGCCTTAAACAGGCTTGCATTTTGCCACTATGAGTTTTAAAACTATAAAGAAGCCTTAAAGAGTTTTAATGTGGTGCTATCATTGTAAACAAATTAAAATGAGATTGAATTTTTTAATACTTAAATTCATGTTGGTCTTTGCTTTTAAGAACTTGGAAGCTACTAAGAAGCTCTAAAATATTTTAATCAATCTCTCAAAATATTATAAAGATAAATTTAAATTCAATATGATAAAATTGCAGATGTTCTAAGTTATATAAGCACCTGTCAATTTAGCTTAGGAAATTATAAAAAAAGTTTATTATTTTAGTTAGAAGCTTTACAAATGTAAAAGTAATTTGGGATTAAAGATAAAAATATTAATTTAATTAGCAATATTTGCATGTGTTATTTATAGCTTGGAAATTAAAATTAAGCGATAAAATAGTTAAATAAAGTAATAAATATCTTAAAATAAAATTTAAATGATATTCAACTTGATGCTATTCATTCGCTCTACAATTTAGGAATTTGCTTTTTAAAATTAGGTGATACATAAAACGCATATAGAATTTTTAAATTATTTACTGATATGTAATAGCAAATTAACCAAGAAAATGATTGTTCTTAAGTTTATTTTCTAAATTATTTTGGATTATATTATAAAACAATTGGAAAATTCTAAGTTGCATTAAAATATCTTACTGATTCTCTTAATTTAGAAGAAAAAAATATCTAAAAAAGTAAAATTTTAGTTGCTGAGATAAATAATAACATCGGATAATGCTATCATGCTGTTTAAGATTACCAAATAGCTAAAAATTACTATAAGAAGTGCTATGAAACTGTAAAAAATATACTTTTTCCCTCTCATTAGTTAGTTATTTCATCTATGAATAATGTAGGGATTTGCTTTCTTTAAGAAGGTAATTATGTGCAAGCTTTAGATCACTTTTAGTAAAACTTAGATATTCTAAAAAAGGAATATGATATAAATAATATGGATACTGCTGTGTGTCTAAATAATTTAGCAATTTGCTAATTAAAGTTAGGATAAAATTAAATTGCTTTAAATAACTTTTTAGAATCTCATTAAATAAAATAGTAAATAATTTAAGATAAAAATCACTCAGATTTTGAATAATCTTTGAAAAACATCGCTCAATGCTATTATAACTTAAATGATACTCAAAAGTTTCATTCATTTATATAGCAATCGTTTAAAGTTGCAAAAATTAATTTTAAAAAGAAAAAAGATTAAACTCAAATAAAAAATACTAATTAAAGCTATTGATATCACAATATCCTAGAGCTTTTTAATAATTTTTCAAAAAATATTTTTATAATTATATAAATATATATATAGTTTCTCAAGGGGAGAGTTATTGGCAATCTAGTTTTATTTCTAAGGATCAGTAGTCAGGAAAGATGCAAACTGCTTAGGGCCTGCACCTAGCTGAGCTTTCAACACTAGGTAAATCCTAGGAAAGTGCAGATAAGCAAAATAATGGGATGAAATCTAAAATCTAACTTGATTAGATTTAGTTTATTTATGTAATCAATTCTAATTAATAAATTATATTTATATTTATAAATATTTTATTACTCTATAATTAAAAATTTGATAATTGTAAACACTTCAAGCAAAATAAAATAATGAATTACCACCTTTAATAGACATTTAGGTATATATTTAATATTTCTAAATTAAGTTATAAAAATATTTATTTATTTATATATATACACAAATATAAATAAATCTAGAGAATTAAGATTTTTAGTATTATTAAAATTATTAAATTTTATTTTTTTTAGGGTATTTTATTATTAAATAAATTCTTAAGTTCAGTTAAATATTATGTTGACAATTAACTTTGAATTTATTTATTAATAGTTAATTTAAATTAATTTTATTTTGCAAGCTGTAAAAATGTTTATTGAAATGTTTCTAAAACAAAATAAATCATTTTTAACTATTAAATTTATTTAGTAGATAACCAACCATTTAGAATCAAGTAAAAATTATCATTTCTTAGTTTTTTTAATTTTTTTCAAATTAACAAACCATCATTTTCAAGCTATATTCAAGTGGCTAAATGCGCTACAATACTTTTTCATATCACTTGGATGCAAATCCTAATTTACTTTCTTGCCAAATTAGCTTTCAAAAGAAGGAATATCAAATCTTTCCCAAAGATTTTCATCGCCACCAAAAACATATAACTTAGAATTTTCATCTACAAAGCAAATGGGAAGCACTCTGGCTTTCTTAACTTTTCCAACAATATCTATTTTATTTAACTCAGGATTTTAAGTGTTAATATTAATCTAAAAAATTTATTCATTTTTTTCTTCATCACTTCTTCCAAACATAAAATAAAACTAGTCGTTTTATTATCCTTTAACTGAAAAGGCAAATCCTCCTTCTACTGTAAGAGGAAGTTTTATACTCAACAATTACCAAGTATTTTCTTTTATATTATACCTTTCGATTTAATTTAATCTACCTTTTGGAGAGAACCCTCCAATTAAATAGAGCCACCTTTTGTCTTCAAGTCCTATCAAGCTAGAGGTACATCTACCATCTTTTAAATTTGCAAGTTTTTCCCATGTATTACTTTATAAATCCAATCTTTATTTAAAAAATCAACGAATTAAAATTTATATTTATAAATCATTCATATATAAACTTTAAAATTATCAAAAACAGACTCTTGTAAAAATAATTTAAAAAACTTAAAAAAATAAAGTTAAAAATAATTATTTTAAAGCAAGTTTTAATCAAATTTTTTTTTATAGCATAAAAAATATATTTGTTTGTTTGTTTGTTTTTATAATATTTGGAATATTTGATTCATATTTAAAATTTAATAATTTAAATACCTCTCAAAAGAGTTTAAAATGCTTTGTTCTCCTCTACCATAAGTTCTACCTCCTATGACATAAACATAACCATTAAAATATAGAGCAGAGTGAGTATAGCGAGCTTAGTGCATATTAGAAAGAGGAGTATTTGTATTATTAACTGGGTCATAGAGTTAGCAAATAGGCAATATATCATTTAACTTATTATTTACTCCTCCACAAATTATGATTTTTCCATCTGGTAGAGAAATAGCCTATGAATAGCTATACATAGTAAGGGACTTAGGAGGTGAAATTGTATACAATTTTTATTACAGAGGATCAAAAATTAGAATATAAGGGAAAGTTTCATCTCCAAATATATAAAATCTAGTATTACAATTATTCAATTCATCTGTCTTGTTAATTTGTTTAATAATTTTCTTGAGAAATTTACACATCCATTTTTTCAACAAGTTCATGAAATTCCTCTTTGGAATCTTTGAAATCGAGCTCGATTTTGATGTACTTTTATTTAGCAAACTTTAATCAATAGAATTTTCTCTAGATTAAACTCTGATATTTTAATAGCTTTCTGCATAAGAAACCTATCTTGACTTATTTAATCTTAGGGTAGATATACTCTTGCTTTTATAGGGGGTTTTATAAACCTTATTATTTGGCTCATCTGTTTCTTCTATCAGTTCCTCTAAAATTTCTTCTGTGCTAAAACCCAAAAAAAAGTTTAAATTAAATTATTTAAACAAAATTTTTGGTTTTATTTTAATAATTTTATTCAATAATCTCTTTTTATCAAAAGAAAAAATTCTGTTATAAATTTGCTTTATCATTTGCTTAATATAAATTTATATTTTAATTGAGCCCTAAAATGTTTTTAATTTCAACTGATTTTTAAAGAATTTTTAACTTTTAACATTAAAATGTTATTTATCACTCATAAAAATTTAATAATTTAATCTAACTAATAAATTTACTTGCTGTTTCTTTGATTATTTGTTTGTTTGCTTTTGTTTTCGTTCTACTTTTTAATGTTTTTAGTTTCTTCTTCAAAGCTTTCCTCTTCATATGATCTCAGTTCTTTTTCGTCAAAAAAATTAATTTATTTTTATTTGTCTTGAAGCTAAAGCATTTCTTTTCTTTTTTACTTGAGTCTTTCTTCTTTTTGTTGCTGTTTAATAAGTCTTTATTTTTCTTTCTCTTCTTCTTCTTTCTTTTACTTCTCTTTTTCTCTTTACTCTCGCTCTTCCTTCAACTTCTTTAATCTATTTAATTCATCTAGTCTTTTTTGCTTTTCAATTCTTTTTTTCTCTTCTTCTTCTATTTCTTTTTACTTTTTTAAATTCTCTTCCTCTTCCTCCCTCTTTTTCCTCATTAATTCTTCTTTTTGCTGCTTTAACTTCAAGAGTCGCTATTGCTTCTCTTCATTCTCTACTTGACTAATTATTTATTTCAAGAAAATGCTTCCAAGCCATTCTCTTAAAAGGTTCATAAAATCTCTTGCACCACCTTCAGTTTCTTCAACCCTAGGATCATTAATCGATAAAATATACTTTATTTATGCCTTAAGCTGCCCATCAGATTGAAATATTAAATTCTATTCAGTTTTGGATTCTTTTTTGTTTGTTGTATAGTCTGATAATTTTAAAATCTACTAGCTAATAAGTACATCCTTTTATTTATTTTTAACCAGCACTTAATTATAGAGAGAAATGTAGATATCTTCTCCATCAATAGGTACATCATTAAAAGAAATAACTACATCCATATTAACTTTCTCCTTTAAAATATTAATTGTAGGAGATCTCTTGCTACTGTTTCCATATTTCAAATCAAAAGAATAGCAACCAAATTTATTATGATAAAGAGTGCACTATTTCAAGTTAAATTAAATATCTAAAAGATATATGGAAAACATTGAAGACTTTCTTTCATTTTTGATTTGTATCATACTATTTATATAGCAGCTGCACTATTTAAATATATGACTTCAAATAAAGATTTCTACTGATTCTCCTAAAAAAAGAAATTTAATTAATAAAAATATTATTATCTTAATTAATACAAGAAAGCAAATCCAATAATACACAAATAAAGCATTAAAATGCAAATTAGTATATTGTATTACTTTTTGTATATAAAAGACATCATTTCACTAATATTTGAAATTATTATCAACAATTAATTAATTAATTAAAAGCCTCTAAGCATGTATTTAAAGAAAATTTAACTGATCGATCAATCTAAAATTATTTATTAATTTATTTATAAGGAATTTCAACATAAATTAAATATTATTTACTTAAAAAAATATGTTGATTTTAATTACTTTTTAATAAAATTTAAGTTTCACATAAGAGCTTAGAATTAATTACTTTATTAAATTTTTATCACTCAAACAATAGAAATATGGTGGTTCAAGAATACTTATATTTACCAAAACTTACTTTTGTTGTCTTTCAAAAATATCAATTAATTTATATTACCCAATTGATATAGTATCTATTTTTTAGCATTTTAATGTAAAATGTAATTAATTACTACTTTTAAAATTCAAATTTAGTCTATTTCAATATTAAAAGTAACATGAAGAGAAATACAAGAAAATTAAAAATTTTATTAATAAAAATAAAGGAACTCTACTGTAATACCTATCATCAATATTTTATCTTAAAAAAGTATAAAGGTATGTTTTATTCATTTTTTCGATAAAATTTTCAAAATTTATTTTTTTAAAAAAAAATGACATGTTATAAGAATATACGGTAAATATTATTTCATTTTTACATTTTGCTAATTTAAAGCTATCTAAAAACTAAAAAATAAAGCTGTTTTAAGCTTATTTAGCTTTATTTATTATGTTATTAAGATATATTACATTTCGCCTTTTGTAAATTAAATAGGCACTTCACTCTATATTAACTTCTAATTTTGTTTCCTCATTTAGTAAAAATCTAACACAATACACATAATTGATTTGATAAATTAACACATATTTGTTATGAAATTTGAATTTAAATAAATATATATAGTACTAAATAGTACTAGATAAATATTATGGATATAAGATAACAAATTTCCTCCCAAAAATTTATCAAATAAACCTATTTTATCTTAGAAAAAATTTTTTTATTATGATGCATGCTAATTTTACATTTAAATTGGTTTCTAAAAATGAGGAATAGTTGAATGAATAAAAAATAAATAAATGAAAGATTTAGATACAGAATCTGTTGGATATTATATTATAATAAAATTATTGGTAATGTGTAAATTAAAGTTTCAATATATATTAGTTTATTTGATAAATACATAAAAGTACTATTTATGAATAACTAAAATTTATATTTCTTTTATTTTCTCCACAAAGGAAATTAATAATTATGATTATTGATAAATTAATAACCTCTTATCGCCATTCGTGTTCATAGATTAATTTTTATAATATAAGGATAGAATTTCTTCTGATTGATAAATAATTAATAATAACAAAGAAAGTAACAACAAGATACTCAGATTAAATTATAAATTAGGCGATACCAAATAAAATTATAATACTCAATTAGCTAAATATTGCGTAAAAAAGTTTATAAATTAGCAGAAAAGCATGAACTAAAAGACTCGAAATGAATCTTATTTAGAAACATAAAATTCATAGTTAGGAGTGCCAAGCGTTTCTCTTATTACTCATGATGAATTCTATGGTAATCAGGCAAAATCACAATTAGATGATCATAATCCAGAAATTAATCATTATCAAACACCAAATAATAAAAATAGCTTAAAGTAAGTTTAAAAATAAATGAAAAATCAATTTAAGTATTTTGTAAATCTTTTTTTTTTAAGCCAAAGAAAAGCTACTGATTTAAAACACAAGAATTTGAAAATACTTTAAGAACTTAAAGAGATTTCAGATTAACTTTAATCAGCATTGGAGAAACAAAAAATACAATAAAGGCAAAACGTTCAATATAATTCAAAAGACATTAGGATAGCTGTAAATAATTATCCATAAAAAAATATTTTAGAAAAGCTAGAAAAGAAAAATAAATAATGAATTTTAGATTTAAAACTAGCAAATTTATTATATTTTATAAATTTCTTTGGACAATTGGTTATTATTTTTTGGTAGAGTAGTAGGAATAATAAGAAGAAATTGATAAAGCATTCAGCATTTTGAATCTGTAGAAAAGAGACATTGAACTTCTTGAATAATAAGTTCAACACTTAATCAATAATGACAAAAGGTAAAGCAAAATTTATTAGTTATTGTTTTCTTTGTTCATTAATTGTTTATAAATATAAATATATATTTTTTTAACTATAAACAATAAATAATTAATTCAAGCTAAATTAGGCTTATAATTTATTTATATCATAAAATAAACAGAGTTGAAGAGTTAAATTAACAATTGATTGATAAGAACAAAGAAATAAAGGCTTTAGAGCATGAAAAAAATTACTTAAATAAAGTTCTAGGAAATGTTGATAAAATTATGAAAGCTGAAGGCGTTAAAGATTAGAAACTATAATAAGTTCACTCAGCTTATAAGGAAGAGATAAGATTACTTAAAGAAAGAATAAGAGAACTTGAAAACGTTCAAAGATAATCTGAAAAAAATGCTATGAAACTTCATCAACATTACATGGATTTGGATGAAAAATACAAACAAGCCATTTCAAACTCTCCTTCAATTTAAAATAAGTCTCCTAATAAATATAGAAACTCGTAAGGGGAAAACTCTTATTTGCTGATTGAATCTGTAAAAAATGATTATGAAGATAAAATATAAACTTATATTTAAAAGCTCAAAGATAAAGAAAATGAAAGTAAATCGCTTACACTTCAACTTTAGAAAAAAGAAAATGTAAATATTTTTTGTCAAAATAAATAGTTGTTTTTTTTAATTTCATTTTAAAATAACTTTTTATTTTATTACTGAATTTACTTACATAATTTCAACAAAATGATCTTAGATTGCAATTATTATCATATTATACTTTATCTTAAATTTATTTTATCGATTTACTTTCTTTAGACTCTCATTCATTAAAATCTATTTATTTTCATATTATAAAATTCAAATTTTGGGCTTATTATTGTTTGAAGATTAAGTATTGTAATTCCTTAACTAATCAAATTTAATTGATTCAATTTACAAATAAAAAATTAAATGCAATAGAAAAATGATAAAGATTGATATAAATTAAAATTAATTATAAATATTATTAATTAATTAAATTATATTATAAAATTATTTATTTTTATATAAATAATATTCAAACGATTCAAAAAAATAGTGATCTCAATTCACTAAATTCTTGAATGGCATTTGGCTATAAAAGTATTATTTTTAAATTATCATTTTAATATTTCATTAAATTTATGATTAAGGATAAATAATTAATTAAATTTTATAAATTTGTTTTTTCAAAAAATAAAATATATTGCATTTTTTAAAATAATAAATAAAAGTTTTACTTTTAAATTAAAGTATTACGATAAATATATTTTTTATTTCTTATAGGAAGTTAGAGATTTAAAAGTTTTGGTGAGAGAGTATGAAATACAGGTACAAAGAGAGCAAAGAGATAAAGAGATGATAGAAAGTTATAATAAAAACCTTAGAGAATAATTAAAGATTTAAGCTTAAAAATTATCTTAGGAAAGCCTAGCTTCAGCATAGCAAAATACTTAGCAAGGTAAAGAAATAATTAAGGTTCCTACAAGATAACCAAGGACACAAACCCCTAAGAAAGATATTATCAGCCCCTATAAATCCACAACTACACAAATTCGAAAAGATTAAAAATAAACTTCTAACAGCTTAGAAAGGAATGGCAACAAAATTAATTATAATAATAGCAATAACAATGAGGAAATCAAAATTTATAAAAGAGAGAACTCTTCTTCTATTAAAAAGAAAACTAATGGTTACCATCAACATACGATGTCGATGGAAATTTAGCATAGTAGAGAAAATACAGATATTGATTTAGCTGACAAACTAAATTAATCTGTACTGAATGACAATTAAAACAAATATTCAACACCTGGCACACCTCAAAAGAAATTGTTTATAAAAAGATAGCTAAAAAGTCCTTCTATAATTAATAGTGACTCAGTTAATAACAGATATAATAATAGATCGATAGATAGGAGGGAAACTGCAGGTTCAGCTAATAACAGCAACATATTTTCTTCTAATAACTCAAATAGCAACAATAAAACATTTAAAAAATCTAATTTATTCTCATCAAAGCTAAGTACTAAAGACAATGAAGATTTAATAAACTAACTCCACCCTCTTAGTGCTAGAAATAGAATCAAAGAATTATAAAAAAGTGAGAATTTAAATAATGAAGTAAATAGTAACAAAGATGATAATAATAATAATATCCTTATTGAAACTCCTTATGTCAAAACCTTAAATAGTAAATATTTAGCTCTTAAAAGCAACTAAAATGAAGGAAATAATCCCATAAAAACAGAATTAAGTACATTACTTGAAAAGAAACAAAAAGCTAAATTAGACCTAGAATAATCTCCTAAATCAAATAAAATGTAATAAATAGATGATAAAAAGGATAATACAAATAGCCAAAGTTCAAATAAAAATAATCTGGCAGGTCAAATTCCAAGTGATGTAAGCGAATAAGATTTAAATGTAATCAATTAATTTTTAAGATTTTCATAAAATTTTCTTATTTTGTCAAAATAAATATGTTTGTTTTTAAAAGTGTATTGATTTCGTTCTAATTTTTAATTTTTCAATAAAAATAATTATTTTAAAATTTTTATATAAAATAGCACACATTTACTTAGTTTTAGAAAGAGGTGTCTCAAGTTGGTCTTGAAAAATTTTTAGGAGATGAATAAACATATTTAGATGCTCACAGAAGCTCTCCTGATTTAACTAGCGGTATGACAAACTAAAACTTATAAAAGTCAACCTAATTTCCAAAAGTAAAAAAAGAAGGACTTTAGATAAAGCAATAATCAATCGGAAAAGTTTAACCTCACAATTAGATTATGTTTTCTGATTATGACTTTATAACTTCTTAAAATCCTTCTAATCCAATTTCTATTGTTAAAGTTGTAGGTGCAAGATTTTGGCTATTCAAGCCATCAAACAAAATTATGGGATTATAGATAAATTACTTAACCAATTAAAACAAGTTAATTTGGGGACCAGCAAATGTACATATTTTTACATCTAATATTACAGTGTAAACTATGAATTTAGCAGTTAATTTTAAGGAAGGAGATGACCCTGATAAATTAGATTTTGTTAGTTTAATTGGATGCAGATATAATAACGAATACTCTTACTTAGAAAATGTAACCTTTATCACAAATTCTGGAGTCGTGTATAATTTTGGAAAGCATAATCCAGACCCTAAATAGCCATTGATATATTTTGATATATAATCTGAAATTGAAGTGCCTTTCTCCTTATTTGGCTCTATCTCAAAAGAATATGGTAATTTAATTTATTCTTAAATACTAATAATTATATATTTATTTTAAAATAGATCCAATGTCAGGCATTTTAATAGGAACAAAATTATCATATTTTGGTTTCCAAGTAGCAAGTATTGATCAACTTAAATAAAAAGCTCAATCACCTCTTAAATCATCAAAACATGTGCAGAGTGATGGCAATCTCAATCCTCCAACAAATTAGCTAAGCGTTTAAAATGAATAAGATTTATAAAAGTAAAACAAATCTAACAATTAAAAAAATGATGAAAAAAGCATATAAAATAATGATGTAAATAAATAATCATAAAATTAAAATTAAAAAACTGTTTAAGAAAATTCAAATTAGTCTGAATAACAAAATAAAAATTAGAATTAGTAATAATAAAATGTTCATTAATAATAATAGCAGCATTCAAATTAAGAATAAATCTAAAAAAACGAAGCTCATTCAAATACAAAAAATGAAATTGACAAGTAAAATGATTTACAAAGCCAAAAGACAGCAACATTTTATAATTAAAATAACAATCCTTAACAATAAGCAAACTAAAATTCAAATACTTAATAAAAAAGTGAGTAAAATAACAAAGGAAATAGTCAAAATTAAGTTAAAAATTGAAATAAAATTTGTTAAAAAATGTGTAAATAGATAGAAATATGTATAACAAATGTATTAATCTCAAAAATTAAATATCTTTAATTGTAATTTATAAGATTTTTGATTTATTATTTTAAATTTTCTAATTAATATATTTTTATTTTCCTTATTATTTTTAATACAAACTTAATTTTCTTAATTAATAGAATTATTAAAATTTAATTTTTAATAACAGAATAGAATTTTGTTAAAATTATTGTAAAAATATATATATAATTTAAAAAAATGCAAGAAGTATCCAAAAACCTACAGTAGAACTTGAATTCTATATCTTGTTCTTTTGATCAGTTTAAATTTAGATTATTTCTAAATCTAACTGGACACAAATTATTTTCTTATTTATTTTATTTTTGTAAATTTTTAATTTTTAAAGTAAAAAGAATGATTTTTTATGAATGAATGATAACAAGATAATAATTTAAAACGAGATAAGTATGTTAATATAGAGAGAACTATTTAATCAAATTCAATAAATATTATCATAGTTGAATGGATAAATGATTAGTTTTTCACAAAACGTTATAAACTAAAGGTTCGCTATAAGTGTAGTTAGGATCTTCAGAATAAATTAAAGTATCATGAACTCTCTTAGTTACGGTTGAGCAGAAATGTTGATCAGCCTTGAAAGTAAATGTGTGGTCGTTCTTCTTTACGAAATCAGGGTGATAGATTTTACAGATAACGTCACCTTTCTTTATTTGTTAGTTGGGGTAGGGATACCATTACATAGATACATCATGGTTGATAGGTTCACCAAAGACCTTTCTACCAGCATTTAAGTCAACCATCAAATTACCAATTGCAACACCATCAACTTTTACTAATTTACCGTCTTTAGGAGCAGTGATAGTGATAACTTTACCACTTTATTCAGGCTTATCGAGTTAATCTTAGATGAGTTTATAGTGAGCTAAGAATTTATCAACTGAACCACCTTGTAAAGCGCAAAGTTAATCAAAATGCTTGTGCAAATTTCCACTTAACCAGGCCTTTTTAACAGCTTCAAAGCCCTTTAATTCATCACTTTCAAGTCCGCTAACTAAGTACATTTGGAGAGCAAGGACAAAGGTAATGATAACTAAGACATCAACAGCACTTTGAACTCCGTTTTCAAATTTAACAAGACCAGGAGTGTTCTTGCAGAATTAGAGTCTTCTAACTGAGTTGCAGTATTCGCTCTTAGTGTCAAAAGCAATAATGCATTCGTAAATTTCATTAGCATTACCAATGTGTTCACCCAAGGGGAAATCCATTCTAGTGATGCAAGCTTTGCATTGAGTTCCAGTAGATTCGCATGTTCTCTTAATACTATCAGCCAATTCAGTAGCCTTTTCAATAGTTCTCATGAATGCAGAAGGACCACATTTAACATCTATTAAATTAAAGAATATATTGAGATTTAATTTAAAAATATAATTAAATAAATAAATGAATGATTAATAAATTATGGTAAAAATCTGATGTTTTTTTATTTGCTGTAAATAAATTAATTTCTACTTTTTAATTTAAAATATCTAAAATTAATTTTTTGTAAGTAAAAAAAATAATCAATTAGATTTGTCTATTTAGATGAATTATTTTTTATGCAATCAAAACTTAAATTAGTTTAATTAATAATTCTGTTGTATATCAGATCAGTTTCAATAAGAAAGTTAATTCAACAATGCTAAAGTATTATTTAAGGTAATATTTAAATAAATTGCATTATTTATATGACTTCTATTATCAGACTTCTCCTTCTAACTAATTTATGATAATTCTTTTAATATTTTATAATCTCTATTCTTTGATTTTCTATTATTCTTTCTTTATCTTTTTGAAAGAGAACAAACAAGATAAGGAAAAATGGATATAATGGCAAAAATGAAAAATCTGAAAATCTAAATGAATCAAATCGTTTTTTAAAATAGCTTCCCATATTCAACAAGTCTGTGACATGTGCTTATGGAAAATAAAAGAAATTCAAAATTTGCTTACCCATAACCAAAGCATCGAGGTCTTCAGTGAATTTCTTGGAGAGAATGGAAGCAGTAATGAGAGAGATTTCGTCTACAGTTTCAGTAACGTCTCTCATTCCGTAAATGACCTTATCAGCAGGAGCAATATCGGCAGTTTGAGTACCCATGAAGCAACCGATGCTTTACATCATTTCTTTCATCTTTTCGAAAGAAATTCCAACCAAGAATCCTGGAATAGCTTCTAATTTGTCAGTAGTACCACCAGTGTGACCTAAACCTCTACCACTAACCATGGGAGTTTTAACGCCTAATTCCATCATTAAGGGAACAAGAATGATAGAAGTCTTATCACCAATACCACCAGATGAATGCTTGTCAACTTTTCTGCCGGGAATGTCTCTGTAGTTCATTCTCTTACCAGAGGAAGCCATAGCTTGAGTCAAATAACCTCTCTCTTCAATAGTCATACCCTTGAAGTAGATTGCCATTAATAAGGCACTTAATTAGTATTCAGGCATGGTCTTGTTTGTGACTCCTTCAACCCAAGCAAAGATCTATTCCTTTGTCAATTGCTTGCCTTCCTTCTTGTCTCTAATCAAATCCTTGTAGTTAAAAGTGCTCATTTCTTTTATAGCTTAATAAGACTAATTTTTTAATTATGTTTTTCTTTTAAAGTAAGTTATCTAACCTTCCTTTTGTTGTTATAAATTTTTAATAATTTATCAAATATAATTAATTATATGTCATTATTTCACAAGATTTGCTTTGCATTTAAAATAGCTCTATACTAAATAGAGATTTCTAAATATCTTACACGACTCTGTCTGTATCTATTTAAATAGACTGAATTTATTTTCTTAATAATGCGTGATTTTTCATCGAAAATTTTTTCTTAATTATGTATGTGATTTTTTTAATTTATCTTTTCCCCAAATTCTTAAACTAAGGTTTTTTATAAAAGCAATTATTTATGATTTGCTTATCTAGCCAACAAGTCTCAGGTAGTTAACACAATTCACAGCTCATAGCAGTCTATCAGCAAGCTACTATCTGAATTAGCTCAAATCTCAACTTCATGTTAGTATTCTTTTGAAAAAAATAGCACTTTCATTTATCAATTATTTAACCAGCTTTTAGCTATAACTAAATGCATTAACAAAATGTAAAGTAAATTAAGTATTTTTTTAATTCACCCGAAGCAACTAATAATCAAGAGCATTCGATTATATTTTTACTCTGTAGATTAGTTGATTCCGAAGGAAGAAAAACTAGAAGTTGTCTTTGTAAAATAGTAATAAATAAAAAAGTTAAACAAACATAATAAACTGGTTCATAATTTATTGAAAAGTTAAGCATATCTATTAAACATAAATCAATATGTTACTTTAATTTAATTATTTTTATTTAATATAGATAGTAAAGTAGCAAGATATATATATCACAAGCATAAATAAAATACTCAATGAATTACATTCAATTACAATTTATAAAAATCTTTATGAGTCAAAAAAAAAAATGTTCAAAAAAACATTTACAATGATGATGAAAGATATTTAAAGTAAGACAAAGTATTTTGTTTCAAAGTATCTTAAAAACTTAAAAGCCACGTAATTGACATAAATATTTAAAAGGGTGGAGTAAAAAAAATACCAAAAATAAGTATAAAATTTTTAGTATAGATTGTGAGAAAAATTAGATTAGGCCTTTGGGATTTTATTGATGAAAGAAAGTAAAATTGATTGATTTGATAGATTTCTGGTAAAATCAATTGAATATTAGAAATATTGGCAAAACAATTTTTTGTTGGATCAAGAGCAATTGTAAGGAGAATCTATTTAGAATATCTAAAGAAAAAAATATCATTAAGTTATTCTAATTGAATAAATAAATTTGAAAGCTAACAAACAAACCAATTAATTTTTACGTGCTCAATTTTGATAGGAATTATTAAAAGTAAAATAAGAAAAGGATAGTAAAAGTGTAAAGGAACCTCTAGAACAGAGTATTACTTTTAATTTAATTATACATACTAAAACATTGCATAGCATTATTAATATTTCAGATTTTTCTTGCGTACTTTGATTTCCCTTTTAATTCATCCCTGTTTATCTGGTATGTTATCAATACCTTGTTTATCCATATCTGATTAGAAATTTTATCTCTTCTAATCATAAAAATACTCTTCCTAAAAAGCCCTCCTTCAAAAGTCAACTTTTATTTAGATATTACTAAAATCATCGAATTAGATCAAGGATAGATAACAAAAATGTTATAAGTAATATCAAAAGTATAGAATTGTCAAAGTTATAACAATATAACTTTATTACATTCAGCTTAACTACAATGATAAGTAAATACCTTTGATGTAAAGACCAGGCCCCCTTTATTAATTTAATCACTGTAAAGCTAATAAAAAAATAAATAAATTAATTAATTAATTAATTAATAGATAAATAGATATTTGGATCAACTTCACGAATTAAATAAATAATGACTTAATTTATTTACTAATCTCTTTATTAAATTTGTCAAAGATATTTTTCTAAAAGAAGATTGATTATGTTTTCATCAAATTTCTAATAAAAAACATGTTAAAAATCTCTTTAAATCAAAAACACAAACAATTATCTAAGCATTTTAAAATTCTTAAACTAATCAATAAAATTGTTCATTCTAAATCATGTTGAATAAATAAATAAATTAAGAATAACTTCAATAAATTACAAACTTTTACTCAAATATAATATAAATCTTCTCAATCAATTATTTATTTTTTTAGCCTTAAGAAATTTCATCTTTTTTAAACACAATTTAAAAATTTTATATCAATTAATAATTTTAAATGTAAATTTTGAAGATCTATCTTGTATAAATTAGATTTCAAGTAAGTATATTTAAATAAAAATTATTTTTTATTTGCTCTATTACAATTTAAATTCTATTAAATGTAGCTTTTTTCAATATATTTCAATTTAATTAATTTAGTTATTTATTAAGATAAAAATATTTTAATTAAATCAAATTATTATTGATCTTTTATTTGCACTTTAAAAAAACTAAAGAAACAATTAGAATTTCTTATTAGTATATTACAAATAATCAAGAAAATTTAATAAATTCTAATTAATACCTTATTTTTATATCTCAATTTACATAAATTGGATATAAAATAAAATAAAAATAGAATATTTTATTTTAGAATAAATACTTACTTTTCAATTTAATATTATTTAGAATACTTAAAAAAATATTCATAAATATTTAATATTTCATATTAATAGATAAAATTTATATATATCGCTATTAACTAATATTTAAAACTATTTCGCTAAATATAAAAAAAAAAAAAATATTAGTAAAGCATTATATGTTTCTTCAAATATATCTTCATTTCATAAAACAAAATAATATTCAATATGTTTTTAGAATAATTTTTATTAGCATTTTAAATATAGATATTTAATCATTAATTAAAGAACTAAATTGGTTTTAAATATTTAAAAGTTAAATTTCCTTATATTCAATTAAAATATTTATCCTATTTTATTTATTTAAATAGTTTTTTTTTAATTTAATATTATAAAATGGTGTTTTTAAATATAATAATGATTAAATATTTTTTATTTATTTATAAATAAGTTGATGATTTTAATTTTTAGAATTAAAATTGGAATTTGTGGCGCCATTCAGAAAATTCTTTAGATTTACAACTAATTGAATTTAAATGCAATTTACTAATTCTCATTACTTTTTACAAGAAAATTTAAACTCATATTATGAAATAAAAAGTATTACTTATTGAAGTGGCAATTAATTAATTAATTATTTATTTATTTGTTAATATTAACATTATACCTATGTAGCAACGAGTCATTTATTATTGTGTTATATTATATTTTAACTATTCATTTAAAGATATAAATCAAAAAGTGTATTGAGTCTTTTAATAAAAAATGAAAATTTTTTGTACAAATATTATATAAATCATCAAATAAAATGAATCAATTTTTAAATTTTGTTAAAATTTATGGAATAAAATGTTTTCATCAGATTAAGTTAATATATTAATTGTATTTTTTAACTATTTGAGGCATTTATAGCTTTATTTGTTGGAATACATTATTAATATATAAATTAATCATTATTAATAATCAGCTTTGATAGCTAAAAAAAATGGAAATAAACATCAAAATAAACAAAGGGAAATGATTTTTTTTCTTTTTGATATATTAAACTCAAAAGAGAATACTTTTACACACACTATATAACTCGAAAATATTGATAATAAATATGGGGTCTTTCTTTATCTACCTAGTTTGAATGAAGATTAAGCGTATAAAATTTATTTTAATTAATTATTAGACACAGGATAATGAGAGAGAAAGTCACTCAAATGTAATCAAAATACATGTTTTAAAAAACACTTTAAAAGATTGGCTACAGTTGGTGGCCTTTCTCACTCCTTATTGACTTGTCTAAGTTGTTTGTTTTTAATTTAATCTGCAAATAAATAATAGATTTTCTGCTCTTCATTTGTTTGTTTTTATGCTTTAATTTGTTTGTTTGTTAGTTAGTTAGATAGATGAGATTTTGTTTATAAATTCATCTTGAGGCGCTTATCAGACTTAGACTTGCCACATTATAATCAAGAATAGATAGATTTTGGATTTTTAATTCCTCAAAGGTCTTGAGAAGCTTGACCTCTAGATTCAGTCTTCTTGGACTTAGAGGGCAAGAGCATGGGGTTAATGTTGGGTAAGACACCACCATCAGCAATAGTAGTGTTAGCCATGAGTTTATTTAATTCTTCATCGTTTCTGATGGCCAATAAAATGTGTCTGGGGACGATTCTGGTCTTCTTGTTGTCCTTAGCAGCGTTACCAGCCAATTCAAGAACTTCAGCAGCCAAGTATTCTAAGACGGCAGCCAAGTAGACGGGAGCACCAGTACCAACTCTTTCAGAGTATCTACCGTGCTTCAAGAATCTGGAAATTCTACCGACGGGGAATTGTAAACCAGCTCTAGCGGATCTAGAGACTTGCTTGGATGAAGCGGTTTTACCTTTAGCTTTTCCTCCCTTACCAGTTGTTGACATTTTGCTTTTATTTGTTTTCTTTTAATAAAATTTAGGTTTTATAATTTTTAGGTTTTATTATTTATTCATATGATTGCAGAATCTTTTAATTTCCTTTTCAAAATTATTCAATTATCCAATCTTCCACCTTTTAGCCAATCAGATTTCAGATCTATCTCAGATTGGATTTCTTTAGATCAATCAATCAATTTATTTAATATGTGAATGTATGTATATATTTATGTATATAGACATTCATTCTATCTACAAAATTATTCAATCAATGACGAATCACCTTCATTTATTAATTCAAATATAATCTCTTTCAATTTTTGCTTAAGCAAAATGAATAAATAAACAAACATTTATTTTAAGACACACAAATAAATAAATAAATATTCCTTAACTCAAAGATTTTTCAATTTTTAAATATTTTCTTTTCTTCATTCATTAATATTTCTTTTTAATTTGTTTGAATTAATTTTAATTTTTGGAATGCCTCATAATTTTTCCCTGAAATATATTATCCACTTACTAACTAACTAACAACCAAACAATCAAGCTCATTTTTTCAAATTAATTAAAAACACACCATGATGATTTAATTAAAATAAACAAATATAAAAAGATTGAAATAAGAAAAAAAAGATAAAAAATATAAATATACTTACAAACTTTCAAAAAATTTAATTTAAATTATTTGTAAAGTATTTATTTATTAATTAATTAGCTCAAAGTTAAAAGAATACTAATTTCTTTATCTATTTATATATCTATTAATTCTATTATAATTTTAAATTATTTAAGGATTCGATGTCATCAAATAATATATAATTTATAAAATTTTTTACTATTTACTTTTAATTGATATTTCTATTTCAAAATATTTATTACATAATATTACTTTATAATTATTTAATGTAAAATATTTTAAATTTAAATATTAATAAATCAATCTATATTTTAACTAAAAATTATTAACATGAAGAAATACTAAAATAAAACAAATTTTATAATTAAATATTACAAACAAATAGAATATTTAAAATTAAAAAAAAGTATTGAATAATTAAAGTAAAAAAGTTAAAACTAATTATTAAAAAAAATTTGAATTAATAAATAAATAACTTTTCTCTTTTTATCTACTTAAAATTTATATTAATTAAAATATTTATTAAGTAAAATAAACATATATCTTGTAAATTAGAATTGTTTCATTAAAAATATTAGGAATTTCCTTAGCCAAATAAAAAATTATCAAATGATTGTTATTTAAATATTTTACAAGTATAATTAATTTATTTTGAAATAAATATCCTTTTATGTATGCTATTTTTGTGAGAGCGTTTTTACCTGTAAAAAATTAGAATTAAAGAGATGAATAAATAAATACATGTATTTATTGTTTAATAATTTAAAATTACTTGAAAAATATTTTGTAATATTTTACACTAGAAATAGCAGATAAAATATGAAATGGATTAAACAAATAATTAATTAATTAATATATCTATTTGATAAAGGAACTGATTTTTTCAAAGAAGAGTTAAGGTTATTAATAATAAAAAGAGTTATTAAAAGTTATAAAGGTTTATAAAGCAAATATAGTAAATTAAAACATTTATAGTAAGAAATTCAACTATAAAGATCTATTAATATATCCATTAAACAATAGGAATTTCTAATAATCTAAGTATAATTAACATCAATATAGCAAGATAACTCTATAATTATTCTTAAATATAATTTTATTGAGATAATTCAGTTACAAATTAAGAAAAAAACCATATTTAACTCAGTAATTGAAGAAAAATAAGACAAATAGCAAACTCATTAAAAATGCAGAATTGTAAAAAATTTAAGAAATATCTTTGAATATTTTTAAAATTAATGTTTATTTTAATTCTTAAAAATTAATTTATTAGATGGATCACGAAATCAGCTGAAACCCATATCAAATTAATATTCACAAAATTAATCTCCATTAAGCAAAAACCCTAAATGTAACTAGAGTTTATTTGTATAATTATCCTTTAAGTTTCAAAAATAAATAGCTTTTGTTCTAAAAAGTTATAAAATAACAATTAAAATCTTTTTATCAAAAATATTAGCAATGAACGCAATTAAATCTCAAATGTTCACTGTAGAGAGCTATGGTATTTATTTATTAACTTATTTATTTGAAATTTTTTCACTTTGGCTCAATATTTTCATTTAATTTAAACAATGTTAATTATATTCTTTGTAGAAATTGGAAGCTGAAATTGAGGCAAAATAAATAGATTAGTTTGTTGATTTGAATAACATTTTATTTAAAATAAAATAACAGTTGATAGATATAAACATGCGTTTAAGGAGGGAAATGAGGTCAAAAATAGAGATTGGTAAGGACTGGTTAAAGCAAATGAATATCTAAGGGAGTGTTTGAGAGATTTAAACTTTTAAATAAGCAAAAAAGTAGAGAAGTAAAGAGATCAAATTTATTAGAAATTTACTAGTCAATCAGCAAGTGGTTCATTAGCTAAAAAGTCAGAAGAGCAAATTATTGAATAGTAAATAGCTGTTCTGAACTAAGAGTATAAAAATAATAGCTTTATTTTAATTCAGCAGGAAAAGGAATTGAAAAATATAGATAGCAAGTTAATGAATGTAAGTTAGAATCAGCAGTTTTCCTTAATGTAAAAAATAGAGCAATTGCAAGATAGTATAAAGAAAGAAAGGTTAGAAATTAAGTAAAATAGGCAATTTAACTTTTTAGAAGGAAAGTATCTAGATAATGTTGTAAATAATAACTAATTGCCTAAGGTTGTTGAAATGTAATAAAGTAAGTAATTAGATTCTTTGAAACTGCAGAATACTAACTAAAAATTAAGAGAGTAAATCAATAAGAAAGAAGAAATAATTAATGAGTATGCTAAAAAGATATAATCAATTGATAAGGATTTCAGAGAAGCATTATAAAATGAAAAGCAATTCAAAATTGTGGACTAAGAATTATTGGCTAAGATTAAAATCTAAAGAAAAAAGGTATAGTAATTGGAGGATAATATTGAATTGATAAAACACAATATGGATAGAGAGAAAATGCGTTTTGATGGCATTTAAAGAGATCTCAAAACACTCATTTAGCACACAGATGATAAAATAAACGATATAGAAATGAAAACGAGATAAATAAATAATGATCTTGCTTAATTAAGGTAAGTAGGAACTGAGGTTTCTCCTACCTTCTAGTAGCGATTCCCACAAGAAGACATTAGGGTTAGTTAATTTGATGAAAGAGAAAATAATTAGCAATTCTCAAGTGTTTAAAGCTCAAAATAATAGAGTAGAAACGTGCAAAGTTCTCCAATTAAACCTTCAAGTTCTAAATCTAAATCATAGAAAAGTCTTGTAAAACCTGATAAAATATCTTCTAATACTAATTTAAAACCTAAAAATGTCAACAAAAGCACAGATGATTTTTCCGAACTACAAAAGAATCAACCTGAAGCTCATCAATAAAAATACTCTGAATCTAAGCCAAATTTTACTTAAAAGAAAAACAAAATAGGCAAAAATGATGATTTTGAAGATGAATTTGTTTAAAATTAAGAAAAAGCACTACAAAAATAATAAGTTTAAGATGTTGAAAAGAATAAATAAGATATTAGTGGCATTGAAGTTGGCGAAGATGATATTGAAAATAGCAATATTAAATCCAAGCCTTAACTTACTCCAATAAAATAATAGCAAAAATAATCACAAGAAGCACAAATAAATATAAAAGAGAAATAAAACGAGACAGAGCATCAATTAAAAGAGAATCAAATTGAAAATGTAGAAAAATAAGTTGTTGAATAATAAATACAATAATAATAGCATGAAAGCCAAAAGGTAATTAAAAAATAAAATAGTGATTTAGATGACTAATAAGATTAGAATTAAGATATTTAACATAAAAAACAAGATGATAAAATACAATATAATCATCATTCTTTATAGTAAGTCGAAAAATAACATATTTAATAAGAAGCTTAGAAATAAGCTGCCTAGTAAGAGGTAAAAAAAAAGCCTTTAAAAGTAGATTCAGGCATGCAGTTTGATCATGATAGTCCAAGTAATAAATAGCATAATAAACAAGAAAAAGATATGAATAGACTTAATACTGAAGATATTCAAAATCAAATAACCGAAATAAAGAACAGTAGCAAGGAAGAAAAAGCACAAAATATAAAAAGTATTCAAGACTAATTAAGCGAGATACATAATAATATAAATAAAATAGAATAATAATCTGTTAAGAATGATAATAAGTCTTTGAATAGCATAAGCAATTAAAATACTGCACAATAGAACAAAAATTTGCAGTAAAATGGAGTAACTAAAAAAGGAGAGGATGATATTGATTTGGATGAAGATCTTGATAAAATAGAAGAAGAAATAAGAAGATTAGAAGAAGAAATGTAGAATAAAGACAAACAAACTCAACAAAAAGAAAATTAAGAGGAAAACATTTAATAAAAGTAGCCTTCTAAGGTAGAACTAGCACCTATTAAAAAACCAGCAGTAAAAAAAGAAACTTCCTTTACACAAACTGATTAAGCCGAAAATAAAAATGAAATTTTCTAATACAAAAACAAAGAAAGTCTCTCTAATATTAAAGAAATACATGAAACCAACCAGCAAAAATCAAAAGTTAGTATGAATCAACAAGAACCAAACAAAAGGAACTCTTAAGTTTAGTTAAATCCTATTTCATAGTAAAACCAAATTGATTAACATCAAAACTAAAATTCAAAAAAGAGCTTGCCTCATCTTGAGCCCATAAAACAACCTCTTTAAAACAATAAATAATAAAAGAGTAAGATCAATTACGATGATTTAGATTTTGACGATTCTGCTGATCTGCTCGATGATGCTCATACAAACAAAAATTAAAATAACCCTAAAAGCAGCCAAAATGACATAAAAAACCAATCTAACTAAAATATTTAAGCTAATAATGCTTAAGTCTAGAATATTAAAGCAAACAATAATAACCAAAATCATAATAATTTTAAAAATGATGACTCATTTGATTTGGACCTATTATAAGACTCAAATGTTAAAAAAAACGAGCAAAAAACTAGTTAAAAATAAATTTAATATTAGTAATAATCACAGAGCAATATTCAATAATAGCAAAATAGTAAAAATAACAATAACAATAACAAAGATTTAGATTTAGAATTTTTCGACTGAAAAATTCCTTTTTTCATTTTTGCTTGAATTAAATATCTATCTATTCAAATAGTTTACATGTCTATTTTATTTGTTTAATTTTATAATCAACTCCATTAATCCATCCATCCATCCATTCATCTACACTCTTATATTCTTCCATTCAATTTTATTCGAAAAAGATTAAGAGAATATTATTTATTTATTAAACATAAAAAAAGCTTACTTTATAATACCATAAACTCACCATTAAAAAGAGTAAATGTGTAAATAAATTACTTTTAACATTATTTTAGAACCTCTTAAATTTTTGGTAATTAATTAAAAGTTAAAAAGATAGAGATGTTATGGGATATAAAATTTAATTTTTAAGAATAGATTTATGTTATCTATTAGTTTGAAAATTAAAAAGATATTTAACTTACAGTTTTGAATTGTAGTTTATTAATAAATATATTAAAGCATTCTTTAGTGATACTTGTGATTTATATATTAATTAATGATCTACAAAGCATTGCTTATTTTTTAATTAGGTGAATATGATTTAATATGAAATGAAGGAGGAAAATTTTAAAGTAAAGATTATTTGAAGGAAATTTATTTTGTGAATTTTGTTGAATGAATTAAATAAAATTTTGAGGGATTTATTAGAATAAAAAGGATTTTTGTGTTATTTAGTTTTTACCAAGATATTTTTCCTGATCAAATCTTAATTTTTTGAATTATATCAAATTATGAGGAATTCTATGATGTTAAGTAATTAATATTTTAGTTTTATTAATAAATAAATAAATCAATAACTAGACAAATATTTATTCTGTAGTTAATATATATTTATTTATATACTGATCATGTTTTTAAGTTAATAAAGTATCAATTATGCAGACATAAATGATTTTGCAACCTAGCTAATCATTTAAAATCCTCACTACAAAAACTTGAGGATCATTTTTAATGAAAAATAGTAATTTAAGCTTCTTCATTTTGCATTTTATTTTTAATATTTTGATTCATGCACTTTATATATTTATGTTTAATTGAAAATGATATTACTCATTCATTTTGGAATTATAAACTTATTTGAACTATTTTTTATTAGTTTAATTGAAAAACTGAAGGATCAAACTTTCATTTTTAGATTGTAAGATGAATAATTAAAGGTTGAAAAATAAATAAATGCCATCATTTGTAATAATGAGACAAAATTATTCCTTGATCAGATTATAGATTTCAAAAAATCAATACAAAAACTGCATTCTTATGAATGTTTTTTAGAAATATATGGTTATTACTTGCTAGAGACTAAAACTGAATCTTAAAGATATTTTGTTATTGAGTCTGAAGTATACTCTTTTGGAAGCATCAATTATGAAGATAGCAATATAAATTAGTTTTTGAACTACATTCAAAAATTTTTAAATAATTAGATTTCTGATAAACTATTAAATAAAAAATTAGCTTTATCAAAAAATATTTGCTATTGCTCAGGATATAATAACTCACTATAAGTGAAATTAAATATAATAGATCCATAATTTATTGAAGAGAAGGAAGATGAATCTGTAAATGGTAGTGTCCAAAAAGAGTCTCAGAGCAAAATGAAAGTAGAATTATCAAGAATTTTTGTAGCTGCATCAAAATTTGAAGAATATTTCAATTAAAATCACTCTGATTTTTCTCAGCAATACTTTCCAATCATAGATTATTTAACATAAGAAATAAAAAATAAGAATATTTCTTATTTTAAAATTTCTACTTTAAGCAGACAAGAATTGATATTGATTTCATTAAATTAGTTAGATGAAAAGTAAGTATGTTAATTCTTTTATATTGATGATAAGTTAAAATTAAAATCGGATCAGTTTCAACTACTTCACAAAGTTGCTAAAAAGGATACAAATTAAGATTTTCAATTTATTCAAGGTAAAGAAAATGAGCCTTGCTTTTTTAAAGTAAGATTTAGAAATTTTAAGTAAAATATCTTGGTTTTGAAAACTAATTTATAGATTTCATAAAGCATATTAGATATTGCCAAGATAATTAATCATTTGTATGATTTATATTAAATTAGTGGCGTTTTGAAGTTGCAATTGAATAAAAAAATTAATAAAACAGTCGAAGCAATTCAAAACTTTATATCAACCTTAGCCAGCAAGTTTAAATGCTTTTAAATCAATAAAAATAAAAATCCTGTCCAAATTATTTAGAAAGACATCAATCTGTTAAATAATTTTTTTAATCAAGTTGATTAATAAGCCATTTTAGAGTTTGATTCTGAATACCAAAAAGAGAGAGAACTTTATTACAAAAGTTTGTGCAATTACCTTAAGAAAATCAATGCTGCATTAGTTTTAGAATAGGATAGGAATAATGTAAAAATTACAAAAAATTGGTAGATCCAACTCTAATACAAAAAATTAATCAAAGATGAAAGTATTTTTAGTTAAATAAATATTTTAAAGGTAGATTTGAAGGATAAATAAGATACAAATAAATTTATAGAAATCTACAACTTTTCAAACATTAAATCTTTGAAATTAATGTATTGCTTTTTTGATTTGCCATAGTTAATATCTATAAACTTTGATAATATTCAACTTTATCAAAATATTCTGTAGAACTTACAAGACCTTCCTTTTTGGGAATTCCTTAAAAGCATTACAATCAAATACACTAAAAATGAAATTTTTTATAATCTTCCATCCAGAATATGCAGCTCTATTTTATTATATATTGCTATTAAAAACTAATTAGCTAGAGTAAAGTTTCTTAAAGATCTAAAATTAGAATTTACATAATTTTTGGTTGAAGTTGATAAAATTTTATTTCTTATACTTTTACACTTTAATAATGATAAATAAAGCAATCAGATAAATCCTCTACTAAAATAAGGATAAACTTAACCTGCTTAAGCACTTAAATTATTTGAGTAACAATAATACTAGTAGCAGCAACAAAATTAATAAGAAGGCGGTAGCTCATTTTCAATAGATTAAAATAACTAGACTAAAAGTATCTTTTAAGTTCAAGAATAATAAAATAAATAAGAAACAAAGATAAAGAGCTCTCTGTTCTAAAATTCAGCAAGTAACTTATTTTCTCAAGGATAAATACAACCAAATATATTTGATAAATCATTTAAAGAATTGAAAAATGTAGAAAGCTAATAGAGTTTGAATGGTGTATAATCTTAGTTAAAAGATTTAAAATGTTTCATCTAAGAAAAATAAACTAATCTAGAAAGCAGCTAGCCTCCAAATTTTAATATTTTTGAATAAAATGGTAAAACAAAATAAAATAACAATCAAATTAATAACAGCTTGTTTGAGAAAAGCAACAAAAATGTATTTAATGACCTTGAAAACGAAGAAGAGAGCAGCTATAAAAAAAAGAGAATCAATAATGAATTGAATTTGCATTAAAAATTCGAGCATTAATTGAGCTCAATTATATATGATAATTAGAGACTAATTACCAACTGTTCCTAAACATAAAACATGCTTACATTTGAGTACGAAAACGAAAAATTTAAATAAATAGGAAAATTAAAGGTTGTGTCATAGATTGCTAATAATAAGCAGGAATTTATCTCATTTGAATGTGATAATAGAGAAAATATTGATTGCTATTTTATTTAAACTAAAAGGTAGATTTGTGATCCGATTCTAGTTGAGAAATGGCAACTTTTTTCAATTTAATCTGAAATTTTCTAAAAAATAATTGGATAGAGCTACAAACCAGGATGTTGTCATCATTAATACAATTTATTAATAGGATAGCTATACAAATAGTAGCAACATCTAGAGCATCTTAGCTTAAGTATATGTGTCTGTGATTATATGATTGAAAACAACTCTTTTTAGCTCTACTTTGACACTCAGTTGCATAATAAGCTTAGAAGCTTAGCTTTAGTTATCAATAAGAATTATTCTTCTCAATACAATTTAGTTTCGAAAAGCATATTTAAGCAAATAAAACATCTCAATAATTTAAATATCCTAAAACTCAAGTTCCAAGATTTAGCACTAAATAAAAACTTCACTATTCTAAAAAAACAGAAAAGACTCGTAACCCTTATAATTTAATGATTCTCCTGGCTGGAATCTTTTATTAAAATTTATCACCATTCATTCTTATTTATACAAAAAATTTATATAAGTTTGTTTTGCATATTTTGTTTGAATTTGATAATAATCTAAAGGAGGGTGTTAAAATTTTAAAAAAATCAATTCATTAAAAAAAATATATCTTCAGAAACTTTATTTTGACTGCCCAAACCCTGCCCAAAAAGTTAATTCATACCCTCTTGTGCCTTGCATCAATTTATTTTATATACTTTTATTCAATAAAATTTAATTACTTTTTGAAATTTACTTATTTATTTATTTATACTTAGCTTAACTAAAAAATTAATGTAATTTAAAATATTTGTAATTAAATGCCTGCCATTCACTTATCTAATCGTATTTCAAAGCTGCTAGATTTTTGAATGGCATTCTCTATAATAAATTTCAAAGTTTAATTAATCAATAAAGATGTAAAACTTTTTATTTAAGTTTTTATAAATTTTTTTTGTGAGCATTTTCTTTGCTGAGTTCAATCAACAAAACTACATATCCTATTTATTCTAATTAATTCCCAAAAAAGTTATTTGTCCTCAAATTTTTTTCCTGATTAAATCTTGAATTTTTGAATTATATCAAATCAAGAGGACATTTATGATATTAAATAATTATTATCCATATATTATCTTTAATGATAATAAATAAATAAATAAATAAATAAATAAATAAATCAATTAAAAACAAGACATAGTTTATTCTATAGTAAATATATATTTAATTATATATTGATCATGTTTTCTAGTTAGGAAAGTATAAATTAAAAAGACATAAGTGACTTTGCAAGCTAGCTAATCGTTCAAAACCCTCACTACAAAAATTTGAAAATTATTAATAATGAAAAAGGGTAATTTAAGATTCGTTTGTTTTATGCATTTTTATTCTTGATTTTTATTTTAACATTAATATTATTTTTAAGTTTATACAAAATAAATTTAAACTCTTGATTGATTGATTGATTATTTTGGTATTCTAAACTTAATAGAACAATCCATTTTTTATTAGTTTAATAGAAAAATTGAGGAACCAAACTTTCATATTTAGATTGTAAGATGATCAATTAAAGGTCGAGAAATAAATAAATGCGATCATTTGTAATAATGAAACTAAATCTGCTATAGATCAGATAGTAGATTTCAAAAAATCAATACAAAAACTGTACGGCTATGAGTGCTTTTTAGAAGTTTATGGTCAATACTGGCTAGACATCAAAACAGAATCTTAGAGATATTTTGTTATTGAGACAGAAGTATACTCTTTTGAAGATATTAATTATGAAGATAAAGATATCACTTTGTTTATGTGCAACATTCAAAAGCTTTTAAATAATCAGATTTCTAATAAACTATTAAATCAAAAATTAGCTTTATAAAAAAATATTTGTTATTGCTTAGGAAATAATAACTCATAAAAAGTAAAATTAAATATAATAGATCCTTAATTTATTGAAGAGAAAGAAGATGATATCAAATCTGCTAGTGAAAGTGCTCAAAATGAATCTCAGAACAAACTGAAGAAAGTAGAATTATCAAGAACTTTTGTAGCTGTATCTAGATTTGAGGAGTATTTCAACTAAAATTATTCTGATTTCTCACAGTAATACTCTCCAATCATAGATTTTTTAAAATAAGAAATAAAAAATAAGAATATTTCTTACCTTAAAATTTCTACTTTAAACAGACAAGAGATTATATTGAAGTCTTTAAATCAACTACATGAAAAGTAGGTGAGTTAAATCTTTTATCTTGATGATAGCTTAGATCTAAAAAAAGACCAGTTTTAATTTCTACAAGAAATTGCTTGTAAGAATTTTAATTCAGATTTTTAGTTTGTTGAAAGGAAAGTAGATGAAGCATGCTTTTTTATAGTTAGATTTAGAAACTTTAAGCAAAATATTTTGGCTTTAAAAAATAATTAATAAATTTCACAAAACATAGTAGATATTTCCAAGATAATTAATCATTTATATGATTTGTATTAAATTAATAGATTTTTGAAGTTGCATTTAAAGAAAAATATTAATAAAATAATTGAAGCAATTTAAAATTTTAAATCAATTTATGCTCAATAGTTTAAATTCTTTCGATCCAGCAAAATTTAAAATCCCATTTAAATTATTTAAGAAGATATCTAATTGCTTAATAAGTTATTTAATCAACCTGAACAGTAAATTGTTTAATTTTTTAATTCTGAATACCGAAATAAGAGAGAAATTTATTACAAAAGTTTGAATGATTGCCATTAGAAAATAAATGCTGCAATAATTCTAGAAAATGAAAGCAATCATGTAAAAATAAATAAAAAATTTGAAGTCTAACTCGAATACTATAAACTGATCAAAGACGAAAGTGTATTAAGTTAAATTGATATTTTAAAGATAAATTTAACTAATTATTAAAAGACTAATCAATAATTCATATAAATCTACAAATGCCCTCACATAAAATCTCTAAAATTATATGACTTTATTAATTTTTCATTTGAAATATCTCATAACTTTAGCAATATCTTATTTAACCAAAATATTCTGTCAAATTTACAAGATGCTCCTTTTTGGGAATCCCTCTAAAGCATTTCAATAGTATAAAATATGACTAATAAATATGATGTATGCAGTTCTATTTTATTTTACATTGCTATAAAAAGTTAATTGGCTAGAGTAAAGTGCCTTAAGCAGCTCAAAATAAATTTTACACCATTTTTGAGTGAAGTTAATGATGATTTGTGCTTATTTTTATTACAACATAAAAATGATAAATCAAACATTCCTAATAATTCTCTACAAAAATAGTATGAGGATTAACACATTTAAACACATAAATTATTTGAATAACAACAACAAAAATAACAACAACAACAACAATAACAACAACAACAACAATAGCAATAATAATCACAATAGCATTTGCATCAATAATTAAAAAATAGCTTATTTTTAAATGATTAGAACATCTAAACAAAAAATATCTTTTAAGTACAAGAATAATAATAGAAATAAGAAGTAAATATTAACAATTCACTGTTCTAAAATTCAGCAAATAATATATTTTCTCAAGGATAAGAGCAAAAAAATATATTTAATCAATCGAAAGTATCAAATAATATTGAAAGCTTATAAACTTAAAATGGTCCATAATTTTAATTAAATAATTTAAAATCTTTCATTTAAGAAAAATAAATGAAACTAGAAAATACTTAGCTTCCAAATTTTAATACTTTTGAATTAAAGACTAGAGAAAAATAAAATGACAGCCAAATTAATAGTAGTTTATTTGAGAATAAAAACAAATATGTGTTTAAAGAAAATGAGTATAAAGACGACAAAGGAAGAAAAAAAAAATTAAGAAATTTCCTTTATGAAGACAAAAAAGATGACAAATATAATGAAGAATATAAAAAGTATTAAATGTAGTAAACATTTATAAAATATTATTTGAGGAAACAAGTTACAAATTACTCCATCAAAGAAAATATGCTTATCTATGAGTATGAAAGTGAACATTTTTAATAATTAGGAAGACTAAAAGTTGTATCATAGATTGATAATACTAAGCAGGACGTTTTATCATTCGAGTGTGACAATAGAGAAAAGCTTGATTGTCATTTAATTATGAGTGAAAAGCAAGATTTTGATTAATTTCTTGTAGATAATTGGTAAATTTTTTCAATTTAATCTGAAGTTTTCAAAAAATTAATTGGATAGAGCTACAAACCAGGATGTTGTCACTATTAATTCAATTTATTAATAGGATAGCTATACAAATAGTAGCAACATCTAGAGCATCTTTGCTTAAGTATATCTATTTGCGATTATATGATTTAAAATAACTGTTTTTAGCTCTAATTTGACGCTCAGTTGCATAATAAACTTAGAAGCTTAGTTTTAGTTATAGATAAAAATTATTCTTTTTCTAAATAAAATTTAATTGAAAAATGTATATTTCAGCAAATAAAACATTTAGAAAATTTAAATATCCTAAAGCTTAAGATTGAAAATGTTGAACAATGTTAAAATACTATGAAAAAATTAAAAAGACTAGTAATCCTTACCAAATGATTGATTATTCTGAGATATTCGTTAAATATTTATTATTATTCTTGATTTATATGGATGGATAGAAAGTATATGTTTGACAATAAGTTTAAATTCAATTATGTAAATTGATCCTATTTAAGATTGCTCAATATTTTATTTAATTGAACATTTATTTAAAGAGATTTAATTTACTATAAAATTCTTTAATTGCTTTCAAAATTTAGTCTGTTATTTATTTAAAGACTATTCTTATCTTCTTAATATATTTATTTCATAAGCATATCTTTAAAAATTATTTTAATATTTTGGTCAATTTTAGCACTTTTAAAATAGGCAAAGACACTTAATTTATTTTTATTTAGTTAATTTTCACATAATACAAGTTCATAAACTTAGACTTTTTTAAAATTAATTATTAAGATTTTTATTTCATCATCAATATTTTTTTTGCAAAAATATTGCTAATTGCAGATTTTTTTTTTTGTGATAGAGAGATAAATAGTGATAGGTTACACCTTTTACTATTTATCTTTCTAATAAAAATTAATATAATATTAAAAAAATTTATACAATAGTATTATATATATATATTTATGTATTTTGTATGTAGTTTATAATAATTTAAATAAATTTAAAAATTTTACTTTTACATAAAATTAATATAAAAAATAAATTAATAAAGTATTGATTAAACTATTCTTATTTTAAAATATATATTAAATTTTTTATATAATACTTGCAAAATTCTAAGCTAAAAGTATTAATTTCAGAATAATTTTTTTTTGAATTAAAAATTGTTTAAATTTTAGTAGAAAGTTTAAATCGAAATTTCCAAAAATTATTTTAATTTTATTTATTTAAAATTTGAATCATCAAAAAATAATTTTTTATTTATTTTATTTATAAATATTTTAATACCAAATTACAAATTAAATTAGAGCTAAGATAAATAATAAAAACAGACATATAAAAATTTATTACACAAAATTTATTGTTTGAAGAAATATTTAATTCTTTTAATTAAAAGTTTAGCTCCATTTTTATTTTTCAAAGCTTGTTCTATGAAGGAGTTATAATGTCATCCATTAATTATTCTAATAACTATTTTTTTTCAGTTACTTTTAAAAAGTCGATTGTAGCTTGTCTTTTTGTTGCTGGATTCTCTCTATCGTAATCAGTAATGAAATTTAACTTAACTTTATCATAATTCTCTATATTACAAACAGCTTTTTAGATTTTGAAGTATTTTATATTCAGCTTTTTGATAGGGATGAAGAAGTGTATTATGCTAATTATTATCCCTATTATAGCAGGAAAATTAAACTAATCACTATCAACAGTCATTAAAGTAAAGAAAAATGATGAAAATGAATATATTATTATAGACATTTTTAACATCTTTATCATGTTATAGCTTAAAGATGATCCCATATTAAAAGGTACAAAAGTTCTCTTAATAAGATCATACTTAGCAGTAAAATACTATATGATTAACGCTAAAATGGAGTAAAGCAAGCAGAATGGCATTACGGTGCAGTAAGCAAGTGTCATAAAGAGAGTTCTCATAGTTTGTGAGTATTAAAACTCAATCAAAAAAGGTGGTTCTTCAAATATATTTAGTAGCTCTTTTTAAGTCAGAACACATTTATCTTAATTCTTTAAAACTCTGTTTCTAATAAAGTTCTTGATCAAATTTGGATAGCTCACAAAAAACATTCCTAATGGTAAAAATGTATTCAGAAGAAAAATACTATTCTAATTCATTAAAACTCCTGATCTGTTATAAAGCATTGAATAGTATGAAGTTTCATTAATCATCACTTTTACTAATAGTGGCACTAGTATACTGTTACCAAACTGAGCGATACACAAGAAATAAGCAAATGCTAAATTATAATATGTTCTTGTATGCAGTCTTTTGAAATCAACCATAATTCCAACAACTAAAACTAATATTTGGTTTATTATTGAGATGAGGCAAGAAATTAAGAGGGAAATAATTTAGATTACTGCTTTTTCATAGAAACTTGTTACGTCATGTAAATTATTAACATAGTTGAGCTACTTTTAGCATAAATAGTAAATAAATATTGATCCTAATGCTAGGAAAGCGAGCCCTAAAAGTATTGCTACTGCAATTCTAATTATTCTATTGAGCTTTGAAACATTTAAATTCTCCCAGAATATTTCTGTTGGCTCAGGTGCTTGAGAGATTTCTAAATATTTATTTTTATATAAAAACTATTTTTATTGTGCTAACTGTAATAACTCTTCCTTTTAACTCTCAGTCTGGAAGGAAACTAGAGCTATTCCAACAAATTATTTGCTCATAAATTCAAAGCCTTTACCTTCTGCCATTTTTTACTCAAACTGCTCAATTTTTTAATTAATTTATTTGATTTTTTCATCCTAAAAAGTTACAGTTGACAAATTGTAAAAGTTCTACTACTTTATCTATTGCTTTAAAATGTTTTGTTTCTCTTTAACAATTTTTTATTTTTCATCTTTTAGCTGGTAAAGCTCACTTAAATTATAGCACAAATTTATCTTTGCAACCTTAAGTTCTGTTCCAATAAGCTAAGGATTCTCTAAAAAACTCTTTAAATCGCTGTCTACATCTATATTTTAAGATATTGTTATATTGTCCGAATGAACAGGAATATTGTTTATCATGACTGTGTAGTCTCCAGGTGAAACGTATATTTGATCATTTAATAATTCTTACTATCTCTAGCTATAAATTATAAACTAAACTAATCCAATTAAACCAAACAAAGTGAGTAAATTGAGCCATTGCTGCATCATTATAGTTTCCGAATCTTTAGATCTATTTCCTAGTGTATAAACATTGACCCAATTCTTAAAACAGCCTTCCTGAGTGTTATCTTATTAGCACTAATTTCCCTCTTAGTTGTTAAAAATATTATAAAGCCCTCCAACCAGAAAAATAAATATTAAATAAAAAGTTGCAAGCTTGATGAATTAAAAGAACATTGGAAACCCTGACCCTAAAAAGCTTAAATCTGTCACTTAGCAATCAAGATTTAGAGATTTCCTATCTATGTTTCTACCACAACAATCACACCTTTCGCAGTTCTTTTACAAATTAGAAATTTGATTTGCTTTCTAAATTGATAAAGGACCAACTCTAGTTGCTTTTCTATGATCTTCCGCTAATTTGAAACAAGGAGGAATTTGATCAAAATCAACCTTACTAAGAAAATCTCCAATTACATTTTTCAATTTTTGATTTGAATAGAATTATTAATAATCATGCTCTTTTTATTCTTAGTCTCCCTCCATTTAAATTACTTGTTTAGCTACAAATTTACCATGGTTTGTAATTGGTAATAAAGGTATATCTAAAGTATTTTGTTGAATATCCATTTTGAAAATTTAATGTTTGCTTTTTAGCTTATTGCGTTTTTTGATTTAAAAAATAATAAATTTTTTAATTAAAAATATACATTAAAAGATAAAGGCAAATCTAAATATAAACCAATAACAATAATTTAACTTTTCGAAGATATTTTAAACAATGAGTAGCTTATTTCTTATAGATAAAGAAAGATAATTTTTGTTCCTTATTTGTTCATTAATTTATTTATTTGTATGAAACAAACAATTCAACTATTTTAAAATTTAATTTATAACTTCTAAAATAGAATAAAAAGAATTACATAAAATTCTAAATAAACAATGTATTAAAATAATAAAAATAAAAACCATTTCTTAAATGATATTTAATACTATCATTTGCTTCCTATTAAATAACATATTTTAGATTTTATAATTTAAATCTTTTATTTTTTCTTGATTTATAATTATCATAAATACTTTGGAATATATATTTATAAGAAATTAATTTTAATTAATATGTTTTTTATAAAATTGTTTGTGTATTAATACAATATAATTTTTTCAATATTATTATTTTATTTGAAGGAAACTAATTAAAATAAAATATAAATTTAAATCTAATTTTTGATTGAAAATATAACTTAGATATTTAAAATTGATTTTTTATTATAATTAAAATTTTAATAAAATTTTTTCTCGTTTCAAAGGATATTATCAAGAATAATAAAAATGGAAAACAATTTTTAATGAAAAAATAGTCTGGTAAATGAATAAATTACTTAAATTTATCAACTTTTGATACAAATTATATTATTTTAATAAGATACAAATGTTTTTTTTAATATGATTAGATCATTTTTTATTTGATTTCAAGAATTGTCACCTTCTTATGATGTCATAAGCTAACTGATAAGCAGCTCATTTTAAAAATATTATTTTTTTTCTGTAATTTTTAAGTAATCTATAGTTGCTTGCCTTTTGGTTGCAGGGTTTTCTCTGTCATAGTCAGTTATAAAATTAAGTTTAACTTAATCATAGATTTCCTGATTTGGGGGAGCGTTTTAGGTTTAAAAGTATTTTTAATTAACTAGTTTTATTGGTACGAAAAAATGTGCTATTGCAACAATAATACCAATCAAGGCAGGAAAATCATAGTAGTCAGTATCAGTAGTCATTTAAATGAAGAAATAAGCTGAAAAGGAATAAATTATAATTGACATTTTGAGCATTTCTATCATATTGTAACTTAAAGATGATCCCATATTATAAGGAACTGTTCTTCTTTTTATTAGGTCGTATTTTGAAGTGAAGTATTAAATCGTTAGAGCTAAAATAGAATATAAGATACAAATAGGCATTACAGTGCAATATGCTAGAGTCATAAAAAGTGTTCTCATTGTTTAAGAATATTAGAATTCTATCATAAAAGGAGGCTCTTCGAATGTGGTAAGAAGTTCCTTTTGAGTTAGAACACATTTTTCTTTATCTTTTAATACTTTATTTCTGAAGTAATTTTTAATTAAATTAGGATAACTGATTAAAAACATGATTATTGGTAGGAAGGTATTAAATAGAAAGATACTATTTTAGTTATTCAAAACACCCGCTCTGTTATATAACATAGAATAGTATGTCGTATCATTTAGGATAATTTTGACTAACAAGGGAATAAGTATACTGTTGACGAATTGAGCCAAACATAAGAAATAAGCAAAGCCTAAATTATAATTTGTTCTTGTGTGCAACTTCTTAAAGTTAACAACTTCTCTAACTGCTTTTATAAGGAATAAATTAATGACAAAGATCAAAGTGGAAATCATAAAAGAGAAAGACTAAATAATAGCCTTTTCTTTAAAGGTCATAACTTCTTTCCTATTTTTTGTATAGTTATACTAAACATAGCATAATAAATAAATGATTAGTGATCCACAAAAGAGGCAAAGCAAACCAATTATTATTGCTATTGCTATCCTAACTATTCTATTTATAAGAGAGACATTTAAATTTTCCCAGAATATTTCAGTTGGTTCGGGAGCTTGTCTGATTCTTAAAACATTTTTTCTGTAAATAATTTGCTTGTTTTTTGCTAATTCTATGATATCCTCTTTCTCTTATTCTGACTAGAAAGTGACAAGTGCTATACCCACAAAGTACTTTTTCATGAATTCAGTGCCTTTACCGTCTCCCATTTTGAATTCAAACTGCTCTATTTCTTTATTTATTTCTTTAATATTCTAATCAAACTCGAGTATACTTGTTGAGTCACTAAACTTCTACTTTTTGATTTAGTCCTTCAGTAACTTTTATTTTTGCTAAATCACTTTTTCTTTTTTCTCTTTTAACTTCTAAAGCTCAGTCAAATTATAGCACATATTAACTCTAACAACTTTTAAAGGAATTCCTATAAGACAACGGTTTTCAAGGAATTCTTTCAAATCATCATCATAGTCAATATTTGGGAATCCTGGAACCTATATTTCTATAGGAATATTGCTAATCATAACAGTATAATCTCCAGGAGAAATGCAAACCTCATCTGCTATTTAATCTAACTGTCTTTATGTGTAAATAATGTATTAAGTATAAGCTATTAAAGCAAATATAGTCAAAAGATTTAGCCATTGCTACATAAAAATGCTACTCTCATCGCTAGACCTATTTCCTAAAGTATAAACATTCACCCAATTCTTATAACAGGTTAGCTTAGTATTAATAGGCTAACACTCTGAACCTTTTTCATTCTAAAATATATTATATAACCCGCTCAACAAAAGAATAATCACAAGATAAAGTATAATCAGCTTCACGAACTAAAAAAACATAGGAAATCCAGAACCTAAAAAGCTTAAATCTGTAATTTTACAATTTAAATCTAAAGGTTTTCTTTCTACGTTTCTCCCACAACAATCGCACTTGTTGCAGTCATCACCTAAGCTGAGAGTTCTTTTTTCTTGTTCATTTAACTCAGGCCCTACTCTGGTTGCCTTTCTGTGATCTTCTGCAAGAACAAAATCTCCAGGTATTTTATCAAAATCTACCTTACAATATAGATCTTCAATCATTTTATTAACTTGCTCTTGACTCTTAATAGTTGATGTTTACTTTAATTCATTGAGCTTTTAACTTTAGTTGAATGTATTTGAAGTAGATTAGGGCTCTTATACCCCATTATGACTATGGTTTATTGGCAGCAAAGGGATATCAAATGTCTTAGCTATATTTGACATATCTAACTAACCTTTTACTTTTTTAATATCTATTACGTTTTTTAATTAAAATATCTAAAATTTAAAGAACTTTAATTAATTGTATTTTTGTTTAATTATATACACACAAATTCAATCAATCAATCAATCAATCTAACAAACAAACAAACAAACAAACAAACAAACAAACAAAGAAATTTAGAAACAAACTTCTTTGAGTTATTTACCTCAAATTATTTTCTATCTCTTCTTGTCAAATATTTAACCAAAAATCTAAAAAATTAATAAATGATGTTCTTCCATCCATCAATAATAAGATAAATTTATTTTAATCAAAACAAAATATTACATTTTTAATAGAATTTTAAATAGAAATTAGCAAATTAATAATAGAATGGTTGAATCTCTATATTTAAAGTACTTAGGCATACAAATTTTTAGTATCAATTATAAAGTAGTTAAATATAATTAAGTCTATTTAAAAATTGATTTAAAAGAAAATAGCTAAATAATAAAAAAATATATTAAATATTGCAAAAGTCAAAATTTTTTAATTGAATTTAATAATTGGCTTGAAATTCTTAATAATATTTGTGAGGTATTTAAATGCAATCAAAGCAATTTGTTATAAAACAAAATAGTTAAATCATTAAAATTTATATTAAATATTAAAGGCAATACTTTTATTTTTTAACTCACTTAAATAATAATTGATAGTCTTTAATGAATGAATTAAAATTTTCATTTATATTTTGATAACAAAAAATATTATTGTAGAACTTTTGACAAAGACTATTTAATTAAACATATAATTGGAAAATTAGACATAAAATTTTAAGTTTATTAATAAAAACTAGTCTAAATCCAATAAAATGAACAAATATACACTGAGATTTCGCTCTAACCAATTAGAAGAAAAGTTTAAGAACGAAGTTTCTCAGACTAATTGCTCAATTTTCTTAAAAGTACAAAGACTTTATCTTCTACTGATAACTTTTCCTAATTTAGTAATTACGATATCAGAGAAAAACTATGAACTCTTAATTGGATAGATAGCATAGCTAACATTTTAAGTTGTTGTTTACTTCTTAATATCAAATTACAGAAGATATGTTAATCTGTGGGTTACTTTACTAAACATAGCAATAAGCATGTATATGGTGTTTTAAATTCGTTTTAAAAGCGCTACTATTGGATTAGATGAGAAAGGGACGGAATTTTATTATGGAGCAATAGGCTATATTCTTCATATAACTACATCTTTCTTAACCTCGAATCTAATTATGACATTTGCTCAAACAATTATTTCATTTATTTTGTAAAATTAACTGAAAATATAATTTATTATCAAATTCTTTTTGAGTCATTTAATTGCTAAATCATTTCTTTTGTTTGTCAAATTGCATTAATAATTTAATAGAATATACATGAATGACGAAATTTATTTATTTATTTATTTATTAATTTTAATTTACTTTTACTTAAATATAATATTGTTATTTATTTATATCATTTAGGTATTTTTGGGTCTTGTGGTCTCCCTAGTTTAACTTGATTAAATATACTTTTGTGGCTATATAGGTCTTTATGCTAACTGCTTATTATGAAAATCAAAAAAATTTTAGATCAACATTTCTATTAAGAGATGGCGAAAGAGAGTGGACGTAAATAATAAAGAAAGGACTTCTATAAAATATAATCACTGTTTAATACAACATCAAAAATAATGAGATAAAGCTTGACTTGATTAATTAGCAGGCATAAAAGCAATTTAATATTTATAATCAGCAGCAATTTACTGCATTCTCACGAAAGGTTCATATATATGACCAAATAAGTGACTATTAACAATCCCCAAAACCCTTAGATTAAAAAAAAATAATTGGCAATCTGTCAGTATCCTAACATAGAAATACTCTGGAGAATAAAATAATAACTTTAATACAGTAGTATATGCTCCAAAAAAAAGATAAAGCTTGTGCTAAATTAATTAATAAATAAAATGAAGCAAAACAATATAAAAACTAGAATCCTAAAAATAAGTAAGTAAGTACTTCATGCATATAAGATCAAGACAACCAAACGAATTATTTATTCTATGGAGTGTATAGAACTTCTGAAGAAAATGCAGAATAAATAATATCTATTAAAGTCACTGTATATCGCTTTAAAACACAATATTCTTGTTGCTTAGTACTCAGTGAAAAAACTAAAAAAATAAAGATAAAATCTTTAGAAGAGATAAATTTTGGCTTATAAAACAATATTTTTCAGCTATGCAAATTTACAGGTAACTAAGATTTTTAAAAACATTTTGATTTTGAGCATTTTATCTTCATAATTAAGTTGAAAAAATGTTCATTTTTTTCAGTTTAAAAATGTTTTTTTATTTTAATTGATAAATTTAAAAAATTTAACTAAAAATTATTTTTTTAATTTTTTGAACATTTTTTTTTTTGATAGAAGCGAAAAAAAAATAGGCTGAAAAAAGTATTTTTTTATAATAAAATTTTTAGTTTAGTTGTTTATTATTGTTCATAAAAATAATCAATATATTAATTAATTTAACAAATAATATTTTTTTATTTAATAATTGATTTCTAAATATGATCTTTTGATTAAAAAAGGCGAGAAGCTGTAAAGTATTTTAATTAATGTATAAAACCAAAACTTTGTGAAAGCTGTTATATCTTAAGGATTAAATTAAATATATAACTATAGAGATCATGCTAATGTCTTGAAAAATCAGTTTAAAATAAAGTTTGAAAATCTTCCTATATCTTAAATATCATTAGATTAATTTTAATAATGTATTAGTTAAAGATACTTTGATAAAGCTAATGAGATAGATCTAAGATTTCAATTTTAAAATTGCAATACCTCAAATTTTATTAATACTTATGTGGAATATTTTTACTAGGCGATTATGAATCTAATTGACAATTCAATAAAACATCAAAATAATAATGGTCCTAACACCCCAAGAAAGTCTTATTATGGTTAAAATCATGTTTTAGAGAAATCTGAGTTAAAAATAAGAAAAAGTAAATACATTTAAAAATCACCATAAACAAAAAAACAGATAGATGATAGTAAAAATAATAATTTTCTTTCATGCAGAAACAAATAAGAAGAAACTCAAACTTAAAAAACTTTAGTAAGCATAAAAGAAATTATAATTTCTCTTGAGTTATTAAAAGGTGAAAATGAATAATCAAATATATTCAAAGTATCTGTGACTGACCAAGGCAAGGGAATGTCTCTCGAAGATCTAATTTACATACTAGAAATAGTGGGCACACAAAATCCAGTTTATAAACCTGATTATCAGAATTACAGCTTTCTTGGATGGAAAAATAATTTGTAAATAATAGGAAAATTAGGTCCATTCTATAATTTTTATATTAAAAGAAACATAAATCAGGTAATAAAAATAAATATTTTAAAAATTAATTAAAAATTGAAATATTTTTTATTTAAAAAGGGCCTAGAGTACCATTTTTATATCTATCAAAATATAGATATCTTAAATAATTCTGAGTAGAAATAATGCAAAGTATTTTAAAACTCTCTCTTTGATAAAAGCTTAATAGAGTCTAATAATGAGTATTTCCATATCAACAACCTAAGCGAGTTAAAGGAGAGGAGAAATTTATTTAATTCCTTTAGCAAAAATGTAATCAAAAGTAATGTCAGTCTTACATTTACAAATTGTAATATAGCCTTCTAGTAATATGTCAACAATCATAATGCTGATGCTGCTAAATAAGATGAACCAAATAGTTCTATTTCTATTTCTTCTGAAAAATTCTTTACATCTAACATTTATTTCTAAAAGTTTAATACTAAATTTGTAGAATCATTTTCTCCTAAATAGTAAGACTAAAAATTTCCAAAGTAAAGTTGATGTAATAAATTGTAATTATTATTTTTTTTTTTTCAAACTAAAATAGTAATTGCCAAAAAAAATAATATCTCATTATGCAAATGAAATAATATCTTGAATTATATTTACAAAATAAATAAATAATTTGTATTCAACCATTTTTAAATTTAAATATTAAAAACCATTTTTATATTTTTTGAGTAGAAAAAATTTTATTTCAAGTGATTTTGTGTCTAAATAAATAAATAAAATATAAATTTTTATTTCAGGTAAAAAGCTAACTCATTTAATTTAAAGTGTTAAGAATCATTTTTTATATTTTTTTAAAAGAACAAATTGTATTCGAAGTGATTTTGTAATCTCTATGAAAAAATTGTAAATTTTTGTTTTTGTAAAAAAATAACTCAAAATTAAGTAAATTTTACATGGAAATTTGATGGAATTTACTTTAATATAAAGCTAATTAAGTAAGTAAATAAATAACAAAATCTAAAAAAAGAAACAAATTAAATAAATATTGATCCATTCATCGACAGACATTTAGTAGAATTACTTCTATCTAATTAATTAATAAATCAATCAATAGAAAATACTGGATATATAAATATTAATTAACAAAGATAAGAAAAAGGTTTAAAAGACAAATAAATGGTAATGAATAAATTTACATTAAATTTCTAAAGCTAATAGCTAGAGGAATAATATCAAAAAGAAATAGTAGAAGTCAACAGAATCATTTTTTTTAAAGCGCTAAAAATGTATCTTTTATTAATATGCATTCCTGGTATAATTATTAGCATCTCAATGTAATAGATGATTTCACTAAAAAGTTAATTAGTGGCATTATTTCTCATTATACTTTACTATTTTTTAGCAATGAAATATCCAAAATACTTTAATTAGTTGATTTTTTCAATTAACTTAATGTTTTCTATTGGAATGGCTGTTTAAATGAAAGTATATGGCACAAATCTTGGTATTGATGACTAAGGCTTCCTTTTCTTTTATGGGTGTGTTATATACACTCTCTAAATAACTCTCTCTTACCTAAATGCTAGTCTTAAACTAAATTTTGCACAAGTTCTTATTTCGTTTGGTTTGTAATCCTTTTAACTAAATATTTTAAATAAATAACATTTATTTAGAGTAGGAGTTGTTCCTACTAATTTCATATAAATTTATTAGTTTTGATTAATTTGATTAGTCAGTCTTTATAAAAATCTAAAATAAATTAAAACAATCAATTTGTGGTTGGCTAATATTTTTCAAAATTAAAATAAATTATTTTTTAATAATATATTTCAAAGGTGCTTTTGGGTGCTATGGTCTCCTAATTTTTATTTTCTTAAATATTAATTTGGCGCTTCTTAGCTATTTGTCTTATTTATGCAATATACAACATAAAAGAACTAAAGGGAGAATTTCTTGCTCAGAGATAGTGAAAGAGAGTGGTCTAAGATAGTCAAAAAAGTAGTGAATTCTAGCATAATAACAGTAAAATATGACTAAAAAAACAACTAGCTCAAGCTAGATATGATAAATGACCAAACAAAAAAGATTCTCAATTTGAGTAATTCTGAAGATTTTAAATCGTTTTCTAGAAAAACTATAGTATTTGATAGATTTTAGGATTACTAGGAGGATGATCCAAATTCAAGTTTTGAAGAAAGAAATAAAGCTTTTTCATTATTAGAAATAAATAAATAAACCTAAAAGAATACTCTTGAAAACAGAATTATCAGCACTATTAAACAATATATTTCTTATAAAATAAATAATAATGATTAAGAGTAAAATCAAGTAGAATATTCTCCTGAGATAATTAAAAAGCCAACAAGAATGTCAGTTTTTACTCCTACCTCATAATTTAATCCAGAGAAAAAGGTTGCTGATTTATTCTATGCTGTCTACAAAACAGATGACAATTAAGAAGAAAAAAGAATTTCGATTAAAGCAACTGCCTATCAGAACCAAACCGAATATCACTGCTGTCTAGTTATAAATGAAGAAACTAATAGACTTAAAACCTAATGTTTAGAAAAAATAAACTAAAGTTTATAAAGCTCTTTATTTGAATTCTGCATATATACTGGTATTTATTTATTTATTTTTCCCCTTTTATTTATTTATTTTTCCCCTTTTATTTCAAATTAAAATTTCAGATTTTTTTATTTTCATAAAATAAATAATTTAGAAAATAATTTTAAAATACATAAACTAAATAATTAAAACAAATTATAATATAAAAAATAGGAGATAAGCTTCAAAATATAATGAAAAATATTTCAAAAGAGAGTATAATTAGGGCAAATATATCTCAATGCTTTAACTTTCTATATAATTATAAAGATCACGCAAATACGATAAAAAATTAGTTTAAAATGAAATTTGATAATTTTAATATATCTTAGCAATCACTTGAATAAATTGAAAATTAAATATACTTAAGATATTTAAACAAGATTGATGAAATTTAATTAAAATTTTAGCTCATAAATTGCAATCACGATACACAAATTACAACTTACACAGATTAATTCTTGTAATGCCTGATGAATTTAATAGAAAACTCAATTAAATTTCAATAAAATAATATAAAATGCAGTAGCTATAACTAGAATAGTTGTAGAACACAAATTTCTTTAAACGAAATTAACTCTAATAGACACCTTAAATCTAGAAAATATAGTCCTAGCTTTAGTCCTAGGTTCCTAAAATAAATTAATTTTTAAGAAGAAGAAAAGTAAGAACAGGCAAATTTAAATATTAATGAACTACTTAGTTAAAATTCTAATTCAAAAGGAAACGAAATTATAATTTCATTAGAATTAATAGAAGGAGATAATGAAAAATCAAATATATTTAAAGTTACTGTTTAAGATAGTGGAAAAGGAATGTCAATAAATAAAATACAGTAAACTCTAGAAATTATTGGAACAAAGAGTCCTGCCTTTAACTTTAACTATTAAAGCTATAAATAAATTGGATGGAAAGTAAATCATTAAATCATTGGAAAATTGGGCCCATTCTATAACTTTTTTGTTTTGAGTGAAATAAATAAAGTAAAATTTTCTTCTTAACTTAATTAATTAATTTATTATTTGTTTATAAAATTTTCCATTTATAATAATTAATTTATTTAAATAAAAAAAGGGATTAGTCTTTCATTTTTACATATTTTAAGATGTTGATATTCTATTAAATAAAGACTTTAAATAACTTAAGCTTTTCTAAAATTAGCTTTTTTAAAAGTATTTAGAAGAATCGAAAAAGACATATTATCATATTGATAATATTTAGGAGTTACGACAATCTATTTCTAATTAAAACTTTTCACCTATTAATAGATTGAGCAGTGTCACAAATTAATATCAAAATAGACCTTCTTTATTCTCGTAATTTCCAGGGAATATAGACCAACAATTAAATGATACAATTTCTATTTCGTCAGAAAAAATGTAAAAAACACTAAATTCACCTAAAAATTTAGATTATTAAATGTCGAAAATATACACAATTGATAAAATACCTACATTAAAAAATAAATATGTTATAAGGGATCAAAATTGTATTTGAGATTTCAATAAAATACCATATATCTATTATAAATTAAATCTTTATTTATATTTAATTCTTATTTAAAATATGTTCGTTATTATATTTTTAAATTGATTTTTAAATATTCATATTTTTTATTAAAAAATAAAAAATTATTAATGTATTAATAAGTTAAATAAATTAATTTTAGCTTTTTAAATATTTCTTGAGTAGGAAAAATAAATTTAATAGAGCAATAAATATTATTTAATAAAATAAAAAAAGGTTTTGAAACAGGCTTCAAACCTGATAGAAAAAAAAATGTTTAATCAAAATTTAGTTTTTTAAAGAAGTAAATCTAAAATTTTTTATTAAAAATTTAATCTTAAATTAAATATTTTTATATAAAATTAATGAAAAAAAATGTTAACTCAGATTAAATGTTTGAAGTCAAATTAAAATAAAACTTTGCTAATTGTGATTTTCTATTTATGAACTCACTTTTCAAATTAGGAAGCTGTTTGATTTTTTTAGCTTCAAAAATCAATAAAAATTACATAAATTATTTTTTGATTGTTGATTGTTGTAATCAAATTTCCCTTGTTTATAATTTTCTGCCTCTTAAATATTTTAAGCGACAAATTAAACCTAAATTTTTATAATATTTTTACTCAGTTTAAAGCAAAGAAATAATATTTTATAATAAAAATAAAAAATTAGTTTTATATTTTTTTTCTCTATTCTATATATTCATATCATAAATTAAATATTTAATGTGATATATTAGCAAATATTAATCATTTTATTTTTATCAGCGCCAAAAAATAATTTCAGCAAGCAAGATATTAAATAAACAGAAAATTTACAGATGTATTATCAATTCTTAATCTATTTTGAGAAATTTTAGCTTCGAATTATTTCTGAAATCCTTTAGATAAAGAGCAGCTTAAAAAATCAAAAATTAATTAATTAATTTTTTAAACTGATGATAAATAAAAATACAAAAATTATTTATCTAATTGTAAATGAATCATTTGTATTTTTTTTTATAAATAGATTTAAATTTGATTTAAATTTATTTTTTCATAAAAATTCAATAAATATTTAAAAAAGTAAAAATAAATAATAATTTTAAAATGTAAATATACAACATTTTTTCTGATATTTTTATGTTTTTCTTTTTGTTATTATCTTCAAAATGAAATAACTTATAAATTAATAATTTTGGTGTAATTATTTGTTCTGAAAAGGTAAAATTAATTAAGAATCTTAGTTAGATTATTTTAATATACTGTAAATTTTCCCAAATTACCATGAATGAGTTTATATTAACACCCAATATTTTAAGAGAGCAAAATTAATATCTAATGGGTAAAAATAAAAAAATATCTTTTTAAAAGATAATAATTTGCAGTAAATATAATAAAATATCAATATTTTTGTGGTAAATTAACTTTGAGTGTTTCATATCCTTTAAATCTGAAGATTAAATTAATATGAATATTTCTATTAAGAACTCAAAAACTATGTTAAGAATAGAGTAATTTATAGACATATATAATATTTATTTAACATAAAATTCATAAAAAGTAAAATTATAAACCTAAAAACTGTTTAGTTAATACTATACTATAATAATGTTTAAAAAAATTAAACCTCCTTTTAGATAATTTATTATAAATTTGATTTCATATTCATCGAAAAATCTTCTTCAAGTTACTACTTTAGGAATTTTATCTTGAGCTATAAATCAGATTAAAGCTTCAAATAGGTAAGCTTTCCCTAATTTTTAAAAATCCTTTCTAATTAATTTTTCTAGCTTACAGTCATTCAGTAATTAAAAATTATAATAAATAATTAGTTAGATAACATCTATTTTTCTTTTATTATGACAAATATATCATCCATCCATCCAATTATTAATAATTCTATTTAATTTTTCGTCATATAATACTTGTTAAATAATATAATTAATTAATAAAACAAAAATATATGAGTTAAATAAACAAAAAAACCATGAATAAAAAATCCTTATTCTTTGCTGCAATCCTTTTAGGCTTGATAAGTTGATGTGGTGATAACTAAACATAGATAACTATTATAAGCAACAATTATTGTATTTGTAACGAGGGCTACTACGGATTAAGAATCCTTTTTAATTAATTTTTTCTAGCTTACAGTCATTCAGCTATTAAAAATTTTAATATCTAATTAGTTAGAGAAACATCTATTTTTCTTTTATTATGACAAATATATCATCCATTCATCCAATTATTAGTAATTTTATTTAAATTTTTCGTCGCATAATACTTGTAAAATAATATAATTAATTAAATAAATAAAAATATATGAGTTAAATAAACAAAAAAACCATGAATAAAAAATCCTTATTCTTTACTGCAATCCTTTTAGGCTTGATAAGTTGTTGTGGTGATAACTAAACATTGGTAACAGTTGCACTCGTCGATTATTGTGTTTGTAACGAGGGCTACTACGGAAAATTAGGACAGTAATGTTAATAATGCCCTTAAGGAACTACATCTATATCACCTTATGATCTACCTAATACATCTATTGGCTATTGTTCTAAATGCTTAAAAAATTACTTCATGTCAAAGAAAAGTTATATTCCTTCTCCTAATTCCCTTTAAAGTGAATCTCCTGCTACCTGTAATCCATGTCCTTCAGGTTCAGGAAATAGCAGTGGATCTTATAGTCCTGGAGATCAAACTCAATGCGACACATGTTAACCTAATTACTTTATGACAGCTGCAGTTTCATAAACTTAAGCAGCTTAATGTTCTCCTTGCCCACATAATTCTGGTAACCAAGGTGTAAATGCTGCTGGAGATTAATCTTAATGCAATTAATGTCAGGATAATTCCTATATGACTGCTCCTGCATAACATGGATAATCTGCTTAATGTTCTCCATGTCCTCCAAATTCTTATAGTAGTGCTCCAAATTCTGTAGGTTTCTGCACGTGCTTTGATCCATTTGCCATCTCTTTATCATCCACTCAAAATTCTTGCGTTTGCTAAAGTGGGTACGCAGGAAATGTAGCTACAGCTAAAGGTTAAAATGGTTGTTATAAATGTGGAAATAATTAATTTATTTCAGGAAATAAATGTGTGTCTTGTGCAGATGGTTCAACAGTTAATAAGGATTTAACTGGTTGTACTTGCAACGATACAAGTGATGGTACTATTGCTTGGAGCTCTAACACTAATATTTGTTAGTGCAAACCAAACTACTATGGGTCCCCTGATAAAGCCTCTTAAGGATCCTCAGGATCTTGTAAGCCGTGCCCTCAAGGTTCAACCTCTTAAGTTGGATCTAAAACAGCAGATTAATGTTAAAAGCCTCCTTCAGATAATCAATCTTAATATTCATACTCTTTAATAATTTCAAATTCTCTTCTTATTAGTTTTATTTTTATTATATTTTATTGAATATCATTTGTCTGGTTTTAAATCATTTTTAAATTTTTATCAAAGTGCTTTTTTTGAAATATTTATCAAATTAAATAATATTTATATATGGTAAATTTTATGGAGTTATTAAATTCCCATTCTTTTTCAGCGAAAATATCTTAAATTAAAAAATTTACTCTCTTAAAATTTGCGGTTTTAGTATAAATTTAAGGTAATTTAAAAGATTACAGTATATGGTCACACAGAAAAGTAAAAAATATAATAAGAAAATTAGCTGTTTTATTATTTAGATTAATTATATATGTACAATTTTTGAAGAAAAATATTGATTTGATTTTTATGTGGTAGGGATTGATATTATGAAATGTAATACATGAGTTATTTTCCTTTTTTGATTACGATTAATTTCTTTTAATTAACTAATAAAGAAATTATGTATTATTAAAGTATCGAATATTTAAAAGTGTTACTGCTCATATTTTTTAAGCTTATCATTAAAGAAAAAATATTTAAATTTAGTTTTAAAATCTTACTAAATAAATAATATAAATTAAAAATATTTAAAAATACATACTCTAATTTATTATAATTATCATCAAGAAATACTGATCATTTTTTTATAATAGCTAAAATGAAATTAATTCAAAAAATGAATAATTTATAAAATAATATTTAATTTATATATTATTTTTTTTGGGAAGATTAAATAAATTTTGATTTCAGTTTATGAAAAACAAAATATATAGAAATTAATAAATTCTGATAAACTATAAAAGAAAAAAATAGCAATTTAATTTAAGGTTATTAAAATGAAACTTATTACTGAATCAAGTTTTTATCACTTTATTTTAAATTATTTAAATACATATAATAAATGAATCCCATTTTATTTATGGATTGCAACAAAAATTGACTTTCTAATTTTGCAAATTTTTATTAATTTCTTAAAATTTAAACAAAATTTAGAATTTAAACAAAAAAAGTAAATCATTTAAATAATGATCAAGTAACTACCTATTGATGATTTATGAAGATTGGCTTGGTTATGCAATAATAGTTAAGTAAATTTTTAAAGTGATGGCAAGAATAACTTTTCAAATAAAATTTTATTTTTAATTCATTAAATTTAAATTTTCTAGGATTGAGTATTAATTATAAAACTTTGAGAAATTTATCAATTTAAAATTAAATTTTAAAAATATAAAATTTCACATTTTTATTCATTTTATATCATAAAATTTTTTTATATTATACTATAAATTATTATAATCCTATCTTTTATCTAGCGTATATATTTTTGATAGTTATTAGCAAATTTTAATTAAAAAATTTAAATAAGTTTATTATAGCTACAAAAATATTTGAAAAAGCAAACTGATTAATTAAATGAATAATAAATTATCATTTTGAAGTAATTATTATTTTATTAATGAACTATTAAAAATTGTTAGCTATTTTATCATTTATTATCATTGATTTTTTTAACTGTAAACACTTTTTGGTAAACCTATACTTTTATTAAATAATTTTTTTAATTTGCTTTCAATATCCAACTTTTAAGCTTTGTTTCTTCTTTTTTTTTCATACCAATAAATTTAACCTTAAATTAAATTATTTTCTAACAAAATATATCAATATTAAATAAAGAAATATGTTAAAACAAAAAATATTTTTATTGTTAAAAGCAAGCATAATTCAAGCCAAATTAAATAAAACTTTGCTAATTGTGATTTTCTATTTATGAACTCACTTTTCAAATTAGGAAGCTGTTTGATTTTTTTAGCTTCAAAAATGAATAAAATTTACATTAATTATTTTTTGTTTGTTGTAATCAAATTTCCCTTGTTTATAATTTTCTGCTTCTTAAATTTTTTTTAGCCATTAATTAAACATAAATTTTTATGATATTTTTACTAAGTTAAAAGCAAACAAATCATATTTTGTAACGAAAATAATAAATAATTTTTATATTTTTTTTCTAATCTATATCTTCATATCATAAATTAAATATTTTATATAATTTATTAGCAATTAATAATCATAGTATTTTTATAAGCTCCATAAAATAATTTCAAGCAAGCAAGATATTAAATAAACAGAAAATTTACAAGTGTTTTATAAATTCTTAATCTATTTTTGAGAAATTGTAACTTCGAATTATTTCTGAAATCCTTAAGATAAAGAGATACTTCAAAAATCAAAAAATAAATTAATTATGTAAATTGAAGATACATAAAAATACAAAATTTTTATCTAATTGTAAAAGAATCATTTGCATTTTTTTTATAAATAGAATTAAATTTGATTTAAATTTGTTTTTTCATAAAAATTCAATAAATATTAAAAAAAGTAAAAATGAATAATAATTTTAAAATGTAAATATACAACACTTTTTCGAATATCTTTTATGTTTTTCATTTTGTTATAATCTTCAAAATGAAATAACTTATAAATTAATAATTTTGGTGTAAAAATTAATCTGAAAAGGTAAAATTAATTAATAACCTTAGATTATTTTAATGTACTGTAAGTTTTCCTAAATTACCATGAGTTTATATTAACTCCCAAAATTTGAAGAGAGCAAAAATATTAATACCTGATGGGTAAAAATAAAAAAATATCTTTTGAAAAGATAATAATTTGCAGTAAATATAATTAAAATAAATATCAATATTTATGTGGTAAATTAACTTTGAGTTTTTCATATCCTTTAAAACTAAAAATTGGATTAATTAAAATGAATATTTCTAAAAATAATACAAAAATTATGCTAAGGATAAAGTAATTTATAGACATATATCATAATTATTTAACATAAAATCCATAAAAAGTAAAATTATAAACCTAAAAGCTGTTTAGTTAATACTTTTATAATTTTTTAAAAAAATAAACCGACTTTCAGATAATTAATAATAAATTTGATTTCATAATCAATCAAAAAATCTTCTTCAAGTTACTACTTTAAAAATTTTATCTTTAGCTATAAATCAGATTAAAGCTTCAAATGCGTAAGCTTTCCCTAATTATATAAAAATCCTTTTTAATTAATTTTTTCTAGCTTACAATCATTCAGTTTTTAAAAATTATAAAAACTAACTTATTAGATAACATTTATTTTTATTTTATTATCAAATTTATCATCCACCCAAATATTAATAATTCTATTTAAATTTTTCATCACATAATACTTGTAATATAATATAATTAATTAAATAAATAAATAAAAAGATATGAGTTAAATAATAAACAGAAAAACCATGAATAAAAAATCCTTATTTTTTGCTGCAATCTTTTTAGGCTTGATAAGTTGCTGTAATGACAACTAAACGTAGATAACTATTAAAGGTAAAATTAATTGTGTTTGTAACTAGGGCTACTATGGACCAGTAGGACAGTAATGTTAATAATGCCCTTAAGGATCTACATCTGGTTCACCTGATTAACATTCTAATTAATCTATTGGCTTTTGTTCTACATGCTAAAAAAATTACTTCATGTCAAAGGCAAATTATATTCCTGTAGGACGTTTCCTTTAAAGTGAATCTCCTGCTATCTGTAATCCATGTCCTTCAGGTTCAGGAAATAGCAGTGGATCTGATAGTCTTGGAGATCAAACTCAATGCAACACATGTTAACCTAATTACTTTATGACAGCTGTAGTTTCATAAACTCAAGCAGCTTAATGTTCTCCTTGCCCTCATAATTCTGGTAATCAAGGTATAAATAATGCTGGAGATTAATCTTAATGCAATTAATGTCAGGATAATACCTATATGACTGCTCTTGCATAACAAGGATAATCTGCTTAATGCTCTCCATGTCCTCCAAATTCTTATAGTAGTGCTCCAAATTCTCTAGGTTTCTGCACGTGCTTTGATCCATTTGCCATTCCTTTATCATCCACTCAAAATTCTTGCATTTGCCAAAGCGGGTACGCAGGAAATGTAGCTACAACTAAAGGTTAAAATGGTTGCTATTAATGTGCAAATAATTAATTTGTTTCAGGAAATAAATGCGTGTCTTGTGCAGATGGTTCAACAGTTAATAAGGATTTAACTGGTTGTACTTGCAACGATACAAGTGATGGTACTATTGCTTGGAACTCTAACACTAATATTTGTTAGTGCAAACCAAACTACTATGGGTCCCCTGATAAAGCCTCTTAAGGATCCTCAGGATCTTGCAAGTTGTGTCCTTAAGGTTTAATCTCTAAAGCTGGATCTAAAACAGCAGATTAATGTTAAAAGCCTCCTCCAGATAGTTAATATTAATTCTCTTTAATAATTTCGAATTCTATACTTATTAGTTTTATTTTTATTATATTTTATTGAATATCATTTGTCAGGTTTTATAAATCATTTTAGAATTTTTATCATAAAGCTTTAATTGAAATATGTATCAAAATAAAATAAATAAAATAATATTTATATATGGTAAATTTTATTGATTCATTAAATTCCCATTTTTTTCTGCGAAAATATCTTAAATTAAAAACTTGCTCTCTTAAAATTTTGGGTGTTAGTATAAATATATGGTAATTAAAAAGAATTTACAGTATAGATATTAAATTTACACACAAAAGTAAAAAAAATATCAAAAAATTAGCTGCTTTATTATTTAGATTACATATGTATGATTTTTGAAGAAAGATATTGATTTGATTTTTTTGTGGTGGGAGTTGATATTATGAAATGTAATATATGAGTTATTTTCCTTTTTTGATTCTGATTAATTACTTTTAATTAACAAATGAACAAATTATGTACTATTAAAGTATCCAATATTTAAAAGTGTTACTGCTCATATTTTTTAAGCTTATCATTAAAGAGAAAATATTAGAATTTAGTTTTAAAATTTTACTAAATTATATCCATTATTAATCTTTAAAAATACATACTCTAATTTATAATAATTATCACCAAGAAGTATTGATCAACTTTTGATAATAATTAAAATGAAACTAATTCAAAAAATGAATAATTTATAAAATAATATTTAATTTATATCTGAATTATTTTGGGAAGATTAAATAAATTTTGATTACAGTTTATGAAAAACAAAATATATAGAAATTAATAAATTCTGATAAACTATAAAAGAAAAAAAAATGCAAATTAATTAATTGTTATTAAAATGAAAGTCATTACTGAATAAAATTTTTATGACTTTATTTTCGATTATTTAAATACATACAATAAATTAATCCCAGATATTTTAAAAATATTTCTCATAAAAGACTATTACTAATATTAAAATAATTATTTAAATTACAAAAACTTTTATTCAAATTGATTAATATTTAATTATGTAAAAAATATATCAAATAATCAGTTTAAATACATTATTAATGAAATTGTTTATGTAAAAAAACTACATAAATATTTTTTAGTATTCAAAAAGAAAGAAATAAATTTTATCGAATATTTTAGTTCATAAAATGAAAGTGATTACTATTTTACCAATACATAAAATATTTCAATTAATTTAGTATATTATATGAATTTAATATGCTTTAAATTCGTATAGTTAAATTATGACTAATTTCTTATTACTTAATAAAAATTGTGAATTTAAATAAAAAATATATTATTTAAATAATGATCAAGTAACTACCTATTGATGATATATGGAGATTGGCTTGGTTATGTAATAGTTAAGTAAATATTTAAATTGATGGTTAGAATAACTTTTCAAATAAAATTTTATTTTTAATTCATTTAATTTAAATTTTCTAATATTAAGTGCTAATAATAAAACTTTGACAATTTTCAAAATTTAAAATAATCTTTGCTTTTTTTTAAGCTGAGCATTTGTCTAAATTTATTTTAATTAAGTATTCATTAGTATATATAGCCTATCCAAAATAAAAAAGGCATTTAATTTTATTAAAGATAAAATCTTTCAATTTAATATTAATGTCTATAAAGTTCCGTTATTTGTGATTATGTTTATGGATTACTCTAAATTGTTTGAAACAATTAATCATAAAGTCAAAACTGATAGTTTTAGCTTCTAGATCTCTTAGAGATTTTTATAAATATAGAAAAATTTAAATATAAAATGATTAAATACCAAATATTTACAGATTAAAAAAATATCGTTCATTAAACAATGGATGTTAAATAAGGAGTTACTAATTCTATATTTGAATATAGCTATTGTATGACTGATTTTGAAGCTTTTATTAATCAATACTTTTAGGGATGGTTTATATAATTAAGCAGGATAGATATTCTACAATTCAGAAAATGTGATGAATACAATATAAAATTCTTATAAGAGGTTATAATCTAGAAGATCAAAGTGATTAACTCTAATAGAGAATAGATTCGAATAAATATTATAGTATACAGTACATTCTCATTAAGTTTTTTCAAATATCGAATTTTACATTAACTTAGAGATCTTAATTTAATAATAAAAAGTATCTTAATTAAATAATTTTTTTTTTCATAGATAAAACAAATTTAGATTTTTTCATTAAAAATGAGAAAGCTAGATTGAAAAATAAATTCTATGAAGGTATTTACTTATTTATTTATACATAATTAGCAATTATTTTAACCAATAAAAAGCTTAATTAATAATCAGCCTAACAAAATTCAGATTAAAAACTTTAAAATATATTCATAAAAAAACATTTAATCATATTACTTATTTAAATATTATAAGTTAGACTTAAATATTTATCAATTTAAGAATATTGTTAAAATAATAATTCCGATTGATAAAATCTATTAATATGAAGATAATTCTGTCTGAGTGGTAGAGGGAGGATTAAACCATCTTGTTGAGTTAATGTATCCAGTATTTGGGTTCATTACATCAGTTGCAATTGTTGTTTATATAAAATTTGGAGATGATGACAAAATGTTAAAAATGTCTTATGGCTTCCATGAATTCTAATTCAGTAATCCCATTTTTTACTCACAGGGAACTCTTCTGTAGTCACTTGGGTCATCAGGCTACGATCTGTCGAAATTTGTTTAGCAAATAAACCAGGTAGATCCACTTAATGTCGTTTATAAATGAACCGCTTCTCTATCTCTCTCAATAACTGTTCCTTAATTTCCTGATAAACCTGCAATAATAAAGTAAGCAGGCATTGCAATTTTAGTATTCATTAAAGAATCGAGAGCATCTGAATAGGTTGTCTTTGTTTAAAGAATCTTATAGATTAGGTAGCAAGCTGGGATATATTGTTTTTATAAGTAAGATATTGCTTATCCATCATCCTATCTCTAATTGATAGTAATTGAAAAACCATTAGGGACTATACCTGTAACCACAATAGCTGTTCCTATTACCATATCTGCAATAAATACAGTTTTACCACCTCTTTAAAAGTCGATGTTAGCAAGAAGTGGGGATATATACTTAACAAAACTGTAGTCTAAGTTTCTAGCATGATATATGCTTCCATCAGAGTGTCTTGCAACTATAGATGTACATCCAATAGAATCGAGTGCTTCGTACATTTAACTCAATAACTGAAGAGTTTCAAACTTTACTCCAGCTAAAGTAGCTATAGCTTAAACTTCACCCATGAAATCAGGATCTTTGTAAAAAGGAAGTTAAGATTCCAAGGCTACAGCTTTTGGGAGCTATTCAATACGAGTTTCAAATCCTTGAATGGCACTTTTATAATTAGTTATAATTTCTCTCCATCTATCTTAGTATGATAAATCTAAATTAACAACGTATTTAGGTAATGAGGCTCCACTTGTTTATGCTAGACTTGTATAATTTGCACATTATAAAGGTTTTTCGCCATTATAAACACAATAGGAAGGCTATAAAGCTATTGCAGATATGAAAGCAAGTATAAGAAGGAATATTGTCTTGAAATTTGTGATCATTTAAGATTTATTTTTTGAGAGTGTTATTATTTTATTTTATTTTTAAGATTTATAACTTTAATGAATATCTGATTTAAATAAACAATTACAAACTTATTTGAATTTTAAATATTAAATTGTCTATATTATCACAAATGAAAATTCATTAAAATTTTGCATGAGCTGAATTTAAAGCAAATTTTAGTAAGTCATTTAATTAAAAATTCGATAGAAAAAAAAAGAAAAAAACAAATCGAAAATCGATATTTCTAAAAAGGTAAATATAATAAATTAACAAAATATCTAAAAAACTTAATATAATTATTTTAGCGCTTTGTATTCAAAAAAATAATTTTTAACTTGAAGGAAAGTAGAAAATGTTACCTTATCAAGTAAATAAATATATTGAATTTCATACATATACATGATACTAAATTAAATACTAAAGCTTTTTTACTTATTAAATAATGTAAAAAGTTAATTACTATTTTTATCTATTTTCTAATTATAGTCGTAAGAAATGAGCGTATCAAAAAATTAGTAAATCAATCAAACCAGTAAATTTTTTTTGGCATTAAAACCATGATAATATACAAAACGCAAATAAAGTTGCTTTAATTATAATGAAATGGACTTACTCAAGTAAAAATAAAAATTTGAATAAATTATTTTATCTTTATTTACTAAATTACCTCTTAGAAATCTAATTTGCATTAAAATGATGATTTATTAATGATCAAATATATTTTTCTTATTGAGGTAAATAGACTAAATTTCAGAAATTAATAATAAATTAAAATATGAGATTTTATCAGAATTGCATAATTACAGAATAATAAAAGAGTTAGATAGAAAAAATTAATTTTTTTTGAATAAAAGTGATAAGATTTCAGTTGATAAATAATAAACAAAAAGCCAAATTCTTAAATAAAAGAATTTATATTTTGAATTATTTAAATTAGCAAAAATAATTCTAATCAAATAATTTTTTTTAACTATTTGTTATGATTATACTAATAGAAACATACTAAAATCAATAATAAAACAAGTTAAATTATTTTTTTATTCAAATAATAAATATAGATTTTCTATGAAATATAACCCTCGAAAAAAGCGCTTTCTTCCCATTGATAACCAAATATTTTTTAATAAATTACAATTATTAATATTTTATATATGTATGTAATGATTTGGAATATTATCCAATAAAAATTGTTAAATTTATAAAATAATGTTTTAAAACTAATAATTTGAAGTATTTATTTCATAAAATTGTGGTTTAAATTTGTTGTAAAATATCTTTACTAAGCTTATGTATGTATACACTACTTAAAATTAATATAAATAATTCAAAACCTATTGAATTTTCTATTCATCTAAAAATTATCATACTTTCTTTTTATTTTATACTTTTAAATTATTATAAACCCCGTATTTTGTTTGGCATATCCATTTTGATGATTATTAGTAAATTTTAATTAGAAAGTTCAAAAAAGTTTATTACAATTACAAAAATGTTTGTAAAATTATAATAGAAAAAAGAATAACAAAAATTCTTAAACATAAAAGTAATGTAGAAAGATAGATAAACAGATAATATGATAATAAAAAGTCATTTCATTTTGAGATTTTTCTGTTAAGGAGTTTTATATTAAAAAAAACTAAATCATATTTTTACCTCATAAAAAAAAAAATTTATAAGATGAATAGTATTTAAGCAAATAGATATTAATTAAAACAATGGTTGCTTAAAACAAGAATATTTTTTTGATTAAAAATAAATAATAGTCTTTTAATCATATTTTTTTATATTTGAAAGGTAAATAATAAGAAGTAATTATTATTTAGTAATAAATTATTAAATATTGTTTGCTATTTTCTCATTTATAACAATTAATTTTTTAAAACTGTAAACTATTTTTTGATAAACCTAAATTTTATTAAATAATTTTTACAATATTCAACTTTTAAGCTTTGTTTCATCATTTTTTTTTCATAACAAATAAATCCAATATAAAATTAAATTATTTTCTAACAAAATATTTCAATATTAAATACAAAATATTTTGATAAAAACAAACTTAACTCAAGTCAAATTAAAATAAAACTCTACAAATTGTGATTACCTATTTATCAATTCACTTTTCAGATTAGGAAACTATTTGATTTTTTTAACTTCAAAAATTAATAAAAAAATATGAATAAAAATTGCATTAATTATTTTTTAGATTTTTGTAATCAAATTTCCCTTGTTTATAATTAATTTTCTGCTTCTTAAATTTTTTTTAACAATAAATGAAACCTAAATTATTATAAAATTTATACTAAATTTAAAGCAAAGAAATCATATTTTTATAACGAAAAATATAAATAATTTTGATATTTTTTTTTCTTATTCTATATCTTCATATCATAAATTAAATATTTTAAATAATTTATCAACAACTAATAATCATAGTACTTTTTTTTCAGTTTCAAAAATTAAAATCAAACCAGATGTTAAATTAATAGAGAATTTACAGTTGTATAATAATTTCTGAATCTTTTTTGCGAATTTGTAATTTTGAATAAATTCTGAAATCTATTAGACAAAGAGCAACTTCAAGAGTCAAAAATTAATTAATAATATAGATTGAAGATACATAAAAATACAGAATATTTTATCAAACTGTAAATGAATTATATGAGTATTTTTTATAAATAGAATTAAATTAAGTTTAAATTTTTTTTTTCATTAAAATTCAAATAATATTGAAAAAAGCAAAAATAAATAATAATTTTATAATGTATATATAAATCATTTTATCGAATAGCTTTATGTTTGTCTTTTTGTTATAGTTTTAAAATGAAACAACTTCTAAATTAATATTTTGGGTATAAAAATTGATCTGAAAAAAGAAAATTAATTAATTAATTACCTTAGATTATTTTAATATAAATTAATTCTGAAACTTATTTATTTGCTGATATAAAAATTAATATCCACTAATTCACTCACACTTACATCTTTCAAACACTTTTATTATAAATACTGTAATTTATTTAATATTAGAATCTATAATCTTCTTCATATTTTTAAATTACCTTAATATAAATATTCTGTGATCGAGCTCATTATTATTGGAAATATGAGCTGAAAAGATAATAGTTTACAGTAAATATAAATTAAAAAATAAAAAATCAATATTTTTAGTGGTAAATTAATTTTGAGTATATATTTCATATCCTTTAAATCTAAAAATTGGATTAAATTAAAATGAGTATTTCGCCATTTTTAAATAAATCTACTATTATTGATTGATCTTCAATTCTAATAAATAAAATTATTTTTTTTAAATCATTTTAAATAATGAAATCTATCCCTATATTTATTAAAATCTTTTTTATTCTTTTTTTTGTAAATATACTTATTCATATTCTTATTTAGCTTTTTATAATAATGCTGTTTTAAAAGCACAAAATTCGTTTCATTAATATTTCCTTTGCTTAAGAATAAGCCTCAAAAAATTTAATTTGATTGGAAAAAAAATAACTAAAAGATTATTAGAATATTTATAACCACCTAATCTAAATAATATCTATAATCAATTTTTCTATTTGTAAGTCTAAAATGAATACAAAAATATGCTCATATCTAATTAGACTTTAAATAAAATTATTTTTTACATTATTAATATTTATTTATTTAACATAAAATCCATAAAAAGTAAAATTATAAACCTAAAAACTGTTTAGTTAATACTTTTATAATATTTTTAAAAAATGAAACCTACTTTCAAACAATTTAATATAAATTTGATTTCATAATCAATCAAAAAATCTTCTACAAGTTACTACTTTGGAAATTTTTTTCTTTAGTTATAAATCAGATTAATGTGTAAGCTTTACCTAATTATATAAAAATCCTATTTTAATTAATTTTTTCTAGCTTACTGTAATTAAATTATTTAAAAATTTAATAACTAATTAGATAACATTAAATTTTATTTTATTATGACAAATATATCAGCTAAACATTAGTAATTCTATTTAAATTTTTCATCACATAATTAATGCTTGTAATATATTTAATTAAAATAAAAAAATTTGAGTTAAATAAACAAAAAAAATCATGAATAAAAAATCCTTATTTTTTGCTGCCATCCTTTTAGGATTGATAAGTTGCTGTGGCGATAACTAAACATAGATAACTATTAAAGGTACTAATTATTGTATGTGTAGCTAGGGTTACTAGGGAGCACTAGGACAATAATGTTAATAATGCTCTTAAGGAACTACATCAGGCTCACCTACTTAATATCCTAATACATCTATTGGCTACTGTTAATTTTGCTAAAAAAATTACTTCATGAAGAATTCAGCTATTCTTCCTCCTAATAGACGTTTCCTTATAACTGAATCTCCTGCTACTTGTAGTCCATGTCCCTAAGGTTCAGGAAATAGCAGTGGACCTGTTAGTGTTGGAGACGAAACTCAATGCAACACTTGTTAACCTAATTACTTTATGACAGCTGGAGTTTCAAAAACTCAAGCAGCTTAATGTTCTCCTTGCCCATTTAATTCTGGTAACTAAGGTGTAAATACTGCTGGAGATTAATCTTAATGCAATTAATGCCAGGATAATTTCTATATGACTGCTGCTGCATAGCAAGGCAAATCATAATCTGCTTAATGCTCACCTTGTCCTCCAAATTCTTATAGTAGTGCTCCAAGTTCTGTAGGTTTCTGTACATGTTTTGATCCATTTGCCCTCCCTTTATCAGCCAATCAAAAATCTTGCGTTTGCTAAAGTGGGTATGTAGGAAATGTAGCTACAGCTAAAGGTTAAAATGGATGTTATTAATGTGGAAATAATTAATTTATTTCAGGAAATACATGTGTGACTTGTGCAAATGGTTCAACAGTTAATAAGGATTTAACTGGTTGCATTTGTAATGATACAAGTGACGGTACTATTGCTTGGAGCTCAAACACTAATATTTGTTAGTGCAAACAAAACTACTATGGGTCCCCAGATAAAGCCTCTTAAGGATCCTCAGGATCTTGTAAGCCGTGCCCTTAAGGTTCAACCTCTTAAGCTGGATCTCAAACAGCAGATTAATGTTCTAAGCCTCCCTCAGATAATACTAATCCAACTTCAAAATCGATATCTTTAATAATTTCTAATTCTATACTTATTAGTTTTATTTTTATTATATTTTATTGAATTTCATTTTGACTTGTTTTTTAATCATTTTGAAATCTTTATCAATATCGCTTGTTTTTAAATATTTTTCTAAATAAAATAATATTTATATATGGTATATTTTCTTGAGTCATTAAATTCCTATTTTTTACTGCTAAAATATCTTAAATTTTAAAAAAAATACTATTTAATTAAAATCTGAATTGATTTGGGAATTTGAAAAAAATTTAGATTACAGTTAATAAAAAACAAAAAATAAAAGAAATCAATAAATTCTGATAAACTATAAAAGAAAATAATTACAAATTTATTAATAATTATTAAAATGAAACTTATTTCTGAGCAAATTTTTTATGAGTTTATATTATAAATGAATCCCATGTATTTTAAAAATATTTCTGATTGTATTATTGAACTAATATTAAAATATTTTATTAAATTAAAAAGACTTTTATTCAAATTGAATAATATTTAGTTAAAGAAAAAATAAATCAAGTAATCAGTTTAAATATATTATAAATAAAGTTATTTATATAAAAAACTACATATCTTGTAGTAGTGAAAAGTAAAGAAATAATTATAAACAAGTTTTTAAGTACAAAAATGAAACTGATTTCTATTTTACCAATAAATATAATATTTCTATTAATTTAATAAATTATTTGAATTTCATATGCGTTAAATTCGTATTGTTATATTCTGACTAATTAATTTGAGTAAATTCTAAATATAAAAAATTAATTATGTAATCTAAATTGAATATTCTTTAACAAAAGTATATTTTAAAATTTTACTCTTAAAAAAAATAAACAAGAATTTAGAATATTTAAATATATAAAATATATTCTGCGATCTCTGACTGTGATTAACATTGTGTTAAAATAAAAGGATATCGTGTATTTAATAATTTAAAGCATCTATTTATGATTTGTATGACTAATTAATTTTTAGATTATATTTAATTCAGAATTCAAAAGATTGCCAAGAAAAAATAATCTAAAAAATTCATTTTTCAAAACAATAAATTGTAAACAAAGATAAATTAATAATAAATTTAAGTTGCTTTCTAAGATAGTTTCATAATTTAAAAATGTATTCTAAAAAAAAATTTGATAACTTATAGACTTATAAAATTCAAGTAAAAGCAAAAATTAATTTATAGATATAGTAGCTGAATTTATAATTTTTTTATAAAATTCTAATAAAATTAAGCAAAAATTGTATTTAAAATCTGAAAAAATATTTTATAATAATAGTTATTATCAAATAAAAATAAAATAAATAACTAAAATTAAATTTCTACTAATTTTTTAATTTGTTAAGTACAGAAGAATTATGTCACTCTTAAACCCAATAAGATCTCTAAAAAACTACTTATTTTTTATTTTCTGACAAATCAATAATTAAGTTGTATCAATATTTTTTCTAATTTAAATAAATGAAACCAAATAATCAAATATCAAAATAATATTTGTAAATCGTTTCTGTTTAAATCTATTTAATAATTAAATGAATTACAAATTTCAATTTTGTAACTTGTAAGCCAATTTAATTGTTATTATACTAATTAATAATTTGAGTAAAAATTATATTTTTTATGATTAAATTTTATCTATTGTAAGTCCGTCAATTTTTAGAAAATATTTTATATTTCCAAACCTTGATACTGATATTTATTTAATATTTTGGTTCAATAAAAAATGAACCCTAATTTCCTGAATATTTTAGCTTGAAAACACTGGTACATAAATAAAATTTAATATTAATAAGTGTTTGATTAAAAAAAAGTATAAAAATATTGATATAAAATGATTTCAATCTTAAAAATAAAATGCTCATAAATATTATTTAATTTTGAGATTTTTCTGTTAAGAAGCTTTATTTTAAAAAAACTAAATCATATTTTTACCTCATGAACGAAAAATTTATAAGATGAATAGTATTTATAGCAAATAGATAATAAACAATAGTCTTTTAGTCATATTTTTTAATATTTGAAAGGTAAATTTTGAAACTGATTATTAAATTAATAAAAAATTATCAATAAGAAGTAAATATTATTTTCGTAATAAATAAAATAATATTGTTAGTTATTTTATCATTTATAACAATTACTTTTTTAAAGCTTTAAACACTTTTTGATAAACATAAATTTTATTAAATAATTTTTTCAATATTCAACTCTTAAGCTTTGTCTCATCATTTTTCTTTCATAATCAATAAATCCAATCTAAAATAAAAAAATATTTTGATAAAAGCAAACTTAATTCAAGTCAAATTAAAATAAAACTCTAAAAATTGTGATTACCTATTTAATATGAATAAATTTTTCATAAATTATTTTTTAGATTATTTTAATCAAATTTCCCTTGTCTATAATTAATTTTCTGCTTCTTAATTTTTTTTAACAATAAATGAAACTTAAATTATATTTATACTAAATTTAAAGCAAAGAAATCATATTTTTATATCGAAAATAATAAATAATTTTTATATATTTTTTCTTTATTCTCTTTCTTCATATCATAAATTAAATATTTTATATAATTTATTAACAACTAATAATCATAGTATTTTTATCAGTTTCAAAAATTAAAATCAAACAAGATATTAATTAAATCAACAGAGGATTAAGTAAGAGTTGTATTATAAATTCTGAATCTTTTTTGAGAATTCGTAATTTGAATAAATTCTGAAATTAATTAAATAAAGAGTAACTTCAAGAGTCAAAAATTAATTATATAGATTGAAGATATATAAAAATACTGAATTTTTTTATCATACTAAATGAATAAAATAAGTTTTTTTATAAATAGAATTAAATTTGGTTTAAATTTATTTTTTCATAAAAATTCAATAAATAATCAAAAAAGCAAAAATAAATAATCATTTTATAATGTATAAATAAAACGCTTTTTCGAAAATCTTTATGATTGTATTTTTGTTATTTTCTTATCTTAAAATGAATCAACTTATAAATTAATATTTTAGGTTTAAAAATTTGATCTGAAAAAAGAAAATTAATTAATTAATTACCTTAGATTATTTTAATATTAATTAATTCTGAAACCTATTTGCTGACACAAAAATTAATATCCACTAATTCACTCATACATACATCTTTCAAACACTTTTATTATAAATAATGTAAATTATTTAATATTAGAATCTATATTTTTTTTCATAAAAATTCAATAAATAATCAAAAAAGCAAGAATAAATATTCATTTTATAATGTGTAAATAAAACTCTTTTTCGAAAATCTTTATGATTGTCTTTTTGTTCAATTCTTAAAATGAATCAACTTATAAATTAATATTTTAGGTTTAAAATTTGATCTGAAAAAAGAAAATTAATTAATTAATTACCTTAGATTATTTTAATATTAATTAATTCTGAAACTTATTTGCTGATACAAAAATTAATATCCACTAATTCACTCATACATACATCTTTCAAACACTTTTATTATAATTAATGTAAATTATTTAATATTAGAATCTATAATCTTCTTCATATTTTTAAATAAACTCAATATAAATGTTCCATGATAAAACTCATTATTATTGGAAATATGAGTGTGAAGATAATAGTTTACAGTAAGTATAAATTAAAAATAAAAGATCAATGTTTTTAGTTGTAAATTAATTTTAAGTATTTATTTATTTCATATCCTTTAAATCTAAAAATTGGATTAAATTAAAGTAAATATTTTTAAAAATGAAACCAACTTACAAATAATTTAATATAAATTAGATTTCATAATCAATCAAAAAATCTTCTACAAGTTAATACTTTATAAATGTTATCTATAGCTCTTAATCAGATTAATGTGTAAGCTTTCCTTCATTAAATAAAAATCCTATTTTAATTAACTCTTCTATAGCTTACTGAAATTAAATTATTCAAAAATATAATAACTAATTAGATAAAATAAAATTTTATTTTATTATGATAAATATATCAGCTAAACATTAGTAATTCTATTTAAATTTACCATTACAGAATGAATAATAGTAGTATAATTAATAAAAATAAAAATATTTGAGCTAAATAAACAAAAAAACCATGAATAAAAAATCCATATTTTTTGCTGCCATCCTTTTAGGCTTGATAAGTTGCTGTGATGATAACTAAACATAGATAACTACTCTAAGTGATAGTTTTTGTATTTGTAACTAGGGCTACTATGGAGCAATAGGGCAATAATGTTAATAATGCTCTTAAGGAACTACATCTGGCTCACCTAATTAATATCCTAATACATCTATTGGCTACTGTAAATATTGTTTACAAAATTACTTCATGTCAAAATCAGCTCCTAAACCAGGAGGTAGACGTTTCCTTTTAACTGAATCTCCTGCTACCTGCAATCCATGTCCCTAAGGTTCAGGAAATAGCAGTGGACCTGTTAGTGCTGGAGACGAAACTCAATGCAACACATGTTAACCTAATTACTTTATGACAGCTGGAGTTTCAAATACTCAAGCAGCTTAATGTTCTCCTTGCCTACTTAATTCTGGTAACTAAGGTGTAAATACTGCTGGAGATTAATCTTAATGCAATTAATGCAAAGATAATTTCTATATGACTGCTCTTGCATAACAAGGATAATCTGCTTAATGTTCTCCTTGTCCTCCAAATTCTTATAATAGTGCTCCAAATTCTGTAGGTTTCTGTACATGTTTTGATTCATTTGCCATCCCTTTATCAGCCACTCAAAATTCTTGCGTTTGCTAAAGCGGGTATGTAGGTAATGTAGCTACAGTTAAAGGTTAAAATGGATGTTATTAATGTGGAAATAATTAATTTATTTCAGGAAATAAATGTGTGACTTGTGCAAACGGTTCAACAGTTAATAAGGATTTAACTGGTTGCACTTGTAGTGATACAAGTGACGGTACTATTGCTTGGAGCTCAAACACTAATATTTGTTAGTGCAAACCAAACTACTATGGGTCACCTGATAAAGCATCTTAAGGTTACTCAGGATCTTGCAAGCTGTGCCCTTAAGGTTCAACCTCTTAAGCTGGATCTAAAACAGCAGATTAATGTTCTAAATCTTCCTCAGATAATACTAATCCAACTTCAAAATCACTCTCTTTAATAATTTCTAATTCTATACTTATTAGTTTTATTTTTATTATATTTTATTGAATTTCATTTTGACTTGTTTTATTAATCATTTTAAAATCACTATCAATGAGCTTTTTTTCTTGAATATTTTTCTAAATAAAATAAAATAATATTTATATATGGTAAATTTTCTTGAGTCATTAAATTCCTATTTTTTTCAGCTAAAATATCTTAAATTTTAAAAAATACTATTTAATTAAAATCTGAATTGATTTGGGAAATTGAAAAAAATTTAGATTACAGTTAATGAAAAACAAAAAATAAAAGAAATCAATAAATTCTGATAAACTATAAAAGAAAATAATTACAAATTTATTAATAATAATTAAAATGAAACTTATTTATGAGCAAATTTTTTATAAGTTTATTTTCAATTATTTTATTATAATAAATGAATCCCAGTTATTTTAAAAATATTTCTCATTTTAGTATTGAACTAACATTAAAATATTTTTTTCAATTTAAAAGACTTTTATTCAAATTGAATAATATTTAGTGATAGAAAAAATAAATCAAGTAATCAGTTTAAATACATATAAAATAAAATAATTTATCTAAAAAACTACATAGTATTGAAAAGTAAAGAAATAATCATTAGCAAATATATAAGTACAAAAATGAAACTGATTACTATTTTACCAATAAATATAATACTTCTATCAATTTAACAAAAAATTTGAATTTCATATGCGTTAAGTTCGTTTGTTAAATTCTTAATTAATTTGTGTAAATTCTTAATATCAAAAATTAATTAAGTAAATTTTATATTCTTTAACAAAAGTATATTTTTAAATTTTATTCTTAAAAAAAATAAATAAGAATTTAGAATATTTAAATATATAAAAAAAATTCTGCAATCGCTGATTGTAATTAACAATCAATTACAAATAAAAGGATATTTAAGTTTTTAGTAACTTTTGAAACAATATTAGATAGTGTATTTAATAATTTAAAGCATCTATTAATGATTTATATGACTAATTAATTTTTAGATTATATTTAATTCAGAATTCAAAAGATTGCAAAGAAAAAATAATCTAAAAAATCCATTTTTCAAAACTATAAATTGTAAACAAAAAATAAATTAATAATAAATTTAAGTTGCTTTCTATGACAGTTTCATAATTTAAAAATGTTTATTATAAAAAAAATTTGATAACTTATAAACTTATAAAATTCAAGTAAAAGCAAAATATTAATTTTATAGATATAGTAGTTGAATTAATAATTTTTTAATAAAATTCTAATAAAATTAAGCGAAAATTGTATTTAAAATCTGAAAAAATATTTTATAATAATAGCTATTATCAAATAAAAATAAAATAAATAATGAAAATTAAATTTCTACTAATTTTTTAATTTGTTAAGTAAAGAAGAATTACTTCACTCTTAAACCCAATATGATCACTAAAAAATTACTTATTTTTAATTTATTACAAATCAATAATTAAGTTGTATCAAAATTTTTTCTAATTTAAATAAATGAAATCAATATATCAAATATCAAAATAATATTTGTCAATCGTTTCTGTTTAAATCTATTTAATAATTAAATGAATTACAAATTTCAATTTTATAACTTGTAAGTCAATTTAATTGTTAGAATACTAATTAATAATTTGAGTAAAATTTATATTTTTTATGATTAAATTTTATCTATTGTAAGTCCGTCAATATTTTAAAAATCTTTTATATTTCCAAACCATGATGCTGATATTTATTTAAATTTTATTACAAAGTGAATTTAATCTAATTGAAATTTTTTATTTATTTGAGTAATTGCAGTAACAATATAATTATTATTTTATTTTTTGTCTAAAATAAATAAGATATTAACTAATCAAAATTAATACAAAATATCTTGAATATATATTTTTTTTTATTAACACATGAAAGCAAATAACTATTTTATTCAATTTATTGAATTACTTAAATTTAGAAATTAATAAATAGGGTTCAATATTTGATGTAAATTAAAAATTAAAACTTATTTAGTCTGAAGATGACAAGAATTTCATTGCAAAATTTCATTCATATTTGAATAAACGCTTTTAAAAACCATCCTATTCTTTTCCATTTAATAATAAATTCTGCATTTAATAAAAAAAAAAAATATTATTTCTTTAGATAATTGCAAAAAAAAATATTTTTTTTATTTCTTTTTATAAAATTCTTATTTGAAAAAGAAATCAAAGATTTTTTTTCTAAATTTTGTGTATTTCAATTGAAGCGTAAAAAATATAACTCCTCTTAAAATATATACTAAAATGAGCAACTATCATTCAATATATTTAACTTAAAAGGTAAGCTATAGTTGAAATTCTAAATATTTTAAAACAATAAATCATACAAGAAAATTAAAATAAAATAATACATCATTGAATAGCGACCTCAATCATTATAGATAATTTAAAAACTTAAAATTTTATTTTATTATTTCTTCCTTCAGTTCTTAATATTCATATTTCAATTAATTTTTTTTATTTTGTAACTTATGTTTCTAGACCTATTTTTTTAATATTTTGTAATAAATTTAATCAAAAAATCATAATCAAATCAGACTTTTAATAATCTTTAAGGTTTACTTGAAATTAATTAAAAGACTTGTTTAAACTTGTTAAACAATAAAAATCCTATTTAATTTATAACTTTTATATATTGATTAATAACTAACTAACTATCAATAACCTATTTATTTCTATTTAATAAAAGAAGTTATAAATTTTATCTTTCTATTTAAAAAAAAAAACTTATGGTGTTAGTTTTGATAAAAATTTAAGTTTAAAGAAATAAATATCAAAGCAAACACAAAATCTAAAAAAAAATAATGATAAATAAATCTCTAATCTTTGCTTTCTTAATTTTAAGCTTTATAAGCTGTTGCTCGCAAAACTAAGTAGAGGTAACTATTAAAACTAAAGTGTGCCTTTGTTCAGCAGGTTACTATGGTGATACAACAGCTGGCGATTGTTAAAAATGCCCATAAGGAACTACATCTTTGCCACCAGACTCAAAACAATTGAATTTAGATGTCAGTTTTTGTTCATAATGCCAAATAAATTACTATATGAACTAATAAGCTGTACAGCCTAAAGGACGTTTGTTGTAAACAGCAGCTATTTGCCTTTAATGCCCTCAAGGAACAGGAAATAATAGTGGTCCAACAACTAAAGGCGATTAATCTTAATGCAATGTTTGTTTACCTGGTTATTATATGACAGGATATCCTTAACCAAATCAACCTGCTTAATGCACTCCTTGCCCATCTAATTCTACCAATAGAGGAGTGAATATAATTGGAGATGTATCTTAATGTGATTATTGTAAAGATAATTTCTATTTGACTGCTACTGCTTAACCAGGTAAAAATCCTTAATCTGCTTAGTGTTCTCCTTGTCCTGCTAATTCATATAGTAGTGCTTCAAATACTTAAGGATTTTGTACATGTTTTGACTCAAATGCAAATCCTTTATCAGGTTCTCAAACTTCTTGTGCTTGCTAAAGTGGGTATGCAGGAACTGTAGCTACAAGTAAAAGCGTTCCAAGTGGATGTTAAAAATGTGGAAATAACTAATTTATTTCTGGAAATACTTGTGTGACTTGTGCAGATGGTTCTACAGCTAACAAAGACTTCAGTGGTTGCACTTGCAATGACACAAGTGATGGCACTAGTGCTTGGAGCTCATAAAATAATGTTTGTTAATGCAAATAAAATTATTATGGAACCCCTGATAAAGCATCTTAAGGATCTACAGGAAGTTGCAAGCAGTGTCCATAAGGAACAACCTCTGTAGCTGGATCAAAAACATCTGATTTATGCCTAAAACCTCCTAAGGATAACAGCTCAATCTCCTAATCTAATTCTCTAATAATTTCATTTTATATTATAATTAATTTAATCTTTATTGCATTATATTGAATACTTCACATTTATTTGCATTAGAGGTTTTATTTGAATAATTTTTCATTTATGACATTTTAAAATAAATATATGAATGATATATATCTGTCTATACTTTGGTAAATCTATTTTTTTTATATATTCCATAGCATAGCATGTATTTAATATTATTATTATATTTTTAATTTTATTTAGTTATTATCTTCAATTACCTTTCTTTTCTGGTGCATTTGATCTTGATTTTATTAATTCTTTTCTTGTAACAGTTCTAAAGCATAGGATCAAGTTTCTTTTAATTTCTGATTTTTTTTTGAATCTGATGTACTTTCTGATAATAGATTAATTGTTGTCTATCTTCCCGATGAATTTTTATCTACTTCGTATTATAAAAATATCTTAAATATTGCTTATCCTGTAGTTAAAATATCACCAATTATGTTTGTAGGTACAGGATGTGATATTTCATTTAATTTTTATCATTTTAAGATAATTTTATATTAAAACTAGGAACTGTCTGAAATATTTTGAATCAGGTGTTAAATATCCCTCTTTAAATTGCTAAAAATAAAGAAATCACTAATATTTTTTTCAAAAAAAACCACTTTTAAATAAATGTAAGAGAAGTAGAATTAAGTATTAAAAAAGAAATATTAGGATAAAGATAAACTTTAAAAATAGTTTTAAGCTATTTAAAACTATTGATAAGATTGTTTAATTATAAGTAAGAATAATAACCAAATATATTGATTTTCAAGTATATAAATGAAGTTAAATATTATTTGAGTAAAATTAATTGATCATTTAAAATAATAGTTAATTATTTATTTATTTATTTTTAAATTTAATTATTCTGTTATAATGTTTCAAACATATTTAGAAAAATAAATAAGACTATTTATCTTGATATTAATTTAATTAGATCGAGCCAGCTAATAATTTTTGAATAAATAAATTAATTAACTCAAAAATTAATCTGAACATATTGCTTAGAAATTTGAAGTAAGCAATTTCATTTAATTAAAAGTAGGATTAACTATAATAACATACATAAAACTCTTCAAAGAGACTAAAAAAGATAGAATCATTAATGAATTAATTAACTTTATGCTTTGATTCACGTATTCTAGAGTAAAAATTTTAAAAAGAAATAACTCATACAAACTAAGAATTGCTAAGGAAAGTATTTATAGTCCATTTAATTCTTGTAATTACTCCTAGTTTAATTATTTCTACTTGGCAATTAGAAAAGGCTGGTATGATGCTTTTCGCTGCTTCTTTGATAGGAAGTCTATCATAAATATTGCTATACAAAACTATGTAAAAATGTTTCAATTTAGTCATAAACTCTATGATTCTAATGAGCTCTATGTTTCTTTGTTTTCTTGTCTACCTATTTGGGACTAATCTTAAAATCAATGATCCAAATATGCTTTTCTATTTAGGTTCGTGTATTTATACTATATAAATAGGAATGTCGCTTTTTAGCTCAAGTTTTATTATGACATCGTTTGCTGTAATCGTTTCTGTGATATTGTAAGAAAGTTTATTTTTTTTTTCCTTAAAAAAATTAATTTTACTTCAGAGCATTTGTATTTCGCATAATGCCATTTTATTACTTTACTTATTTGTTTTTGATTTTCACTATGCATCAAAAAATAAATAAAAATTAATACGTCAATTAAATTAAGAAAGCAAATAAATAAATAAAAATAAGTATCAGAATATTGAAAGACAGTAAAAATATTAATTAATTGATTAACTTCAAAAGAAACAAACATTAATAATATTTATTTAATATATATATTAGATTTTCAACAGCTTTTTTAACACCACAAATATATGGAATAAAGCTGTCGTTTTTTGCAATCACCATTTTCTATCTTTATATAGTTTATATAACACAGAAAAATAGAAGAGAACTCTTTTTATTTAAAGAAAATTAAAAGCAGTGGTCAGAAATAGTAAAAAAAGTGATACCCTCAAGTATTATAACTGTAAAATACGACCAAAAAAATAACTAATTGTTTTTGGATAGTATTAATGATGAAGCAAAAAAACTACTTTAGATATTTGATTCAGATTAATTTAAGATTTTTTCCAGAAAAACTGTAGTCTTTGATAAATTTTAAGAAATTGATGAAAATGAAGGTAAAAAAAATATGGCTAACAATTTTCATGATAAATAAATAAAGTAAGGTTAAAGAGTGCTAAATTCACTAGAAAATAGAATTATTTCCATATTAAAATCAAAAATTATAAATTTCGAAAGATAAAAATCAATCTAATTTAGCAAATTTAAAGTAAATAATTCTTAGGATTAAGATAATACGAAATAAGAATTTAAATCTAAAAATAATAAATATTAAATATAAGAAGTATTTTATGGTTGCTTTAAGTAAGAAGAGACATAAATCGATAAAATAATATCAATTAAAGCTTCTCCTTATTAAAAGTAAACTGACTTTTTGTGCTGCTTAGTTATTGAAGAGCAAACAAATAACTAAAAAATAAAAGCCCTAGAAATCATAAACAAAACATTTGAAACTAATTTCTTGCAATTCTGTTTGTATTTAGGTATTAATTTAATATTTTTAATAGATCAAACGCCTATTTCAATATTAAGAATTGATTAATAAATTGAAATTAATTTAAAATATATTTATTTCTATTTGATTTTAAGATATTAAAAAATCTAATTTAATTTTCATAAAAGAAAAAATATTAAATAATAAAAATTTTATGATTTCTTTTTTTGATAATTCTTAATTTAAATAATATTTTTTTAAAATAATCAAGGGAATAAACTTTAAAATATAATTTTTAATATCGGCAACGAGTCAATAATAAAATCAAATATTTATTAATGCTACAATAAGCTTTATAATTATAAAGATCATGCATTAATAGTAAAGAATTAATTTAAACTTAAGACAAATAACAGTCGGATATAATAAATTAATTTGGAGGATTTTAAGAGTTTAATTTAATCAAGATTTTTAAATAAGATAAATGAATTAGATATCAAGTTTAGCTTTATAAATTGTGATACTTCAACATAATTAAACACGTATGTTGATAAACTTAATTAAATAATAATGAATTTAATAGAAAACTCTTTAAAATTTTAAAAAAATGAGCAATTAACTACTTTATATGATTAATCAGCTTATGCCAGTTAAAGGTCTCGTTGCCATAGCTCATAATATAATAATAGCTAGATGAAAAGAATAGAACAAGAATCAAATTGTAAAGATTCTGTTTTATCTAACTGTTTAATTGATTTTAATGATTAGACTATAAATAAAAGTATATTTAAATATGATTAAAGTGGAAATAAATTTGAGATTCTTAATTCTACCAGAAACGATGCAAATATAAGCGCTTTAGAAATTTTATAGGCATAAGAAACAAGCATAAATAAGACAGAGGTTAATATAAATATTGAATTAATAAAAGGAGAAAATCAATTTTCAAATATCTTTAAAATAAGTGTCTGTGATAAGGGTTAAGGAATGAGCAATTCAAGCATAATTCAAATATTAGAGATTATAGCAAATAAAAACTCTGTATTCAACTCTGATTATTAGAATTATAATTTTATAGGGTGGAAAGTCAATCATCAAATAATTGGAAAAATGGGTCCTTTTTACAGTTTTTATGTGAAAAGTGAAAAAAATTAAGTAAGTAAATGTTTATTTATTTTTTAAATTAATTCATAATAGATATTTTTTTAATATTTAAGGGATTGGAATATCATTTCTATATATTTTAGGATATTGATATACTAAATTAGACATAACTCAACTCCGAAGTAAAATTATTTGAGAATAACTAGTTTTAAGAATACATCTTAGACTCTAATCAAAATTATTATCATGTTAACAACATTGAATTTCTCAGAGAAAATATAAAATAAACTAAAAAAAATTCAAAAATACGCATGAAGAATAACTCTACTCTCAACAATCAATATATGTATTAGTAAACAAAATTAGCATCAAACTAATTTGTAAGATAGCTCAGAACTAGTAGCGTTAATAAATAGATAGAAATTCACAAATTTAACAACACCACATCAAATTCCAATTGCATAGAAGAATCTGAATGCTCACTAAGTTAAAATAATATTAAAAAAATTAATTCTAATTAAATTTTAACCGTTTAGTCAGCTCTAAAAATTAACTAAGAAAAATTCCAGGGTTTTCAAAAATATTTTTAAGATCAAGATTAGGATTTTTGAAAATTTGTAAAATAAATTATTTTTTCATATTTTTTAACAATTATCTAAAAACAAAACTCAAGATAAGAAAAAAAATTTTTTTTGTTTTTGAAATTAATTTTTATGTTTTATAAATACCTATAATTTATTTGTTTATTTTTACTGTGTCTAGATTTCTTATTAATAAATTAAGGTAATAAATAATAAGGAAATTAATTTAAATTAGATAAATAATGAGTGAATTTATTTATCTATATTTTTGATACATTAATTATATTTTTAAATGTTTTTATATTGAAAAACTTGAAAAGTTCTTATTAAAATAAACTTTCATTTTAAAAATCTCCTTTTAGAATAAATTAAAAATTTGATTAAATTAATTTCATTAATATATTTTTAATATGATTAATCTGAAATTTTGTTTAAAGTAATAGGAAAAATATACTTTATTGATTTCTTAAACACTTAAAATAATAAATAATTTTATTGATAAATTTTATCAAACAAAGAAAATATTAAATAAAAATAAATGTTTTGTAAAATATTTATTTTATTATTACAAATAGGTAATTAATAGATAGAGGGCTGGCTATATATAATTAATTAATTGCCTAATATATTTTCTATTTAAAATAATATATTATGAATTTAGAGTTGTATGTAATTAATGAGAAATAATTTTGTTTAATCAATAAAGAAAGAAAGAGAAAATAAATGGATTGATTTATTCATTCATTGATTGATTGATTCAGCTTAGATTTTTTGAAATTATTTTGTTGGTAATTATTAAAATTAATTCCATAGAAAAAAATAATCAATTTAGAAGCTTCAACACTTTCTTCTTTGATAAGCATTAAAGAAAGATACAGACAGAGTGTTCTTACTACTTACTTACTAATTGTGAAATAATTAATGCTCATAATAAAATGAGAAATTGCAATTATTTTATGAATGTATGTATGTATTATTTATTTATAGTTAATTATAAGAATGATTTATATTGAATTTAACTTAATTATTTTATTAAAAGATTTTTATATTGATTGATTGTTGTAAGTTTTCAATTAATAAATCTAGATTTCTTTCAATTATCATATAGATCAGGAAGATCATCTAATAATTACATTTCGTCATTATTTGGGTTGATTGTATTTGAGTTTAGATCAAACACATCCATGATTTAAGCTCTCTACTCGTAGAATTTCTTAGAAAGCAATTCTTCTTTTTTTAAATGAGATCTAAATGTCTAAAGTCTTTATCTGAGCATGTTAATTATTTCGCTTTTATGTTGCAAAATTGCATCTAAATTCTATACATAAACATCTACATCGCTTGCTGGCTTATCAACATCATGCAAAAGCATCATTTCCTAAATAGTTTAAAATATTTATTCATTTTCTAGAGTTTAATTAAATTAAATTCTTACTTGTTTTGTTAGCTCAACCATATCATCGATATGAGAACGATGAGATGCAATAACGTCTTCTTCTTCAGCAAGAATGAGACTTATAAGCTATTCGTGCTTTTGAGATATCAATTAAAGGTCTTCTTCATTACGAGCAGTCCAGTTTTCTATTTGCTCGATATTCAAATTTATGGGATTGGTTTGGCTATTAATTGTATTTTAATCCATCTAACTATTATATAAATAATTAAATATTGAGATATTTATTTCAATTTCATTAAATTTTACTTTTGATAACCAAGTTAGTTGTTTGATGGTGGTCTATATTATTGTTAAGATTGTGGTTGTTGATTCATTTTAATTCCAGCGAATGATTATTATTGCTATTAAGGTGTTTTATTTAATTATCTAGGTTCGATATCGAACATTTCTGATTAACTTCCAGGATACATATTATTAGCATTTAAGTTTGGATTTAAGGCATTATTATTATGAGCACTCAATATGTTGTTATTGTTATTGCCCATTTAATCACCTGCCATAAAATTGTTGTAATTTGTTCTTGGCTATTGAGCTTGAGTCTAAGGCTAATAAGGAGGAAAGTTGTTAGGTTGTTATGGTAAATTGTAAGCAAAGTTTGAGTTTTATGCACTTTTCATGAGCTATTCTAACTTATGATTACTGTTTGGAATGTTATTTTCATTGTTATTTTCTACTACTGGCCTTCTCACGATGTTTTCTATTTTTATATTTTTTATTCAAATCCTTTGTTAACAATTACAATAGTATGCAAAAAGCAGCTCCATTTAAATCAATCCAAATAATTTAAAAATTATTTAAAAATAATACTTTCATTTTAACAATTTTTATTTATTTTCAATTTCAAAAAATATTTTTTTATTTGATGGTTAAAATAATTTAATTGAGATAAAATTGTTAATTTTCTAAATAAATCTATTTTTTTTAATCTCTAAAGCTGCTTTTGCAATAAAAAATGATTATAAATAAAGTTGATATCTGACTAGACTGGCGTGGAAGCATGAGTTGTTAAGCTAATGAATCTAACTAATTAACTTGTTCAGATAAATCCTAGTTAGTTGGTTTCTTTAATTCCTTAACTCTATCTGCATAACGAAGAGTATTTAAAGTATGTTCACTACTGCTCTAACAAGGGGATATATTACCTATCATAACAGTTCTACAATTTCCAGTAAAAGAATCTTTTAGAACCTAAATATTGTTAATTTATAATTAAAAAATTTAAGGTAAATTCCTACTAAAATCTATATAAATTATTTCAAACTTTCAAAGTAAAAAGCCTTGAATTCAGCTAAATAAAATATTCTTTTTTTTGATTATGTATTTAATTAAGCGTTATTAATTCATAGAAATCAGTTAATAAAAATAAATTAAAGTATTTTACAAGTGTAAGTTTGCTACCTCTAAATGGAGTATAATTTTTTCCTTAATCTAATGCTCTGATACATTCCTTTAATGCTAATAAAGATTTGTTGATTTCAGCACCATCTTTTCTGAATTAAAATAAAGTTATTTTTGCTATTATTTAGGCTAAAATATTACCTTGTTTGCTTGTTTTAATCGATAACATCAGCACCTCTTTCACTACCAGCTAAATCAATGAAAGATATTTTTCCATATACGTTATTCTATTCTTTTAATTGTATTTATAGAATTGCGTGAGATCTTGAACTGTCTGTATTGGCGCTATTTTAGGCTAAATTTTATAATAAATTGATTAAATTTCTTTGTATTTTAATTTTAGGAAAATCTAAATTTTTTAATTTTTTGAACACTAATAACAATAATTAAATTGCTTTTTATATTTTTGATATTCGAGCTATTAATGGATTTATTATTTCACCTATTTTTAGGAATTTCAATTTATAAATTTCTATCTAATAAATAATATCTCTCTTTGTAAAAATATCAAAATTCAAGCAGCGAATTTATTTTAGATTAATAAAATACCAGTGACTCTTGCAGACATTCCGAATTCAATAATTTTAAGTAACTGATCAACGTTTGTAATTCTTTATTCCATCAAACCGATAATGTTAATATTTTGTTTTCCATCTTCTCTTGGGTGCAAAATTTGACGATCATTTAGCAAATCGAAAAGCTTTCCGCAATAGATTTCATAAAATGAAACAAATATTTATAAGTGAGAAAACTAAGGCTATTATTTTTTGATAATTTAAAAAATACTTAATTAATATTTTAATTTTTTAAAAAGTAATTCAAATTTTGCATTTCTGCACCTTTTTTTTTAATTTTGATCATGCTTTATTTACTAGAGTTTAGAGTATTACTTAAAATGAAAATTCTCATTTTATTTTTATTATAATTATATTCTTTTAAGCTATTTTAGCCAAAAATTTGTATGTATAATAGAGTAATAAAATTCAAAAGGTGAGTGAGTTCGATTCAAGCTACAGATTTAATTTAATTTATTTATTTATTAGTAGTATATTATCTATTTATTCAACGACTAAAGTTTGTTTAAAGAAAGCAGGAGTCAGCTTTAAATAAATAAAATTTTTAACTCTCTGATTCTAAACAAATAAATCATAATCAATTTTTTGAATCCTAACTATCTTATTTAGTCTTTAATTCTATTCCATTTAATGTATAATTATTTTGAATTTGCTAATTGAATTATGGAAACTTTGTCCTTTTTTGTTTTCTTTTTTTGACCTTTTTTTTGATCTTCTTATCAAACACTCTCAAAATTAATTATTTTAGAGCTAAAACACTTTAAATTTAATTAATTACTCTTTGGAGAGCTGTAAATATGTCATGACTGGCTAATACGTACATACCAGGTACTCTATTTGCGACACTACCTAACATTGTGTGAGTTTTACCACTACCTATTTAATTTATTTTAAATAAAAAATGATTTAACTGTCCCAATCCATTTTTATTAGTAATTAATGCTAAATGAGCATACATTTATTCATTTATCAATAAATTAGATTATTAATAATCCCTTTTTAATTATGTAGCTTTTATTATTCTGACACTTTTTAAATACTTTTAATATTTTATACCTGTTTGTCCATAAGCGAAGCATGTAACTCTAGCTCTCTAAAAGGCAGCAGTAACAATAGGACGCACACAAGTCATGTAAACCTATTTAATAACAATAAAAAATTTAATCATATCGATAACAATTCGCTATTTTGTTTCATTTCTATCACAATACTTGAATAGAGACAGATATCAATTAACTACTATGCTAACTCCATTTCAAGTATGAGAAATGCTTTAAATAAATTGTATCTTTAAAATAATTAATAAAAACCTCTTCGTTTGTGCAATTTTCGCCAAATGCATGGTCAAAGTTGAATAAATGCTCTTCAACATACTTTGTAAGATCAACCTTTTGCCTATTAATAAAAATATCATCAATCTAATGCTTTCGAATTAATTTGTCTGTCTTCGCGGCGCTTAAAATGAAAAGTTAAACATACTTCATTTCTTTGACTATGACACTCTAACCTGTCTTAACTTCTATGATATCCACATCAGATTTTGCCTATTCTTTCTTATTAACAGGTCTCTTTCTAATAACGACCTTAATTCTTGGTTCATTAGATAAATCATCTATATTGAATTCCTGTTGCATCATGTCTTCTGAGTTCTTTTCCTTTTCCTTTTTCGTTTCGTTGATTTATTTTTTCTGAATCTCTGTTCAATTAAATTGTTTCTTGATTTCTTAATTTTTTTTGTTTTTTTTTTGATTAATATAGTTTGTATATATTATTCATTTGATTTATATCAATATTATTTCTTTATTCATTCATTCATATATTAATAATGTTAACTAAATTTCAAAAACCATGTTTAAATTTGCATTCATTTATTCACTCACTCATTCCTTTTGTTTGCTATTCATTAAAATATACTTTTTTCACTATTTTTTGATAATTTAATATAAATCAACTTTTTAAAGTAAATTAAAGCGCCCTCCTATACACATTGTATGAATGAATCAATCAATAGATATAATTTAAATTATTTCTGATAAGCTTAGTATTTTTTTAATTTTTTGAATTTTTAATATTTGCAAATAAAAAACATCATTTTGGCAGCTTGATTATTTATTTATTGAAAAATATTTAGAAGATAGATAGATGTATTATTTCAAATCTTTAAATTTCATATCTCTTTCTTTCTTGTCTTATTATCAATAAATCTATCTCAATTCATTTATTCAAAATTTAGTGTCTGCCAAACGACCATTTAATTTAATTGATTAAATTCTTGAATACTATTTTTAAATATCTAAATTCCTATTTACTTTTCTTATAAATTCTTACTAAATTTCAATGTTAGTTCCTAATTTTTAAAACTAAAAGAATTTGAAATTTTAAAGTATTTATTTAACTTCTTCTGGTTCAATTAATCTAAACCCATAAATTATTGGTTTAGTCTATATTAATTTCAAAAAATTTTAATATATAATTCTACTTACCTATTTTAATTATTAAAAAATCTTAAGTAAGCAAAAGATAAAAATAAAGAATTTTCATTGTTTAATCAAACATATAAAATTTTTAAAATGTTTTAGAAATAAATAAATGATAAATTTTTGAATGAAATAATTAGTTTAGTTTTCATAAAAATAATCAAAATTAACATTTTTACAATTTCTTTTTTTATTCATAATAAAACAGCTTAGTAATTTTTATTTAAAAGTGATTGCTTTTTGAAAAATAAAAAAAAAAATAATTCCTAGAATTTAATATTTTTGTCAATAAATTAATTGATATGCTCGTTTACAAAACAATACTTAAATAATTAATTGAAAAAAGAAGACTAAATATTTTAGAATCTACTTTTAAATATTTAAAATCTGATATTAAAAAAAATTACTTCAAATATAACCTAATAATATATGTGAATATCAAAATTATTTGAACATATTTTAATTTTATTAATTAAAAATTTGACCATAACAAACAATTTTTTATAGAAATTAAGATAAATAATATAAATACAAAATTATTTATTTATATCTTATAAATAAACATTTTACCTCAATTTGTATTGTGAAATAGAAGAATTATCATAAGAAAATATATTTTTATCACTTCTAAATGTTTGAAATTATTTATTCTTAAGGATCAAAATTTTATAAAAAAACTTAAAATTTTTACAAAAATTAAGTTAAAAATAAATGAAAACAATTAAATTTAATATTTTGTTATGTTTATATATTTTTATTATTATCTTATTTAATCAAAAGCATTTTCTGTGAACAATTGAAGTACCTTCTTCATCATATTCAGCCTTAGTAATCCATTTAGATTGGAAAGAAGAAAGAGATGATAAGATTGATCCACCTATAAAAGCTGAGTATTTTCTTTATGGTAGAGCTATAACTTCAGCTTTAATACTAAGTGGAGCAAGAGCATTAATATCCTTGGATATTCTTTCTGCAAAACCATCAAACATAGTTGTACCTCCAGATAAAACAATATTTTCATAAAGATTTCTTCTAAGATCAATATCACAGCTCATAATGGAGTGAAATGCTAATTCACTTATTCCTTTTTATTCATTACCAATAAAGTCAGGTTTGAAAAGTAATTCAGGGACTCTAAATCTTTAATCCTAAATTGTGATCATTTTTCCATCAGGAAATTGATATTATTTATGCTTAGAAGAGTTATTTTAGTAAGCCTTTAATTCTGCCTCATAATCGAGTGCTACATAACAATATTTTTCTTTAATGTCTCTTATTACTTCCCTCTCAACTGAAGATTAAAAATTCAAACCAACTTCATACATGAGTTTCATGCAGTAATCAGTAAGATCTCTACCAGCTAAATAATTTTTCTATATAGCATGACGTAATGCACATCCTTCAAATATAGGAACTGCATTTGTGACACCCTCACCAGAATCTAAAACAATACCTAAAATATATTTTTAAAAATGTTTAATAAATTTAAATTTTTAATCTGATAATTAATTATTTTTAATTAGTTACACAATTATATGTAAATTAATTAATTACCTGTAACTCCACAAGAAGAATACAAAGATAAGACTGCTTAAATTTATACATAAAATGAAGGGACATCGAATGTTTCAAACATAATGTTTGTCATTTTTTCTCTGTATAACTTAGGAGTCATGGCAGATTCAGTCAACATGCATGGTTGCTGAGATGGATCAACTTATAGTTCATTATCAAAGCAATGACGCCATATTTATTCCATGTTATCATAGTTAGTAACTAAACCATTCTCAATAGGATATTATAAGTTAAATAAAGCTTTATTAGCTAAAGCATCATCTCCAATGTAGAATTCCTTTCCTTAAAGCATTAAATTTTAGTATTTTGGTCTACCAACTATTGAAGGAAAATCAGCTCTAGGAGCATATTCGCCAGCTATACCAGCTTTGCATCTTTCAGATCCATTATCAATAACTACGGCAGGATAATCAAACATTTAAAATATGTAAGTATTTAGTTTAATTTTTTACTTATTTAGATTTAGAATAATTATCAAAAATGAAATTGATTTTTTATCAAAATTTTAGACTAAGAAAAAAATACAACAAATTGATATTGAAACCAGAATATAGAATATGAATGAATTTATACATATTCTAAATATTCTATTTTCGAATATATTTTAGAATATTTAAGAATACATTCTAATATTCAATATTCTGCAGATCATTATTTTATTTTTAGAAAAGAGTGTCGTCACTTTTTCTTTTAATATATTTCCTTTTTATTATTTATTTAAGATACCATTTTAATGGGAAGGTTTAATTACATCATTAACTAAGCTAAGAAAATTTTTATTTATTATTTATATTGATAAAGTCAGTTAAAAATATTTAAGATATTATTAATTTTATATAAATAAATACCCATCAAAAAAAATTTTTAATTTTAAAATAATCAAAAGAAAATACTGCTCAACTAAATATGTATTAACAGATAGACATTTAAATTAATTTATAAATAATAGTGGCAATTTGAAGATTCTTATTTAAAAGCATTAACAAACATATTTTCAAAATTAGAAATAAAAGACAATAAATAATTTAAATTATTTTAACTTACATAAATATGCAAATTTTTTTTGGTTTAAATATGTATTAAAATTTTATTAATTTATAAAAATTAACAAAAATAAAAGTTTTTGTATTTATTTTTAACTATTTTATTTAAGAATCAAACAAGTTTATGTATGTATGCATGAAAGATAAATAATTAACTTAAAAAGTATTTTAGATATCTTCATAATAATAAAATAAATATGTGATTCAAGGAACTAATAATGTAAGTTATTGTTATTTTTATTTTACTCTAAGCAATTTAAATTGGTAAGAAAACAAACTTTTGATTCAAGAAATTTAAAATAATTATTTCTTAATCTAAAGATCGAAAGAGAGTTAGAAATATAATTCTGAAATAAAAATGTGATAATGTATTCGTTATATATATATATATATATTTATTTATACAGAAAGACAAATTTTTTATCTTAAATTTTCTTCAAATAACATGTTATAGGTATTATTTGGATATTAACATAATGAATGAATGAATTAATATATGACCATGTGAAAAATATTTTATTTTTATATTTCATATGAATAGATTTTTAGTATACTATATAATTAATTGTTTTGCATCAAAATTATTTTAGCTTTCTAAAGCTCATCTTTCATTTATCTTTGCTGGGATATTCACCTACGATCTTTCTAACCCTAATTTAATAATATAATTTTCATAAATAAATGAAAAATAGCATTAAAAACTTTACTTTTATTGAAGCACCTTATTTTCTTCTTGCAATTTTTAAACAAAATTATCAAGCTCCTTTATTCTTGACTCATACTCGTACTTCATTTTATCTTCAGCCTATTAAGAAAATAAATAAATAAATAAATAAATAAAACTTCTTAGATAATTATTTAATCTAAATTTTAAAATTACTCTTTCGTGGGCTTGGAAAAGTTCAATGGCTTTTTCTCTAGTGGTACGCTCTCTTTTCAAGGATTCGTTAAGTTAATCTTGAATATCTTTCATCTTAAAATTAAATTAGTTCTAAGCATAGTCTAACTTATTTTCAAAGAGCTTTTTAGTTTTATTTATTTCTTCTAAAATAGTTTGTCTTTCTTTTTGGCTTGCATTTACCTTAGAGCTCATTTAAGCATTTTCCATCTAATATTTTTAAGCCTCTTATCTGTATCTTTCGTTGCTTGATTTCAAATCATTAATAATATTTTGTTAATTTTTATAAGAAGTTTCGATTTATGCTTTTTCCATTTATAAGCTATGAAGTCTGTCGTTGTGGTATTATTCAGCAAGCTATCATTTTATATTAGAATTAATTATTTAATTTTTCAATAGAAATAATTATTTATTTATTTATTTATTTATTTATTTAATTTATGAATATATTACCTAAAGCTTCTCTTCTAACTCACTGATACGACGTTCATACTCAGCAACTTAGTCTTTTTGATTACCACCATATTCATTACCAAGGGAATGAGTTATCTTTTTGTATTCCTATTATAAGGTGTTATTTTCTTTCTATAGTTTGTCTTTAATAAAGTTAGCGCTGTTAAGCTATTCATTTATTTGATGAATTTCATCTTCTCTTTCTTCTAAAATTTATTTATGGTTTTGCTTTAAAGTATCTACTAACCTTTCATATTACTCTTTGATTTCATTTAATTCTTGTCTGTGCTAATAATTAATTTTAAATTTAATTTAAATGTGCATTTACACTTTTTTAATTATTTACGTTTTCATTCAAAGTTCTCAAGGTTTTTTCTATTTGCTATTCTCTTAGTACAGCTTTATCTTTTTCAAGAAGAGCTTCTTATAGCTTTTCTCTTTGTTCTTTCTAAAGCTTACCGTTATTTTCTTCTTTTTTTTCATAAGTTTAAATTTTACTTTGATAGTTGTCCATCATTCTCATCATTTCTTCTTGTTAATTTTTTAATGTTTCAGATTCTTTGAGAAGTCTACGGTTTTCGTCTTTGATGAAGTCAAGCTCTTTCTCCATAGTTATTAGCTTTTAGAAAGACTCTCTATCCTTTGTTTTTACTTAATCAACTTCACGTTTTAATTACTCGATTTCATTATTCTTTTTTTCTTCCATATCACCGCTGTTTCTCTTAAGATTTGAAACCTAAGTCTTTAAAATCTTAATTTCATTTTCAGTTCTGTTTAGCTTGCTTTACAAGTCAGATTTTTCTCCTTCAGCAAATGCCTAAGATTCAATGCATTATTTAAGTCTGTTTTCCAAGACATCTTTCTAGTGCTTGATTTAATCATATTCTATTTATAACTTTTTGCAGTGTTCAGATATTTCGGAATGCTAAGTTAAAGACTTTTGTGCTGCTGCAAGCTAATCTTCATATCTTCTATTCATTTCATTGTATTTGCTCTTTATATAAAATAATTATGAGATGATATTAATCTACAAAAGGAAACCCTACTGATATTTCTTGGAATTTAGCAAAAAGTTCTTTATTCTCTTCAGAAAGTAAATTGATTCTTTCATTAAGATCATCACGTTCCAGTTTCACTAATATTCAAAATTATATATTTGAATTTAATTATTAATATTGAAGGAATTCTAATAAATTTTTAGATATGCTTTTTTTTTTTAGATTTTAAATAATTCAAAAAGCAATTTATTTATTTCTTAATTTTAAAGAAGTTGAAAGATTTTACAAAAAGCATTTCCCATGTTATCTATAATAGGACCATCCTTGTATATGCTTAAGATAAGTCTAATTTTATAAAATAAATTTAAATTAAGTGCTGAATGAAAGGAGTTATATATCTATGCTTAAATTTTGAATCAATGCATCTTTACTAAGTAGTTAAAGCTAACAGTTTGAAAAAGCATATTCAAAAATCAAATTAATTTAAATTACTGGCATTTTTATTCTAATTATTCACGCAAATTATTGTTATCTTGAATGAGATAATCTGCCTTCTTTTCCATATCACGAAAATCATCATAGACAGTTTCAAGAAGACGTTCCATTTTTTGTATTTTGTCATCGTAAGCATTGAGTAATGGCTCTAAGAATGAAAGCTCTCTATTAACATAAGCAAATTTTGATTAGTCTAATCCTGTATCTTCTGGTCTAAAAGGTTTAAATTATCCAGGATGAATGTTAAACTTGACTTGCAATTCAGTTAATTCTTTGCCTAATCTGAGGTCTTTTATATACAAAAAGATTTTAAAATTGTGCTTATAAAGAATAAAATCAGTTTGCTAGTTTAATTCAATCTATTGCTCATTATACTTTGAATATTAAAAAAAGATTAATCAATTACTAATGTTGTCTAAAAATGCCACTTCTTTCTTCAAAGTTTTATTTTCATTCATCAACTATATTTCTGAAGGCTTTTTATGGTAAAAATCCTACTCTTAACCTAAGGTATTCTTAATTGAAGAATCTTTTATCATAGCTTTTTTGAATTTATAGCAACTATTTTGTTTTTATTTTGAAGATTCTAATTGATTGGTAACTTTATTTTCTTTATTTATTTATTAATTAATTGTTTTTGTTATTTATTGCTGGCTTATTATGTATATGCAAATAAATTTGATATATTAACAACCTTGAATGTTATAATTTATTTCTTTTTATTTAACAATATAAAATCAAACTCAAATCTATTTATATATCTATCTATCTTCTATGAAAATAATCTAATCAACATTCATATTATTTGTTTGTTATTTTTTGAATTTTTAATCACTATTTAAATAAAAAAGGGTTTATCTTCAATACATCTATCTATCTATCTATCTTTATATGAATTAACTAATAATATTTACTTAAAACAATCAAATTTTAAAATCAAATATTTATTCATTAATATTTTTGATTTAGATTTGTCATTTTTATTTATCCATTCATTTCAATTATACACCATCGTTTCGTTATTATTCTTGTTTCATTTTTAACAAACCTTAAAGCATAAATTATTATGTATTTATACATTTTAAATTTTAAACAGATTAGGTAAATTTTTACTCCCTCAATGGATACCCAAATTAGCTTAATATCAGATTGAAAAACGAATATTTAAAATATATATCTAAAATAATTTTTATTTTCATAAATATCTAAACAAAAATGAAACTTTATTTATAAACTTGAAATAAAATTCAATCCTTATTTTAAATTTATTTTAAAATAAAAATAAAAAGTTTGTTTGTTAATTCAACTTTTATTATTAAATAAAATTCTAAATATTTTCATTTATTATTTAACTTTTAAGGAATTATTTCTATATATTTATTTATGCTTTCATTTTATTTATTTGGTAAATTCAGTGGTTTGGAAATAAATAATTTTTTAAATAATTTATTAGATAATCTGACAAAAAATCGAAGATAAATATCATCATAAATATCTCATTAAACAATTCAATCAAAAATATAATAAAATAATGGATTTTTAGGACGAAGATTACAAATAAAATTTGATAGCAATTGAATCAGATAGTAAAATAAAAAGTGATAAAAAGAATTTATTCAAAAATTTTTGTGAAAAACATAGCAAATAGCTAAAATATTTAAATTATAATTTAGAGTGTGGCTAGGTTCTTGTTTGTAGTAAATGCATAAAAGAGCTGAAACTCGATCAAGTATTTAAACTAAGTAAATTCAATAAATCGGATGAATTTCAAAATATATAACAAGACAATTATGAAGTTATTTCATCTAAATTTAACAATTTATATAAAAAAATCGACTAAATGTTTTAATTTGTTCATAAATCTATCGAATAATTCTAAGAGTAGATTTATTAAAAAATATTTGACAATCTTAAAAACTAAATTTTAAAACACCAATAAAATATTTTCTTTGATATATCGGCTTCAATTAAAAGCTATTAATAAGGGATGATTAATTAAAAAGAGTTTGAAAAAGAGGTTTAAGATTATTTTTTGAAAGAAAAATAAATACCAAATGAAAATAGTAAAAGATATGAAAACATCTTTAAATTTAGCGATAAAGTTAATGTTATTTTTAAATAGCTAACAAACTAAATACAGTAAGCAAAAAATTATATTTATGAAGTTTTTGAGGATGATAAGTCATAAATTTAACTGCAAACTTTATATCAAGTAGGAATAAGTTAGAATTTCGATTTGTATAACAAAGATTTATTAATAATAAAACAATAATATTAAAATAATTTAAAGTATTTAAGTTAAAATGAAAGTTATGAGAATAATTTGATCGAAAAAAAAATAAACCCACTTAAACCTGAAAAACTTTCTTCTATTAATGATATTCATATGATTATAACTAAAAATAAATTTGAAATTTTACCAAATTTAGTTAAGTTTTTAGCTAAAATATTTCCATATTCCTAAAATCTGAAATTTTTAGCTATTAAAAACCATACATCGTTTGATAAAGTTGATTAAGAATAATTTGTTTCTTTCATGAAAAAGTTCTATTTCTTTGAGCTAGAAGAAATTTAATTAGAATTTAATAACTCAAAACTAATTAGAGATTTCTCTTAATATTTAAGCTTATTTTATAGTTTGTATCCTAAACTTTAAAATATAAAATTAACTATTGGTAAGTGCAATATTGTTGATTTTATCTAAAGTTTAACAGAAGGCTTAGTTTCTATAAGATAAAACTTAACATCTTTCTAACTAAACATTAAAGTTATTTAGTCATAAAATATTGAATAAATATAAAAACTGTTTGAATAAATATTATAAGATGCAAAAAAAATACAAATTTTATCACTTAAATTCTAAAGTAATTAGAAATAAGATTGCTTTAGTTATCTTTTTTCTATAATTGTTTAGGCTTTGAAATATCATACTTAACTTTAAATATTTGAAATATCTCTTCCTTTTATTAAACAATAAATATTAGAGCATGATATGAATCTATTTAATGATATTATTTTATAACAAAAGAATTTATCTGCTATTAAAATTAATTTTTGTAGCTATTCAAAAATTAGTTCATAATAAATAAATTAAATAATTAATTCAATAGCAACTCACTCTTGCTTAAAATCTTTGCATTTAAAATTGACATAATCTGCCTAAGTTGACGCATAAGCTATTATCCTACTTACTAATTTTTTTAGTCAAAATAATTAAATAGAAGAATTAAAGTTAGATTTTTTTTAGATAAATCTTACAGATGAAGATGTCTACAAAAAGTTATTTGATTCAATCAAAAATTTGACAAAAATTACAAAAATTTATTTGGATTTGGGTAGCTCTTTGAATATCAGTGATATTTCTATTTATCAACTAGCGTAAAGTCTTGAATCAATTTCAAAAAAATGTAACATGAATTTATAAATTAATGAATTTTACTTAAATTTAACAAACAATTTAATTGTAACTTAATTATCTGTAAATTAATTACTCTAAAGTTTAGAGTAAGCAAAAAACCTCTAAAAATTAAAATTAAACTTTTTTAGAAACAAAAAAATTAACAGTTAACCTTTAAAGTTGCTGACAAAATATATTTCTTTAAAAAAATTTGCCTATTTAAATTAATTAAGTATTTAATTTGGCTATTAAAAATATGATGACTCTACAGTTGCTAACTTTATTTAGGGACTTTTTTAATATGATAAATTAGAAGAAATAAGAATATATTTTGGTGCTTCTTTATTTAGTGATGAAATTTTGGAAAAACTAATATAATTAATTTTTCAAAACTAAAATTTATAAATAATCGAAATTAATCTTTTCAATTGTAATGCTTTTAACAATAGAACATTCAAATAATTATTAAGATCTATATCTTAATTATAGAATATAAAACAAGTTTATTTAGACTTTTATAGCACTAAATATCCAAATTTACAATTGCTTTCAAAACTTCTCAAATAAATTTTTGACAAATGCTTTTCATTCAATATTACTCTTTCTGAAAAAAGATTTATCAATTATTTAGAATTCATAAAAAGCTTTCAGGATTTAAATGCTAACCAAGATTTACTTTAATAAGATAATTTTAATAACGAGTGATAGATAAAATAGAACATTTAGTTAAAATAATTATAAATTAATTGCTATTAGTAATACTTGAAATTGTAAAAATTATAATTATATTTTAATAATAAAATATATCATAAAAATTTAATGTTAATTATAAAAAATAGCTTTTCTAATTAATTTTATATATTAATTTTTTTACTTAATGATTAAAATTTTATAATTTAATATTGATTAAACAATAAATTAATCACTAAACCACATTCATTAAAATGATCAACTAGTAATTTTAAATTTATTTAGCATGAATTGTTACCATACTACAAATGAAAGAAGATGGTTTAAATAAGAAATATTACTGATTGATTAACCATCAATCGAACAAACAAATACACCAATCAATCAAAAAGATTGTTTGATAGATATGTTTATTTTTTCTAATAAAGTGATTGATTCCAAATAAAAATAATGTTTTTTTGCCCTTTTGGTTGATTAAATTTTTTTAAAATAAAATATTTTTTGGTTATTAAATATAAAATAATAGGTGAAACTAATCAAACTTATTAAAAAAATTAAATATATAATTATAAAAGTATTTTTAACTTAAACATATTTCTGTTTACTTTAATTATTATTAATATTAAATAATATACAAATTTAGAGGTTAAAAGTATTGGGGAATATATGTCTTAATTTAATCTTTAAAATTAATTATACTTTATTTACCTCTATTTAAAAAGTTCAATTATTCTTATATTTTATTATTAATGAACTTAAATTTAATTTATCATTGAAATATTGAAATGTAAAATTAATAAAAAGGCAATTAATTTCTTTAGCATGGTATCATTTTATAGTGGATTCACATGATAATGGTTTTGTTTATTGCTTAATAGATAATTACAATGAAAAAGTTTCAAGAGGTATATGCGTTCTCAATATATTTATAATAATATACTTATCAGTAGTGACTCCCTTTAAATGTAACTTCGAAAATGTGTAATTTATTATTTAGGAAGTTTTAATGATAGCCATTTAAATTTTTGTTTCATTTTTAAGATACAAGAATGAAAGTTGTATGGATAATTGTTGCTATTAGTGGATTTTTAATAGCATACTTTACTATTTTTATTATTAAAGATCTCATAGTATCTATTTATTAATTAGTTAAATCACTAGTAATGTACATTAAAAATAAAAAGAGTAAATTTTAGGTATAACCAGCTATCTTAAAATCCTCACATGTATAACTTAACAAAAAAATGGATTAAAATATACTTAATAATAACAATTGGATAAGAATTTAGATAATAATGAAGAAATATAATCAATTAGTATTATCTACCAAACTCCTAATGTACAAGGCCAGCCATAAATTAATTCTTAAAAATAAATAAATTGGTAAATAAATAGAAGAAAAAGAACTCTGTTTTTTCTTAAAGCATATACAAGAGTAGTCATAGTTTATAATCTACATAGCCAAGCAGTAAAAACATCTAAAAAGTTGAACAATAATTATCTCAAACAAATATGTATAACATAAACTAAACAAAATATTATTTTGATTCTTAGTAGATCATATTTAATCCCGATACAGAAAGAAAAGAATGAAACAAATTCAATATAAAAACGATTCTAAATATTTGTTCTTTAAAGATTATAAATGAATTTTAAAATATTATGATAATTAATTGATTCATTTTATTTTCTTTTTAATATAATTAATATATAGCTAAATGCCATTCAAAAATTTAGTGAATTGAGATAACTATTTTTTTGAATGGCAGAGAATTTACAATCGGAGCGTTAATGGGCCAATAGGTAGAAAAAAAACATTCTACCTATCACGCCAAATTTTTTCCGCCCTCCAAACATTTCGCTTGGAGGGCAATTATTAAAGTACTATATAAAAAACTTTTTAAACAAATTTTTATAAATCAAAAATAATAATCGATAACATTTGAAGTTATTTAAAAAACTCCCCACCAAATAATTCAATAATCTTATCTCAAAACCTATATTTGAATTAAAAATATAATAATAGAAGGTTGAAAGAATATTTTTTAGTTTTTTTAGATTAATTTCAATAATAGAAGTGTACATTTAAATCCTAAATTTGAGATATAAGAATAAAAGAAAAGAATAAGAAACATCAAAAATAATAATTGATAAACATTTGAAGTTATTTAAAAAATTCTTCACAAAATAATTCAATAATCTTATCTCAAAACCTTTATTTGAATTAAAAAGAGCAATAATAGAAGGTTGAAAAAATATCTATTAGTATGAGTAAATCATTATTTACTTTGAATTTAACAGTCATAATCTTATTGTAATCAATACAAAACTTAAATGCTTAAATATGTTAAGCATTTTCTAGGCAGCACCGTAAGATTAAATTAATATTTTAATTCATTATGATATAAATTTTAAAAAACAGAGCCTAGATTTTTTTAGGAATATTATGCTGCTAATTATTTGAAGTTGCCTAACACTAATATACTTTTGATAAACACAAAACGTTTTTAAAACGGTGTATAGTCTTAGAGTATAGTATATTACAATGATATTTCTAGTGAAATTGATAATATTGTGAATGTGGTTAAGAGTAAATTTAAATAAATAGTTTATACTTTTTTAAAACAATTTTTATTTTATTAAAGCTAAATACGTTATATTTCAAATGGAGTATGTACTATAAAGAAATCAAATTTTAGTTCTGAATTCAGAATAGCTAATATACGCAGATCCTTATACTCTTGAATATTAATAAACACTATCATTCGGTAATTTAGTAAGTATGCATTTCATTAAAGGATCTAATTATTGTGTCTTATAAAGTGCAACATATTTATTATATGTTGTTGACTTTATAGAAGGAAAATAAATTCTATCTTTGAATATTTCACCTTTTAATTCTGACAGTTATAATTATATTACTTCTACAAAGTTACTTTAGCTTTAAAATGGTTAGAATTTTATAGCAGTAATTGATGAGTATGGTGCTTATACTTGGTCAATTGATTTTAAAACTTTTGAATTATCATTCAATGGATATTATTCACTATTAGGTATAACTAATTTATTAAGTCTTTTAAAGAATAATATTTTACTCTATTTTATTTAAAAGATTATTATAGCTAAATAGATTTCCACTAGAGTTATGATATTATATTTTTAGTAGCATTTTATTTTCAAATTAATGTTTTCTAGGTCATTAATTTAAAAGCGAATTAGATAAAATTAATCTTGACTGATTGTAGATTAAATATATAATAATTTTCATTATAAATTTCTTAAAATTTTAAAAAATAGATCTACTAAGTGGACAATTAAGTGATATTTTAGTTAGTTTAAGCTTTATAAATTCTTAAAATAATTAAGGCAGTTTATACCTAAGCAGCAAGACATCTATTTATAGAATAGATTTAAATTTTGTCTATAATTAGAATACAAATACATTTGATTCTATTAGCTTTTCTAATATCAATCAACCTTTTACTGTTTAACTACCTGGAAATCAATATTATGATTGGTATCATTTGGAAGAAAGTCAATAATTTTTAATACCATACAGCTTTTATAGAGATATAAAATCAGCTATATTTGTTTATTCATATAGTACAAACACTTCGCTCACTCGTTTTGGTAAAAATAAAATTTCAAAAATAAATTTACTTTAACCATTATACTATAAAACTTAAGCTATCACTTCTATAGGTTTTACAAAAACATTTAGTTTCTAACTCAATTAAGAAATATACTTTGCTGCTACTACATATGATGAAATTTTAGTCACTAAAGATTCTCCAAGTAACCTAAAATCTATCCTTACTTATCCATTTATTACGCCAATCAAACCAAGATAAAATACATTTTTTTCTGTAAAAAACTGTAATACTTGTTATATTGCTATGCATGATGATACATACTTAGCATTTTATAAAGTAATGGACTCATCATTCACTCCTTAAGTTATTATTTCTTTCTTCTATCTTAATCAAAAATGTTAAAGTTATTATAATTATAAAAACAGGTATACGATTTAAGTTAGTTAAATCTTGATACTAATTCAATAAGCTTCAATATTGATCCCTACTAAGATATTAATCAAGCTATTTGGGTTATTGTAGGATTACCTTAAAAATAAAATAATGAAAATTTCTTATTTTATGCTATAAATATTACCTCTTAATAATAGTTTAAATTGCTCTCTAATATAGTAGAAGAAAATAATCAAAATACAAGTTATGCTCTCTATTCTTAAGAAGATTAAGAAATCGTTGGAGTAGCTGTTAATGGAAGTATTTTTGTTTGGAATTCTATAGACCTTTCATTCAAATACTCAATAGGTAATCTTACAATAAAATCAAACATAAAATTCAAAATGGGAATTAATTTCATTTTAGATGAAAATAAACTAATGAAATATCAAATCCTATCCCAACAAGTTAAAAGTTTTTTTTCATTAATTTAAAAAAAATAATAATAAAATATTTTTAAAATTATTTTATTTATTTATATATTTAAAAAATTAATTTTGATAAAAAGCGTCTAATTGTTCTGGCTCAATAATTGGTTAATTATTTCATACTGATGATTATAAATTTCTAATAATAGTTTGTGGTGATTACAGTATAATTTACTATAATTTCTCTAAAAAAACATTTTAACCATTAATGAAACTATAGTCAAATCCATACTATTTAAATGTATTCATTAAAATTAATATGTTTGGATTTGGAGATTAAGAAAAAGGAGATGTATATTTATGGAGTTTAAATACATTTACTTAATAATTTGAATTATTTATGCATTTCCAGTCTCCTTTTTTGGCAGATTGTGGAAGTAATATTTAGTATATAGAAATGACTTAGGTTTTATTTATTTAGTATTACTATAGTAATACATTTTTCCCTATTGGATAATGTCTTTAAAATTTGCCTAGTTGTACTTAGAAATGCTAAACGTAATTTTATTTTAATACTACTGAAACTACTGATACTAAAAGTCTATATGGGATAGGTTCTTTTGAATAGCCTTTTACAACTTCTTTGAGTATAATTTCATCTTTACTTTAAGTAAATCTCTAGATTAAAATAAATATTTTACCAAAGTATTTCTCTATTTAAAAATAATATTTTCATTTTAAAAAAAGGTTTAATAATATTTCGAATTAATAAACGGATTTGAATTTCTAAACCTCAATATATTAGTGAGCAACTTAAATTAGATGGTATTTTACAGTGAACTGCTAACTTTGTAAGCTTTTGCATAAATAAATTTAACAATTTAGAGTTGGAATAAAAATCAATTAGCTTAAATTAATGTAAATTAGTTGCTCCAATTCTCGGGTCTCTTTATGCTAAACATTGATAATATACTTATTAATTTTATTATTAGTGGCTCCTAATAAAAGTGTGGGGTCTATTTCGATGGTATTATTTCAAGTGCTACTATAGATAACATAAGTATATCTTCAACAGATAGTACATCTGATTGCTTCTTTATTTAAATAAATAATTCTTTCTTGATTATTAAAAATATAAACATAAAAAGTTTAGATTTTTCAAATACATCAACATTAATAGCAATCGTTAATTCTTAATAGGTAATTTTTTAAACTGTAAATTAAAAATGAAATATTTTTATTATATTAAATAGATTGCACTTTAAAATATTCTAATAGATAGCTGTAAATTAAGTGAAAAATTCAGTATATTAACCTAATAGAGCGATGTTAATGTTATTATTGATACTTTTATAATTTAAAATAATCTATGCGATATAAATTAAATTTACTATCCACAATTCTCTGGTTAGCTATTTGAAGCTGGTGAATTCAATGTAGCTAATATGACAATATCCAATAATCAGTTTTGTAATTTATAGATATTCTCAACTGTCAGCACAATCTAACAAAAAAATTAAACATTTTAGTTCTAGAATATAACTATGTACAATAACTCATTTTATACAACACACAATTATCTCTTTTTTGATGCTATTTATTCAATAAATCCTCTTCCCTAACACACTTTAAATATGAGTTATTTAAATTTCACTGATAATTCTTACTTTCCCTCTTCTTAAGTTTAATCAGACATCTACCTCGGAATTACTTAATTAGTTCTAACTGAACAAATTTTTTCAGTTTTTATAACTGAAGTTACAGTAAAAAACCAATAAGAAATAGCATTTTGTTCATTATCCTAATCTTCTCTAGTCTCAATTAGCAATATTTCTTGCTTAAATGATAAAAAATTTTTTGATAGTTTAGTCAATAGAGAGTATGGTGGATGTTTAATTTTCAATGAAATAAAAAAGATTAGCATAACTAATCTATAATCAAGCTATATAAAAGGAATAAGTAATTCTATTTTAGTAATAAAAAATTAAGCTTACACAAATTCAGTAATAAATTTATCAAAAGTAGTTATCACAAGTTCATATTTTGAATAAAATTAAACTAACTCCTAAGCTAATCCAATTTTAATTACTTCCACTTATACTTCTAATATAACAATAAGCAACTCAATTTTTAGCTAAAATAGATTAAATGCAATTCCTAATACATAAACTTATTCAACTTCTGCAATTCAGGCAATTAATCCATTAGGTTCAATATATTTAGTTAATAACCAATATATTAATTCAGTATCTAGTAGTATCTTTAATTTTCAATATATAGTTGGTTTTAATATAACTATCATTAATGCTAATTGCAAGCAATCTTCATTTAATATCACAGATAATGTAACAACTTTAATATAATAAGGAGGTTGCTTAAGGGCTAAATCAAACAATTTGTAAATTCTTTCTTCAAATTTTAGTCAATCCACAGCAAGCTAAGGCTCGTTTATTTACTTAGAGAGTTTTAGTTCAGAAACAAATATTTTTATAGAAAAATCTTCATTTGTAGAAGGTTATGCTAAGAATGATGGTGGTGCATTTTACATAAATTCACAAAACTCAAATTTAAATTTTGTGTGTAAATCATCTAACTTTAGTAATATCTATACACTTAGTTCTTATTCTTCTTCGATTTCAATAGTGTAAATTATTTTAATTTAAGATGAAAATCGTAACTTTGTATAAATGTACGCCTGGCGCACCGCCTACTAGTGCACGGAATTTAAAAATTTTAAAAAGTTATGCACCTAGTGCGTGTTTTATAAATTTTGATTTTTTTTTGAGCACCAGGTGTGCATTTAATCAATGGATTCAATAAAAATATTTATTAACATAGAGTTATTACCATAAAATAATGAAAATTAAAAATAATATTAAATTTTTTTTTTATCAATATTCAGATAATCAGAAAATTAGAATTTATTAAACTAGATTCTATTCTATTAAGGAGAGTTAACCAATATTTTAGGCTAGGCCAACTCATATTTTTTGAATATCTAAAATTCTAATGTTACTCTTTTTAATATTCATAATAATAATTTTAACTAAACTTATCCTGATTATTTGAATCAAATAACAAAGCAATCTGACATCTAATCAGTGTCATTTTTCTAACTTTAAAAATCTATGCTCTCAATTGTTGATTGTGGATTTTAAAATTTAATAATAAAAAATTTACATAATACTTCCCCTCTTCTAATTAATGGTATTAATACTAGTATTATAATTTAAAGATTAATAATTAAAGACTCTACGTTTTCCACATACTTAATTAGTGTCAATTAAGGATCTCTAACAATTGAAGATTCTTAATTTATAAATATAAATTAGATATCCTCAAAACGAGTATTACAATCCTAGATTTCTCTGATAAATTCAGGAGCACTTATATCACTATATTAATCTAAATTATAAATATAATAATAAACAATATTTTAGAAAATAATTTGCATGCTATGCTTTGGCTCTATACTTTAGTTGAACTAAACACAATTTTTTATATCTGACTCTATGTTTTTAGAATCAAAAGTGATTAAAATAATTTAATATCATACAAGCTTTTATGTAATTTAAATATTTATTTAAAAATAGGCCAATAACGGTGGTGCTATATCAATTAATGGTTTGGTTTCTAATCTTAATTATATACAAAATACTCAAATGA